AAGCATGCTCTATGCAGCTTGGGTCGTTTTCTACTCCCTTTCCAAGCATAGGTTTGCTTTCTTTCATCCCAAGATGCAGAATATCTGTCTTGTTGCATTGTTGTCTCTGCTTGCACTTTTGATACCTGTTGCTTTCTTTATTTTGGACGTTTCTCAGCCTAACATTGCTGGGTGGGGTGAATACATTCGCTGGGTGGGAGCAGCAGCAGCGAGCGTGGTGGTTTGGGAATGGGTTGAAAGAATCGAGGCACTGGAGCGTGAGGAGCGGAAAGATGGTATTTTGGGGCGCGAGATTTTCGATGGAGATGAAATGCTCGACGTAACCCCATCGGAAGTGCCCGGTACATCCCACAATAACGGGAATGGTGGAGGACCTGGACGTGGTTCAGGGTGGAGCCGGTTCGGAAAGCTTTCACATAACCCGTTTCGTCCACGGGACAGGCCACGTCCTCGGTCACCTCATATCCATGAACACAAAAGGCGCAAAACAGAAGTCACTCCCTCAGATATCGAGTTGTCTCTAGTTGATGAGACAGCTCCGCCTCCGGCTGTGGCCAGCCCAGTCAGCCGAGAGAATACCACCAGCGCTACAAGCACGCTCTATTGTGTGCGATATCACTCCGTGGGCACGCCGTTGGCCTCTAATTCTGATCTAACACGAACGGGGCAGGAAGAAAGGACTGGTTCCGTGGAATTAACAAAACAGAGCACTCTTCCAATGGCTCATAATAGCATAGTTACCCCGGTTCCTTCCCGAAAGGTTGGTATAAGTTGGCTCAATGCCGTTAACCCTTTCAAACGAAGGCGTGGGTCACCACCACAAGAGGTTGCAACGGCACAAGCGGAGGAAGGAATGGCTGCCACTGCTACTTTAGCTACAGGTCTCTCCGAAGAACGTGAGAGTCGATGGAAGTTCCCCCCAGCATTGAGCATGGTGGCATCTCACCTTCACCGAGACTGGATAGGCTCGTCTGAGAAGCGTGATACAGAGCCCCCAATTCTACCTGTCACCGTTATACCGGTAAAGAGCAAGCGGGAACAGACACAGCGCAACTCAAGAGAAGATTCCAATACCCCTAGTTCGCGTTTCCGATGGGGAGAGTCGCCCGGGGAACGGAAGGGGATAGAAACACCTCTACCCGTCATGGTGATTCCGGCACGATCACGATCAGCCATTGCATGGTCAACTCCAGGTTTGGACGAGCCTGGCCGCCCCTTTTTCAGCAGTCCGACAAGCTCAAGCCCTAATCCGCACCCTCTTACTGACCGCGGGACCCCATCTTCGATACTTTCATCCCAGCCACACGGCACAAATTCTCGAGACCCAGAGGAAAATGCCACCCACATAGATTCAAGACATATTCAACATGTAATGTTTGAAGAGGATGATGAAGATGAACAAGACGTTATATCACATCGTCCACGATGCCGGGACGACCGGGACGACCGGGAGCTACATGATAATTCTACAACACCCGAAGGTCTATCCAGCTCTAATCCGAGCCAGCAGCCCCCGGAGCCGCCTGATCCCCGTGCAAGTACTGGGGAAGCCGCATCTCCAACACAGCAACAGCCTTCATCCGATCTCGACATCAGATAGAATGCTGGCTTACATATACATATAATCTGTCCATTTTAGCGCGGAGTACATTTCTGGATATCTATATTACTATTTCTTTATCCCCTTATTTCTTCCTTCGTTGCCTTCTTCATCTTTTTAGGATATTATCAAAAGAGAGAACTTGACGGCCTATCTTCATTATGATCACCTTCATGTACATCCATTCCTATCTCCCTTCTTCTCCTATAATAACCTCTAGATGCATGGCGCTCGCCAGTCAATGCAAATATCAGCTAAATCGAATCTCCAAAAGCCTATACACGCCAGTAGTTTTACCGTAGAGCGACGTCTTTCTCTGTGAAGTAACTTCGGCGGATGATCCCCTTTTTATGCCCAGAACGCACACGCTATTCTTAGCGTTTTCATAGCCTTGCATAAATCGCGTGTAGGAAAAGCATATCCGAGTGTTCGCTGACGTTAGTCAAACTTCCAGAGCTTCAACACATTTCCTGCCCACGCTCCAAGCCGTCGATTTGACGTCGTCGTTAACAGGAGAAATGATAAACCACTTTCGATGAACACCTCGAGTGATCGATGTCGAATGTCAACCCCCATATGTTCGGTGCTGGCGTCAGCCATGAACTGCCCGTGAGGGGCCCAGGGCTGATGAGGCTGCCATTAAATCTAATCGCCTTAATAGTATCTAACGTATGTGTTTACCCCATGGCCGTGAGAGAAGGATGATGCAGAGTTGAAGGGCCTATTTCCCTTATTATACAGCTATTCTCCATCTCAAGTTCTTCAGCTAACGCTTTTTTCTCTTCTAGCTTGACGATGTTGGCGACCTCGCGCGGCTCTGCCGGACCTGTCGTGTGCTGAATTACATGGCCCTCCCCCAGCTCTACAAAAACCTTACCCTTACGTCCTACGGCCAGATACGATATAATGAAGATGATCTACCAGAGGGATATGGGAGTGCGAGCCCGTTCTCCATGGGACTAAATGCGTTGGTCACTCGTAATGTGGCGCAATTGGTTCGATCTGTTACACTGCGCGGCGAATGGCGAGACGACGGGTTAGAAGAACATGCTCGAGTTGGGAGGGTCCCAGACTCGTCTATGATGCTGAATGTCTGCGTTCGAGCCGCTATTGATAAAATGGTTGGGTTAGAGAGCTTCAGGTATGCTGTTGCCTTAGCTATATACGTTTTTTTTTTAGCCCGCGAGCAAGCCCCCTACCCATTTCGAAAGACTCACTTAACTAATGGATTCCGCGCATTGCACAGCTGGGAAATAAGCAATACTAAAGCACTGGAGACCGTATGTCAGGGACTTGCGCAGCTTCAAAACCTTCAGTCCTTGACTCTTCGGTTCCCTTCTAGTCGACATCCTAGGCCCACGACTACCATTCCTCCCATGCCAAACCTACGCATCTTCAAGGTTACAGATATAGATCCTCTCTGTTACCCAGATGATATCTCTCTATTACTCTACGGCAGCAAAAAGCTGCGTGATCTAAGAATGCACTGGTCTCCCCGAATGCGTGAATCTCAGGAGCCCAGCGTTGCACTTACCGATTACTTCCGAAGGTGTATTGCGGCAAATTCACCCTTACGCTTAAAGAAGCTTGCATTCCAAAACTTTTTTGCGCTTCACCCAGGAGGATCAGCAACCGGAGTCACCCACAGTTGCCTAGAAGAGATTACTATGCTAACCAGTTTTAGTGATAAGGCTGCAATGACCTTTGTTGAGGCTAGTTGGCCGGCCCCAGGGCCCCGGGACGAAATGACTGCGCTAAAGACATTTCGAGTTGATCGCGTAGAGAAACGAGGGATAGACTTCTTACACCAGCTGGCTCCCCTTGAAAATCTATACTTTGTCAACCCATTGCGCGAGCCAATAGACTTTATTAACAACTTGAGACCCGGGGTCTTATACCAATCCTCTTCATCTACACCTCTCTCAAGTGGTGGTAATCAAACAATAGCCTCTGAATACCATCACAACCACCCAACACCACCTGGTCCGGGTATACAGTCACTACCGCCAGCTTCACGAACATCTCTAAGAGAAATGCAAGTGTCAACAATTATCTCAGTTCATGGTGCCACATTGAAACGCCTACTCCTTCCGGCACGAATGAATATGCCTGTGCCACTGGTTGTGAAGTTGGTTCATGCTTGCCCAAATTTGGAGCAGTTTGCCATAGCAGTTGATGGGAATAGCCTTGAAGTGATGGGGATTGTACTTCCCTTCTTGAAGAAACTTCAAGCTCTCCGAATTCTCATACCAACGCTACAAGACAATGAATTGAGGAATGCAACACCTACGGCGAACTCTCGCACATGCGGACAAGGGCAATCCAAAATCAACGGCAATGTTGTTGTTAACCGTCACCATAAGTCGAACTACATGCCACGACCTGACCTTTCAGTTATTCCACCATCTGATGCACGGGATCTTGCAAAGCTGGTTGACATTGACGACTCTTTCCATATACAAACCCTTTCGCTGCATCTTGCCGAGCCCATTTTCAGCAATATTAAGATAGTCGGTATAGGCTGGAAGGCCTGGCAGGTCGGCGGATTATACAAAAGCCCAGTTCCAATGCGTAGTCAAAAACCACTAGCCCCCGGTGATAATCCTAATAGCAATGGAATGGCAGCAGATCCCACGGTTGGTGTATCCAGTTCGAGCCCAAATGGCCACGCACCTACAAACTCAAGGAATCCCTCCATAACGAGGAGACCAGAAAATTATGGACCTGATAGCTCCAACGCACAATCATGGTCAACACAACAACCACAGTCTATAACATCTCCACCAGGAAACCGAAATCCGCTAGGTAAGCGGAAATATAATAGCGATCACAACACCACGGCTCCTCTTCCGTCCCCCAGTGGAGAAACGTATTCCCCAATAATGGAACCCATAGCGAAAAAGCAGCAACAGAATCGCCCTTCAGCTGGTTCAAATATAAACTCTGGAAACCCCAATGCCGCCGACAGTGCTACCAATGGGGATGAGGAGCCCATCTACCCTGCTCTGTCTTTCCTTGACGAGCAAGTAATCGCCCAAGTACCCGAAAATCTGCGACAAAGCCTGAATGACTGCTTTACTCAAATGAGAAGCAAGCCAGATCAGCCCTTCGTATGGAGGAGACATGTCAAACGGGTGGGTTGGGATGTCTTGAAACATTGGGAGATATGGGGACTTGATGTCCAGGAAATTTGAGGTAACTAACCTCTTCGTTTTGTGACTAATATCACTGCTGTTATTATCTATATGTCTTGTTCTATACCCCCAAAATCTTGTGGATTTTGTTTTTTAGTGCGAAATCAAAATAGTGACGATAGACGCTGTATGTATGTACTTTTAAGAAATTACTCCGTGTTTTGGTTAAGTTCGAAATATCTCAAACCTTTTTTCCTTAAAGTCATATTCCTCGGTTCGGAAGGCTATACGGAGTATCTGATACGTCATTGCTGCCGGCGGGGAAGAGACGGAAAGTTAGGAACGGAGATGGGATGCTGGGCAGGATCGCATCTAGCTCGCTTCATAAAGCACGGTAGAGTATAGCCAGCTAAGGCAAGAAAAAAAGTTTGATATGTACACGTTAACATTCATCACATATATATATGACTAAATAACTATAGACAACCCTCATCTGGAGGAAAGGCTTTCCAAAAGGGCAAGATCATCACCTGATAGTATCCTGCATATTAAACAACTGCAAGAAACGCGGCACAAGGGAACAAACACAAGGCCAACATATAGACAGATGGTAAAGGGAATAGGCATGACAATATATACAGCCAGACATATATGGACGTAAGCCGAGCAGAAGGTCTGTAAGAAAAGTAAAAAGACGATCAAGGATCAAAACCCCCGAATCTACCATTCCCCGGGCTGTCCACCTGATATGAAGAGGGGGAAATAAGCAAAAACAAATCGCTAGCCAATCCCAGAAGCAAACATCTAGAAGGGTGTAAAGGGGTGAGAAAAAAAAGAGGCTGCAAGGGAAATCGTTATATGAAATGAGATGTCATTCCACTGCCGTTTGTAGCAACGGCAGCAACAGGGGGTGGGCCATTGGTGCTGGTCCCGTTTGCACTGTTTTCGCCAGTATATTGCTCTTTGAGCAGGACTTCCAACATGTCGAATTCGCCCACCATTGGGCCAGTGCCTCCGAGACCCTGGTCAACTCCTGCTGTAGAGCTGTTGAAGAACTGATCGAGTGGGAGGGCAAACCAGTCTGACATACTGTTTGAGTTTGCTTGTGTGGTGTTATTGCTGCTTGGGGCACTTGTGTTGATAGCCGAGGGCGCAACAGTAGACGAGGCTTCGTCCATTTCCATCTTGGGTGAGGTCGAGCTAGGGTCGTAGTAATTGTAATACACGGAAGGAGGAGGGGGCATGAAAGAGACGTTAATGTTGGAAGAGTTGATGGGCTGGACGGGGATGTTGGCTAGGGGGTCATGATGAGTTGTTGGAGGGGCGGAGGTGGGGTGGTGGTTGTCGAATGAAAAGCCAGAGGTGCTGGGGGTTCCGTTGTTGTGGTTTTGTTGCCAACGGTAGTCATTGTGCTCATTGGACTGATGTTGCTGCTGTTCGCGAGATTCCTGCTCGGATGTTGGGACAGGGGACTGGTGTCTGCTTCCAGACTCGCCTACACGATCAAAGGGAGCAAAGCGCAAGAAGCGATTGCGGATATTTGAGGTGAGCAGCTGGAGGAGATCTGCTATCGTAACGCTGAGATGGACATCGTCCACGACACAAGTTCGGAGACATTCGATGGTCCGATCCTGTAGCTCGAGCGATATTCTCACGTCATCCTCTTTGGCACCAAGGGTGAATGTCTACATTATTTTTAGCATTGCGAAATATGTATGTGTCACACAATGCAGCACACTAACCTTGAGAATAAAGATCATTCCAGAAAGGATTCTAAAGTATGTCCTGACTGGTGCATGCTTTAGAATATCCCCGGGAACAAACCCTTCAAGTACGATCTGCAAAATCCGTCGAGAAGCATCGACTACTTCCTGGATATATGGTTCATTGACTTCGTACTGTTCTAGGAGGACCTGGAGAGGAACAGTTCCAGCGCCAGAGCCAGTTCCATTGGCGGTTCCGTTTGTCGTCCCGTTGGCATGGTTATTATGGTTGGCGTTTGAACCAGCCTCATTCATAGTAGTCCATCGTTCAACGACGGCTTGTAAAGCTAAGCAATTGACGTATAGTCCTAAGATATGGTTAGTGGCCATGCATTTGGAGCCATATTGAAGGGGCTGCTACTCACGGGTATATTCGTATTCAATCGTTAAAACATTTCGCATTTGGGGTGGCACTGTAGGAGAGTTAATTAGTCAGGGCATCATCCTATATAGGGTTTCAGGAGACCGTGTATGCGTACCCGAAAGTTTGTCGAGTTTTGCCTTAAAGTCTCTCAGAGAAGGAATAAACTCATCGATCCGATCACGGTATTGGCCACTCTTGATCAGGTTGGTGGTCAGTTCCTTGGACAGGAAAAGAACCTGGTTACTGTTGTACATGATCTTGGAAATATCCATCCAGCAATCTTGCATCATGTCAATCATGTAATCCTCATGGAAGTTGGGCGACTGCATATCTTCTGCACGAGGCGGTTCGGTATTCTGGTTCCATTGTGGGAGGGGAAGCATGGATGGGATGCCCAAGCGACCACTGCTTTGCGAGACGTAAACAAGAATCAGTCGGCGGAGACGGCGTTTTCTGGCCATCTCACAGGAGGATTCGGTAGATGCACGGAGGTCATTTTTCTGGTCGAAAATGCCGAGCTCAAAAGCAAGGGCCTGGGCGGTGCTGAGAAGCATCCATGACATTCGGTCAGAGCGCCATACAGGCTCCAGCCATTTGTAAAAAGCCAGGCGGCCTTCTCCTGGTCCACCTTGACCCTTGCCGGGATGATCATTGAAATGGTCGTCACCGTCTCCATCAAAGCAATTGAGCTGCTGTGGGTCAACGTCGAGCAGAGTGTTTTCGTCATCACCTGGTGGGAAGTGAAGGGCGCGAGGATGCCAGTCAGTGAGCAGCAGCAAGGCTTCAACGGTCCCAATGGACCTTAGCTGGCCACCGCCCCGTTGCCCCTGTCCAGCGGAGAGTGGGTTAGAGGGATCAAACTGCCTAGGTGCTGAGGCGCCGCCGCAGTCACCAAACTTTTCTTGACCCCAGAAGAGTCGTTCGATCATACCCCTGAGGTAGGACCACAACTTTTCATGGATAGAGTACGCTCGTGAATTAGCACCGTTACCAGAGAGTTTCATATGCCGAGAGGCAATGGTGAGCATTGTGACAGTCAACACCGGCTCTTCCGTCAGAAGAGTAAGATGGGTGGATGGAGAGCTGTAATTTTTCAAGACAATTGGAGTTAATGGCGCAAGATGTTCATAGTAGCTGGGAGCGAATGTTGTTAGCAGTGTTTCCACGTCGAGACGAAGGAAAGCTTGTCTATGGCACTTACTACTCGATGTAGGACATCGCTTCATCCACACTAAACCAGCCAGCACGGATAAACCGTAGCCTTGACCAAGCCCTGCGGGCCTTGCTGTAGTCAAGATCCTGGGTTGCCCTGGGAGGACTTAGACCTGCGTCTGTGCCTTCAACGAGGACCTCGACACTAGGCGAGCCACCCTTATTCTGGTTGTACCAGCTGGCTCCGGCACCCTGTTGCGTTGTCGAGTTGGATCTGCTGGCTCTACCTGGCGTGCCATTCTGCTGACCCGGGGATACGGATGCAAACGTCGAAGTAGAAGATTGCCGCCCATTGTATTGGTATTCCAGCTGCTGGCGATTTAGATCTTCTGTTCTCCCGGCAGCTTCGGATAGAAGATGTAGAGCGTCATGGGTATTGCTGATTGCAGGGGAGAGCAGCTCTGCTGCTGTCTTGTTCATCATATGCTGGCCACTCTCGAGGACATGGGGCGGTAAAGTTGGACGCACAGCACCAGAAAAGCTCGCGCGGTGAGCATGGTACTGGTCTAGCGGGATAGAGGTAGGAGCAGGAACAGAGATACCGGTAGGCGGAATGCAGATGCGGTGAGGCGGAGCCGTGGCGTTGGACCATTTACGCTGCGCAGCAGAGCCGTGAGGTCGAGGATCGTTTTCGAAGGGAGGTAGACTGCCCCGTGGATGCGAAGTTACTCCGTTGGGGATGGGACTGGAGATGCTGTCGCTGTCCATGCTGGGAGAGACCGATCCATCGGCCACCATCATCCGCTTGTCCCGGCGCAAGACGCTGGCTCCCTTGTCATCCGACTCCTCCGAGATTTTGCGCTTGCGTCGGGTGGCAGAGAACTCGCATCTCTTGCTCTCGCGGCGGCATCTCACACATGGTGGTGGTCGTGGGTTATCAACACCTATATCAAGTCAGATCAGCGATTCACTGTATTCAGTGCCGTCTTACATGCGGCTGCCAAGGGCCGAAGGGAGAAGACCTACTTCCCAAGTCGCACTTCACTTTTCGCTTCCTGCATGGATCGCAGGCCTGGTAGCCACGTCTATGCTGTGCTGGAGGAGAGATAGAGCGTCTAGGCGAGAATCTGGTGTTTAGATCCTGCGGTTGTTGCTGTGGTTGTGGTTGCTGTTGCTGCTGCGGCTGCTGCTGCGGAGCTGAACTGTGGCCGACGGGCGAGGAATTCGGCACAGACGATGGCACTGCGGCCATTGGAGCCGGTCTACCGGCCATTCTGATGTCTTCCATGGTGATTTCCCACCCTCTCTGTCTCGCGAGACTGTAGTATTGCGTCTGCGCGGTTGCGGGCTGCTGTGCTGTGTCTCTTGGGATATCCAATTGGCAGCCACCGTCGTCACAACGACGATCCAAGGTGTTCCTGCAGCTCAGACGGATGTCCTTCTTTCTCAGCAGCGCCTCGTCTGTCGCTCTCCTACTTCTTCGTCTCCTCCTTCTGCTCTCTTTTCCTCTCGCTCAGCAAGGCCAAAAAAAACACCAGCCTGGGGAGGAAGAAAAAGAAGCTGAAGTCGAAGTCGAAAGTTGAGAGAAAAAGGCGGAGAGAAGAAGAAAAGTGCGGGCGGGCGGCAGAAAAAAAAAAGGTGGAAAAAGCTCAAGATATAAAAAAGAATAAAATAAAATAAAAAGAAGCAAAAACAAGACACGACGTCGAGCAGACGCAGACGCAGAACGACAACGGCGGACGGAGAGGCAGAGGGAGAGAGAGACTAAGAACTCCACCCAGGGCTGCTCACTAGTATCCAAACCCCAGAAGAGACTTATGCAGATATTCTTATAGATGTGTATAACCTCTGGCTGGACGGACAGCAGGTGGAGGCCCAAGGGGGGGTACGGGGGAAACCCCGAGATGCCCCCCGGGGCTCTCTATATATATACACCCAGGAGCAGGCAACAGGCAACGGGCAGACGGGCAGACAGCGCATCAAGCATTATTACAGCAGGCAGGGCCAGAGTGCATTACACTGATGTCCACACGGTATTTTGACCCTTGGGAGGAGAGAAGAGCGTTGCTGCTTATCGCCAACATCCATGCCCACAACGTTTCTTAAGACATTATATTAACTTCCATGCCATCATTAGAGTTAGTTACGCTGAGAGACGAAGGACCACCAAGCTGCTTGCTCCATCCTGGCGGCTATCAAATTATGGATATAGCAATCAGAAGGGGGGGAGGGGCCCTTGTTTTGGGGTCTTCTTCTCTTGCTGGCGTTCTTCAGCAATGATCCCAGCCTATAGTGACTCCGTATACTCCTCTTGTCTGTTCAGAAGTCAAGCTCACTAGCAGCGCGAGCTGGCCGAGTACGGGGAGTACGGGGAGTACCACGAGCTACATCTCGAAAAAAAAATGCATAACTTCATGGTTGTGGCTGGACAGTTAGCTCCCCGTTCGCCCGGCCCCGGCGTCCTTTGTTGAGCTACCATTTCGACTCTCTCTGGCTGGCTGTTGGCTGCTGGGCCCGTCCTCCTGCCTTCCTGTCTTCTCCTCCTCTTTCTCCTTCTCCCCTGGCGGGATGCTAGTTACTGTTGCGTAATAGATGCAGGGGATACCACACCAGCTCAACAACTTTAAACGAGGAGAGAAATGTCAACTCGCATCTTTTTCTAGAAAAAAAAAGGAAGAGGAGAGACGAAAAATTTGTTTAGACTTCCTACTCTCCACAAATCAGTGGGTTTGCCCGGACTCTCTGCCTGCTGAATGGCCCGCCGTTGGAGGCTAATGTACGATCCTGATGCACGCCCAGAAAAACTACGAATGCGTGATGACCTTTTTTCCTGTGTTTCTGGTGGAGAAGATGGTACATAGCCCGTCAGAACCGTGGAATATTATGGAACATGGAGCCCTCCTCAACTCGATTCAAAAACACATAACTCTATGGAGTATAAGTCTACACTCTACTAGGCGTAGCTCTTGTTTTAGTGTTAAGGTCGGACGCTTGGATAGATCGTCTGACATTAACACGAATACTAGACTGGCCGCCCTTTTCTATGCCCGCATCTCGAGGCCGTCCTGATAACTATCCTCCGCGGTAGTTAGGGGGGAAATTAAACTCGCAAAACGGGTGCATCATCTGGGGTAGGCCTTCGAGCCCCTCAGCCAATTGATGTCAAGCATTAAACTGTGACGTGAATCTTGCAGATTCGCACTAAGGACGGCTTGGGTAAAACACCCGGGTCCATCTCCAAGTCTCCATTTTGATGGAGAACACGAGGCAGGCAGGCCGCCGTTACCTCAGCGAAAAGAAAAATATACTTACCTTACATACTTACATACATACTTACACACAGGAAGTGAGCAGATGCCTGCTAGGGGTGAGGGGAAAAGCGGGAGACAATCATATTCTTCTAGCGCCCCATATTAGCGCCCCATCTGTGAATATGGAGTCCATCAGATCTACAGAGAGGGAGTACGGAGTACTTTGACACCAGCTTTTTTATTAACTGAATATTTCCTTTCCCTTCGACCATTCGAGTCAGGCTGCCCTCGAATGGCTTAATTACAGCGTAGCATTTACGGGATGGAGTACATATGAGTGCATGCATATTAGGCGGACTGATGATAGGTTGTTTTTTGCTTCTTGTTTCCCAAACTGAACTCGAGGATTTGCCGGCATGGAACCATGGTCTTCGGGTTCGCGTTCGAATTCGAGTTTTCTGGCAGCGGTCTGAGAAAACATGTATCGACACCTCGCCAGAAGAACGAGGGAGAAGCGGGAACGAGCTGGTGGGACACAACATCGGCTCGCCGACAATTTACGGTTCATCTCTTGAATGAACCCTTGGTTCCCTCGTAACTGGCTTCCCCTTGATGGCTCTATCAAAACAAGGGCTTCCCCTGTCCGCGCTTTGACATAAGCAAGAAAAAAGGAAAGAAGTCGAAAGAAAGTAGGAAAAATGGGAGAAAAAGAAAAAGAATGATCAGAGTGACCCTGCTATTCTTCCATCATACCGCCTGCTTGGCCACAAGAATGGCATGCTAATCTGGATTCGCCCGTTACAATCTCCTTCTCCTTTCGGTTCAAAGTCCGGGGAAATTGATACCTCTTCCCTGCTGCCAGGGGCTAATCGGCCCCGGGTTTCCTGACAGATATCGGCATCGTCCCTCCATTGTCAGGACATCGATTCACCTTCATTGGTAGATCATGCACCTTCGATCCCGAAATCTGACTATTATTTTTCCCGGATACCGCATTTTATAGTACCCATCCACGGAGAATCCTCCGTATCTCTCTCAATCAACCTCCAGAAACCCAAACAAGATGCCAAAACCTTGTTCGGATCGTGTTCGCCCTAACCTCTCTCACTCTAGCTGGAAGAATGAACGAGTGAGAGCAGCAGAGAAAACGAGCTTGCCTCCAAACCAAGCGCTGAAGAATAATGCAGGAGAAACGGAAGCAAAAAGCAAATTCAAAAGAACGAAACACCAGCGTTCCTCAAGTCCAATCGAATCAAATGAGCAGCCTTGCCCTCCCGAACGCCTCCAAAGAGTGGTTCCTGCTTCCAGTCAAATCCAAGTTTAAGGAGTACGAAGAGCCTACTGAACACGTTCGACGGGCAGATCAACCCACGAATCTCCCCGTGGCCTGCGGAGTGCACATCCATGGGACCATGCCAACATTCGCATCCTGATCTGTGCCTATGCATAGATATGCATGGCACTTCGAGTCGATAATGGAGGGATTGTATGGATATACATAGAATATCTGTACAGATACGGCCCGTTGCACGTCACGCCGATCAGCACCGAAAAGCTAACCAATTTCAACGTGATCCCCATAATCCCGAGATCCTGATATAGAACGAGACAAGAAAGAGCTATGTTCCATGTTCCATGTTTGACGAACGTACTCTGATGCAATAAGATTTTTTCGATACTCGAGCCCCGAGAAGGTGTTCTGATACGCCTCTGACGTTTACAAAAAAAAATTATATAGTTCAAACATGTTGACAACGCTTGCATCGACCTGATATAGGTAAAGGAACCACAATATGACGCCCTCCCGCGAGCACTATTCGCCCATGAGCCGCCTACCAGAAACCTTGCGTCTTAAAAGGATGGGAGTTATATAGTCAGGTTTCAGCATGTCATGTTACCTCCATCGTTCATTACTTGCAGCATTAATCCCAAGGATAATTAAGTATTAATCAAGCGATAGAGACCCAGCCCATGAACTGCTGCCCCCAGCCACCTCATCTCAGGAAAACGAGTTCGTGAGACCTGCATAACATCCAAATTTCAACTTGTTCTTCGCAATATCGGCAGGCCCGCTAGCAGAAGCGCCTGAATTTTTTGGCAAAAAGAAGAAATACACCAGCCAGGCATGAAACGAGCCAAGACGATGTTAGGAGATAAGCGAGTCAGTTAAGGTGGTCGATCATACAGAATGCTTCAGGAACAGCAGTACCGGAACCCATCTATCACATTTGCATGTATCCAGCCGTCAAACCCTGCCTGAGGTACATACATAGTTACCGATTTCGCTCCTTCAGCTGGGACAAGAAGAAAAAATGTCATAAATAGACATATACTCCTGTTCCTTGAGGAATGAATTGCAGATTGCAGGCATTCGGCCCCGCAAAATCCCGGACTTAGCTATATACATAGCTCCGTACTCCGGATGTGCCGTACGTCGATTAGACAACAGGTAAGAGAGAAAACGTAGGAAGAAGCATAGAGGTCGATGCAGCCAGGCCTTGCCCTGGGAAGGCCGGAAGAAGCAAGTACAAAGCAAGTAATTATACACGAACAAGTATACATCAACCAGGTATGTGTGCAAACTATATCAAGATAGCCGCATTGGTGCAAAAGTAACTCAGAGAGATAATGCAATGCTCCTCCATCCAAATCCTGAAAATCCAAGCCTGCTAGCCAATCAATAAAAAAAACCAGACCTTGGCCCTGGAAACGAGAAGGCAACGAAGAAGAAAAGTCAAAAGGGCATAAAAATGAACTAATAGATAGTCGTTGATGCAGACGAACCGATAAAATCGTGAACACTAAAATAAAACATTGAGAGTGGAAGAAAAAAGAAGAACTGAACTCTAGTAAAACTCCCTGTCAAACGGAAGTTTGGATTTCACCTTGGTCTGCAGGCGCAAGGTTGTTGCAGTGCTGTCGATGGGCCCCCCCTTCCGCGCGCCCTATGTTTTTTGACTAATGAAAATATCGCTATTCTCGTTCATTGCTGGAGGTGACGGGTGTGGCGACGGGCATCGATGCACCAACCTGGTCGTTATGTACTGGCCCCAGGTCTTTCTGCATGTGGCCGATGCTTGGCTGGGCAGCAGAGGCGGAGATGAAGTTGTATTTGGAAGTTGATATCGCTGAGTGTGATGGAGGGTGAGAATTGTGAGAATGAGAGGAAAGGTAATTATTAGCTGGCGAAGGGAGGAATTTTTTCTGGCGAATGGTCATCGTCGTATCGATGCTTGCCAGGCTATCACGGCTTACTTGACGAGACAAGCTGGGTGTTAATCGTCCAACGAGCAGGCCGCGAATACCGCCTGCCTTTCTTGCCGGGAGCTCGTTTGTCCCTGCTGTCAGCATATACAGTAGATACTTGAGATTGGGGAGCGTATGACGGATATCAAGGACCCTTAGACCGAGCCGATTCATCAGGTATTCTATGTTTTTGTTAAGCAGGAACACAGCATACTCGAATCTATATTGGGTGTTTGCCGGATATAGCGGAAACGTCCGTTGAGCAAGGCCAACTGATATGGGGTCCTGGATGGTCGAGGTCGAGAGATATGGCCGGACGGGGTAAGGAAGGGGCACTGAAAGATAAAACGAGAGGAGGTATACCACGTGTGATGTATATCCCAACGCCCCCGCAACCGCTTCCTTGTCAATGTCGTCAAAGCAGGAATTCGGGAGAGCAAGGCCCCTGATAGTGAACCCAAGAGGTATATTATGAATTGGTTCTATAGGATATGTGGCAAGCAGGTCCTCGCATATACGACGGATTTGCCCCATCGACTCTTCAGCTGTTTTCTTCAAAAGGGTTTGGCTGGATTCTTTTGCCTCTCGAGCATCAGCAAGGTAGGTTAAGCTATTGTCTTGGCTGAGACGACCTTCTACCATAGCTTGTCTTCGTGTCTCTAAGCTCTTGATCATACTGTCCTTTTGGCCAAGGGATTGTCGAAGACGGCTTTTCTCTCCGGTAACAGCACGTTTGACGGCTGCGAGTCTTTCTTGAGCCTCAGAACTCCGGCTTGAAACGTCGAGCTGCGTCTGATTTCCTTCTAGAATGGAGTTTATCTGATGCTCCAGGCTTTCTCTAGTGACCAAAGCATCCTGGATACAGTCATCAAAGTTTGCCAACTTCATAAGAGCGTCGTATGATGACGTCTGCTGCCGTTCGTCTCTCGGTGTCTCACTCGTTTGTGGCTGGGTTGACGGAGACCGGTCAAGCGGGGGAGCATCCGTCAGACTTGCGTATATGCCATCAGAAAAATGAAAGATGACGCAGTTCGGAGGGAATGGATGCCGAAAATTTTCCAGATGTTTTCCGATGTACTGCAGCGACTTGAAATTCACTCGAAGCTCCAAGAGCAAGAAGTACTCTGGAAGTTGACTCGTACAAGCCCAGAGCTTGACGGTGGCTTTGTCCAACCGTGAGACCACGGGGCCACATGTATTTAGATCAAAATGTCTAAAGCTAGGATTCATGGCGTTCTCCACGAGCTCACTGATATAAACAGGCTCCGGAATGCCTTCACAGTGCAGTGAGAACCAAGTGTCTGCCATCTTGCTGCTGGCAATCTGTTCCAGCCGAGATTGTCGTATTCCTGGGCTCGCCCCGGCCCATGGTAGCGTACTTCTCCTCCGCCGCATATAAAGCTCTTCTTTGCTATCATTTCTAGTATCACTGGCTGTAGGGTTTAAGCTGGGAGGAGACCGAGGTAGCTTTAGGTCGGTAGTAGATCGCGAGTGATGGACGGTCCGGTTTTCTCGCACCACAAGGGTTCTAGTTGGAGATTGTAGAGTATAGGGAACACTCTGATCGTCTATTGTCATCCCACGTATCCTATTCGATTGAGGACCAGAAACCACGAGATTGCGGACGGCAATGCCTTGAAGGTGTCTCAGCTTGCGGTTCTATGAGAGTTTGCCCCAGCTAGTTAGCATTCCACACTACAAGACCTGAAAGCAGCAGGGGAAAAGAGGTCATCTGGAGAATCCTGTACCGAAGCAAGAAGCCATGGGCCTTGCCGTCTGCTGCCGGCAAAGCCATCGTCGCCTGGCTGCTCATCCATAGTGGTCGACATGCTCGCCTAGTTTTCTGCGGCGCTGCGAACATAAAAGTACCAGGTGTTGCATCATCATTCCCAACGAGGCCCTCAACTTGTCCGCGGAGGCCGAATAACAAGCGAGCTCATCTACTGCCGCTAGCAATAGCGTGCGCCTCGGCAAGCAGCCATATCTGCTTCAATAGCTGCGTCGTGGTTGTTGCGTTGTCGTTGAAGTAGTCGTTGTCGTCGTCGTCGTTGTCGTCGTTGCGGGCGTGGATTCTGTTTGGTCCAGAGTTTGGCGACGTCAAATCAAGAAACTTTTTTTTTCTTGAAGCTCCAAAGCAAAAAAAACTTCAACTTCAACTTCAACGAACAGGCAACGCAACAACCAGCGCCGCCAACAGACACTTTTCACAGCTATAACGGACGATGCTTGATAGATCGGAGTTTTAATTGATGCTCGCTACTCTCTAATACCGAATTTTACCACCGGGACGCTCACAATGGCCTCCGCAACGACGGCCGCGGCCTCAAAGACAGTTCGCCTATTTGACCCTACAACGGCCGTCACAAAGCATGCAGTACGATTCCCAAGGACGCAAGGCAAACAGATTCAGGGAAAAGTTCGGTTTCCCAATTCCCAGGCAGCCAAAAACTTCGGACAGCAGGAGAGCACCAGGTTAAAGAAAGCGCTTCAACACATCACACATGGGAAGAACATATTCGCCTACAGCAACTTCCGCACAAACCAGGTGGTCTACTCGCTTTCACGGTCTTTAGATGTATGGAATCTCCCGTGATCTTTTTATTTGGAGGTATTGTCGAGACGCAGGGGAGAATTTCAGCTAACGCGGTCATGTTTTCTCTCGCTATAGTCACAAAATGTCCTATCACAGCTGGTATACCACGGCAAGAAGACCGTGCCTGCTGGCCTTCGTAAGGACATGTGGGTGCCGTACTTCTCAGTACATTTCCCTACTCCAACACTCGGCCTCGAGGCATACAAGCTTCTACGGGAGTTTTCTCGCCAACGGCAGTTTGAACCACCAGCTCAATTAATCACAAATTCCAAAGAATCATTGGAGAGGAAACGGCCTCAAGGTTTGGACGAAGCTAAAAAATGGGAAAGACAGATGAGCTGCCGAATTGGCCAAATAATGGAGAAGAAAGATCGCGCAAAAGTGTTGATGGACCAGAAAGCCACAAGTGTTGCCGATACTGCTGCCGTCTTGGCAATTCAAGCCCAACGAGAACGACAGAATCGACAGCAGGAGGAGGGAGAGGAGGAAGCATCAACCGAAGATGGAAATCCGAAGGAGAAGAAATTATCCCACAAGGCCAGACGGCGTGTGATACGAGCACAAAAACGACAGCAGGCACATGAAGAACTGGTCCGAAAGCGAATCGAGGAGCTCGAGAAATCCATGTCAACAAAAGGCTTCCAGGCTAAAATTGATGTGGAAGGTGAGCTGGCAGATTACAAGGTTGGAGAGGGGGAAGTCAAACTTCTCTGGACCGATCTGCAGGACGCCCAGTATGCTCGCTCATGGCCGAGTACCGTCCAGCACGGAGAGCTTGAACCGAGTCGGGAACATATCATCAGCCCTTCTCTGAAACTCAACTAAAGCCATCCGTCCTCATCCTTGGAAGAGAATCTTGCCGAAGTTGTCCCCGCAGAGGAGCCAGCCAAGAAGGAATTGAGATTTTGGAAGAGCTAGAACGTCGATAGAAGACGATCTTATCGGTCATCGTTCTACTCAGTTGATGGTCAGGCTGTTATTTTCTTTTATGTACCTTTTGGAAATACTTTTGCTTCCATTTCTGCGCTGGCAACGAGGAAAGAACCTGGAGTACTATAGCCACGGCTGGGATTGCTTTCCAAGGTTTTGTTTCTTCTCCTCCGCGTGTCTTTCTGCCCCTTGATATGCCGTCTGCTGCTACATCTATATGCCTCTATTCACTCATGTATCCCTAGGTCTTAAAATGCCATGTACAATATAAACCCATGTATAGACGTTCTTTCTCGCCTTTGCATGGCAGCTTGACATTTCTTGTTGTCTCGTTTCTCTATTCTCCTTGGTTTCTTGCATTGCATTGCTTACTTGCTCGCTTACCTGTCTCCGAGACTATACTACGGGAATCCATGCAACAAGCATCTTGACGCCTTATACTTACTTACACTTACTGACATCCCCCTTGCCGGCCCTAATCAACGCTGTCACAAAGCTGCCAGGGCCGCCCAGGTTGGAGCGTCGATCTGCAGGCGGGTGCAATCTGAATTTGACAGAGCCAAGAGTCTAATATCAGACATACACGAGCCTCTAGGTTTGAAGCACAGCTGGGGTTCCAGATGTCCAACTCCACCATCCACCTTTTCTTCACTTCTCACTCGCTCGAAGGTGTGTGGGAAAATCGGCATCTCCAGAGAAGAAGAAAACAGACTGGACCCCAAACTTGGGTCTTCACCCTTCTCAGCAATAATGTACCGAAACTGCAGTCAGTCTGGTCGGGATTTGTCAGTCACCTCAGTCTCGGCCGGCTTCGTTGGCATTTGGTCGTTTCAGCCCGTGTCCGCTGCTGCATGCCAGCCAGCACGGCGAGGCGTGCACACTGTATTATTGCTTGGGAATAAGCTGATATTATCATACACGGGTGCTCTATATGCAACTCGATGCAGGATGCGGAAACATGAGCGTGATCGATATACGTACATATCAGCGGCATCGATTGTGGGACCGTCCAAAGGGCCCCGTACACTGCTTGATGCCAACTCTGATCGTGGTGATACACCCTGAACGGTAACCGGACCGAAAAAGAGGCAGGCTTTAGAGAACTCATAACGGGGCTGGGGAGTGTTCAGTGCTCGTATACGGCTAATGGTTCTTTATGCAGGTAGCTTAGTTGCTGATGGCATACATGGTCTTGAGGAACTATGCACTAGAGCGAATATGCATGCATATCTCTCTGCATAGGGAATAGCAAGCCAACTTGGACAGATAGTGATCTTGACCTTGTATCACGTCTCGCGAACTGGCATGGTCTTGAGACATCAGTCCCTCTCCTTGAAGGCACAATAAACGAGCAGATACGCCAAGGAACTTTTTCTCCTTACCGTCCAAGTTTTGGCTCGTTAACGGACAATATATCCTGTTACGTTGAAAATGCGGTTATAACGACCACGATATGATGTGTGGACTAGGTTTCGTGAACGGTTTAAAGGCATTTTTCCCTTACTTTGAGTGTTTCTATTGCCTCCCGCCTGGTAGCAACGAAGATACTTGATGGAAAGACAAAGTTTCGAAAAATCAAGCAAGGCGAGTTCCTCCCCCTGGTCCGAAGGGGGCGGTTCTTGCAAACCCTCAAAATACGTTTGATAAGGACCGGTTTGCGAGCCCACGGTGGCGCTGATATAGCCATAATATGTACGATATTGAACCGTAGGGAACATGGAGGAGGATGGGATATGGAATCCGATAGCAAGAGTACCTGGCCACTGTCACTTATCACCTGATGATACCATTGCTGGTATAGTCGGCATGACGTAGAATGAGAGCCAGATCTGTGCAGGCATTTCTGTAGGCTGATTTAAAACGCGGACCCCCGAGATATGTATATGGAGGGAGCCGAAACGGCGTGGCTTTCTGGCCATGACGGGTGGCTTGCGGGGGTTTAGGCGGCCAGCATCAAGGGGTGTTTGGATTTGGCGAGCCGGCATGCCCTGAAGTGTAATGTGAAAGAGGCCATAGACAGACCATTTGAAGAGAAGGCAAGATGGAAAAAAAGCATGTAGAATTTCTACTCATACATAGGGGAGAAGGAAAAAGAGGAATATGCCCTTTATCTACCAAATGCCCAAGCATGCGCACAGTGCTGTCTTCACCCCAGCTCCATACCCCTGTTCACCGTCGTATGAAAATAAGAAAATTAGGAATGGTAAAATGTTGGGAACAACGAATGGAAATAGGAGGCAATAACACGCAGGATGCAGGTGTCTGATGAGAAATGGGAGGAAGGTGAAGGAGAAAAAGGAGGTATCATCAAGTTCAGCGTCCTCTTATGACAGGAGATACCTCACCACCAAGGCAGTTGCCGGGTAAGTGGACGTATTGGGAACTCGAGAGGCCAAAGACACATGAATCATGGATATGGGAGAGGGACGGCGTAGATGTAGGTATGGAAAGAACAGCCAACTTCAAAGGCCGGGCAGCCTGCAAAGAGTGAAAAGAAAAAAAGGAACACAGTGACAATAAGGAGAAGACGTAAATCTCATGGATGTATGGCATCATGATAAAGCTCGGTTCTATCATCATTATGGGAGTTCGAGGCCCTCCGGTATGAATCTGGAATTTCAACGCAAGGCAGATACATTGCGAATGAGTCTCATGTAACTTGTCATATCAGCGTGAGTGTGGGCTATTCGGGTTTGGTCATCTTGTCTTTGTCGTCGTTACGAAGGGATGATTTCTGTTGTGTCTCATCAGATACTGGCTTTTCAGTGGTATTTTTTTCTTCTTCTATCGAATTTTCGGCATGAGCTTTGCTTTCAGCCTCAGCTGCATTTTTTCTGGCCATCTCGACGATTTTATCAGCTTCGCTCATGGTTCTTCTTGAAGAGTCACTAGCGGTGTTTAGGTCCTTGGAGGAAGTTTGACGGTTTGCTTCCTCCGCTGTGGCCTTCGTGTCAAAGCGGACAATCATGCAGGAGAGATTGTCGGTACTAAAGCGTGAAAGAGCATAGTCGACGAGTATCTTTGAGGCAGCCTGAGGGTCTTTGGTGTTGCGCACCAAGTCCACGGCCTCCTGGTCGGAACAGACATCCCAAAGCTAGGAGAAGTTAGCAAAGAATTCAGAGAAAAATGGGAGTGAGTTACACGTAAGTATCTGGGTATCTTACCCCGTCGCAGGCTAATATTAGAAATTCGTCAGTCTCTGGCTGTATGACTGTTTCGGTGGTGAATGGGTGCCCAGTGACCAGGTCCTTCATGTAGGTATCTCCCAAGGCGCGGGTGACGGCGAGAACGCCATTGACACGATTGTTCAAGATCAGGCCTCCGGCGTTGGTTATTCGTAACCCTTCATTTTCGTCACTACCCTTGTGGTCGTATGACAGGCGTAGTGCCTTGCCGTTACGGCAGAGAATGATCCTAGCGTCACCAACGTTGGCAGTGTATAAGACCCTAGACCGGATGGGCTGGTCGTCCTGTGGGGATACGACAGACGCATCCTCTGAGAGACTCTGCTTCGACCCCTCTATACTGGCACCTTCAGGGTCGTCTGCATTGCCCTTTCTCTTCGTTGATTCAGCAATTGACGCGGCCGGGCTGGGGAGACGGTCTTCCCATCTTAAAACCGCAATGACGGCAGTACAGCCACTATTCTTTAACGGCAGCTGTTCTAGCTGCTGATCTACAGAAGTGAAGGTCTGATCAAGGAGCATGGGCACTGGAGCACTAGGGTTTTTGCGTATGGTGTCTTCAAGAATCAGATGTAGTTTTTTGCCACACCACTCTGCAGCAAATGAGCCAGCATGGCCGTCGAATATGGCAAAGTAGCCATTGTCGGTTTCCACCACCTCGGTGGACGCAGCATCGTCAGCTGGCCCCCCACCTTCGCTCTGCGTTGCGGCATCGGGCTGAGACTGCCGTGCTGGGGCAAGAGGGGCTCCCAGGAAATTGTAGAGATACGCATGGGTGTCCTCCATCGTTCTTCGACATTTCCGATTTCTATCTTCAGTCACTCCGACCTGGAAAGAGGAACGCGAGGTAGGCACCGATTCGCCGGCGGAGTTGTTCAACGAGCCCTGAGGCACGATCAGGGCGGGATCCATCTTCCCGAGAATCTGCAGGGTAGTCAGCGCAGCCTGAGACTGCTGCTGCTGCTGCTGCTGCTGCTGCTGTACCGTAGCCGTAGTGTTCGACGCCGTAGCTGTATCCTTGATCTGGCTCTTGAGGCTAGAGAGGTGCAGAGAATTCTTTGCGCTGGCGAAGAGGGCGGCTGCCTTGTTAACGGAGCTGTTTCGCCGTTTCTTGTCACCGGGCTGGTTCCAACGCTCGCACGCACGCTTGGAAGAGTCTGTCAGCGAGAAATGGCGTTTCTCCCGGCTGGATGAAGGGGTGTTCTCGCTCGTCTTGTGGGCGCTGGCGCTGTCCTCCTGCGAGTTGGACGCGGCTGGGCGTGTGGGCGTGGTTGAGTTGGAAGCTGTCGACGGAGAGGGCCCGGCAGCAAGGGAGGAATCAGCTTTCTTGTCTTTGTTAGGGCTCGAGAAGCCACCGAACATTCTGTTCAGGATCCCGCCCTGGTTTGACAGACTCGCTCGCTTCCGTCCTGCCAGCTTGACTTCGCTGCTGCGGCCGGCCTGGGGGAGAAGCGACTACAGATGACGGACGACGGGCTGCGGTTTCTTCGATCTGAGCCGGCAGCTAAAACGAGCAAGCTACAGCAGCAAGGACGAGTCAGTCAGGACAGCACGAGAGGGAAACGAGCTGGGGGGTAGAAGCATAACTGCTGGCTCTGCTGGCTCTGCTGGCGTTGGCCTTGCCTGCTGGGCTCCAGGACCGCGCATAAGGCGTGCCGCAGATGACGTTGCGGCCCCTCCAGCGGGCGCTGCGCCAGGCCCAGAGGCAGGAAAACAAGGAGACGCGGGCTGAGAGAGACGTACCTGGGGGCTGCTGCGTCTGCGAGTCGTAGCGGGCGAAGAGTAGGAGGTGGCTCTGGTTTACGTGCAGAGCTTGGTTATTATTTCTTACTGTGATGATGGAGTTGGACGTTGTGTGGGAGTTTTTTCTTTGGTGCTTTTTTTGGTCAGACGGAAAGATGGGATTTTTTTCTTTTCTTCTTGCATCTATGAAACTAGCTAAGTGAGCTCACTACTTGATACACTCGGTGCCTGCTCTGCTGCCTAGCGGACGCTGCCACGGCCTGGGAAGACTTTGCAAGGGATTTCACAGAGGACAGAGGGTCGTCTGGCGGATGGTGCAGTTTCTATCTTGAGATGTTGCAGCCAGAAGAAGCTGAGGACTCAGGGCCAAAGAAGAGAAGCAAAAGCCGCAGGATACAAGCTGATGGCTGTGATGAACAGGAATAAGACGGCTGCCTGACGCTGCTCGTGTCTCGTATGGCTACTCTCTGTCTGTCTGTGGCATCGAATGGCTGGATATCAAAACGGACATCAACCGTCTCGCTTCCCCAGACTCAGACTTGATCAGCATTCTAGCCCTTCGACCTAGGCTTTGAGAAGTCGTATTCCTCCTCTTCCCTCTCGCACAGGACATGGATGGGCCGGTGGGAGTCGCTGTGGGCGGCTAATACCCAGAAATTCCCTGTGCCCATGAGATGTTGATTACTATTGCAAATATCCGCGGAGTAGAAGACACCGAGTAGATCGTCCTGGGCCCCCTGGCACGTTACGCCTTTCTGGAAGAACACTAGACCGAAGAATACAATCCATGCCCTGGCTGAAGAGGTCACGCTGTCTCCAGGCTGGTTGGATATACCCCCGAGGGCTTATTTTGGCGATATATCTGGGGGAAGCGAAGAGAGGACGCAAAAGGGAGGAAAGACACCGGGATTCACCCTGGAAGAACACATACTTGTTCACCCTACAGAAAGTCTATGCTAATGACTTGGTTATATATATTTATATACACGCTGCTACGGACACATGAAGGAGAAGAAGCGGTGGCAAAGGGTCCCGAGTACGCCGAAGGATGAGGTGGTGGTCCTCATGGGCCTTCTCGCTTGTTGACTCTCTGTTCGGGCAGGTATCAAAGTCACCACCACTACCAGCCCCGTATAGGCAGATCAGGGGGGAAAAGATGCCATGGGGGGGAGAACTCGTAACATGCACAAGCCCAGGGCAAGGTATTATTCTTAGTACCTGCCTGCATGTCCATGTCTTTTCCCCCTCTGATTCTCTTTTTTTCTTGATTTAGAAATGAAAAAAATTTGAAGTATGCACTCAACACGAGTCACTTTGCAAAAAAAAAGAAGCAGGATCCTTGATGCCAATCAAGTTGGTTAAGCTAGTTTTGTGCTCTGATGGGCTTGTTCCCGTCCGTCGTCCATGTAACTCCGTAACTCCGCTGCTAGAATATATAGATATCTTGCTGTGTGTGCGTGGTATGTCTATTAGTACATTTTCACTTCCGTAGACTGTCCAGTCTGGCTTGCAGGTCTTCGTCATCCGTATTCCCGCCACCGCCAACTGCTTGGGCAACTCGGGCCTCCTTGACTGCCGTGCCCTGTATTCCACTTGGTGTCTCTCCGAGCTGTGGCCAAAAGCGAAAAGGGGGGAAGAGAGTCAGCTGTAAGTCTGGACACAAAAAAATGGAAAACAAGATATGGATAGAGCAAACATACCGCCTGCCCAAGGTCAACACCGATTTCATCCAATACCTCCTTGACGATTTCTTCTCCTTCTTCTTCGTCGTCGAGGCCCGTTGCTTCATCAACAGCATCGTCCATCATCTCCTGCCGCTGGTCCATGATCTCGTTCTCTCGCTCAAACTCCATGGCAATCCGCTGTAGAGCAGGTAGGTTCATCTGCTTGTTCATGCTTCCCAGCAGTATCGTTGCCCCCTTCATCGACTGTGCCATCTGCTCATTGCTTCGAACGGTCTTCATACAAATGGAAAGGAAACAGTCAGCAATCAACCATACATAGCAAATGGCTGGAGCCTAGCCCATCCATACCTGAATCCGTAGTGATATAGCCTGCAACTGTGTCCGCATTGAGTAGAATTTTTGTATGTACCTAGAGCCCAGCTTGTTAGACCTGCATTCCTCTACCAGTCGAGCCGCCCTTTCAAACGAATGTATGGCCGTACCGTCGTGTCCGGACTAGGTCCTTTGCCTGGATCTTACACGCCGCTATCTGCCCATTCTTTGCGCTCTTCTTGATGTCCGCCACCAGCTTCTTCTCCTGGTTCTCGAGCTTCACGCGCTCTCTGTCCAGCTCTCTCTGCGTCCTCTCCAGCGCTCTCTGGTGCTTGCGCAGCCTCTCCGCGGGGGTCATCCGCTTCCCAAACGCCCACTCGATGATCTATTCTCCGGGTATCAGCATGCGATTTTTTTTGACACAGCCGCACTGCACACTCCTTGCCAGACTCACATTCATGGTTCAACCGTCTATCGCTGTCTTCCTGTCTGCGTTATCTCGCCGTCTTTCGTCGTCGTCGCTTCGTCTTCGTCTTCCTACTTTTGACTTTTGGTGACGTCGAACCCGCGCATCATCGTTTCTCCGCTGCCGAGGCTCTTTTTATTTTTTATTCTTTTTCACTTCTTTTATCACGCCACGAAAGAGAAAAAACTAGAGACGTGAAGTCAAGCAGCGACAGGAAGACGAGACTGATGAATTCGGAGTGAAGGGACGGTTTGAATGCGGTGGCAGACAGTTGATGCCGGATACACACCTTCGCGATGAGCAGCAAGGACTACTTTTCCCAGAACGGGGGCTTTTCCGCCGGCGAGGGATCCTCACGATCAATCGAACGGCAGTCGCCCATCCCTGATGATGAACGACCACCGAGCCAGGTCCCCGGATATATGATTGTTGGATCAGGTCCTGCCTCCGGGAACGCGACGTCGTTGATGTCGACCTTGCACCAGGACTCCGGATACGGTGGAAGCGTTATTGATGGCAGCTCGGACATTGGCTCGGAGTCCTGGCAGGCCGGCTTGATGGAGGACCGCCCTACGCCATCACATACACCCGTTGGACCAGGCTACATGAGCCATGCAGGTGTGTTTCCGCTGTTCTTCTACCAGTTTTCACTCTATTTCATTTGCTAAGAAGGCTGTTTGCAGCGCAACACGAAAGACAAGTTATTGCGAACCATGTCCATCAACTCGTATAGTATGATTTTTGGCCCATCCCCCTCATACTTACAGGCGCCTATGTAGCCGCATACTGATATCTACTAGTAACTCCAACCGAACGAAACTCGGTCGATCCGTTACCAGGGCTATCGAACTGCTGAAGGAGCTCCAGGAAATGAACCGCCAGTGGCCGGCGCATTACCCCTCTATTCAGAACACAGACGCACCGCCACAGAACAGGCATATTCTTTCGCGAACACGGTCGTACGAAGAAAGCAGAGAAGAGGGAACTGATGCTGATCCACGACCCGGCGCAATCAAACGTACCGCCACCTCCATCAGCCAGGCTGCTGAGTCGAGCAGGGACGCAGATACCAGGGTACAGGCTGAACCAAGGCTCGTAACACCACAGATTGCGCGGGAATTCTCCATCTTGAAGCTGGATTTGAAACTGGGCGCTTTATCGCCCGCTGAGCTTGTTCATTCCTTGGAAAAGAATTCGATAGCCTCTCTCCTTGATGGGAAAGTCAGCCAGAGCATAAAGCACTTACTAGCCTTGCGAGGGAGAATAGAGGATACGTCCAGCAAAGTTCTCATCACCGGTGACCTTAATGCAGGAAAATCGACTTTCTGCAATGCTCTGTTACGTCGAAAGATTCTTCCTGAAGATCAGCAGCCCTGCACTAGCATTTTCTGTGAGGTACTTGATTCCAGGGAGAATGGAGGAGTGGAGGAGGTACATGCCATTCCAAAGGACAAGCAGTATAACCGAAACGACGAGAGCACCTATGATGTGTACTCTCTCACCGATCTCGAGTCCATCGTTGTGGATAACAGCAAATACATGCAGTGCAAGGTGTACGTCAAAGATGTCCGGACAATTGACGAATCTTTGCTCAACAACGGAGTCGTCGATATTGCCTTGATCGATGCTCCGGGTCTCAATTCTGATTCGGTCAAAACTACCGCGGTCTTCGCTCGACAGGAAGAAATTGATGTTGTCGTATTCGTTCTTTCAGCAGCGAATCATTTCACCCTCTCGTCGAGTGAGTTCATCAGGAACGCTGCTCACGAAAAGGCCTATATTTTCATCGTCGTCAACGGGTTTGATAATATCAGAGACACCGCTCGATGCCAGAAGACTATTCTGAATCAAGTGGCTGCCCTTAGCCCGCACACCTACAAGGAATCCGCGGAACTTGTGCACTTCGTTTCCAGCAATGCCATCCCTGTTGCGCCTATCGGTGGAGGTGGAGGAGATGGAGGAGATGATGATGATATTGACGACGACTCGAAGGGCAAAGGCAAAGGAAAAGAAAAGGCAAAGGAGAAGCTTCGGGACTTTGAGAACCTGGAAGGTGCTTTACGGCGGTTTGTCTTGGAAAAGCGATCTCGGTCCAAGCTTGCTCCAGCCAGAACATACCTGCTCAATATACTCTCCGATCTCAACGTGCTTGCGTCAGTCAATCGCGATGTCGCCTCGTCTGAACTCGAGCGCGTGTCTGCAGAGCTCAGTAAACTTAAACCTGCTTTCGAGAAGAGCAAAACACAACGATCAGAGATCTCCGAACAGCTGGAGCGCTCTATTACTGAATCATCCAATGACGTATACAACTATACCCGTACATCTCTTGCAGAAAAGATATCGACAGTTGCGCAGTCGGATCTGGGCGTAGATTATCCAGGCTTGTTTTCGGTCTTCCAGTATGCAGAGGATGTCAAATTGGCAATGCTTGACCAAATCACTGCCTGCGTTTATAAGTGTGAGGACTATTCCCGCAAGAGATGCGTGGAGGGTGTCAACATGATTCAGAGCCTTGGGTTACTTCATGTGGGCGAAAATAAGTTCCCCAATCTGAACTTCCGCTCCGAAATTATGTTCAGACAGCACCGTCACGAACTAGCACGACAAATACATACGGAACTTGATATGTGGGATTTCATTGATCTCCCTGGTTTCTGGGAACGACAGGAGAAGGTCGCTGGCACTGGCATGGCTATGACTGTTCTAGGTGTACTTGGAGGCAGGGCGCTGGGTGGAATTGGCTGGCTTGATGGTGTAATGGGAGCCGCCCGAATACTCGGTCCAAACACTATGCGCAAGCTCTTAGTTCCTGGCCTTTTGGGAGCAAGTAAGTTCTCTTTACCTTTGTATCTATATTCACAATTCACTAACATGCCTCCCTCTCTAGCAATCCTGGCCGGTGCATACGTTTTGTCGCAAGTTCCAACCTCTCTGCCATCGAGTTTGTCTCGTAAGATAGCTGTGACACTCGCAGAGATGGACTATATCCATTCCAACGCTACCCGTATATCAGGAGAAGTCGGACGAGTACTTCGTGTTCCTGCTACTAGATTGCAGTCAACACTACAAATAGCCACCGAAGAGCTTTTTAGGAGAAAGGAAGAGGTCGAGAAAATCAAGGCAGAAAGTGAAGTTGCACGGAAATACTTCTCCAACCTCTTCCGTGAGAGCACTGAACATAGGAGAACTGTGGAACAAATTGATCTTGATGCACAGGCTCCTCTAGCTGCCGCGTAAGAAGCCTATGTGTCTCTTCCATCCACCAATTTTCCATTCTTGTATAGTACTTGGTCTCGTTCCTCTCCCTCCGACTTTACGCAGCATCCCCTGCCCCTCTCCTTTCCTCGCCTTTGCTTTCCTTTTCATTTCCCCCTTACTCAACTTTTTTCCCACATACCCCAGGCTCAGTTTTGTTCATGATTTTATGATTGGCTTTCACATTTCTATGGAGTGATGCTGGCGTCTTGGGATAAACAGGAATCAACATAACCCCGAGGCCCCCGTACATTTCATGCCTTGTAATATTTCTGCTTCACATACCCTTTTCCTTTCGTCTAGTTAGTTGCCCCAGTGGCCTTTTCCCTTTTGAATAGCTTTAGATTAAATAAATTGCAATGAATCAATTGTATTCCATGCTCCTTTCCAGTTGCCTGTTCTTCATAATTTCTCGACTACTAACCCTTGTAACTACCGCAGACTACCAATTCTCAGGCAATTAGAGTATGTATATTGGAAACTCGCTGTATTTTGCATGCAAGACAAATGGCACCGCACAAATTCCATAACTATGGAAAGAAGCATGATAAAATCAGGACTATGAAGGTGCGATGGACATCAATTCTATCCAACTCCTGTTAATTCTACCAGCCCTCTGACTTACGAGATCTCGTTATTCGCCCACCTCGACTGTCCTGTAGTTTGCCGATAACTAATTTCCGACCTATCCGTGAACCGCCAGGCCCAGTTCCTTCGCCAGCCTCGTCATCCCTCTGACTCTGATTACTGATCATCTCGCGCATTGCTACAGCGTCCGGATCATCATACTCAAGTTGCGTTAGGGGTAGGGGCTCATCTTCGCCAACGGCTTTCTCCGCAAATTCTCCATTGGCAGAGTTGCTTTGAAACAGGGCAAGCCTTCGCTGTAACATTTGCTGTGCTTCCATCTGTTCAGGGTGAGCAACATCGCCTTTTTGAGGGCCCAGTGAGGCGCAGCTTGGTGCTTTTGTCGAAGGGCTGTCTAGCCCATCAATTATACTGCCATAACCGTCTTCGTTCAGTGTGTCTATTGAGCTTGCTCGAGATATACCCCGTTGCGCATCCGCCGTTGTTAGGGTGGAACAGGACGAGCTCGCTCTACCTAATAGCTTTCGTCGCCTTTGGGGGCGAACAGGGACCTCTGCCTCAGCGGTAGAGTTTTGGCTGCGTAATCTTTTCTGCTTTAGAAGTTCACTGATTGCGGTATTGAGAGAAATTTTCGTCTCGGAGTTAGCCTTTGGGTTGGGTACTGAATCGTCCGGCGCAAAAGGTGCAGGAGGGGCTGATTGAATTAGCTGGCTAGTTCCTTTTTGGGGAGATGGAGAGCGGGAAGGCTTTGGTGGGAGGTTTGTGGGAACTTCTTTAAGCGGAGCTGTAAGCTGGGTTTCCATAGTGTCTGCTTCGCGTTCCTTGTTGTCTTTATCCCTGTTTTGCAACGCATCAGGGGATTCCTGGTCTATGGAGTAGTGGCCCAGAGGGGCAGTTTGCTCTCCGTGACGGCGTGGCGTTAACCCATGTCCCTTTTGAGAATTTGAACGCTTATCGGGAATCAAGTATGGCTGGTATGGCTTCTTTTCTCCTGTTTGAACAGATATCCATAACCAATCCGCAATCACAGGAGGTATATTCCATTCAAACACATGCCTCAGCTTCTCCGGGCTGGGAGTTGAAGTGTTACAGATGAGTACCGAAGCGTTAGCAGTTAGATATTCATCATATGTCGCTCCTGACTACGGTTAGCACTAGACATTGTTATATAATTTGCAGATACGGCCCTACCTAGAAGATTAATGAGTTTACTAAGATGGAGCAAATCAATCCCAGAAAACCCAGTTGAACATATTTTCATGCCCTGGAATGCTGCAAAAAGTTACTAAAGTGTCCATTTTGAAAATGTAAATTGTAGAAAACTAACCTGGAATTGGAAATTTTGGAAAAGGAGTGCTTGTTATATGAGCTTCCGGGGCAACAAAAGCTTGGTTACGTAGGCATCGCTCAACCCACATATCCGTAACAATTTCAAGTTCGTCCAAGTCATCGTCAATCCCTGGGATCTCTCGCCGGGGCAAACTATACGGGACAAGCACGAATAGTTGATTGTCATGCTTTAGTAAGTCATCCAATGATGGTGAAATACGAGCATCTTGCGCTGTAAGATGAATTTCCAGTATCTGTGTCTGATAGCAGGTCAGCTTTGAAGGGCCCGAGGACAGTTATTAGAGAGATTGACTGCCATAGATGACTGCTTACCTGCTCGGCTGTAAAACCGGTTATAAAAAACCTACAATTATCCCAAAACCCCTTTGATGGTGTTTTTTCAGGTTCGGCAGTTGGTGATGGTTTAATCTCATGAGATACACTACCATACCGGTCAGGGAATGTGGTTTCGCTTGCAAAAGATTTGGTATCTAGCAAATTCGAGCGTGAATCTGCTGTTAACTGCTGACTCCCGTCATACTGAGAATTATCATTGTTCTCGGCAGCTGTAGAATGGTTTGGTACAAGGGCAGACCATATACCCTCAGTCTGGTCCCCTAGTTTCATACTCGCAACCTTACGTAGCTTTCGAGTACGCGGAGGAAGAATGTCCTGGTGCTTCACTATTCTCTTGACAACAGTAGGCATAGCTCGATTCCACGCCCCAACCCCTTGCTCTTCTAATGAAAGTTGAGGATCGTACAGAGTTTCATCGAGCGCCATGGTGCGCTTAATGCTATCCTCAAGCCATTTGAGGCTTACAACTTTTACCCCCCATTGAATGGCAAACTTGTACTTGTTGCCTTCGCATGTACGTGCGACTAGGTGGGTGACAGCCTTCGTCAAGTCTCTCCGAAATTCACCCCCATTTGCACTGACGGTTTTCTCGAGGTGACTCCTAAAGCCCGCTTCCAACAATCAGTCATGCCCCTGAAGCAGTTATTCCCAGTTTCAAGTAATACGTACTGTCCTCAAACCCAGTGATACAAATTGAGAGTCCGAAGAAGGTGGGAAGTCTGTATTCAGTCTCCAGTGCATGAATATCCGTGTCACCGCCCTGGATCCATGACGACCGAACAGCCTCTACCCATTCAGCTCGAAGGACTTTGACGTCTGTTCGCATTTTGGCCACATATTTATATTTAGGGGTGTTTATGTCGCCAACTATCAGATGAGTGACCTCAGATGTCAGGTCAAACTTGTGAATTGCGCCCATCTGACAGGCAACATCGGTCAATTGCGACTGCATACAAGTCAGTAACGTTATTATTAACACATAAGGAGACGATGCCCGGTACTTACTCGATGTTCTGCGAGGATAGAAGTGCAGCAAAGAATCACCCCAGTAAGAGGCAGCTCCTTGGCTTCACGGTGTTAGTCTTCAATGAAGCTTTCGAGGGGTTGAATATCCAGTCTGTCTTACCGAGTTCTGCATCTTGGGCCATTCTTCATCCTCAGGGCCCCTTATAATCATCCTCTGCCACAGCTATCGAGGCCCCGGAGAGTCGAAAAACGCAGATATCCCTGAAATCCAGCAAGTCGGCCTCTCACTTTGGTATCTTTCAAGAATGCGAGAAAACGCGAACATGATGAAATAGAGTTAAACATTAACTAGTTAAAGATTAGATAATCATAAACTGTTTAGTTATCTTATCATCACGTGAAGCGACGCGCTCGCGACTTTCAAATTCTCCAAATTGGGGAAAAGAAAAAAAGACGAAATTGCAAGTCCAACTCAGATTCTAATACAAAACAACACGACATTGCAGATGATTCTATGGATTTTCTGTGCTGATTCTCTTTTTGGATACCTTGCTGCTCCGGGTTGATACCTAGCGGCCACAATTTTACGTTAATTTGATTTACATGCTTCGTTCTTTGCAGAGGCCGCGGACGCTCACCCCCCTTATTATACATTTGACCCTAGATCTCCCACGCAGGCCCGCGGGACTCTCAACGTACGCCCAGCCGTTGCAGCCGGAAATGTTTACCAGGGCGGTTCAAGAGCATCCCGAGAAGCAGAAGAAGCAGAATGCATTGCAGCCAAACCGTGGCAGGCTAAATGCTACAGTGCAGTCACATAGCCTGCAATCAAATTCACAGCGCAAGGCTGATTTTACATCGGAGCTCAGCAGAAGCGCCCTAGAAGATCTTCATGATGCAGTATACTTTGGCGAAAACGATTCCGAAAATGAAGAATTCCTTGAGATGGCATACCAAGCGTCCCAGGACACTCAATCGAAAACCATATCTCACAGTTCTTCCTTTGCAGACGCAAATCCACGGAAAAACAACAGCAGCGCTCCCACTGAAGTTATACCTTCAAGCAGCTTTCCAATACCTTGGTCTTCTTCTCCCCCGCGTGAGCCGGAACTTGCCAAGCCACTGCAGCAGCAACCGAAGAAGCGAACGCTACCTTGGGAAGATATCACGCAGGATAACAGAGGGAAATCTGGGCCTTATCCAGACTATTTAATTACCAATAGAAATACGTCCTTTAAGAAGCCCATGCTGAACGGTTACGGTGTTCCACCAGCGCCACAACCAGCACCTCTTAAGAATCAAACTGTCAAAGAAGAACAAATACCCATTAAAAAGGAGAAATACATGCCGTGGGATAAGACATTTAGTGCTGTCAAGGAAGAACAAAAGGAGCTGAGGAAACAGATGAAAATCAAGTCACTGACCGCATCAGAGAAGAGGCTTAATAACGCTCAAAGACCCTCCAATACCCGAGTTCCCTCTATATTTTTCAGCGAAGAACAGAACCAGGTTATTGAGACAATCGTGAAAAAGGGGAAAAGTGTTTTCTACACTGGTTCTGCAGGGACGGGTAAATCTGTGCTTATGCGGGAAATCATAAGACAATTGCGGCTGAAATATCGGCGGGACTCCGATGCCGTTGCCGTGACTGCATCAACAGGATTGGCGGCTTGTAATATTGAGGGAGTAACACTGCACAGCTTTGCTGGCGTTGGACTAGGGAAGGAGTCAACTCAGGAGCTTGTCAAAAAGGTTTGTTATCAGCCAACCTAAGTCTGATCGCTGGTTAACTGTGTTGCAGGTAAAACGTAACCAAAAGGCCAAGAATCGTTGGCTAAAAACTAAGGTACTCATTATTGACGAAATATCAATGGTCGACGGAGACTTCTTTGACAAGCTGGAGGAACTAGCCCGTAAAATCCGAAACAACGGAAGGCCCTTTGGTGGCATCCAACTTGTTACTACTGGCGATTTTTTCCAGCTCCCACCAGTTCCCGAAGGCGGGAAAGAAGCAAAGTTTGCTTTTGCCGCAGGAACGTGGAATACGTCAATTCAGCACACGATTCTCTTAACGCAAGTGTTCAGACAAAAAGATCCCGATTTTGCCAATATGTTGAACGAAATGCGGCTTGGACGTCTAAGCCCTTCGGCTATTCAAGCATTCAAAGATCTCTCACGACCCTTAAACTGTGGTGATAATATCGAGGCAACGGAACTGTAAGTTGTTAAAATAAACCCACCTCGCGGGTCTATTTTTCAGAAGCTAATAGTGACATTTTCAGGTTTCCTACGAGGGCGGAAGTGGATCTAGCTAACTCTGAGAGAATGAATCGCCTCTCAGGCTCTGTCATGACATTCCACGCAGCAGATTCAGGGGCAATCAAAGATGAACAATTCCGTGCCAAGTTGCTGAGCAATTGCATGGCACCCCCTACAATTCACCTCAAAAAGGGGGCCCAGGTGATGCTTATCAAGAACAAGGACGAAACTCTTGTGAATGGGTCTTTAGGCACAGTCATTGCATTTATGGATGAAGCCGGCTTTGATAATCACATCAAAGAAGGTCTGAGATATGAAAATGGCAACTTTGACTTCGATGGCGAGCCGGACCATGCAAGGCAGAAAATTAAAAGTATGGCTTTGGACCAAAAACCCAAAACTGGTGGTATTAATACAGCCGCACAATACCCCTTGGTTGCCTTTATATTACCAGATGGTTCGGAGAGGCAGCTTTTATGTATGCCTGAAGCCTGGAAAATTGAACTCCCCAATGGCGAGGTTCAGGCTCAAAGACTTCAAATTCCGCTTATCCTTGCATGGGCATTATCAATACATAAAGCCCAGGGACAAACGTTGCAACGTGTCAAAGTCGATCTCGGAAGAGTATTTGAAAGGGGTCAAGCTTATGTTGCCCTCAGTCGAGCAACGTCCAAAAACGGACTACAAGTATCCCGCTTTGATCCTAAGAAGGTCATGGTACACCCGAAAGTGACAGAGTTTTATCAGAACCTGTCAAGTATCAACGATATCAATAACGGAAACAAGCCCAAGGTGATTGCAGATGGGAACAACTCGGATGCAGATGACGATTTCGACTCAATAGCTCAGTACGTTTAGTACGGCATGTATACTAGCTTTCTACCCTACTATGTCTCTAGGCCAGATATGACTTTAATGATAGGATTATCTAGATGAACCTGATATGCTTACTAGTTATTTCACACTGACTGATCATTTGTGCGGAAAATAGATACAAAAGAAACCCCGACATAAATTGGTGAATATATATACAAAGGAAAGTTTATATAGCATTAATTATCGCAAATAAATTGTTCCTGCCATTTACCTTCTGAATGGATGCTCATGGGAAGGGAGGTATTCTTTCGGATAAGTCCTTGGGAGCGGCTGGTCTATATATGACCGCCTCCGATTGCCATCAAGTCGCTTCATTCGATCATATTTCTCATACGTATCTAGAACGCGCTGAGGGGTGTATCCTTCAAGCTGGGCAGTCTGTCCCGGGTCCGGGCTATCCCTGGCCAAACTCTCTGCAAGCAAGCGAGCCTCGACTTCTCTCTCAATTGATAGCTGCTGGCTGTCCAAGTACCGTTGGTGGGCCCGCTCTTTCTCACGTAGTTCCAAGTCCCAGGCAGTTTCAAAGGAAGAACTGTGAGTGGGACGCGGGCCACGGTTATGTGTTCGTAGATCTCGTTCGCGAGGATATAAGGTATGGCGTCGGGAGGGATAAGAAACCGTCTCAGACCTAACTAGTTTCCCAGGACGGTTATGGGTGCTACTGGATGGTAGAATTTCGATAGACTCTGAAAGGTATTGAGGTCCTCGGGAACTAGGCAGCTCAGTGAGGTAAGAAGTCCTTTCAGACGGGCGAACGTGAGTGCGGTACCCTAGAGAGTAACGTTGCTTCCCGTAGCCGCTACGCTCACTGCTTTTGCTCTTCTCGCGGCTATAGTTCTTATTCGAGCGACGGTGACGGACTTCATCATCAGGAGGATAATCACAGTTATCATATTCTCCAAACGAGAAAGAATCGTCTGTGACGGAACTTGCGTTTTCTGGGTCAAACAGATATGAATCGTAGTCTGAAGGATCACTCTCTTCTTCCAGCCAGTTTTCTACCATCTCCTGCTTTCTTCTGTCTTTCTCTGAGTTGACAATCTTCGGAGGGAGTTTTTTCTGCTTGCGCTGCTTTTGCTTCGGTTCTTGGATGCCCACCAGTGGCTCTTCCTGTCTAACATGACCCTGGCCACGATGCTGGTAACCCCGATTCATAGCTTGTATATCTGGTATATCATCGGGTCTTTGTTGAGAGCGTTGACGCTGAGATTTCTTGGGTCCCTGATTCGCCACTCTAGCATCATTATATGCTTCTTCATGCCCTGAGTGATGCTGGTGTGGGTTGAAAGGCCCTTGGTTATGAGCTTGAGTGCCTTGTGGCCGTTCCCTAAGTCCAGTATGATGCTGATTTGACGGCATAGGACCTTGGTTTGATCCTTGCGGAGGGAGCTGGTGATACTGGGAGCCTGGATGGTCATTCTGTAGAGCTGGTAAGAGACGAGGTTGCGATTGGTGCGGTCCAATCGGGGGTGGTGGAATCTGTATCATTTCAGGGAGCATCTTTTGGCCTTGTTGATGCTGGCCAGGAGCAACCTGTAGCATCTCCGGCTGCATTAATTGCTGTGGATAATGGGGATCAGGCCGGAACTCGTCAGGGGGGGACCCTCGCCCATGATCAGGGGGAAAACCCCTTTGGAGTGGCATTTCTCCCATCATCCGAGGGTCAAAGTTTGGTGGAGGGGCGTGGTTAACACGATTCTTGCCTTGTAATAACATAGAATCGTGGGAGTTAATCTGATTAAATAACTGCTGCCCGTGATGAGGATGAGGATGTCCCCGAGGATGCGAATTGCGGGTGTCCTTGTGGGTGTTCTTGTGGGTGTCCTTGCGGGTGATAAGGCGGCGGCGGTGGTGGTGGTGGAGGAGGAGGAGCAGGAGGAGGATGTTGCTGTTGGTGGTATGGAGGCCTGTTCTGCGGAGGAATTGGAAAGTTATGCTGGGGGTTCGCTGGTGCGGAGTTCTGGGGATTTGGACGTTGTTGGGCATCTGAAAGATTTACTCCAAGACCGGATCGATGAAAGGACGGAAGGAGTGGATCAGCAAACTCCTCGCGCGCCGTGTTCTTATGATGTTTAACAGTATTTCTAGCTTTCTTCTCCTTTAAGATTTGTGCAGCACGACGGGCTCTAAGGATTTCTGGCTTTAGCTGCCTGCAAAGAACAATGGATATTGATATCGTTAAAGCCTTCTTGGGACCGAAAGTAGCCCGCACATCTCGGGTGGCAGAGTTTATATAAACACAAATCCAGTCGTAGTTTGGATCCTTGCAGACTTGCTTCCTCTGCTCGATCAGGTTATCGATGTGTTGACGTTTGACCAGAGTCAGTTCGTTATATGCTTCCGTGACGGACTGGCGCTTTTGTTTATGAATCAGGTCGATTAATTCAGCTTGTGGAAGAGGCATTTTGCAGATGGCTGCCGTCGCCCAGGTTCTCTCACCACCAGGCGTTTTCGGTTCTCCACGGTATAGTGTCCATCCTTCGTATGTGCTCTCATTAAGCTGGCTGCCCCGGGGAAGACTGTTATCAAGATTTATCTTGTTGAAGTGGTTGTCAAGATCTTCAAAATCGTCAAGGTCTGGGGTATCCGGGAAATTGCCAGGCATTGGCATATCTTCCAAGCTCTGACGTGGAGAGCTATGGCTTCCATAATGCATGTTGCGATGCATTTTCGTGGTAAAACCAGAGAGGTGTATCAGACTATTGGTCCAGTTAAACCCATTAGCTATTAAACACACTACATGGGCCAAAAGTAACGTGCAACGTAAAAAATACCTTACAGATGTCTTAATATCACCCTACTATGTTATTGTGATGAAGGGAAGCTGGTATTGGGGCGTTCATGAGCGAGCCAGGCAGCAACAAGCCCCGAGCGTAGTTCAACAACCTGATAGTTACGCCTTTGAAACAATATTGAGCCAGTGATCGATGTTTGGAGTGGGTATCAAGAGATCGAGGCGTAATAGGCCTGATGCAAGCTGATATTTATCTTGAACAAGAGACGTGAATTTACTTGAGAACGAATGCCGCCTCTCTACTCTCTGCGCCTCTTCTCTCGCTTTAGTTTTTCGGGGCTCCTTCACACCCTCAACGTCCATGCAAGCGCAAGGCTTCCAAAAGCCAAAAGAGCCGAGAGTTGGGGGATCGCGCCAGACGAGGGAAACGGCAAGCAGGAACAGAAGAAAGCGCTCAACTCGAATGTTGGTGAGAGGGAAGGCAGCAAGATCTGGTGTAATACTCAGTACTAGCTTTACGAGGAGACGCTTCCTCCTCCCGAAGCGCCCACGCTCTACATGCTTGGTTGGTCTCCAAGGATGTGTTGATATTAATAGTAATTGGTTGGATCATGGATGCACTGTTTGTTTGTAAGCATGTTTTGTCCACTAGGAGGCCGTCCTCTGCGGGCATCTGATCACAACAGTAGTGGATCGTCTATCGCCGACTATTCGCACCGCTCAGCCATGAGTCAAGGGAGAGACTTTGAAACCAGGAGATGCACGGTCAGCAACCTTCTAAAAATGAGCCGTTCCCTTTCAATTGGCTAATTAGCCCTTGTTACGTTACTGAGTAGCCCTTGTATGTTGGTAGGGAAGCTGGCTGAGCCTCAAGGCTGAGTGGCTGGCAGCCAGGGATGGGTTTATCCTTGCTCGGCTGAGTGGCTCGTTCGTGATAATAAATACCTACATATGCAGATGCCTATCGGTTGGTTCATACTTACGCGGCTCTAAGGCAGACAGTTTCTCAAATCCGGCGTTTGAGGACGCAATGTAACCAGAGCTCTCTGCAAGGCATCCAGATTCCAGATCCGTCAAAATTGCCCGGCCGGCGCCCTGCATCGTTAAAAACCTTAACCTTGCTAGGCAGCCAGTCCAGAGCCAGGGATGAAGTTTTCAAGGCGAACGTATTTCCACGGGCGCAGAGTGTGCCCTCCCCGATTGCAGTTTTGTTTATGCAATGAATGGTTACTCACATACACAGCTTCCCCGGCTGGTGGTTGGTAACTCGTGCGATGGAACCTTGAGGTAGACCATTAGGATATATAGAAGATATACCTCCATCCATGGACATCCATGGCCGGGATGATAGTAATGACGGAAAATACTTTATCCGATAAGGTTGATTCAATATCACGTGCTAATAATATGGCCCGAGCTTTCCAAGTGGGTCTTGAATTGCTTTTTCAGACGGCTGACCAATGATATGCTTTAAAATCCGTCCCCTGGAAATTTTATATTGACGTTGGTGACTTTTGGATGATGTAATCATTTTGGTTGCTCTCTCACTTCCTCTTCTATTCACTTCGCCTTTTTTTATTCACTCTGCCTTTACTTCGTTTCTTATAAACGATATAATAATTTTAATTTCAATATGTTGGGATATTCCACTTTGGCTACGACTCACACACATCACCCAAGGTATCCTTGGAGCATTAGACCTTTTTGACCCTTGTGGTCCAATACAATATCAAATTATTCAAGCTCTCTCACTTGATCGATTTCATTAGCTCCACTGTGGCCCTTCAGCCCCTTAGACAGTGATACCCGCAGCGCCAAGTTCCACGATGACAACTGCAGAGATGGGGAGGCCCCAAAAGCCGATGTCTGCTGTAGCTTACGCCGGGCCCCTTCTTACTCCAGCAACCTCTACCAGCACTTCATCCCCACCCAGTTTGAGGAAACGATAAAATGAAGGCTCTTCCGAAGACGACAGACCCCCGTTTCTTGGGAATAATTAAATCTACAATGAGGACTACAGATGCGGTGGTCCATCCCTTGTTAGGCTGCCTGCCCAAAACAAATACCTTTCGAAGGATGATTGATTTCTTCTTGCGTACAATGAATTGCAAGATACTATCACTCATGTACTTCGTAAATGGAGCATTGACGTGCAGGCTAGAACTCCCCTCCAGAGAGCTCACCAGACGGAAGGCTCAGTTACTTGGGTCAACACCCTCCTTATCTCGGCACGTAAACATGAACTCAACGAGACATGGTTCGGGGCCTGCAAAGAGATCAGACAGATTCTTCTTGACAACAAATTAGACGATATATCTTTTGAAATGGTTGATGAAAGAGCTTCTCAGCGCGTTTTATCATCTCCGGTGTCGCGTACAGACCCATTTTGTTCTATATGGGCAGACCTTCGCCCACGAATTTTGGCCATTCTTGGAGATATGTAATGAACGATGCTGTCGCCGCAGCAACGTGGGGTATCTAGGGTCCATACTCTTATCACGATTGTCATTCTCGTAAGAGAGGATTCTACCTCTGATTGGACGGTGGTCAGGGAAAAGGTCGTGGAGGTCCTAGACAGCATGGGGTTACATCGTGTTGCCGTTGAGATACGTCGTGGGTCTCTTCTACAATTCCACAATCGCCTCCCAGTGGAGGGATTTCTCACCCAGAATGGCCGGAGTTTAGAGCCACGTATGGGTGGAACTATTGGCCCTCACTCCTCAACTTTCTCTTCATCTACCTTTGGGGGTTCCTTGGAAGTACAACGTCCTTCTGAGGGATGGAAGCGCTATGGGTTGACGAATCATCACTGCGTCACTGCACTCAAATCCACTGCAGACTGGGATAAGCACGGAATTATGCCCAGTGATCCAGAAAATAATCTTGCCATTGACTACCCGAGTCTCAACGACCACACTCTTGCTATCAAACACTACGAAGAAAAAATCGCGCAACTCGGAGCTTGAGAGACTTACGTCTCGATAAAGAAACGTATGGACGAAGATGATCCTTCGGTTTTGCGCAACGAGAAGCATGTCTATGAATACGCTCGGACTGAAATCTCACACTGGAGGGGTACATTAGATCATGCTCGGGAGTATTACCTGCGTGATCAGCTGCTTCTTGGAAAGGTATACGCATCTTCCGGATATCGAATGGGCACCAACAAACGCATCTTAGACTGGGCTTCATTGGAAGTGGAAAGCAAGCGTGTCTCCGAGAACAAGTTACCTTCAATCGACGACATTCCTAGGGGTTCCCCTGCGTTATACCTGACTGCAAAAGAGGTTTTAGATGGGCCTGCTGCTCCGCACGAAGAGATGGGGGTCTGCAAGATCGGCCGAAATACTGGGTTTTCGGAAGGGATGCTGGGTGCAATCACCGAGACAGATATCCAATGTTGGTTCCGGGATGCGAATGGTAACTGGGTTAAAAGCCGAGGGCTTGCATTTCTTGTTCACCGAAAGGCTCCTCGACTTACTTTTGGAAAACCAGAAGATTCTGGATCGTTCATCTTCAGCCTCGAAGGCTCGTTTATTGGGCTGTACATGGGGGTGACTTAGAAGCAGGAACTGGATTGTTTATCGAAGCCAGTGACCTGTTTGAGGATATCAAACAAGTTACAGGTGCCTTAGATGTTCGCATTTCGTCATGATAGAGATGTCTGGCAATTTACTTGGCCAGCCAATGGAAAATCTTTAGTTTGTTCTGTGGGTGCGTTTCATTGTAAGTTAGTGAGAATAAACCAATAATACCTCTTACATCCACCAAATAAATAAATAACTAAGTAATGAGATGGTTAGCAAACCAATTAAATCGCAAGTCAAGTTAAACTCCCAGTAATAACAAATTATTATTCGCTTATAGCTAGACAACTTAGCGGAATTAACCAACCAGAGCTTCCAATGCCCAAATTAGTTCTGAGTTATCAGCCTCAAAAGTTCGTTCAAGCTCAAACCGAACTTGAAGCTCGTCAAGTTCATCGCGACCAAAGTTGCATTTAAATATCTAACTGGCAACAGTCGGACTGTCAGAATTAAGACAAAGATGGGGAAAGGTAACTACATCGAGCCACGATTTACCGACTATTTCTGAGTCAACAATAGCTGCTAACCCGAGATTTTAGGCACCGATAAGCTCTATGTACGCGATTTTGGTGCCCGGTTTGCTATTCTTCTCCCTACAACGGATCCAAACTGACGTATAACCCTTACAGATCACTCATTCAGAATGGGCTTCAGAGGATGCATTCTCTGCCAATGTCGGCGCTGGTGCTGCACGACAGAAGACCGGCGGCCCCCACGCGTCTTTTAAACGATTACCGTTCAACTTTTGCTCGTTATCACTCCAGCCCTTTTCTCACCCCGTGTGCACCTCGGATGGAATCATATTCGACCTGACACACATTCTGCCCTGGATTAAAAAGAACGGGACCAACCCTGTGAATGGCGCTCCTATGAAGAACTCGGACCTGATCAAGCTCCATTTCGCAAAGAACGACTCGGATGAATATGTTGACCCTGTCACATATAAAGTGTTCACAGATAACACGCATATAGTCGCGCTTGGGAATACGGGGAATGTCTTTGCCTGGGATACCGTGCAAAAGCTCAACATCAAGCCTAAAATGTGGCGGGACCTGGTAAATGATGAAGAGTTCGGTAGGAAGGATATAATCACATTACAGGATCCGCATAATGTGAATTCCCGAGACCTTAGTACCTTCAAATACCTAAAAGACGGGGAAAGGAATACCACAAGCGGGAAAGACGACCAGAGCATCAACCTTAATGCAATGGGCAGCTCCGCAAAGATCCTGCGAGCGAAAGAGGCCGTGGCTAAGGCGCGGGCCGAGAGAGAGCAAAAGGCAGCATCAGCCAATGCGTTAAGCCAGAAACAAAAAGATGTTTCAGCCGTCAAGAAGAATGCGACCACTAACCAAGGCGGTAAACCTGTGCCATTTAACGCAGCAAGACATACTACCGGTTTAGCCGCTGCGTCCTTTACTAGCACAGGTCTAACACCACATACCGCTGCCGACTTGTCAATAATGTCAGACGAAGAATACATGCTGAAACGTGGGCGAGTAAAGATAAAGGGCTATGCTCGGATAGTTACCAATCTGGGTGATCTTAACATTGAACTACACACGGAACATGCACCAAAAGCCGTGTGGAATTTCATTCAACTAGCTAAAAAGGGTTACTACAAGGGTGTCACTTTTCACCGGAATATCAAAGGCTTTATGATTCAGGGCGGTGATCCAACTGGTACTGGCAGAGGAGGGGAAAGTATCTGGGGCAAAAGTTTCGCAGATGAGGTTATTGGACCCCTTAAGCATGATGCTAGAGGGACTCTGAGCATGGCCAATAAAGGAAAAGATACCAACAGTAGTCAGTTGTAAGTGTATCCTACCCATCTAGAAAACCCCCTTGAGTTTTGTCTACAACTGCTAACATTCAGTAGTTTTTTCGCGTATCGTGCGGTCCCCCATCTGAACGGGAAACACACTATCTTCGGCCATCTGATTGACGACCCTTCTCCGTCTTCACCGACTCTAGATGCAATGGAAGTGGCTCCTGTGGACTCTAGCACAAATAGACCTACTCCCGCCATTACCATCCATGATGTGGTGGTATTTGTGGATCCTTTTGAAGAATTCCTGAATAAGAAACGGGAAGAGGAAAATGCTCAGCAATCAGTCTCTGGAGCTGGTGGCGATATTAAAGATAAAGGGGACGATGACCATGTTACATGGACTGGCAAAAGATTACGTGGATATGGCTCAAATGAGAGTGTTGGTGCTTCTGGGAATGCGTCTGGGGTCGGCAAATATCTGAAGTCAGCAGCTGCAGCCTCAAGGGGAAATGAGGATGAGATCGTTGAATTTGTTGACGAAGATGAACCCGAGTCAGAACATGCACGTAAGAAAGTCAAGAACTCGGGGCGCGGAGGCTTCGGGAATTTCGATTCATGGTGATACCAAAGTGCCTCATATTCACCTATCGAATTCTACCCAGGTTTCATAATGACCTTTCAAGACTGCAGCTTCAGACATCTCATTCTTGGACCTATAATACCACAGATGATTCGATTTTGGATTGTGGGAATGTGACTTACCAACTCGCATTAGCCACACTTTTTATCTCCAAGGTTGCGCAGCATGGTACCTAACCGTGCATCTTTCAGTTCATAAAATTATCCCACTATCGTGAATTCAGTCTTGGTGGCCTCTTCATCTCCGAAGCATGGTCGACCCATTGCCCCTGGAACCAAGGTAGCCTCTGCAACTCAGCCATATCCATACGGTCAGCCACGTCTCTGGCTAGCAAATGCCTTAGCGCATCCACACAATCCTGTGATAGCCGTTCGTCAATTGGCAACTCCTCATTCATTATTCGCAACCTCCTGTCGTAGAGGTAGAGGAATTTCTCTTCGTCGTGGTCATGCCACGCATACAGTGTTTTAATGTCCCCATTATTTGCTTGAGGCTCCGGTGTTTCCCACGGAGAATACCCATGAAGCAGGTCATACACCAGGACTCCAAATTTCCAAAGGTATTGTACCCGCCTGTCGTGGCTTAAGGGTATATGTCGTTCCGAAAGGGTGTCGATAGGGCGACGGAGATCATCCGTCGCAAGTTGAAGTGCTATTTCTGGGTTAACAAAGTATTCGAACGCTTCGATGTAGCCATAACCTTCCGTCTCCCATCCGTTGTTTTCAGACACGTATACAGCCCCGAAGTCAATAAGTTGGGTCTGTGTCTAGAGTGTTAGCACGGTATTCAAAAATGTTTGAGGATATGTCAACGAGGTGAAACATACATTGAGATTTTTGTCCACCAAGTAATTTCGATGGCTTAAGTCTCCATGCAACATCTTCATGTCCATAAGGTAAACAAGTGCTTCAAGGATATTAGAAGCAATTTTGCAAGCCTGGACCTCAGTGACCCTCGTCTGTTTCAAACGTGTAAGCTGTTCTCCATTATACCCAGGGAAATGTTGCGTTGGGATAGTCCTTGGCTGAAGTAACAGCGTCTCTCGCAAAGGGTTATCATCCAAGCTGTCAGCAGACATGACTATGGACGCATACTCCTTATGAATATACACAGAATCAATCTTTGGGAATCTCTTGCATTCTGTGAGGAGCTCTAGAACAACTGCTTCCACCGGTAAAAATCGTTGTTCCCCTGTGAAAACTTCTCGGTATTCACACGTTTGAGCCCTAGCAAACCCATGTATCGCCAATGGGCATTGCAGCTCCATTTTGACAGCGAATTGGCGTGGCGGCTTGGGTGCGTATGCCCTTGCCCTCGGATCACTAGGCTCTATCAACGCAGCCATGCTAGATCTGCGGTATTCATAGTAGTCCCAGTCAGTGCCCCTGGCGAATCTAAAGCCTGTAGCCGCCGCTGGTCGGTTGATCTCCCTAGCAGCATAGATTCGACCAAAAGCTAGTTGATACTTAGCTGATTTGAATGAACGGAAAACGATATTAGACAATTCATCCGGACTTACTTCCTCTTCCAATTTTTCCATAGATTGCAAACCGTTTGGTCATATCTGGGCACATTCTGTCGAAATAATCTTGCTCAAGCCTGTAATCAGAGTCGTTGGGAAAGTAATCCTTATGGGACGATAGCAGGTGGTATCTATATGTATCTGCCCTCCCCTTCAGCGCATGGTGTGTGAGTGTGAGAGGACCAATACGCTCAAGGTCGTTACATTGAGAGAGTATAAGCGGCCCGGCAAGTCGTCGTCTTAGAACAATCATCTGTAGCTCTTCTCCAACTTCGCCCTTGATCATGACATGGATGGATCTCCCCGCGTCGTCTACAGGCCTGGTATGGCCATAATATTTGTCCAAGTCGAGTTCAAGCTGGTTGTACTCCATGGTTCCTGTATGTAGATGCTTGAATATGCACCTCCAGTTCGGGATATAGAATAATTTTCTGACAACGTGGAATCCAACAGCTTACTTGCCCTTTTTCTGATATGCCCTAGGAACAACGAACGAAAGCTACAGTTGAGTTGCTGTTTGGCCACCTTTATATGTTATGGGCTTTCTAAATCCATTAACCATCAAATAGGTATTGTTCAGATAGTCAACAAAGCTTTTGGTAACGGATGAAGTTCTCTCAAAATGAAAGAGCTATTCAGGATTTCTCCAGTCCTCGAGACATGGTGAGAATAAAGGAGATGCTAATAGAAAAGGCTGCAGTACATAAAGCATATCCGCTAGATAAAGGGTATGGATCAAAGATGCCACATAGATGGGTTAAAGTAATTAAAATATGCTTTCCTATGTTTATACTGAAAACAGTGACAACCGCTTTTTCTGGCCCGTGATTGCATTGTGTAGAAAAGGAAAACGCCATATTCCCAGTGACCAACCACAATAAAACCCTTTAAGCACCAAGCCATATCCTTTCCGCCCACAATGCCTAGAAAAAAAAATAAAGAGCAAAAGGAATGTAGCATACTGTAGATCAGGGGGTAGGAAGCTGGAATCTCAGAGGCACAACCCAGGCGCTACCAAATTCGACTCCGTGACGACGACGGGTTCCGTATTTTCTCCATGCAACAGGACTGATGCCAACATCTGCAACTGCAATTTGCCAGGACTCGCCTCCTCGTGAAGACAAAGCTGTCACTAAGCCCGTTTTTGGTGCACCAAGACAGATGACAAATTGCGAAGATACTGCGAGTTGGGATCCCTGGGTGACTGTTGTTTCTCCTGTTTGATATTAGTATGGTGTCGATCTAACAATGGTATAGCGAGGATGTATCAGTTGAGGCTTACCCGTAGTTGCCGACAAGCCAGAAGGAACGTCAACGGATAGAACGTCAACCTTGCTTCGGTTCACCCAGGAAATAATCTCAAATGCGGTTGCTTGATCATCAGTACGCAAATCTTCGAATGCAACATGCATACCAAAGAGTGCGTCAATGATAAGTTTAGGCTTAAAATCGCCCATCGAAAACCGGGCGGAAAGATCCTCCCATCGCATGACATGGCCTCCTGCCTTTTGGAATATGTCAACTTGCTTCTGGAAGCCGTCGGTAAATTCACCGTCATGGCCATTGCCCAGGACGCACAGGGAGACACGATAACCACGGTTGCGTAGGTGTCGCGCAGAAGCGACGGTGCGTGCACCGGTTCGATGGTTTCCTACAAAAACAACGATTATTGAAGGCACACGCAGGCCGGTTGCAAGGGATATTGCTCCTTCAGCAATGCCTCTACCCGCATTCTCGGTAACAATATCTTCGGTAAGACCAAGCTCTGCTATAGCTAGTTGCTCTATCTCCACCATTTGAAGAGGACTGATGCTAGGGCACTTCCTGCCAGTCGTTATCATATGGAGAGCACCACCCGTTGGACTTGACGACCCTGTCATAGATGATGCGGAGTGTTTAACTACTTTGATGGGCTGCGGGCTGGTAGTACGTGTAGACGATAGATGCGAGCGACCAAGGATGGTAAATTGAGCGGAAGACGGGGTGGAGGCTATCACGCCACTACCCTTCCGCGATGGAATAGAACGGCTAGAACGGTTGCGGCTCGATGTCCGGCCATTGACAGTGTAATCATCATCCGTTTCTCCAGCTTCGCTATTCCATTGGGAGGTTTGCGGCTGTGATGTTGAGTCCAACACATTTTCTGTGTAGTGAAGGTTCTTTCCTCCATTGGTCCCAGGTTTAGGTCGTCGGTTGAAACTTGCTAGGCGGTCTTCCAGGGGGGTCATATCGTCATTCCTTATCTCGTCAAACACTCTTCGTTTATCGAACTTGGACAGGTTACTTTGAAAATCAAAGTCTCCAAGTTCCTGGATATCAGTCGCCTCTTCAGTTGCCCATCCATTCAAGTTCTCCTTTTGGGCTCGAGCCCTTCTAGCCCTTAACTTTGACTTATTGGGGGTTGGGGAAGCATCAATCGGTTCGATAAAGGCTGTCTGCCTCCAACCTTTGCCGGGAACGCCTTTCCTTCCATGGTTGGTGGCGGAGACATGCAACTCAGTCGCAGTGATATCAGTCGTTTCTCCACCGTCTCTCTCCAACTTCCCTCTACCGCCTCGCTTACCCCGCTTCCCTACGGGCTTAAGCTGGGTTGCAGCTGAGCTACTAACTCCTTGAGCTCGGCCATGGGGTATGGAGGTATGCTCCAGCTCCTGTTGTTCCACAATATCTTCCCTTATGGAGGAAGGCTGCTCTGGGTTGTTAAGCTCCAAATCGCTAAAGGGCGCATTCAATGTAGCCGGAAGTCGCGTGTGATGTCCGATGTGGGTCGCATGCGCTGACGTCGGCACTTCCGAGCCTCCTAACATGACAGGGGAAGTGGAAATCGGATGCGACGTAACAGTAGCTGGTTCTACCTCGTTGTTTGCATCCTGACGTCCATCCTGTCTTGAGGGACGTTTAAAGCTCAAGATCGCTGGATCCACGAAAGACGGAGCGCCTGTGTTGTGAGACACAGATATAGACTGTGCCGAGCCCGTGGGATGTGGTGGTTGGCTATGCTGGGAGGAGGAATGATATCCACCACTATCAATGTGTCCATTCCTATGATGCACTGGTGTTTGAGGAGTCGGCTCGCTAGATATCTCTAGATCCGCGATCTTGGAACCATCGATATGATACAAAGGGAAATGTTGGCCATTCCATAAAAGCAGCGCTAGACGAATTATCAGCATGACCAGTTAGAAGATGACGAGCTGAAGAAAACACTCACCATTTTGCAGGCTTAACCTAGTCCCCACGACATCAACGACTTCGCCTTTGATCCGGCAATTTGGGGGACTCTTGAGGGTCACAAGCACAATGCAGCCGATAAACTCCGAAGCCATGGCTGTGTCTAAGAGAATGAGGTGCTGTAGATTGGCGGGTGTAGTGTCAGGAATCTCCCATGCTGCTGTACAGTAGAGGTTGCCTATGAAGCCTGGCTCTCCCTCCGGCTGAAAGTGCTGCTGGCTTTTTCCTCCTCCTGATGCTGCTTCTTCTCCTGCGCAAAGTTGATCCTCATTTTTTGTGAGGAAGTTGAGATGGAGGCTGAGCCAGTCACGTGGGGCATTTATCGATAAGGAGCAAACGAAAAGCAAAAAAAGAACAAACAAGGGGCGCGGCTTTTCAAGCAAGACGGTTTGGCGTTTGACGACTAGCTGCGACGTGAGAGCTTGCCTCAAGGGAATGCTAACACCGCTGATAGGGTCGGTGTTGCCCGGGGGCCCTGTAATAACCCATTTGCAATCATCTGTTCGCGGGATAATGATTTTTGGTGTGTTTCATCGTGGCAGTGTTGTTCGGCGAGACCGGGCAGCGTAGTAAACTGGTAGTGAGCAAGGATCTATATCAGGCTATATTATCAGCTAGTTATAGCGCCCGGAGGTTAAGTCTGACAAAAAGGAAGAGGTAGAAGTGAGAATTGTGGTAAATATGGGGATGGAGGAAACGGCCACTCACAAAAGATGGCTTACTCTAGAGTCAACAGGACCTAGAGAGTTAGACCATGCAAGCATTTGATTGACAAGTATGTCCTTAATAAGATAGACTACTCTGGCAAGAATAAACAGTATAGTCCAACTGTGTAGCAGCTTTCTCTCTTGTATCAGTTGTCAGGATGTCTTCTCGCCAGGGAAAAGGGTCGACGTCGTCACTTGGTGCAAACATGACAAACATCTTCCCTAAGCATCTAGCAACAACCACCAGAAGAAGGATAAGAATGTATAGAATAACGACGGGAACAACTGCACAGCAAGCCCACGGTAAGACCAATTGGTCTTTCTCCGCTTTCGACAGACGTCTGGCGACTTGATAAAATGCTTGATTTTATGGACTATATCCAGCTCGCCTTCTCGGACGCCTCGGGATGGAACCGCGATAACTCGTACTCTACCCTTACGGACACCGCAAAAGGTACTGGCGACAGCTATTAGCTATCCCGCAATGCGAACATAAATCGCTGACATGGGCTAACATATGAGTGTAGCTCTTCTTGACTTCTCAACCCCTGAACGACTTCGCGTTCACCTCTCGTCCCTCTCTACTCCCCAGTTTGCGACAGCCTACACCCTCGGAACGGTTGGCCTCATCGATGGCTCAGTCTCATGCCTATTCAGTACCATACCTTTGGACAAGACAGTCAGCCGAAGCGCCTTGATATCCCTACGGAGCCTTGTACCGGGCTACAGACAGATATACCCTCCTGCTGTCCCGCTAGACCCTGGCTTGGAATGGACCTTTGGCGGGAGCAACAGCCTTGGAGACGCAGGGGTATCAGAGAGGAAGAGAAAAGCCACCCTTCTTCATGCGACATTACATCTACCTCCTCCAACAACTCTAACGGCTCTTTTCCTGCACCGCCCTTCACCCACAACCAAGCTTTCTGTCGCCTTGTGGTCTAGTCAGGCTATCAATACATCGAAATCCGCGCCTCCACAGGCATCCTTGCTCACCCAATTATTCCATGATACCGGCAAATACAGCACTGAATTTCTATTCAGTACAGACAATACCTTGTTTGGGTTCCGAGGACTATGGAACTTTGGTCCTGATCCAAGAGAGTTGTCCAGTGGTCGTAGCGACGCTCCGAACAACGGTCAATGTAAAAAGCCGCCTTGCTTGCAATCTGTAGCACTCCTCTCTGCTGGCGGAGAGGCTTATTATTCACCAACTTCTAGCGTCATCGGCCTCTCGACCGGTATGCGCTTCACCACATTACCTGCTGCTTATGACATACGGACTGGGCCGAATTCTTTACCCGCGACAGGCAGCCAGATCCCTTCTCCGATCTCAACATTCCCCTACACACTAACTCTAACATTAACTCCACTAACGGGCTCCTTATCAACTACTTACTCTCTTCTGGCTTCTCCGAACCTAGCTTTGAGTTCCCGCTTTGGATTCAATGTGTATAGCTGGGAAAGTGAAATGGTTGCCGGATGCGAACTATGGCAGAATAGGAGGAAGATAAATATGAATCACTACAACCCCGACGGAAGCATTGACGACCTCGCTTGGGCGAAACGAAAGTTGGGCCTTCTACCCCATTTAGAGCCCACAGATCCATCCTCGTCATCTTCGGTATTCTCTTCAACTTCAGAATCAGTCATCAAACTCCGCGTTGATCAGTCTTTAAAAGTACGATTGCTCTGGGAAGGCCGTATAAAGGACCTGCTAGTCAGTGCTGGAGTTGCGCTGGGCCCAACCACGCCACATGTATCGTCGATGTCATGCTCGGGTGGATCTTTATCTAAAAGCTACGGATGGACCGGTGTGGGCGTGTCCGTATTATACTCATCATGATTTAACGATGATTTAATTTCATTCATCCATCTTTTTATGTACCTTCGGTTCTATAGGGAGTATCTCCGCTCTCCACCTTTTTTGCCGGAACAATGCTGGATCAATTGCCGGTCTTTGGGCGATTATAGACTATAGATATGTTAACTATATTTTTAATTGTGTCTATTTAACATTGGGGACACACTGGTGGATGTCCCATTGTTCAGCTTCCCAGCAGACATCATTGGTAGACACATTATGCTACCAGCACCCGAGTCACCATTTCTCGTACAATACGCTTACAGACGAGCATTGATGATGTCGACAACTATTTCTATTATTAGCTCCTTGTTTTCCGGGGTATATAGTATCTGATGACTTACAGGCAGGCTTCAAGCTAGCACCTCCAACCAAGAATCCGTCGACGTCTTTTTGCTTAGCCAGCTCAGTGCAGTTCTTCTCGTTGACACTGCCTCCATATATAACACGGGTGGCCTCAGAGACAGCAGGGGAAACAGTCTTGGAAAGCCATTCACGGATAGAAGCGTGGACTTCCTGAGCTTGCTCGGTGGTTGCAACCTTTCCGGTTCCAATAGCCCTAGATATTGTATTAGACCACCTTGAATTGTTAACACAGAGACTGAATACAGTACATACCAGATAGGCTCATAGGCAATGACAATCTTGGCCCATTGCTGCTCGGTGACTTTATCAGCAACGGCTTGCAGTTGTCGGGTGACAACTTCGACAGTCTTGTTGGCCTCTCGTTCCTGTTGAAAATGCATTATATTAGCTAACTCCATCTATAACCAATCTGTAAGCTAGTCCATACCTCGAGAGACTCTCCAATGCAGACAATAACGTTCAATCCACCGTCAACGGCGGCCTTTGTCTTGCGTGCAACAAACTATGTATCCACGAATAGTCATTGATCATCAGCTCTGAAGTGTACCCAATAGTTGACGTGAACAACATACGTCATCATCCTCCTTGAGGATAACTCTTCTCTCACTATGTCCGGTCAAAGTCCAGTTGACCTTGGAGTCCTTCAATTGATCAACGCTAAGCTCTCCAGTGAAAGCACCGTTTGGCTTATCAAAGACGTTCTGAGCAGCAACTTCGATTTTGTCGTTTGCCTGGCTGCGGGCGAGGAGAAGGTAGATGGCTGGAGGCGAGATAACGACCTCGGTGTTGGAGTCAAGCTTAGCGCTGTTAAGGTTGGAGATAATGTCGGAAATCGATTGAGATGTTCCGTTCCTGTTATATCGTGGTTAGCTATTGAATCACGCCCGTGTATTGCGGTACTCGTTGAGATATGTGAATCTAGGTGGGGTAGTTAGTAGCTCACATCTTGAAGTTCCCGCCAACGAAGAATTTGCGAGCCATGGTGAATGTAGATTGCGCGTTTATACGGGTTAAACAAGAGAAATTATATTGCTTATTAGGTATCTGAGATAGAGGCGACGTCGAATAATGGTAGTAGATGTTGGTAGAAATTAGGGGTTGAGCGTTTAAATATTTTGGCGGGGACCGCGGGGCACGGCAGAAACCGGATCTTGCTGCCATATTATTGCCCGTTTCTTTAATATAAAAAACCTCCTACACAGCTACGGGAACTTCAACAACATGATAAATCTGGTGAAGAAGTATATAATGCCGATATAAAAGCAGCTGGAAAATTGAACCGACATGGATCTTCACCCATAAATACGTATCTCGGCTGAAACCCGCTGTTGACGCTGTAAAGGCGTGAAAACCTGGCCCACTCTAGTCAGTCACATCTAGTAGAGCGAAGTAGCCCAGACCAGAAATCAGGAATAAGGCAACCTGATCTAGTTGACTATACGGAGCATACGACAAAGTAATTCAAGAGCCTATACTCCAAAAGTTCGGCATGGTCCTCACGGGTCCCCCCAAGAAACATTTAGTATAGCGCGGAGCGCGGCCCGAAACTCGACCTCGCCTTCCAGTAAGAAGGTGGTCTAGACTCTTTTTCAAGTATTATTTATATGCTGGCTAGGTGCCGTTTAGCAAATGATCCTGGATGCTGTCATTAGCCATCGACTATTAGCAAGGCTAAAGTACTAACGAAAAACCTTTCATTAGGATATTGTCTAATACTTTTAACCTCATGCCGTGTTGAGACTGACGGCCGGAAGTGCCGATGAAATGAACATTATAGATCAATAGAATATATGTTGTTCGACCGGAGAAGGGCCACTCTTTGGTGTTCACAGTGTAACAGAGTAAGCGCCTATTTTGAGACCGCTTATGGGAATACTTTAGATGTAGGACGCCAGTTATTAGAGTATGACGCCTCAAGGCCCAGTTGAAAGTAGATAATGAAGAGATAGCTATTGTGCCGTGCATTCATGCCATTGCACAACTCCCGGTGTAATTCAACATTCTCTTTGTTAGTAGGAGCATTAACGTAAGGGAGGTACATATCTTGTTAAGTTAATAAGGGTTTGGTTCAATGCTCAAATGTAGATCGATTCTGAGATCCAACTTGGCGTAAAACATCGCCAGCTCACTTTTTGGCGTGTATATTCGATGTTAGGCAATGTTAAATGCTGGATCACATTAGAATAGAGAAATGAGTAGGTAAATAGAGAGCCATATGGGTGAGGATACCTCAATGTTAGAAGTGTACTCCGTAGGTAAAAACTGTAAATGAACACGCCGATTTAAACCTATCAAAAGAGAAGGAGCATAATGAATTTGAGGCTTAAAACTAATCAGGGACGCGGTAAAAATAAGGTGAGGCACGTGACAGAATATTAGCGCGCTGAAATGATGACTAATATAGACTCTTGACATATGTTGGGTACAATCAGGATTCATACAGGGTGGCCGATAATGGAGACTAAAGACAAGAATGCCGCTTCATTCTAGGTATTTTATAGATAAAATAGATACCCTTCCGTTAGGTTTAAGTAGAAGTACATATCACAGCTGAGTGTGGGAAAGGACGAAAAAGTCGAGAAATCCACGTGACTCTATTACTCATCAGTACTGATAAGGATTAGCTTCATATCTTATCAACATTTCTCCGCCTCCGACATGTCCGCCAAAAAAAAAAATTAACGACGATAGGAAGCAATCATTTGCGATAGAGAAGAATTCAATTTATAGATACCCTTAGAAGCCTTCAACCCATCTTGAAGGGAACAGGGAGAAAGAGATTTATCTTGTCTTCTTTATCTAGCTCCTACCACCTAAGTCGTCCATCATGCCTATCTCAAAAAGGGCGAAGGTGGTCCACGAGTCCAGGACTCAAAAAAAATCGCACAAAGAGCAGACTCGTCGACTATACGCCAATGTGCAAGCTGCCGTTGAGGAATATGACCATCTTTTTGTATTCGCTGTTGATAATATGAGAAACACCTATTTGAAGGATGTGCGGACCGAGTTCTCTGATGGCCGGTCAGTTTCCTACTCGTTATTTTTTCTCCACCTCTTCTATGCATTCTTCTGCTACCAGAAGCTACATTGACTATCTCTGCATTTGCGCTAACTGTATGTCCAGACTCTTCTTCGGCAAGACCAAAGTCATGGCAATTGCTCTGGGAACTACACCGGAAACCGCATGCGCGCCAAACCTCGAGCGTCTCTCACGTTATCTAACTGGCGCAGTTGGATTGCTATTCACATCTCGCGAACCTCAATCTGTTCTTGACTTCTTCGAATCATTCCACCCTATTGATTTTGCTCGCGCGGGGAACGTAACACCACGCGCTTTCACAATACCCAGCGGCGTCGTATATTCACGTGCTGGTGAGATACCGGCCGAAGACGACGAGCCAATTAGCCATACAATTGAGCCAACTCTTCGGAAACTGAACGTCCCTACGAGACTAGTGAAGGGGAAAGTTATGCTAGAAATGGAGGGAGATGGATATCAGGTCTGCAAGGCAGGCGAGGAGCTTGATTCTAGGCAGTCAACGCTCTTGAAGATGTTTGGTGTTGCTGTTGCTGAGTTTAAGGTTGAGATGAAGGCTCGTTGGGAGAAAAAGAGTGGAGAAGTCGTGGTCTTGGAGAATCAGGAAACAATGGAAGTCGATGCGTGAGGAGAATTCAGGAGTTGAACTAGTTTTTTCTCTCTGAGACTCTTTCAATCTCTCACACTCTAGCTTTTCCGTTGCTCGACGAGGTGGTGACCATTTGAAAGCAGCGGGCATTTTTCTTACTGGCGTTCTGGCGATTGGTGTCAATATTTGATAACGGCTCTCTTGAGGTATCTACCATGGTTTTTATCTTATACCATGATCAAATGGAAAAGTTGTCTGTTTCTATACTATATGGGTATTCCATGCTAACTTCAATAGATAGACCATACGACTAACGCTGAAAAAAGGAGACAATTAACTACCTAATTAAAGCACCATAACCATACTACCTGCCTTTGCAATGATCAATGCTAGAATGTTTAGAGATGCTAAACAGCCTTACCCGATCTTACCTACAACATATTATAAATGTACAATTTCACCTTCACCAACGGTGCCATAAAGTACATACTTACCACCCAGTAAAAAGTTCCAAAGAAGAAATGAAAAGCAGGAGGCAAAAGAATCAAGGGCGACAAAAAGGATGAAAGGTTGGAAAGGTATAGTAGTAAGACATCACTTCAAGAATTAGTAGCGTAAGACCGTACAAGACGGTAAAACGGAATGGTCGGATGGGGGTATCCAGGGAGTACTCCGGTGTCTGTAGCCTGGGATGGGTCGTTATAAAGCGTAGAGATTTACCTCATGTGTTGTAAATAGGAGAGGATCGCCGAGTCCATTTAGATGAGGAGTGAAGCCGTGGATGTTTTTCTTCTTAAGAACCAATGATCTTACCCTTAAGGCTATGAAGGATCAGACAAAATGAACTGCAACCCACCAACAAACCATTGTTGAATTGTTAGATAAGTCGGACTCAGTATCTTCGTTTCGTCCTAGGATCATCGTATGCATCCCCATCGTGGTGTCTCTTTCTCGGAGGATCATCATCACGCCGGCTGTATCTGTCTCTATCACGGTCTCGGTCTCGCGGCCTATCCCGATCACGGTCGCTTCGACCACCTCTCTCTCGGTCTCTATCACGCTCACGGTCTCTGTCTCTGTCTCTGTCACGATCTCCATATGCTCTGGGTCTGACAGGTTCTCGGTTGCTGCCAGTTACACCTCGATCACCCGATCTGTCGTACCTAGAGCCTCCTCGGCTTCTATCTTCATAGCGTCTCTCTCCGTAGCCATCACCATTTTGCTGACCATACCCACCGCCACCACTGCCCCGGCTTCCACCAGGGCCCAAAGGAGCGTTGGGGGGAGCCTGGCCCGATGCACCGTTGGAGGGGCCTCCAAATCCGCTACGCCCACCCTGGAAGCCAACTCCTCCACGGCCGCCATAGGGCCGATCACCTCCTCTAAATCCACCTCGGAAGCCCCCCCTTGATCCTCGGAAACCACCCTGGAAGCCACCGGGGCCAGAAGGGGGGCCAAATCCGCCAGGACCCATGGGTCTTGAGGGCATCGCTTTGGTATATCCACGGCCACCTAGTCCACCGCCGAATCGACGTGGTTTCCATCCCTTGACCGTACGTCCACGCTCGACATCGACAAGAGCACGTCGATCTTTGATGCGAATCCCATCTGTTTCCTTGTAGGCAGCTGTAGTTGTGACGCAAGAGCAATCGTTGGCGTTAGTCATGTACTTAATTACCTTCTCATAGCTATTTTCATACGTTGAGCAGGGGAGGGGAAGGGGATGAGAGAATTGTTCGGGATTCAGTACCCTTCATATCCTTTTCACGCTCGTATACTATAAAAGCATAACCTCGATGTGGTTTCTTTGGATTAGGGTTCTGCGTGTCTTTCACGATCCGAATCTAACAGAAACAAAAGGTCAGTCAATATATATAGAGGACAAATTGATCATGTCTGCATATTGTACACACCCTTTCTATAGGACCGAACCGGCCAAATTCCCGTTCCAAATCCGCTTCCTTAACATCATAGCTCAGTCTAGAGACAAATAACGTTCTGAAAGGGTCACCACGAATTTGGGGATCTTCAGAGGGGTTAACTATAAGCAAGGCATTAGTAAAGAACATATATGGTTGACACCAGAGACAGATTTAGTAGGGTATATGCGCACATGTTGAAAGACCTTCTTCTAGACGTTTCGCAGCCTGCTCCTGTTTCTCCATCTTCAGCCTATCCTTGCGCTGCAGCCAGCTCTCCGTTGCATTATAAGGGACTTCCTCTCCATACTTCTTCAGCTCATCGAGGTAACCGGCAACACCGGATATCGTACTTGACTTCACATCGTCGGGTGCTCTGCTGATGGGCTGGAGGTAACGGAGAGGAGGACGCGGCGCAAAGAGCGCGAGGAGGTTTGGAGGGAGTTTGTCCGTCATGGTCGAAGGAAGCAGAACCGGGCAAGCAGCATGTAGAACGTTCTAGTACTCAAGCTCAAAGCATCAAGACGGCCTTAGATAGCAGCTCTCCTGGTTGTCGCGCGGCTTTCGTATTTTTCTGTTGTTTGAAATCGCCTTTTTTGGCTTTTTCAGGCTTTTGTCGACGAAAGAGTCGCGGATAGCTTAGTCATTGAATACTGACCAATCACACTCAAGAATTCACTGCGCATCAAAAAGTTCGACTTCTGCAGGTTCAACCAGCAAGCAAAAGACGACGAGGAGCAGGACAACTTCTGGATATTGTACGGGGAGGAAGACGCAAAGATGCCGGTTAAAGGAATAGTATCGCTGGCTTCTGGCCGAGTAAGTAGTGTTCTGTCTGCTAATTGCCTGGTTCTTTACTAATTGGTGACTTCTGCAGAATGGCGTGGGAGCTTTCATCCTGCAGTGCAAGCGACTCGACTTTCACTACTGCGACTGGGCAGGCAGTTCTAAGGGCATGAAGTGAGTGCCCTGCTCTATAACTCCCCTTCCCGGCTTCCTACAAACTGAATCTAACGGCTCTCTGTCAGCTCCTTTATCAAGGAAATGCTTCCCGATTTCGCCAAACGAAACCCTCAGATCGAAATCCGCATTTCTCCCCGTCCCCACAAACACCCCGTTATCAAGGGACACTACGTCAATGGCCGTGAGAAGGCAATCTGTGTACGGAATCTCGAAGTGTACGAAGTTCTTCAGAAAGCGAACCTGTTGAAGGAAGCTAGCGGGGAGAAGCTACGACGAACGAACAAGCCTGTTCTCAGCATGAACGAGAGCGTCAGAGGCATCTGGTCTCCTTACCATGGAGACATGAAGCAGATATAATAATTTTCAGCCTAGTTCTTCTGCTGAGACTGCACAGGGTTGACGAGAATGTACTATTATTACGGCATGGCGCGTCTGGTTTTATTTGATCCCTCGAATGTCTTTTTTTCGTTTTTGATATTTGGAGGTATAGTTGCATTATACTTGGGAGTTGTATATGATTACTAGGGGATATAGTCTTAGTTATAGGACCTCCATCCAGAATCCAGTTATTTCTTCTTTTTTGTCTGGTGAAGTTCCAATGAATTATTCTTCTGTTTAGAGTAGTACCAGGTAGATTGAAGAAAAAAATTCTGTAAAACAGTAACTAAGGATCAAAAGAAATGTATGCATATACCGCTAAAGTAAAACGTAAGACGAGTGCGCCTGGACCATGAGATGTTGGGTATTAAAAATGAAAAGACCTTGCCGTGACCCTATGCACATTCTACCAAACGCCATCAAATCGGAAAAGGCCGCGTTAACAAAGGGAAAGTAGCGACAAAGTCAAGGTTGGTAAATGACTGGCGGTGATTAGAGATAAATTTGGAACATTGTCCGGGGCTGGCTAACGGATCTCCCGCAGTTTGCCACAACACATTTTGCAAAGGGTTTGGACTTTATATCAAGAGAGTGATCAGATTTCTTTGCTCTAGAAGAGACGGCTCTGTTTTTGGTACATGTACCACAGTAAACCTATAAAGAATATTAGTACAGACTGAAAAAATAAAGGAAAGGGTATTTGTGGCCTAGATCACTCACATGTCCGCAGGCTCTGGAAACCCATATCTGTTTTCCCAGCTCATCTCCCGTCCCGAGCTCACGCTCACAGTTTGGACAAATAGCTTCTTCTTCTTCTGTAACTGTCCTTGTGAATCCATCAGGGGGAGGCGGAGGTGGCTCATACACAGGCTCTGTCCTAGGGGCCTCACCGCCGGCGAATGCTGTTGTGCTGTAATCCAGCTGTATGGCAAAAGGATTGAGATCCGACGTGAGGTCTATTTCGCTACCGAGCCAATGCATAGACGCAGCCATGGGTGTTACTGGCTGAAAGGCCAACATGCCTCTCGTGCGTAGGGACAATTCACGTCGTAACATCTCCTCCCGGTCTAGGGGCGACAGTCTCCCAGGCCGCTGCGTTCCTCTTTGCACATGCGGCATGTCAGAGCTTCTAGACCACAGCAGCGGATGTCGGCTATCGCTGTGACTCCTATCCGGTGCTCGTGATGCGCGGGGCCTCAGTGACGACCCTAGGAACTCCACCTCCGGGCTCGATGGTTGCTGTTGCTGTTGTTGCTGCTGGTGCCCGGGAGGACTGTCGGCTTCCAAATCCACCACATCAACCATGATATTTCGTCCAAACCGAGGGCCGCGCGACGCTCTGTTCAGCAGCACGGGTTCTTCTTGGTCTCCCGGCGTTAGGGCAGGCCGTATCACCGGATCTGAGTCCTGCGTTAAATCGATAACATCCTCTTGCGGCGGAAGCTGGAGTGAATGTGGCCGGGCTGGCACTCCGGTCGACATGACGGGCCTGCGGAAATCGAACCCGTCGCCGGGATATCTCACTCGAGGGAACGGGGGGAGTGGTGGCAGTCGGGGACGGGAGCTGTTGATGCTGCTGCTGAGAGCGCCGGGTGTGTCTACTGAGCTTGAAGACTCTCCGCGACGACTCCGAGACGTCTGGCTTTCGCCATCAGAATGAGGGCCTGAGATCTCCTCGTGGTAGCGCTAGAGTGAATGAATCAATACTGTCAGCTTCCTATCAAGTCTCATATAAACCGTAGCTACTCTAAGGGGGGGGTTGTTGTATCTAGCAACGGGGGTGGTAGTTAAAGATTGACTATCTATCTTACTGAGCACCCCGCTAGCAAAAGACCAAGACTGACCTTTCTCGGCTGCCGGGCGTTAATCGTCTGTCTGCTAGGGCCGCTGCTCATGGTAGGGAGGGTCGGCAGCGCAGTAGGAGCAGGAAGCTGGCTCGGTGGTGACGAGAGAAGCTGGCGTAGGGTTGATTTTTGGGTGGAAAGAAGCAACTAAAAACTTCGAGCGAGAGAGAGAGAGAGATAGAAAGAGAGCGAGAGCGAGAGAAGCGACAGAAAAGTGACGGCGGGAAAAAAGGCTCCTTTGCGCTTTGTCAGATGCAAGCGAAGCCCCCAATAGCTTTATGGATTAACTTATTTTCTATTAAGTATTTCCGCCTCCGTGGGCCAGGATGAAGCAGGCAGAGAGAGGCGACGCAGTGCGCGGGATTACATCGCTGTCTCTGGGTAAGATTTTATATGAAACTGCGTGTGTGATGGCTGCGGGAGTCGACAGGTTACAGGGCACGCAAGCAGCAAGGGGCTACCAAAGGGTCCAAAGGGAGGACATGCGATAGCCGGCCAGCAGCAGACGGGAGGGAGAGAAGACTTTGCCATCGGCCTGGTAAAGTGAGAGCGCTGGAAGCCTATGGGCAGCCTTCTACCGTCACTATTCACTGTGTTCAATTGTCCACTCCCCCTGCCGGGTTCAAACAAGGGGACGGTCAGCCATTGACTGTATGAATCTGGGAGGGCGACCATCCATAGGATGACCTTTTAAGATGAAAGTATTGTATAAAAAAGGCCTTGGAAAAGATTTTTATAGAAGTTTGGATGGCTACCAATATCTATCAATTATCCAGACGGAGATAGGGAGATTCCTCATGGACTCTTTTGACGATGACATAATCTTAATATAGAAGAGCTATAGACTAGAAAAGCCTTCCGGTTTGAGCGCTTAGAGAAGGCTAGGGAGGATATTAGCCGGTGCAGAGGCAGCTCGAGTTGGCGGGTTGGATATTGTTTAGTGTCCAGAGCAAGTGGCCATCAATTCACTAGAGTACATCAAGAGAGAAAACGAAAGACAAAGAACTCCCATCACATTAGTATATATCACTGCGCACTAACTGACACAATAACGCCGTCTCCATTAAGTGACAAGATGCTCTGGGCAGAGGGACCCCAGGCAACCGCGGTGGAAGGCACTGCACTTCGCAGTGGCTCCGTCCAGGACTTTGAGGCCTTGGAATACTGCTGTACGGTAAGTCCGTTGGGTCCGCCGGTAAGCAGGAACTGCCCTGTGTAGTCCCAGCTGATAGAGTCGACTCGGCTACCGGTTTCTAGGACCTTCACGACATTCGATTTACGGAGGTCCCAGACTGATATGTCGGAGGAGTCCTTCGTCACCGCAGCAAGCCAGGTACCGTTTTCAGAGAAGTATAGCGCTTTAATTGGGCCAGACATGTCGAAGGCAGCTGCGCTAGTACCGCTCTTGACATCGAATATTTTGATTTGGCCGTCAGCTCCGCCGGCAGCTAGGAGGTGGCCATCGGGATGGAATTGAACGCATGACAAAGCTGCTCAAGTTAGTATTTGGTAATAACAACGTTTGCTGGAGGAGTATACATACCGGAGTCTGTGAATATTTGAGTAATGACAGAGGAACTCGAGATATCGTAAAGGGTATAGCTCTTGTCAACACCAACGGATGCAATGATGTCACCGGTTGGATGCACAGCCAGAGCTTCAGCTGTACCGGCATGGACACTGAAACTGGCAACCTCTGATTCATTTTCAAAGACCTTTACGGCACCAGTCGTAGTTGCGATGACAGCCTTGTCCCCTACCCAGGCAGAGTCCGTTATCGAGCCACTGCCAGCCTTTAGAGAGGCTACAACCCGTTTTTCGGGGAGAGAATATACGCCAGCAACACCGTCAACACCTCCTACCAATGCTAGATTGCCGGAGGAGTTCAATGATATAGAGTGTCCACCGGGGTAAAGGGGCTCGGATGGGCTAGAAGGTTTGAACTCTTGAATAGCTTCACTGGTAGCCCAGTCTTCTGGGATAGGCCGTTTGCGTCGAGTCTTTGAAAGTCTACAGAGGGAAGACTGTTAGGTACGGCTATATGGTATGCAGATTTCGAGAGGGAAGTGAATCCATACTTCTCTTGAGTTTCTTCAATTCTCGAAATGACACCTTCCGGAAGACCTGTGCTATCCACCTGCATCGCATCTCCCGCCGCAGGAGCACGGCTAGCTCCAACTGAGACCTTTGAAAGTGCATCTCTAGCTTCGTCTCGCTCCTTTCGTAGTCTAGCAATCACACGAACAGCTGCATCGTGCTGGTACAGTGCCGTACTAAGCTCTTGCCGCGTCTGCGCAAGCGTCTGTCGAAGAGTGAACGTTTCAAGGGCCAAGGCATCCCATTCTTCCTGGAAAACTCCAAGTAGCGAGGGGATCGAGGTAAGGGTTGGCGGTCGAGGTCTGGCGATGTGAGCTGATTTCAATTCGACAAGGTCCTCCAAGGTATGTTCCTCGCCTGTGATGGGCTCTTTTCCATTCTCTGAAATATACTCCTCCACCAGACGTTTCTCGAAGACATTTCCTAGTCAAACGTATGAGTATATATGCCCAGATAGATCAGTTCGCGAAGCAAGCGCTGCTTACCACTCTTGCGCGACACCACCGGCACCTGGGGAGCCTCGCCAGAAACTAAACCGCCAACCGTCAGCTAATTGCTTCCCCAGCAGGGACACGTAGAAGATAGAATAGCTTACTTGCGCACAACATGGCTTATGAAGTTGCTTTGTACGATCTCTCGAGCTTTGCGAATGCGTTTTGAACCTGATATGAAATTCCGATTTGGTTCTGCTGGGAAGCTCGGCGGTTTTGTATTTCCGTCTCCGGTATCTTGAGGCAGCGCGATAGTTGAAAGGCCGACTTTGGGGCCTCGCTCTTTAGAGGACAACGAAGAACTCACTGGGAGTTTGATAGGTTTACTCTGTGGAGCCTACTGTCCTCATTTCTACAGATTTTGGGACTGGTCTCACTCGCTATGGCCCGGTGATTGTATAGCGCAATGCTTGGGATTGATTGCGCGCGGCCAAAAGTCAACGCACGCGAGTTCCAGCCATCATGAGCCGCAGGGCAAACAATCTCTCTTATGGTAGATATATTACCTTCGCTTTGAATTTTACCTAGATGGGGCTTTAATTCACTAACGCCACTCTCGTAGAGAAGCCGGAGCCGTCGTTCCTCCGTAAACTGAGGAATCAATATGGAGATGGCGGCGAACATCACCGGAGCCGCCCAAGTCCACGTCCTACCAAGTCTAAATATGCTGAAGACGAAGATGACGGGCCTACTTATGTTGATGAAGATAGCAACGAAGTCATCTCGAAGGAGAAATATTTAGAGATGGTAGCGGGCCCAAAGGGTGATACTGAGGAAAACGAAGCCGGAGAGAATGGGCAACCTACGAAAGCTACCGCAGGTGAAGGAGCTGAACCGGAAGCAGAAACTCGAGCTTCCAAGTCCAAGCAGAATGTGGCAGAGATAGGAGCGTCGAAAAAGAGGAAGCAGGGAAAGGTTGTAGGAGGCGGCGATGTTCCCGAGGATCAAGAGAGATCCCAGGCTCAGACTGAAGCGCCGAAGAGGAAGAAGAACACAAAGAAGAAGATCAAGCTCTCGTTTGATGACGAGGAATGAGATACTGGCTCCCTTGCGGGCATATCTATCCTTGTCTCACGGGGTCTTAAGCGATCTATGGGCCCGGTCCCTACAACGTATGGATGCTTCACCACCGCCACCTACAAGAATATAGGAACAAAACAATATATAATCGTAACAACCTATAATAGTAATTATGAATAATACCGTCTTACGCGACATCTTAAGCGCTAACCGGCCAACCGGGGCGTTGCTATGTAACTTTGGACTTTTTGTCATAGAATTCGTAAACCAGTCAACTATTTCTCATAAACAGTCATAACCGTAACTTTTGACTCTCAACCAAACATTGGATATATTTGTTATAAATCAACGCATAATTTATTTAATAAAGTGACCTAATATTTCACATTCATCTTTGATAGAAATATCTTGTTATTCCGATCTCTTCTCTCTTACTCTTGATATTAAAAATATTTGAATTTACGTCATCCAGTGAGCCGCAAAATCCGCACTTAGGATTAAACAAGCCCGCGAGAAGCGAGGAAAAAGCCCCGGATAACGAGCCGTATCTTTCGTTTAACGCAGGCGAAAAGGTAGACGACCTCGCGCCAGATACCAAAATGCCTGTCGTTAATCTGGAAGATCTCGTTCGTCTCCAGCGAAAGGCTGAAGATATCAGAAATGTACAGCTAACTGCCCCTCCCCCGCCATGCCGAAGACAAGAATGATACTAATCAGATATGATAGATTTGTATCCTTGCGCATGTTGTAGGTGGCCTATGAAACCCTGGGCGTCATTTAATTCATCCTATATCCAAATCTCCTATATTGATACTGGCCAATTATAGGATCACGGAAAGACATCTTTAACAGATAGCTTGATTGCCACAAATGGCATCATTTCACCAAAACTGGCGGGAAAGATCCGCTACCTGGATTCCCGGCCAGATGAACAGCTACGAGGAATCACGATGGAGTCTTCAGCCATCTCCCTGTATTTCTCGATGCTACGGAGATCTGCTCCCGAAGAGACCCCTGATAAGAGGGAGTATCTAATCAACTTGATCGATTCCCCTGGCCACATCGACTTTAGCAGCGAAGTATCGACAGCCTCACGGCTCTGTGATGGTGCTTTAGTTCTGGTCGATGCAGTCGAGGGCGTTTGCAGTCAAACAGTTACCGTTCTACGACATACATGGGTAGAACGGCTGAAACCAATCCTCGTTATGAACAAAATAGACCGTTTAGTGACTGAGTTGAAATTGACTCCTCTAGAAGCATATACCCACCTTAGTAAGATCCTAGAGCAGGTGAATGCTGTGATAGGGAGCTTCTACCAGGGAGAGCGCATGGAGGAGGACCTTCAGTGGAGAGAAAAAATGGAAGAACGAGTTAAGGCTGCAGCAACCAAAGAGAAGGACCGGTCAAAAGCCAGTGCTGAAACTAGTTCTCAAATCGACCCCGAAACTGCGGAATTCGAAGAGCGTGATGATGAAGACCTATACTTTGCTCCTGAGAAGAATAATGTCATTTTCTGCAGTGCTACCGATGGCTGGGCCTTTACCATTCGGCAATTTGCAGCACTCTATGAGAAGAAACTTGGGATCAAACGGGCCACTTTGGAGAAAGTACTATGGGGCGACTATTACCTAGACCCTAAAACCAAGAGAGTCCTAGGCGCGAAACATTTAAAGGGTAGAAGGCTAAGTCCAATGTTTGTCCAACTTGTATTGGAGACCATCTGGGCAGTCTACAATGCAACTACGGGTGGCGCCAACTCTACAGGGTACGTGTTAAACCTCCAACTAGTTAAAAACGATGTGCCCATTACTCTCTCTAACCATTCTACATAGGGACCCTGCACTATTAGAAAAGATCACGAAATCCCTTTCGATAAAGATACCCGTCCATATACTTCGGTCCCGGGACACCAGGAACATTCTCTCTGCTGTGTTTACGTCATGGCTACCACTTTCTACCGCTGTGCTCGTTTCTGTTATTGAGTACCTGCCCAGCCCTATAGATGCCCAAGCGCTTAGACTCCCTGATATGATCGATGAGTCCCCAGATGCAAGCTATGTTGATCCCAAGGTCCGTGATGCCGTGGTGAACTCCAAAGCCGGAAAAGATGACCCAATTCTTGGATATGTTAGCAAGATGGTATCTATTCCTGAAAGTGAATTGCCTTCAAAAACACGCCGAACACCTGGAGGAACCATGACTGCGGATGAGGCTCGAGAAATTGCTCGACGAAAGAGAGAACAGTTTGCTAAACTCCGAAGTGAGGCGAATGACGGAGATGTATCTGGTCTCACATATGCTATGGCAGAGTCGCAACTGGACGAGGCTAAGGCAGAAGAGAAAGTAGAGCCGGAGCATCTCATTGGCTTTGCACGATTATATTCTGGCACACTCTCTGTGGGAGACTCAATATATGTACTGCCACCAAAATTTTCGCCTATGAATCCACGGGCTAGCCCAGAGCCAACCAAAGTTACAGTAAAGGGCCTATACCTGCTCATGGGACGAGCTCTGGAGAACCTGGAAAGTGTCAGTGCAGGAGTGGTTTTTGGGATTGCTGGACTTGAAGGACATATCATGAAAACTGGTACTCTCTGCAGCCAAATAGATGGAGCTGCGAATCTTGCTGGGGTATCTTTAAGCCATCCACCAATCGTCCGAGTTGCCTTGGAGCCGGTGAACCCGGCAGACTTGAATAAAATGATTAATGGTCTAAAGATGCTTGAACGAAGCGATCCTTGTGCACAGTATGAGGTTTTGCCGAGTGGGGAGCATGTTATTCTCACGGCAGGAGAATTACATCTCGAACGGTGTCTCAAGGATCTTCGTGAGAGATTTGCCAAATGCGAAATACAAGCTGGAGAATCCATTGTGCCGTATCGGGAAACCATTATAAGTGCTGCTGAAATGAACCCTCCTAAAAATCCAGATCTACCACGAGGGACCGTTATTACAACATCGGGGTCTAAACAGCTCAGGATTCAAATCCGAGTGCGGCCCCTTCCTGCAGCTGTATCGGAGTTTCTTCTCAAACATGCAGAGACTGTTAAACGGATATATGGACGTCGAAGGCATTCGCCAACTGACACCCCGAAGGAATCGGATGAAGATGATACCCCTGAGACAGATACTGTGCATGAAGATAATGCGGATGGAGCCACTTCTAGTCGCAATACACTCTCCATGGAGGAGTTCAAGAAAGAACTAGAGGCTTGCTTCAGCGGTGTAAAGGAAGATAAAGAGACCTGGTCGAATGCAGTGGGCAAAATATCGGACTTTGGTCCCAAGAAAACAGGTGCTAACATTCTTTTCGACACCACACCCACCGGACGTTATGAAAAGCTGTAAGTCAAACTCCAACCCTCTATAACATATGAATGCAATCTGACTAAACATGACCTAGATTTGCGGATGGTTCAAATAACAAACCAGCTCGAGATTCTGCCCTGTTCTCTGATAAGATATCCTACGCATTTCAGCTTGCTACATCTCAGGGCCCGCTTTGCCGTGAACCTGTTCAGGGCGTGGCAGTATTTATCGAGGATGTTACACTCGAGGAAATTGGAGATGAAGAACATACTCGTTTGACAGGAGAAGTGATAAGGCTGGTACGCGATGCCGTATGGCAGGGCTTCCTTGATTGGAGCCCTCGAATAATGCTTGCCATGTATAGCTGCGAGATCCAAGCCACAAGTAAGTGATTTCTGCCCGAGATTCTGTAGATGGGAGCTAACTCAATTTTCTCCAGCTGAGGTGTTGGGCCGCGTATATGCCGTTGTGACCCGAAGACGTGGACGGATCCTATCAGAAACTATGAAAGAAGGAACGTCGTTTTTCACAATCCTGTCTCTTCTACCAGTAGCAGAATCATTCGGGTTCTCAGATGAGATTCGAAAACGGACGTCTGGCGCTGCGTCTCCACAGCTGATATTCACTGGATTTGAAATGCTTGATCAAGATCCGTTTTGGGTCCCTGCTACGGAAGAGGAGCTTGAAGATCTAGGTGAGTTGGCGGATAAAGAAAATGTGGCCAAAAGGTATATGGATAGTGTTAGGAGTAGGAAGGGATTGGTTGTTTCTGGGAAGAAGCTGGTTAAAGATGCTGAGAAGCAGAAGACGTTGAAAAGATAGGGGGTGGAGGAGAAAGGATATTGCATGTAAACGGTCATTAAAAGTAAGCGTTGAATAGATCTACCATGACTTTATCACTGGTTTTGAACTATCTTTATCATCAACATTCAATCCCACCCATAGTTGGCCCCTGTTGGGTACATGGGTATATCTCCGCGAAGTGCTGAGGCGCTTTCTATTGCCCAAGCATGGCCTATCCTGCCCTCTAAGGCTCCATTTAAGGGGAGTCCCTGCAGGGAAAACGGGTATCTGCCTGTTAGCTCAGGAGGTATAGTAGGCCATCGCCCTGTATCCTGAGTAAAGTATGCTTCTCACTGGCCGGTTCATATCAAATGCCTACCTGGCCTGGCTCTACAAGCCAAATGAATAACATCCCATCACTCAAAACGGCTTCGCAACCTTCCTCGCCTCACCAACCCCACTAATCGGATCCCTCATCTCCTTCCAACTGATGGGAAACATCATATTCCCGCCCTCACTCCTCGCCATAACGACTCCAAGCTCATTCCGAGCCGTCGAACAATAATACGAACTCTGATCACCGACGGAAATAACGTATGCACGCACAATATCCCCTACCCTAAACATATCCTCCATTACCACGCGGTCCTTCTCAACAGCCCTAACATCTTCTTTGCGGATAATTGCCTGAAACCGCAGATCGTCTGCAGTGTTACTTGTGCTTGTACTATCTGTGCCTGCGGTGGTGATGATGGGCGCTGAAGAGAGAATTGAGCGCATGTCGGTGTCGATGAGGTCGTTGTTTTGGTCATCTACGACCATGAGTATTGAGACTGTTGCCTGGCGCTTTTGAACGCGGGTTACGCGAGCTAGGACGATGGAGTCGACGGCCGGTAGGGTGTTGAATTTTAGAGGGGATTTGGTTTGTTGTTTCTGCGTGGGGTTGCGGGTATCTGTTTGCGGGGAGCGTGATACTGTGAGAATCTTGCGGGGTTTGCGCTTTGGATCTGTTTCTTTATCGTCGCTTTTGAGGATTACTGGGCCGGCTATCGAGGCATAGATGGAGGAGTCGCGGACGTATGTTCCTGGGCCGGAGATGTATGCTGAGCTATTGCCTAGACATAGTCCAGGTACAGCAATAGACGGGATACTCGTAGCCATATCGGGTGATATTAAAAATGCTTTGACGGTATTAAACAAGCAAGATACAAGGAGAGTCAACGCAGCGAAAGACGAAGCTGTTTGAACCACAAGATTGAGATATCAAAAGGTAAAAAAGAGAAGTTTTACCCGAAAACCTAAAGCTTATTAAAGTTACAGCTTACTCAGCAGAACGGCATGACGTCATGTAGTAAACAACGACAAAAACACTGAAGATGAAACGACGAGCCAGAGACCATATATATAACACCACGTAAAGGAACACATTACTTTATGTATCTGGATGCAAAATTTGACTCAAACCAGCACGTGGAAGGAGTTCTACCAAATAAAACACACAAGGAATGTTAGAGTAACAGTTGAGGGAGTGGATGGGGAGGAGGTTCGCGGCGAAAGTAGAGAGAGAGGGTGTTAAAAAAGTATATTGGAAACAGTCTTATATAAATGGAGACGAAAAACAAGTGGAAAAAGGCAATGCAGGGTAGGACAAATAGAAGAGACAAGGAAGGAAATAAAAAAGGGAATGAGAGAAAGGAGGTTGTTTTCAGAAGAACCGTCCCCGAAACGCCTGGACTCCTTGCCACGATTAAATGAGTATTCACAAAGGAAATAAAAACGACAAAAGAAAAAGAAATAATAAAGCGGGAAGTAAATGATAGAGAATAAGCCACAAAACAGTAAAAATGGAATATAATGGGAAAAGCGACGTGGAAGTCAGCAGGTATGGCAGGTATGTATAAGAGCGCCCGATCAAGGGTGAGAGGACAAGGCGGACAATATAGAAAGTAGGCCGCCGTGAACGTCAGAAATGGGGTCATTAGTGGTGGGCATCAGTAGGTGAGGTGGGACAGCTAAGAATGTCAGCTATGCTTGGAGTCGAAGCCGAGTAGTTCCAGGGATCGCTGTGCAAGGGCGATAACTTCGGCAGTGCCTTCTTCAGCATCCTCACCCTCGTCGTCGGACTCGAGGTTCTTGTTTGCGATCGTGCGTACTAGCTGTATTATATCCTCTGAGCGAGTGATGAAGCCAATAAGTCGTTTATCTTCAGACTCAATCAGCTGTAGGAGGGTCCAAATTGCGATATGTTGGAATGTAGGGTCTCCACTGGCTAGGAACCTGTTTAGATAGCCGTGAAGTCCGCCGTTGGGTTCGGTCCAATCTCGAACGAAGATAGAGTAGTCACCAACTAATTACAAAATTAGTAATTAATACGGATAGATATACAATAGGAGGCATGATGACGTACCTTTTGATGATAAATTGCCCAAGGCGGCGGCACTGTTGCCTTGGACCTCGATGCTTTCAGAAGCAGTTAGAGGGATAAGTACTTCAAAGACTCCAAGTTTCAAAAGACGGCTCTTGAGGTCGTCACTCAATGCCAAGACGGCGATAGCGGCCGTCATCTCCGACTGGACGGTCAGTGGCACTTGTAGAACAAGCTCCTTGCATTTCTGGACGGCACCGGCTTCCAAGACTAGCTCCTTATTTCTGTCGGAGCTTGCAGCAAGATTACGCAGAGTGGATATGGCGTGGCACTGGATCTCTTCGTTGTCAATAGAGCCAAGAAGGTCAACTAGTGGCTTGAGGAAACCGGCGTCTATGATAGGCGACTCGTTGTTTGGGTGTATGGATATGTTGCGAATGCACGCCACCGCGGAGAGGATGAGCGGAAGGTAAGAGGACTGCAGCAACCGAAGCAGTGGCGGCAGTCCTCTAGCACGGACAATCTCTAGTTGATACTTGTCGTCTGAGGCTAAGTTTCTGAGCGCCAGAGCTGCCTGGCATTGTACTTTGGGCGTAGACGAGTCCATGAGCTGCACTAGAGACTGTACGAGGCGCGACTCCGTCTGCGCAAGCTTCTTCCGGTTTAGGGCATCAACAGCAATGTTGCTCAGAGCAGTAGTGCAGTAGTACTGGACGTCAACATCTGGTGAGGTAAGCAGTTGGACGAGAATGGGTATTGCGCCGGCTAGCACCAGCTGCTGCCTGTTTTCATCTGTATAGCAACGTTAGCAGGGATGGAAAACAAAACCAGGGTATGTCCGACATGGATACATACCCGAGTGAGTCATGTTGAGGAGAGCGCCAGTCGCATTTCTTTGCACACGCATGTCCTTGGATCTGGCGAGTCTGGTAAGCGGGCCCAAAGCTCCTGAGCCAGCTATCTTTGCCTTGTTTTCCTCATGGGTAGCTAGGTTAGTGATACAGCCGACGGCGTTGCACTGCACCTCGACGTTGGTAGACATCATCTGCCGGATCAAAGGAGCAAGACCTCCCAGCATGACTATCGACACCTTGTTCTCGGCTGGGGAAAGAAAGAAATTTAGCTTTCGACGCCCATAGGGACGAAGCAAGAAGGCAAAAGGAAAAGACGTACTGTTGACGGCAAGGTTACCCAGGGCAGCACTGGCAGCCCGCTGGACCTCGATATCTGGGCTCTCAAGCAGGAAGAGTATGGGTTCTAGCGTATCTCGGTCGACCTCGCGGACATCTATCGAAGCACCGATGGATTAGCCAAAGCGGGGCCCCTCCCTTTCTCCCGTCCTTCTTTTGGTTTTATTTATATATATATTATGTTTGCCGCGCTCTGGGAGCTCACCTCGCTCTGTTATCTCGGCAAAGGTCAGACTGGCACTTCGCTGGAGGTCGACGTTGTCCGAGTAGACCAGGGTGCTGAGTGCCCGAAGGGGCTCGCCGGTAAAGAAGTCTGTCTCATTTCGCTGCGGACAACAGCAAGTTTCAGCAACCGGGCGCCGACAGCGCGACGAGGAGAGGGAGCAGAGGACGACGTACGTTCTCCAGATACTGTAAGAGGTCTGCTACAGCTTCGCGTTCACTGTCTGCGATGATTGGTTCGTAGAGGCTGTCCCTCGATCGACCTGTTCGTGTATTCCGACGGGGAGCCGCCAGGTCAGCAAACGGACGGACGGTGGCACCAAACGGGGGGAGACGAGGTCAGAGAAGTACCTGTGAGGCAGGAAAGACATGCATTTCCCATTCTTCCCGCGGCTCTCTCGCTCTGTCGTAGCCTGCAGCGGCCGTAGTAGTCCTTGGTGTTGTCGTGGGCGGTGGCTGTTGGCCGGTGGTTGGAGGTCGATGTTGTTTGTTTGATGTTGTGGTTTTTGACGTTCGACAGTCCAGCTTAGTTAACTTAACCTACCCAAGCCCCCGAGGCAGCTAGCTGGGACTAACGCCGGCTTAACTAACAACTAGTTTTACCTTGGGGAGACAGGGAGAGAGGGCTCTTGTTTGCTCTGCTTGCTTGGTCTGCGTGGTCTGTTTCTCTCTCTTTTCGCGGCAGCAGCTCGGCAGGTCGGACGAAGAGCGTACGGAGTCGCCAGACGCAGGGACAGCGAGAGCTCGATTGGCTATTGCGAGAAAGAAGGCGACGCGACAGGCGAGGTCGTCCACGGGCAGAGGCAAAGCAGGAGAAAGCAGGCGAGGGAAGAAAGACAGCCAGAAGAATAAATAGGAAAGCCGGAGAGAAGAAGCAACGCAGCAGCAGCAGCAGGCCTTGTGATGAAGAAAGCCACAGGCGGCAGCAGCAGGTCGAGTCTTTGCTTCCTGCGGCGGTGCAGCCAGGACGCTCTCTTCCTCTGCTGGCGGCGTCTTCCTCTTCCTCTTCTTCCTCTTATTTTACTCTTCTTGCTCGTCTCTTGCTTGTTATCTTCGACTCTTTCTTCTCTCCTTTTCGTCTTCTTCTCGTCTTCTCTTGTTCTTCTTTATTTCTGTGGCTGGGAAGCGTATTTGAAATACCGGGATGTTACTTAGTTTACTCTTCGGGATGCGGTAATAATGGTAATTACGAATAAGGTTCGACTTGAAGGGGATATAAAAAGACGGCGACGAAGACGTACGGAGTAGATACGAAAAGAAGAAGAGAAGAAGATGATGATCAAGAAAGGTGATAGAAAGGGGAAAGTCGATCTACGAGATGCAAGTAACCAGGCCATGACAGTTTCCACGCTTCCACGCTCTCTCAGGCTTGCTCTAGTTCTACATATGCACCGTAGATCAGCATTGCTCACTGCGAGTAACTATGTAAGTCAGCAGTCAGTCGCTACGGATTACTCTGTCGTTTCCTGTCTCGCCAATGTCCTGGCAGTGAAATGGCAGGCAGTTTCGCCTTCATCCTCATTGGAGGAAGCTCTCAGCCCTCCCCTTGCTCCGTCCAAGCCTCCAAGCTCGAGTCTGGAGTCGACAGCTCATTTTGCGCCGTAGGTCATCGAGATCGTGACATCGACGGGCTCAAGCCATGATGGATCAGAACGACATTTACCCCATTCTCCGTGGTTTGACCAGCGTTGGGAAAAGTTTCGACATCCCCTGATGCTTGTCTGGAGTAAATCTGATGGAAAACGGCCGATTTAAGCATATTATCGATCATGCAGCTGGATGGCCAGGGTGCGTCTCTCTCTCTTGTCCATTGCAAGCTCGTCATGGCAGGCCAATGGCAGGCCCAGTCGATAAAAGGTCTGCAGGGTGGCGCTGGCCGGGATGCGGAAGCAGAGGCAGCATCATATGGGAATTAAGCAGAATTTTAAGAAACCCTTGAAGGGTCAGGCGTGAGTTGGTCAGATGATGCTGATGGCGTAAGTCGGGCCCCTGGCTATGCTCATCATAAGGTACATAACTTGCTTGCCTGCATGCATAAACAGCGATATACTGACGTACAGAGAGACACAGCATGCAGGGACGTTGTGTCGTGCCGCGGCAGTTGGACGTTGGATTCGTGTTGGTAGTAACTCCGTATGGACAGCGTTGTCGTTATAACGAGATAGCCACCAGCATGTCGTATATCTAGAGTCAGTCATCGTACATGTGTACCTTGAAGACGGCCTGAGGAGTGCCTTTTTTTATAACCTTCTTCTTCTTCCTCCTCTTCTCTTGAATCCCGCTGAAGACAAAATCTCCTGTTAAGCCACCGATTAAATTCTCCGTACCTGCGTCTTGGTCTGGTCCCTCTGCCCTGGGTGTCAGATTCATTTTATTTTCTCCTCCCGTTCTCCAGCTCCTGTTCTCCCTGCGACCTGAGGTTATACGGAATGTTTCTGGCAAGAGGCCCATAAGGCTGAAACAGACCCCTAGCTATCCCATCACATCGACTGCCCACACCGATTTCATATACGTACGGAGTATGAGTTACCAGTTGGACCCAGCCCCGAGATGTTGCTCCATGCAACCATCCGCCGCTGCATACATAGTTCAAGAGTGAGAGCACAGCATACAAAAAAGAAAAGAGCAAGGGCTGTCCTGTCGATGATGATCGCCCTGGGTGTGTGTGTTCCGTACGGAGATCCGCGTAGGAGTGCAACTTGCGCAAGGCTCGCTGTCTGTCTGGATCTCTGGCCCGTCCGTCTGCCTCCCTGTCTGTCTCCTTTAAGACGGCCCTCCCGCTCAATCCGTAACCCGTACTTACTCCGTATATAAAAGCGGGTTGACTTTGCAGCTTCGGAGTGCTCCGGATACGGACGAACGACTGAAGATGGAGCCCTGCAAGGCCTCGACAGCCCGAGTCAGCCAGGCCAGGGTAGCTCGAGCAGACATTGGCATTTCAGCTGAACGGGCATCGATGTGCAGGCGATATGCAGACCCGATGCGCTGCAGACAGCGATTATTTGAGTTAGTTGTTCATCTGGCGGCCACCAAAAACTGTATCGTATCTCCGGGTCGGTTCTTGAGAGTCCGGGCCGGCTTTCGTTTGGTCAGACTCCGTAGTTTTAGGGGGTTCGATAGTTGATGTTGAAGTATGAAGATGAGCTTCCCATCTTCAGCACCGCAACGCCGGCCTTGTCCAATAATTAAACAGCTGCTCCGTACATCGGCCACGGCTGCATCGTCTCCATCGCCATCGTACATCCATCAGCCTGTCTTCCCTCGTAATAATGCAGTGAAGATCAAAAAGAAAGCAGCTGAAAAAGCAATAACTCTCTCCGTCACCCCCCAAAAGGTCCACCAAGACTGGAGGTGAGAGAGCAATTGGGCATCTCGCTGGAAGGTCTGCTGCGTGTTTTTCTTGCGTCTCTCTCTTCCTCTTGCTCTCTGGCCTTCCGTACCCCCGGCTATCAACACCTTGCTGCGCCTGGCTCGCTGGTTCTTGCTTGTTATCCACCCTCCCTCCCCCCTGGACGAACCTGAAACCTGAAACCCAAGAGTACGAAGAAGAAGCAGAAGAAGCAGAAGAGCTTGCAGTAGGAGGAGCTGGTCACAGACACAGACGCTGCTGCGGACCTCCAACTAGTCCGCCAGCCTCCCAAGCGAAATAATTAATAGCAGCAAGGGCACACGGGACCTCCTCCTTGCGCCGTTAGCCTCGAGTTTAGTCGTTCTGATGCAGCTAACTAGCGGCTGGAGGTTTGGTCGTGCCACCAGCGGCGGCGTTGTTGGGCGTAGGTAGGAGATAGCGAGTAGTCCTGTAGGGTAGACAGACGGCTTGGAGGCGAAGTCGACATCGCTTCGTCTCGTCTTTCTCGTCTTATTCTTCTTATTCTTATTCTTCTTCTCATCTTCTTCTTGTCTTCTTCGTCTTTGTCGTCGCCATCTCCGTTGCTTGTCTTCCATCAAGGCCGGGCCATACATCCTGGCAAACAAGATATTCCATCATAGCAAGCAGCAAGCAAGCGAGCAGCTGTTATATCTATACGGCCAGAGGGTAGACTGGTTCCAGCACCCGGCTCTGCTTGATATATATATATCTCCTTCCCATATATTATATCCATTATTAGCTATCATCCGCGGCCGGCACCTTGGGTTGCATTTCTTATATTTCGCCTCTTCTTCTTCCTCCTCTTTTCCCAGGCTGCGTCCATTCGGGTAAGCATGGCATCGTCCCTGTAACTAGAAAGCTGTCCGTCAGTCTCTTACGTCCGCTTGTTGCTGACCGGCTGCTACTGACCTCCAGTCCCTCCATGACCACCGCCGCGCCGCCGACCTGCCCGTCGACTTCCACGCCGTCGTTTGGAAGCAGACTGCGCCGTCTGAGCCAGCGACGGCCGCAGACACAGTCCAACGGGCCTGTCCAAGGCTCCTCAGCGTCCGCTAACCACCGTTCGTATCGCAAGCGGCTTAGCTGGGTCGTTGGCCGGGGCTCTTCTCATCTTCCCGCGGCCCCAGAAGGAGAAGAAGACGGAGAGCCAAACCATCACCATCACCACCAACATCAACACAACCACGACATCCACGACGGCGACGACCACGACCACAGATCGTCGCTTCAGCAACAGGAAAACTCCGATCTGTTGCATGCTGAGCTGGACCGCAGCGCCTCGGCGGAGCTCGAGTCCTCGTCGCAGCGGTACAGCGTCTTCAGTCGCTCTGACGCTGAGAGCAGTGAGTCCTCGACGTCGGAGGACAGGCCAGAGCAGCTAGCGGAGGCAGGCTTTCGGTCTCGCAGACACCAGCAGGCCTCTCTCTCGCAGGATACCACAAGCTACACCATGGCCCAGGCCCTGAACATGGCGTCCGTCGTCGTGGGCGCGGCCGCTTCTTCGCCTATTTCTCCCTCCGCCGCCGCCATCGCCGCCGCGGACACCAGTAACAGCGGCAGCGGCAGAGCACCGGACCAGCCGACGACCTCTTCCACCGCCCACCATTCTACATCCCAGAACGGCCACTCCTCCTCGGGCACGGGAGACTCGACTGAGACGTCGATGTCTGCGTCAAACTCGCCCGACCAGCAACACCAGGATCAGCAGTCCATCATCCGTTTCTTCGCCTATCAAGACCCCCACCAGAACTCCAGGCCCTCGCTCCCCTTCGCTCCCATGACACGAACCATCACAGACGAATCAGCCATTATAAAAGTCGGCCGGTACTCTGAGCGTGAGGGCATACCCGCTGAAGGTGCCGCGGGATCGTCCTCTGCTCCCGTCGGCTTCAAATCCAAGGTCGTCAGCCGGAAACACTGCGAGTTCTCCTTTATCGGCGGGCAGTGGCATATCAAGGATGTCGGGAGCTCCTCGGGCACCTTTCTCAACCATATGCGTCTCAGTCAGCCTAATGTACCGTCCAGACAGTATGCAGTGCGGGATGGTGATATCGTACAGCTAGGGATCGACTTTAGAGGCGGTGAAGAGCTCATTTTTAGATGTGTGCGCATCCGCATAGAATGCAACAGGATGTGGCAGCAGAGAGCAAACCAGTTCAAGTATGCTTCTCTCTCTCTCTGTCTTCCTCTCTCTTCTTCTGTTTTCATTGCTAACGAAATTTATAGTAAAAACACGGAAGCTCTTATCACTAATCTTGGAAAGGGCTCTATGGATGCCACAGACTACGAAGGCTGCAGGGAATGCTCCATATGTCTCGGCTCTGTTTTGGTGAGTCTGACCTGTATCGGTTCTTTATATACGTTGCATCTAACCAGCACACAGCGTCCATACCAGTGCCTGTTCATGGCTGCCTGTGCCCATGTCTGGCACTACAAATGCATCCGCCGGCTAATACACTCTCCTGAATATCCCATGTTCCAATGTCCAAACTGCCGAGCGTACACAGATTTGAACGCAGAAGTAGACGACTCAAACGACCCATATGAAGAAAAAATCAATCCTTCCCCTAATACCCAGCCGCAGCAGCAGCCGCAACAACCACAGCAACCACAACAGCAACCGCAACAGCAACAGCAACGTTACCCACCTCAGCCTCTAGAAAATAACACAACCACTACCAACACTACTTCCCGAACGCATACAGCCAACAACTCAAGCTCAGCCCCGCCCATTGTCTATACACACACAGAAACTGACGGGCCCCTCGCAACTGCTACAGGGAATATGACCCTCGAATCTGACCCTGAACCGGAGCCGGAGCCGGAGCATGACCCATCAGACGGCCCGGACGGAGACGTCTTCCACCCGGCCGTAGAGCAACCATTAGGCGCTCATTCAAACGACGTCCACCGCAGTCAGAACATCGACATATTATCTCCAAACTCGAATACTCGAACAGGTATGGGCAGAAGGAGGGTGCCGGACAGAGCAAACCGAGACACGATATACGTTGAAGATCCCCTAACACCACGAAACGATACAGGACTCCTAGCCCTCGACGGCCGTGCCGGGCGGCTCTAAACCCGGACTTTCCTACAGCCTCTCTCTTTCTTGCATTTCTCCATCTTCATCTCCCTTGTTTTGGCTGGCATCTGTCTCCCTGTTCGACGATTTCTCTTCCATCTTATCAACTTACTACTTATTCCCCCCTCTCATCGGCGTTTTGAGCGACTTCTTACTCCCATGGCATCTTCGCCAATCGGCCTCCTTCTTTCTTTTGATACTCCATTCTTTGCTTACTTCTCCTTTGTCCTTCATCTAATCGTCTTGTCCATACTATCCTTCTCTTGATTCCCCGCCGCAGCTCAAAAGATTCCCTGCGATTATTACATCATGTCGTATCTTTATTATTGCTTTTTCTTCTTCTGTCTCTCTTCACTTCTCTTGGATAACTCTGGAGTACACCAATGATCTGCTCTCAAGGGGGTGACACTTTATACATACCCAAACACACCGTACTTAACCTCTAACATCGCCATCGTCAACGTAATCGCTTCTCCATAGACACACCTCAACCGACTCTCAGTCCTCCTGTGTGATTTGGCCTCTACTGCTTGACTTTAACTATTAAATGTCCCGCTGAGTCCCACCTGAAACAGCCCCTGAAGGCAGGCCCTTCGACCCGTCCCCCACATGGAAACGCGTATATATTTGTACATAGTTAGACGGGAGAAGCCGAGACAGGGGGGATGTCCTGTTATTATAAGTATAACTATCACCTTCGACCAGCCCGAGCGGCATCCTTCTTCCAACTAGTTCTATTCCTGTCATTATCTCGTTTCTTTTTTGCTTTGCGTCCGCTTCGTTAGTTGATTAACTAGGTGCCGCTTGGGTCAGGTTCGGGTTCGGGTTCAGGCTCAGGGGCTGCGCGAGAGAAAGTGACCTCGCCCGTCCGCCCGTCTTGCCCGTCGCTCGAGGTACCGAGAGTTCTCGTCCTCGTCTGTATCCGTATCCTGTAGTTTGTCGGCGACAGAGACATCGAATCCTTCACCATGCCGGTAGATACCACAGGCAGCGCAGCGCAGGAGAACGGCGCCAGGCACCATGGCCGCCAGCCTACCCATCCCTTCAGGCTGTCCCATCGCACCAAACCACGGAGGTACCGCCCCATATACCAAACCCCCTTTCCCAGGCGCCCGTTTCTAATGCATAGATGAATGAATGGGGATAATAGATGGCCTCTGGTTCTGCGGTTCATCAAGGGAGCCATCCATGGAGCCATCCTGGTGCCGGTGCTCTGCCATGCCATCTTCACCGTCCTAGTTGTCGTACTCGATAAGCATGTATTTGATACCGTGGGCGTTCCACCGACGATCGTACGTTGAGAGCAATGCTTCTTCCCTGCAGCCAGCCTGGATGTTAATCGTTCGCCCTAGATCCCTTCGCTGTCCATCGTCGTCGGTCTCATCCTCGTCTTCCGCAACCAGACCTCCTACAATCGCTTCTGGGACGGCCGCAACTGTCTGACCACGATCACCACCGCGCTTCGCAACCTCACCCGGACCATCCTTGTCTCATGTCGAAACCCCAATGGCCCTCTCTCGGACGCTGAAAAGCAGGATATCGAACGCACGATCCGTCTGCTCATCGCCTTTCCGTACGCCGTCAAGTGCTATCTGCGCGCGGAATGGAGCACAGAATGGGGATCCGTCTCCAACCCAAACATGATTGCCGATGCCGTTCTGCGACAGGAAGCTGGCGGCCCCAAGCAGGAGTTCCTTAGCCTGCTGCCTGCCGGATTCCAGGCTCATGAGGCAGACGGCCTCGGACTGCCGCTTCAATTGACCTTCCCCGTCGAAGCGTTCATCCAGCGAGGCGCGAAGCGAGGCTGGTTCGATCCGCCTGCTGCCAACCAGCTCGGCAACCAGGTCAGCGCCATGATCGATGCATACGGGAAGATGGAAACGATCAAACTGACCCCCATTCCCGTCGCTCACTTGTGAGTTTCCTTCTCTTAACACACTCTCTTTTACTCCGGTTTGCGCGAGGAAAACACTCCAGACAACTAACTTGTATCATAGGATTCATCAAAAGCAAGTCCTGGCTTTGTTCGGCTGTGTTCTTCCCTTTGCAATGGTAGACGATATGGGCTGGTGGGCAGTTCCCATTGTCTGTCTAGTCATTTTTACACTGTACGGTATCGAGGGCATTGGCTCTCAGCTCGAAGATCCCTTTGGTTACGACAAGAATGACATCAAGATGGATGCCATCGTCGAGGACGAACGGGTCGAGATCGAAGCTATCCTTAACGAGTGGAAGAAGTTGAACGACCTGCCTGTCGATGGCGACGGTTCAGCTACCAACGGTGCCAGGAACGGCGCTCGTAACGGTACTACCAACGGCGCTCGCAATGGAACCCATAACGGTACCCATAACGGAGTCAGCAATGGAAGTTTTGTCCCTCGAGAGATGTTTATCAGGGGTTAGTTTTTCAAGCATCTTGCTCTTTGGTTTGCTTTTGCTCCTTTCTTGATTTAAGCATGCCTCTCGTTTTGATATATCCGTGGCTTTAGACTGTCTTTCATCCTGAAGAATTTTCCCTGCTTTTCTCCCTCGCTCATACATGTATTGATGCCCCAAGTCTCAGCCGGTGGTCAGTTTGTCATTGCTCTCTGTTTATATATCCCTCTCTTTCGCTCAGTTGTACATCACATCGTTTTTAGCAAACCGCTCGATATCCTTCAAGCAGAATGAACATATCTACTAGAACCAAATGGGCTCTTGATATACCCGTTACACCTTTGCGGCCCCGCTTGTTTGTGATTGGTATTCAGGCATATCTATGGGGGAAGAGCAATAACAATACATGGAGATATGATATGGGTAATGATATGGGGGGAATGTAGTAAAACAGTGCCATAGCACTGTATGCAGCTACCTATGTAGTTGTCCAGATACCCCCCATAAACTAAAGTTAGAATCATACACTCATATATCCTGTCCAACTCCCAAGCCTAACGAACAGGGACACCAATTTGTTGGAGCGAATCTTGTTTTGCAACTATGTTAAAAGAAAGAACATGGTGGTAACAGCGATGAGTGCCCCATGCAAGCTACCTATGAGCTGAATACTTTCCCTTGCTCCTAGATACAAGTGGCAAGGAATCCCGGTCCACTCTCATTGCATGGCCATATAGATCCACCGGCGGGTGTTGTGAGGATGATGATTCCCAGGATGATGGAGTATCAATCTCGCTCAATGATGTGTATGGAGACTCTTCTTCCTGTACTTGCATCTCCATTGTCATTGCATGCCTTGACTGAGTAACTCGGCCTGAGTAGGCAATACGTGGCTTATTGTCTGCTTCGTTGATAGCGTTTTCCGTCTTATTTCCCGGGGATTTAGGCTCAGAAGGACCGTCTTCAGTTAACTCGCCTACTACCCGAGAGCACAGATTTTTCATTGATTGGTGCTCTATGGTCTTCTTAGATTCATCCTTTGCCTGTTTCTCTCTTTTGAGAAAGTTTTCATGCCGCGCCTTGCACCGTTTCATGCCTTCTGACAATAGGGGGAACTGGGCTCTCGTTACTGGACCTAGGCGCGATTCACGGTTTCGTTTTCCATGACCACATATCCAAAGGATATCAGATCGCAGCCTCCAAATAGCATCAGGTATCCAGTTCTGGTAGTAACCATACGTTCGCCCTTCCCAAGTCTTTAATCCCATTGAAATCCAGAATGTGTGCGCTCGTTGGATATTATTAATCGTTCTTAACTCCCCGTCCCCCAGCTGAACAAGCCATATGTGCATAAGAAGGAGCATTCGTGGAAGTTGATATTTATATCGGGGTTTATTACCCGAGTGAAGCCCGCTCGGCAAGCAGCTGAAATAGCTATCAAAGCAAATATCGGGGAACTGGATATATCAACGCGCTGTGAGTATAAAGTACCATATTCATGCTAAAGCATATCATCTGTTTAGCTATCAAAAGAGAGATATGAGTACGTACGTAGAAAGCTGGGTTCCCCAGTTCATCATACCTCGCAGGACCAAAAATAGCCATGTTGTAGCGGCGAACGTCGCCTATCGAATTGAACTCTGGACGCTGATCCAGCTCGGCCTCGTCCAACTCCTCGAGAGCATCCTTCAACTGTTTTAGCTTTGCGGCTTTTGTGTCTCTCATATTCTTGTCTGGACTTTGACTGGCCTTTCGTTTGCGTGACAGTGGGCCTAGACGCGAATGTGAGGCTGTAGCCATGAAAAGAATGTCTCTGCGCACGCGCGTTCAATATTTCCCAGTTCACAGATTTAGTAGCTATTGGCTATGATGGTCGAAGTCCAGGCAGCTCGTGGCAATTATGTTTGAGTTAGGGAGGGATATATGTTAGATTTGCCCCTCCTCAGTGGCTGTGACAAGTAGAAGTATGAGGCAAAACACCAAAGTAAGAGAGGATGATATGTGTGGCCAGAATTATAATAAACGCGTACGGAAAGCGAATATAGAGTGGCCGTGAAAGATCAACCCGCTTAGGCAGCAGTCAGTGTTGGTTCATTGTACAAAACAACGCCACCATCGCGCTTTCTGAGCTGGGGTTGTTCGTTTTATCGGAAGTTGTGACTGTCGAGTAGTTGCACCTGTAAAAGGGAAGGTATAAAGACAGTAGCACTAACAAAGGGCATAGACCTATTCACAATGGTGCTTCGACTTCAGCCAATACGTCTTCGATTATGCTTTCTGGAGTTGCAGACGACAGGATCTTCTCAACAGCATTAATATCGCTCCCGTACATCATACTGCGATCGTCCTCGGGTTTTGCAACCGAGATACGATGGCGGTATATCTTCATTGCTGCCAAAGCCACAAGGGAAGGTGGGATGTAGTCAACTCCATGAAGTGCTGCAAGGCATCTATCCGAATCATGAGCTTTCGAGAAGACCCAAGTTAGAATCAAACTTACTTGACTATCTTGTGAAACTGGCGTGTAGCTGGGGCCGTTATTCCGCAAAATATGGCCCGATTGAACCTAAGAAAATTGATAATATTTTCAATGTAGCAGTATACCTCAGTGGATACTGTCACTCTGGGAATCAAACCCCTTAAATAGTCAATGTTCTATGTCTAGGGGATTAGCACAACTTTGCAGGTTCAGTGGTTTTATTTGGTATACATACCTCTTCCGAAATTAATGTGGCTTTATCTGCCAACTGGGCTGAGTAGGATGAATTCCAAACAGCGGAAGATAGGGATCCTCTCTCATCAGCCAAGGAACTACCGTCACCTTCTAGATTTACAAGGCCAACGGATGGATCATGGTAGTGAGAAATGGATATGTGCTCATTCTAGGTCCTGTGTGAGCGGCATCCTAACACCTACGTAAGAAAGTAACATACTAAGTGGTTGTTTAATCGAGACGATAGTTCTCGTGTGTCAGAGGAAAGGATTGGTATAAATATGAAATTGTTCGGAACATTGTATGTAGTAGCTTTGATATAAACTCGTCGGGAGCGTATCATCTGTGAACAATTTACGATTAGCTTTGAACAGAACTTAACATCTAAAGTGTGAGTGAATAATACCTCTAGCGTTTGTACTTGTATACTCTGTGAGATGCGGTCAAAATTTTTGGCAATGATAACGTTCACGGTTTCTCGTCTGTCATGGCCATTTGTAGAAATATTGGCATAATCGCGTTGGGCAACTTCAATAATCTATATCAGTGTTAAAATTAATTATCTTATTGGTCGTAGAGGTGGCTGCATTATTTCGGACGTTTGGTAGTTTAGAAGGGGAAACGGTGCATCATGAGAGTGTGAGGAGAAAAAAAGGTATGATATCGCAGCTTAACTTGTTATGTCTTGCCTTTGAAACATTTTCTTCTCTGCGGAGTGGCTCGGATTGCCGACGCCTATGTTCCAAGATGGTTGTGTTGAACTCTTCAAAAGAAGTGTCGGCTGCGCAGTCAATAACAGCATAGGACAGCCCAAATATTTCTCGAGATATCTAGTGTTCTCTGTAAGCATGCCTGTAGCACGTCACAATATGTAGGATACCTACCAATATCAGTTCTTTGACAAGGTCATCCAATGTGCTCGATGGGGTATCAATCAGGCAATTTTCTTTGGCGATTAAGCAAAGTAAAATGGCAAACTCGAGATCCGTAAGATCTTCAACCTTTTTACTTATATCTGCACGGGTATCCATTGTGTCCAAAACACAAATTAAGTCCCTGGAGAATGTTGGGATGATTAGTTAAATAAATAAAGCTGTTGTTGGTTTCGCCTTCCTTGGAGGATGTTGATCTCCCAAACACAATCTAGCACGTGATGATATAGTTAACAAGGTTCCAAGTAATAAACAATAAACTCTAATGGATGACAATAACTGTAAGCCATGTGGCTGGAATAAATATATTCCTGTCCGTGGAGCTTGGGCCACCACTTCCTTAAAGCTAGAGCTTATTCTCACTTCGAAATGCGTTGGACCACAAGGGAAAAAAAGGCCTAATGCCCCAAGGTATCATTGGGTAATGTGTGGGAGTCTAGCTAAAGTGGAATATCCCAACAAAATGCCCATAATTCTTCCGTCCAGTCTCACCGGGGTAGGTTTACTGATTGAAAGCAGGCCCCAAACATGCATTATATAAACTTTTGGGCCTTCCAGACACAGTTGCAAATACTAGCAAAGTTGGCCTTAGTGATTATGATATCGGTCTCGGCGGTATTATCTTTCCTTGGGCGACCGGCGAGCTTCTTAAAGGATAGTCATATCACCAGCTACTTCGGTGATCCCATTATGGCGGATCACAATGACTTTCTCCACAATATCGCCACGTAGTGTGGATGAGTGAGTCACTCGCTGTGGCTCTGATTCGTGTTCCCATTTATCAAAGGTGATTTGAGGACCGGTTTGGTCAATATAGGCTGTGATGGCAACCTTGGGTTCGGACCCTTCTGATTCTAGCCATCTTCTCGCATCTATAGCGAGCTTGCTCCCCTTTTCTGACAGGCCTGTCTCAACCACAAGAATAGGCCATTCTCGACCGTCCGGTGTAAAGCTAGCATCTGGCTGCTTGACGAAAGTTCCTGTCCTATTGGTAAAACGGGCGGTTCCAGTGCCGTCTATCTCATCTTCAAGGCTCATATTTGATATCCCTATCATTAAATAGAAGGCAAGCCTGTGGGCGAGAATCTCGTGGGGTGCTTTAGCCTTCGTTTTAAGTATTAAAATTCCTTCCCGTATGTTCGCAGAGAGAAGTGGCCCTCTGTTGGGATATTCTGTATCATAGTCTTGGAGGATAGTAGAAGGTACGCCTACTACGATAAGAAAGCTGCTTTCCGAATTATCTTTACAACATCCTTCTACCATGAGCCTAACTTTCCCATATTGGTGTATTTGATCTGTGGTGTTCCCTCGGGAAGTCCGATCAATAGGCTCGAAGAAGAAGGAGCAACACAATGCGGCTTTGATGTCCCACCCAAACGAGGCATTATGAGTAACTAGAATATTGATGTTTTATGCAACTAAATTGTAGGGTGTCAGCACAATAGAGAGGTTGTTAAGATATGACGCAGTTTGGACGACTCTGATATTTATTTTAATAGACTTTTAAGAGAAGTGCTAGGGTAGGTTGTGGAAAATCAGAATCGGTATAACTAGCAGGAGAAACGTTACCTCTAATTGAGTACCATCCATGGCTTTAGGAAAGTTAGATATTGTTACTGACGCCCGTCGGCATACAATAGCTAGCCCATAACACCAATGAAGCAAGAGTCCAGTATTTCGCGTACTACGCCCCACTGGGAGTTGCACATGTGCAAATTATCCGGATCATGGCAACTGTCGTTGTAAGGCATTCCGCCCCAGGGTTTTGAATTGACTAGCCTATAGTCCCTCGATGGCACACTGAGCTTTGCCACTGCTATCTCCCGCGTCTTCGTTTATTTTCTATACGGCTTTGGGTTGAAAGAGACCCAAAATAAGAATGTTGTTCATGCAACTCTGGATCCAATCTGCGTTTTGCTAAAGGCATCCTTGGATGGCCGTATATTAAGGCCGTATACACAAGATGACCTCTGAACAAGTTATAAGAGTAATTCGGCGAACCTCAAGGGGAGTTTCATTAAATAAAGGACTATCTCTCACATAACCCTTGTATAGATAATTTAAGCGACTCGAACGAAGGTGACTCCGCGCTGGGTGTTTGGGAAGAGCTGGTGGGCGAAATGCTTTGTGCAGCAGCCTGATAACGGTACCAGACATGCTCAATATACTTATTAGATATGAGTTAGCGGGATCTTGTCACTTTGTAGGGCAAGCGTCGACGATGAAGTCGAAGTTGGGCGACGTTGTGTATTTATACTCCGTAATGTACCTAATACCAAATTAATTACCACTAGTAAAATAGCCGACGTCCTTTCGACGTCAACGATATGGAGATAAAACAAGAATCATCAAGCAAAGATATCAACTCGGGGTGCTTGAATCAGAACCTCGATTACTGAACAGTTGTTTATCCGCCAGGAAGCGTGCGGCCTAATCTCGACAAAGCTATGAATGCAGTTGAAAGATGACACCACCGAACCCCCTTGCTGACTGGGAAAGAGTTGGAGACCAGTTTTATAGAAAGTCTCGGATCTATGATGCCGTGTTTGATGAGGATATTGAGCTAGAGAATTATATTGCCGTGGGTGCTCCATACGGCGGCGCTATAGGTATTCCCCTTATGGATACTTGCTATCGAGGACATATTCTCACTTGACCTATAGCTCTCCACAGGGACGAACGAAGGCTGCAACGATACAGGGATGCTCAGACATCAAAATCAAGTATTGACATTTATTCCTGCTCAGGGCAACGTATTTGTCGGATAAATGTAAGAGTCTATTTCATTTCATTGATTTTTTTATTTCTTATTCTGAAAGAGAGCTGATATTGTTGTAGTGGGATCATGGGTCCATTCGTGGTTTGGGATGGTCCGACGACGAGAGATTGTTGGCTGTCACTGAAGATGGTACTGTTCGTTGCTACTATGGCCTCAGTGGAGACTTTACACCATTCTCGCTAGGATCCGTGAGTAGATGGTACATCTATTTCTCAGCTGTTTATATCGTGTTGACCAATTCCTAGGTAGCCGAGGAATATGGTGTAGTTGGGTGCCGATTTTGGACTACGGGATTTGTTGCGTTGTTGTCAAATAACCAACTCGTTGCAGTATCTCACTATGACGAACCACGCCCGAAGTTACTAGCGCAATCTCCAGAAGGCGAGATTAACTCATGGTCGTTGATACCCCCTACCTATACCCTTTCCCGGTCAGTTGAAGTCCTACTTGCAATAGACAAGACTATCTACGTTGTGGATGCAGCCGACTCTGAGGACCGCATGCTACAGAATGGACCCTTCAAACATGTTAGCGTATCACCAAATGGGCTTTTTGTGGCCCTGTTCACTGGGGATGGAAAGTTGTGGGTTGTTAGTAGTGATTTCCAGAACAAGTTCAGTGAATACGACTCACACGCCAGAACTCCCCCCGGCTCCGTGACTTGGTGTGGGAACGATGCGGTTGTCCTTGCTTGGGAAGACGAAGTCCATATGGTTGGACCAAACGGTGCTGCGGTGAAGTATTACTCTCTATACCTGTTTATTCTCCCGGTCGATTCTGACATGTGAATATCTCAAAGGCATTTTTATGATGGCCAAGTCCACATAATTCCAGATATTGATGGGATTAGAATTTTAACAAACGATGTGTGCGAGTTTCTGCATAAAGTTCCTGGTATGCCACTAACGATTAATTTTATTGAGCCGGATATACTAATACAAACCAGATGCCACCGAGGAAGTTTTCCGGCTCGGGTCGAGTGCGCCAGCTTCCGTTTTGCTTGACTCTGTTGAGCAGCTTGAAAGGAAATCATCTGCCGCGGACGAGAATATTCAGAGAATACGTACCAGTTTAGTCGAGGCTGTAGATACATGCGTACGGGCTGCCGGGTACGAATTCAACGCTTATTGGCAAAAGCAGTTGCTCAAGGCAGCATCCTTTGGGAAATCCATCCTAGAACTTTACAACAGCGATGAGTTTGTTGATATGTGTGAAAAGCTCCGTGTCTTAAACGCTGTCCGGGACTATAAAATTGGCCTACCAATCTCGTACGAACAGTACATGCGGCTTACGCCAGAGAAGCTCATTGAACGCCTGATAAATCGCCGGGAATACCTTCTCGCCATACGTGTTTCTGAGTATCTACACCTTCCTGCCGACAGGATCTTCGTTCACTGGGCAATTCAGAAAGTCAGGTCGTCCACAGAAGACGATGATTCAATTTGCCAGATAGTTGTACAGAGACTTCAGGGAAAACAAGGAATATCCTTTGAATCCATAGCACGATCAGCTCACGAGGAAGGCAGATCACATTTAGCAACACAGCTACTAAACCACGAGCCACGCGCTGGGAAACAAGTCCCATTACTTCTCAGCATGGAAGAAGACACTCTCGCACTCGATAAGGCAACCGAGAGCGGAGACACAGACCTCATCCTATTTGTCCTTCTTCAGCTTAAACGCAAACTTCCCCTAGCTACCTTTTTCCGGACATTGAATAACCGACCCGTGGCTTCGGCTTTAGTTGAGGCATCCGCGAGGTATCAAGATGAAGAGCTATTAAAGGATCTATATTACCAGGATGATAGGGTGATAGATGGCTCAAACATCCATCTTCGGGATGCCTTGAAACAGACGGATCTACACAATAAAACTGACAAACTGCGTGTTGCCGCAAGGTTGCTGTCAGATTCCAAAGATACGGCTATTCAGGCACAACTCAAATCGCTAAATGATGCAGCATATCTCCTGAAAATGCAGGACGGGCTAGATAAAGACCTTGCAGACAATAATGATTTGTTCACGGGTTTGAGTGTCAATGAAACCATCTACAGACTAATTCGTTCTGGATATGGAAAACGAGCCATTAAAATCCAAAATGATTTTAAGGTGCCGGAAAAGACCTATTGGTGGTTGCGCTTGAGAGGTCTCGTTGCGAAAAGAGATTGGGGTGAACTTGAGGACCTGAGCAAGAACAGGAAGTCCCCAATAGGTTGGGAGGTAAGCTAGCTATTCTGCTGAAGCAGTTTTCCTCTGCTTCACTTTAATTTTCTTTCCTTTGTCAACTTTCCCCGGCTAGTTGCTAACTTTATAACATGGATAGCCCTTCTACAACGAAATTCTAGGGGCAGGAAACACAAAGCTTGCATCCGTGTTCATCCCCAAATGTGCATCGTTGACGGTGTCTGAGCGGATCGAGATGTGGATGAAGTGCGGAATGGTGACTAGGGCCGGTGAAGAGGCTTTGAAGGCAAAGGACCTGAAGGCTCTTGAGAGCCTTCGAACTCGCATTTCCGGCAATTCGGTGCTAGAAATTGATCGCATGATCAACCAATTGAGGCCAAAGAGGTGAAGTATTAAATGCATGTTGTCGGCTTAGCAAATTTAGGTGATGTCCTCGTCAAGCTCAGGTCCGGTCGGCTCCACTGCTTCCGTTGGGATATGTATCGAAGCCTGAGGTGCAGGAACCGTTGTTTCGGCCTCCATCTCGTCTATGTCATCAATATCTATATCTTTGGTTTCTTCTTTCTCCTTTTCTGGGGCGCGGCTTATTTTCTTGTTTAAATCATCCCATGTTGCCTACCGTATAATCTCAGTTTAGATTCTATTCCATAATATAAGGGTTCTGCCATTCCTTACCTTTCGAGCTCTGACGCCAGAGAACTTGCGAACACTCTTATTAACTTTCTTCTCTCGTTTATCAAGAACAACCTCTGCGCGTTCCAAGCCCTTTTCCTGCCGGAGTCGTTGGGCTCTTGATTTCGGTTTCTTGCCCTTCTTTGACACTCCAGAGTTATGCTGGGTTCCAAGGACAGCTGGAACCGATGTGCTGGTCCTCTCTGCTCGCGGAATTGAAGTCAATGACTTGTCAATGTTTACAGACGGAGAAACCTCTCGTCTTGCTGCTCGAGAGTGTACAGATTTTGCTGTTTGGTTTTGTTAGCTGACAGCTTCACTAACTAATAGAAAGGGTAAAAGCCACTTACATCTAGCATTGGACTTCAGTTTAGGTGTTTTCGCCATTCTGGCCAGTCTAGTTCTCCGTTGTACAAAATATATTTCTCTCACACCTTCGGTATTGATAGTAATGCGCCTCTCTCCGTCTCTCTATCTTCTTCACTCAGTCTGTGTGGGGGAAAAATTAAAATTAAAATAAAAAAAAAAAAATCCCGGCTAGGCAGAAAGACCAGTGACGCAACTTTTTAAACTAATTAAATAATTATTTTGGTTAACGACTTGCGCCATCAAACACCTCGACAGCGAGGAAGAATCCCCATGACAACAGCAGCCGACCAGCTTATCGGACTGCAGAAAGATGCTTGATGCGAGATTCAAGACACCGTCTGAGACATCAAGATTATGCCGGCTAATGACAGTCGCGCCTGTGCATCTCCCCTCGAAGGCCGACGTCGCATCCTGTGAAATACAACTATGAACTCTTACCCGGGTTACCACTACCCTCGCAGAAAGCAATCCGTCATACACGGAAACCACCATGGTCGTCCTTCTAGACACGCCGACGACAGGTCTTCCTTGATATACGCTCTCGTTTCTCTAGCGTCCGTCTACTTCCTCCTCTACTCCTTCGGCATCTCGCCGTACTTTTTCCCTCGGCTGGCCTGGAAGATCATCGTCTACTCGACACCGTCGCGTCTTGTGGCTGCTTTGGATAAAGACAGAACAAAGAATAACCCAGCTTCAGGGGAGGCTCATCCTGCTTACCGGAACTTATACGAGAAGAGTCAGGCAATGCAGAGAATCATCGGCCACGGCGCAAATTCCATTATCCCGCTGCTTCCGCGGTCAAGAGCGTATTCCAGCCTTAGCAGTGTCCTACTGGGGTCTAACGATGTCTACCCTGCGGGCCTTGGAAACTGGGATAACTCCTGCTACCAGAATTCCATAATTCAAGGCCTAGCTTCCCTTCGCTCATTACGGGAGTTTTTGGGGGCAAACATTCAAAATCTGGGGCATCGCCATCCCCTTTCTACACATATTGCACTGAGAGTGATCATCGACAAACTTAACGACCCTGAAAATGCCGGGCAGAAGTTGTGGTTACCTGCAGAACTCAAGTCTATGTGCAGCTGGCAGCAGCAGGACGCCCAGGAATACTTTTCCATCATCGCGGACCAAGTAGATAAAGAGATTCGTGGGGCATCAAAGGGGGTTACGAGTGATATCGGCCTCAAAATAGCTCGGGATACTGGTCGCCGCGCCGAAGTTACCCTACCAAGTCCTCCATTGACCCCGGGTGACCAGACAACCTCCGATGAGCCAGATACAGATCGGAGCATAGTACCTTACTGTAGCCCGCTGGAGGGTCTACTCGCTCAGAGAGTGGGGTGTATGGAATGTGGCTGGACTGATGGCCTCTCGCTTATTCCATTTAATTGCCTGACGGTTACCCTGGGCAATAAATGGGAATACGATATCAGGGATTGCCTTGACGACTATACCAGCTTAGAAACTATTGAGGGCGTGGAGTGCGCCAAATGTACATTACTACGGACCCAGGCGCAGCTTGAACAGCTACTAAGCAAAATCGATCCGGTGGAAGGATCAGAAGAAACAGACTCCGCAAAGCTAAACGAAGCGTTGAGAAGGAATGCTGAATCTAGGCTAAATGCGGTACTTGAATCACTTCAAAATGACGATTTTAGTGAAAAGACATTGAAGGAAAAATGTCACATTACCTCGCGCAATCATGTCTCGTCGACGAAATCGAAGCAGGCGGTAATTGCACGACCACCAAAATCTTTAATTATACATGTCAATCGCAGTGTATTTGACGAAATGACGGGCACACTAAGGAAGAACTATGCGGATGTGAGGTTCCCAAAGTGTTTGGAACTAGATGAGTGGTGCTTGGGTACCATGCCAACAGACAGCAGCTCCAAGGAAGAAATCGTCGAAACTTGGGGTATAAATCCTTCCGAGTCGATGCTTCCTCGACCAGACAGTGAGATAAACGGTTTCGATAGAAGGTATGAGCTGCAAGCTGTAGTCACACATCACGGACGCCATGAGAACGGCCACTACATATGTTACCGAAAATATCCTGTCGAGTCATTCCCTATTGAAGTTCCCCAGTCAATCGTTGAGGCTGATGGAATTAAGGAGAAAAAGGAACATTGGTTCAGATTGAGTGACGAGGATGTCAGCTTGGTCAGCGAAAGGAGCGTTCTCGGCCAAGGAGGAGTATTCATGCTCTGTTATGAACTTGTAGAGCCATCCCCTGAAATTCACAGGAGTATCTCCCAAGCGGTTCCCGGTAGAGAAACGCAATCCATTAGTGAATCGCAGGTGGCTGAAGACGGGATTCCACTTGAAGAAGTATTACACAAGCCCGAAAGTTCCGCAGAATCCCCGGTAGTTGAACCCGACTGGTCTAGGAACACTGATTCCATATCGTCTCAAAACTCGAGCTTTTCTGAAGACAGCAGCCAGTCCTCTATTATCACAAATGAGGAGCTGACTACCACTAACAAACCCCAGCAACTGGCTACTCCCATGAAAACGTCGAACGGCCCAAATATTGACTCGCATGAGAACCCAAGTGCCTCCTCGGTACCACGGCTAATAAAAGCATTATAGTGGAGTCGAGGCTTCAAGGAATATATGCCAATGGGATTCCGGTATATATCCCGAAGGCTCTCTTTTACCTAATGATACCCAGGATCATCATGGCAACGGCGTTGGTTCATTCCCTATTTGCTATTTTTTGTTCTTTTGGCGCGTTTTCTGGCATGGCGTTTCATTTTGTATGATATGTGCTATTCTGCATGACACCAGCCGGAAATAAGCAGTTAAGACGGAGCTGTTTGGCGGGTAGTTTCTTTTCGTTCAATATTAGTATATACTGTTCTCCAGAAACTACGTCTGATTCATAGCTACGAACCAGAGACAGCCTGCCATCCATATGTATAACTAAAGTGACAACTTCAAGTAAACACTATCTTTTCACCACCGTCAATTCTTTCCATGTGTATACACCTGTCTCTTCTCAGCCAAATATTACATACTCGTCGCTCAAAATACACCAGCCCTCTTCATGACATCTTTAAACTGCTCAATGGTAACACCCGACTGTATCCCATCCCCTCCATTGGCTGCTCTAATCATATCCTTCAACAGATCCTCACTCACATCCTCCTTCAAGCTCTTTGCAACAGCCCTTAGATGGGACATAAGTATGGGTCCCTCCGTTCCACGCGTAAACAGGCCATACGCATGCTCAACTTCCGCTGATATTGAGTCTTCACTCCGGTTATGCAGCTTCAGGGCTGCCACGGACAGGAAATACTCGTATATCACGAACCCTTCACCCGCCGGATCGACGGCAGAGATAATAGACTTCAACTCAGCGTTATCTGTTGGCGCGAGGCCTAGAGCTCTGTTGAATCCAAGGTATATCAGCAGCCATTAACCATGCAGCGTTTGTACATTAATCGTCTCCATGGCGGCGGAAGCTCACATCAACGCCCGACGCACATCCCGGGTCGCAATGACACCTTCTTTCTCTGAGGCATACTCCTCATTATCAGTCACTGCGAAGAGGCGGAAAGCCTCTCTGATCTCGGCTTCTTCTTCACTGGTGATGTTATTCTCCTTCGCGAGCTTCGAGAGCCGTGGTTTCTTCTCCTTAGGCCCTGCAGGCGAGGCTGCCGCACCTCGACGTTTCGGAGGCTGTGTATCGCACCAGTTAGTTAATATTCGCTTATAGAAAATAACATCCTCTATGGTGTAGAGAAGAGTGCTGGCGTACCATGCTTCATCACCTCCTCCCGTCTGGGGAGCGTCGCGGTTGTTTGACAGTCAACTCTTCAAGTCTACAATAATGTAAAGCTTAGCCCAGCAGTATCACAACGTCACTTTCTTTCAAGGCGCTTCGGCGGCTTTCTGACTAATTTAGGCGCCGTCTTTTAGGGGCTTCTTTAACTAAGCTGTTCTCACTAGGCGCCGACCTTTAACTAAAAGGAAACATGTGAGCGCGTCTTGGCGATCTTCTTTAACTAAAAGAACCAGAGAGACGCGGCCTTTTGCTGCCTACCTACTCTCCAGCAAGGAATAAATACTCCTTATAGCCCGGGTATTCACCTAGTTATCAGCCTCTACGCTAACTATTCAAATCAAAATGGATGTTCTACTCTATGTTTATGATCTTTCTAAGGTGGCCTAACGTCTTACCCCTAGCTTACTTCCACAGCTGCTAACTGTTAGTTACCTAGGGACTCGCCAGAGATGTATGCACCGGGGACATGGCTTCTTCCTTTTCTTCTAGCGGGATAGGCCAGCTAACAAACATTCTTCTAGCTTTCTCGTCCATTAACAGGAGTGCAGATAGATGCGATATACCATACATCCATAGTACTGGAGGGGACGGAATACTTCTTTGGCAGAGGTATCCAGCAAGCGGCTCCCGGTTCAACCCACCATGGCCAGCCGATGGAGACCATCAGCCTGGGCCGTACTGATCTGCCCATGGATGTAATATCAGAGTACATGGAGTCCCTGGCTGAGACTTATCATGAAAGCGTATGATATACCCAGCGACTTCATGTATGACATCGAGCAGGCAGAGCTCTAACATTCTACTCATCCCAGTCCTATGACTTGTTCCTTCGGAATTGTAACAATTTTACCCACGACTTGTCCATGTTTCTAGTTGGCAAGGGCATTCCAGATCATATCAGAAATCTCCCAGAAACATTTCTTAATACCCCCTTTGGCCAGATGATGAAGCCTTATATTGATGGTATGCTCCGTGGAGCTACCCAGGGACCTGCCATTCAGCCCGAACCTGTATCCGCACCGACAAGAGCAGCAGTACCGGAGATCAACTCAGCTCAACAGCCTCCAAAAGGCGAGGTCCGGAATGCCTCGACGCTTAAAGACATCCAAAGTTTACTTGCTTCGGCAAAATCCTCGTGTGCTGTAATATTCTTCACTTCCTCCACTTGTCCTCCCTGCAAGATCGTATACCCAACCTATGATCAGCTCGCAGAAGAAGCCGGTAGCAAAGCAGTCCTCATCAAGGTAGATATTGCCCAGGCATATGACATATCTTCCCATTACCAAGTGAGGGTAACACCAACGTTTATCACCTATCTAAAGGGTGAACGAGAGAATCAGTGGTCTGGGGCGAATCCTACCGAGCTTCGGGGAAATGTACAGCTGCTTCTACAGATGGCATGGCCGCCGCATCCTCACTCCAGCCTCAAACTTCCCAGCTTAGAGCGTCATATCGATCAATATATATCCTACAAAAAGGTTCCCCCATTGGATAAGCTGTTGTCAAAGGTCGGGCCTGCTGCTAGCGACCCCAGCATTGTTGCCTTGGTCAATTTCATCAAAGCATCAAATAGCACCGACCAGACAAAGCCTCCATTGCCGGATCTCAACCAGCTCTCCTTCTTTGTGAAGACAAAGTTCCTCTCCCTCCCGGCAGAAACCCATTTTGCCATCCTGGACCTCTTTCGAGTTATCTTTGGCGACCCGAGGGTCAGCGGATACTACGCCGAAGAACACGACCATGGAACCATATTGACTCTCCTGTCCCGAGCGAATGACCTTTCGAATACACCGTACAGCCAGCAGCTTGTCATGACACATCTAGCTTGCAACTTCTTTACATCTCACCTTTATCTAACCCAGCTCGCGCACCATGATGGTCTCCGCCACGCCTGCATCAAGCTTGCAACGAATGCCCTATTAGACTACCGCAGCAGCCTCAGAGCAACAGGCGCATCTCTCATATTTAACCTTGCTGCGTCTAATCATAATAAACGGTTGCTTGATCCTCCCGAGGCGGAAAGCCTGCCAGAAGCGGACCAGTTTGAGCTGCTTGCGTCGGTAGTCGAGGCTATCAGGGCAGAGCAGGAGAGCCCCGACACGTTGCACGGTTTGCTCCTATCATTGGGTCTTCTTGTACACTATGCACCGGTCGATGGTGAGGTGGTAGAGCTCTGCAGGGCGCTAGAGGCCGAGTCGGTAGTACTCAAGAAGGCAGGCATCGACGCATTCAAGAAGGAGAAGGCTCTGTTGCAGGAAATTGGTCGGGAGCTCATGGGGAGATGCCTCAGCTTGAACTAGTCACCCTTTATACCAGGGCCTACCATCCCCTTTAGCCATCGTATAAACTACTTTAACTCGTTCATCTTATCGTCTCCGTGTCCATATCCATGTCCATCCCCATGTTGTCCATCTCTTGGTCCCTCGGAGTACGATGCCTTGGGCATAAACATCCACTCACGTGACTGTTACCCTGGCAACGCCGTCCGACGTCAAAAGTAAGCAAAAGCCGCGAACTAGATAATCCAAGACGCCTGCGAGACGAAGCAGATCAACATCCTCAAAGTCCGCCAGGCAAACAGGCGCTTTCTCACAGGCTGTCCGCAAGAAGGTCAGGCCAATTCTCGCTGTCTCTACAGTTACCGCGATCCCGAGTTGTGAGTTCCTCTGTTTTCCTCCGTCTCCACCACCAAGATACAAAGAAGCAGCGACGGAACTTCCCCAGCTTTCTTCTACAGGGGAAGCGCCTGTCACAAGATTCCAAGGGGCTAACATCTGATGCGTTTAGGGAGCTCACGAAGCAGTCCTCTTCTTCCGCAGGAAAATCTGTATCAGCATCGATATTCCCCCCAGCGCTCCTCGTTTGCCCATTTTTATAATGCGATTGTCTCTGTGACCACAGCTTCCTTTGACCACGATTCCCCGAAGATACAAAGGTAACCCTACATCATTACTTTCAACACTTATCAGCACCCACAGCAGAGGCACCGAACGGGACCAGGTCTCTTCCTCTTACACCCAATATTCCACATCTCTTCCACATCACATCTTTCTTTTTTCTTTATTTCTTCTTTTTCTCCTCTCCCTACATGTTTCATAACCACCTTTCACGACTCCATGACATTCTCTCCGAATTCGCCCATATATTAAAGTCCAACAGTAGGAATATGGCCCTGGATCCACGCTTCTACAGTAGCATTGGAGGCCAGCCTGATCACTTTGCGTCTCAAGGCAGAGTCTGCACTCCGCCCGTCGAGTCTCCTTCGGCACAATATTATTATCCCGGCGCGACACCGAGTATGGCGTCCTTCACATCCGCGTCCTCAGCCGCGTTAAGGTCTACCGCATCTACGCCTTCATTCCGATCAAGAGAAAGCGTCATGGCACCCGCAACTAAGGTTGAGGCGCCAATAAATAGCGGAGGAAACGTCAAGGTCGTTGTGCGTGTCAGGGCATTTTTGCCGAGAGGTTTGCCCCCTATATACTCCTCCATTTGTGCGCAGATTTTCCCAAAGTACAAAATCAATTCTAATGCCATCGTATAGAAATAAGTAATGGGACGGAATGCCTGGTTTCGATGAACCCCCGAACGCAATCGACTACGTTAAGTGCACCATCATTCATCAGTGCGAAGGGCCCTGCCAGTGCAAGAGTCCAGAACAGAAGTAAAGCAATTGAAGATAAGAGTTTTACATTTGACAACTCCTTCTGGTCTCACAACAGGGCAGACACACACTACGCCGAGCAGGAAGATGTTTATAATTGTCTGGGCGAAGAGTTTTTGGATCACAACTTTGAAGGATACCACACATGTATATTTGCATATGGACAGACGGGCTCAGGGAAGAGTTACACAATGATGGGCACTCCAGAGCAGCCTGGACTAATCCCTCGAACATGCGAGGATCTATTCCAACGCATTGAGAACTCAAACTCGCCGGATATCACCTACAATGTCCGTGTCTCCTATTTTGAGGTATACAACGAACATGTCCGCGACTTGCTAGTTCCTCGAACAGACCCTCCATATTATCTTAAAATCCGTGAGTCGCCCACAGATGGGCCATATGTGAAGGATCTAACAGATGTACCTGTTCGAAATATTGCTGAGATTATGCGCTACATGCGGAAAGGTGATGCATCTCGCACAATTGCCAGCACAAAAATGAACGATACCAGCTCAAGATCGCATGCTGTTTTCACCATTATGCTTAAGCAAATTCACCACGACTTAGATTCTGATGAAACTACCGAACGAGTTGCTCGGATCCGGCTGGTAGATCTTGCTGGTTCCGAACGGGCAAAGTCCACGGAGGCAACCGGAAAGAGACTGCGAGAGGGTTCAAACATCAACAAGTCATTGACCACCCTAGGCCGTGTGATTGCGTCTCTGGCAGACACAAAGCAGCGGCAGAATGGACGCAAGACCAAAGACGTTGTCCCTTACCGAGACTCCATTCTTACGTGGCTCCTCAAAGACAGTTTAGGAGGAAATTCGAAGACTGCAATGATAGCATGCATTGCCCCGGGAGACTATGACGAGACTCTCTCGACACTTCGGTATGCCAACCAAGCCAAACGCATCCGGAACCGTGCTGTTGTCAACCAGGACCATATATCTGCAGCTCAGCGAGATGCCGAAATCGCAGAGATGGCCGAACTTATCCGTACCCTGCAGCTCAGCGTCAGCCAGCAAGCAGTCACCAAGCGTGAGAGCGAGCTGCAAACTGAAAAACTGGAAGAGTACCAAAAACAGGTGACGAGGATGCAGCAGTTGATGGAAGAAATGAAGATGGTCAGTGAAACCAAGATCAGACAACTCCAGACCGAAAACGAGGCTCTCCGTCTTCACCTGAAGCTGGCCCTAGAGAGCTTAAAGAACCCCATACCTCCGGTACAGGTTCCAAAACAGAGAAACAGACAGAGCAGCGTGCGTTCTGTGCTTACGAAGGATGAGGGCAACATCGAAATTCTGGAGGAAGATGCAGAAAAGGAGAACACCGCTCCTCCAGGCCACGATGACCAGATATGGGACGGAAAACCCGGCCTGAGCCGTTTCGACCTGGAAGCTCTTGAAGTCCAAGCCGAGATGGAAGACCTTCTTTCGGACTTGAACATGTTCCGCAAAAAACTAGCTGACGACTGTGAGCGATTCGGCGTCAAGAAGAGACCTTCCCGGCCTAGCCATGCTGCCAGAAAGGTGCTCGGCGAACTTGAAGCCAATAACTGACAACTGACGATGAACGAAAAACCCATTTGATGAGAAACGAGACCTCTGACCTCACTCACTTTTCTACTTCAAACGGACAGGATGATCCTTTCTTTCCTAGGGCGGAGCTTGAGGCTTTTTGGTTATGCTGGTGGTGTTTTCAAAGCCGTAGGTAGGACGGGCGCGGAGTACTTGCATGTTAAATATGTTCGAACTGTTCTTCTTCTTCTTCTTTTTATACACCCCCTTTGCTTTTCTTTTCTTGTCCTCCTTTCTACACTTTTTCGATATTTCCTTGTCTGGCGGGATTGACAAGATAGCCTGTGAATAAATAAACGACCAAGGGCTGTCACTAGGTCCTAATATTAATTATTGAACCTGACTGCTCTTCACTGTAATAATAGTCACTGACATAAGTATGTATATAACATTGTCTCTGTCGTGTAGTCTCTGTCCTTCTATCTACCAATCTGTCTCTCTCTCTCTCTTGGCTGCGGTTGTTGTGCCTGACAGCTTCGCGTTTCCACAATGACTCAACTTCCTCCACCAGCACTAAACTCGCACACCACAACCACCGCAACCGCATTCACCACCACAGGAGAAGAATCGACGGCTACGGCCAGTGACTGTAGCAGCGATCGGCTTGCCAACTGGATATCAGATATAGCTACTACAATGGCCACCCCGCAAGACCAGGCAAGCGCTCCAGCTCCGCCCGCGGCCGCGACGCAACCAAGTGCGCAATCTACTCCACCGATTGACACCGCACCAGCGAAAGCCCCCAAGCCAGACAGCACTCAAAAACAGGCAAAGGAGAAACCAGCTGCTTCAGGTGGTGCCGAAAAGCTCTCCGGCGCTGAACTAAAGAAGAGAGCAAAAGCCGAGAAGGCTGCGAGGCGCGCGAAGGAGAAACAGGATCGTCGTCCCGCAAGCGAAGACCAGGAAGCCGACGCTGCTACTTATGCCGCTTCAACTGGTTCAGCCGTTTCTTCAGCTACCTCTACGCCGCAAGGGCCGTCCACGCCAAAGAAAGCTGCTTCTGTTAAATCGGATGCGTCAAAGTCATCGAATAAGTCGTCAGCACAGAGGCATGGACCAGCACATACGCTACCTACCCCGCCTGCGCCAGTAGAGTCGACATCATCGAAGAAGAAGAGGAGAGAAGTCGTTGATGAAAAGGTCGTTGCTGTCTTTGGACATTTGCCATGGTATACGAGGAGGACTGGAATCGCAGGCGCAAACAAGGATGTTCATCCAGCGGTGCTTACGCTTGGAATGCAGATTAAGGACTACGTTGTTTGCGGAAGCAGTGCTCGATGCGTTGCTACGCTCTTAGCGTTCAAGCGGGTATGTTTGCCTTTGGTTGCCAATTTCCCTATACATGGAGAACTAATGACTGTTTATATCTGCTCCAGGTTGTTCAATCATATATTACACCTCCAGGAACATCCTTGGCCAGACATCTAACAACCCATTTGGGCCACCAAATCGCCTTTTTGGCAAGCTGTCGGCCTCTTGCAATCAGTCAAGGAAACGCGATCCGTGCCTTAAAGCTGATCGTATCATCCATCGACCCTTCTGTTCCTGAACCAGATGCTAAACAAGAAATCTACGATTTTATCGACAATTTCATTCGTGAAAAGATCACGGTTGCGGGACAAGTCATTGCCAACAGCGCTGCCCAGAAGATTGACGATGGAGATGTTATACTCTGTTTTTCTGGTAGTAGTGTGATCCAGAGGACCTTACTCACTGCGCATAAGCAAGGGAAGAAATTCCGTGTCTCAATCATTGATACCCGACCTTTGTTCGAAGGGAGGAACCTTGCCCAAACCCTGGCCAAGGCCGGGTTAAGGGTTCAGTATTCCCTTATTAATGGAATAAGTCAGGCCGTCAAAGACGCGACGAAAGTTTTCCTAGGTGCGCATGCCATGACTAGCAATGGCGGCTTATTCTCAAGGGTCGGCACTGCTTTAGTAGCTATGTCAGCCAAGGAAAAATCAGGAGGAATGAACATCCCTGTCATAGTCTGCTGTGAAACTATCAAATTCACCGACCGTGTCGCACTCGACAGCATAGTTGTCAACGAGATAGCTGAGGCCGATGAATTGGTTGCTGCTGAGCCATGTACACAACTTACTGATCTCCCTCCACCAGTCACGAATATCAAGCCCGAAACATCCAAGGGCTCCTCATCTTCTGCCATCGAAATACCAGCTCATTTGAAAAATCCAAAGCTACCCCTCGAAAATTGGCGCGAGATGCCTAACCTACAGCTCCTGAATATTATGCACGATCTCACCCCTGCGGAATATGTTGATATGGTCGTGACGGAAATGGGAAGCTTACCGCCCAGCGCTGTCCCGGTTGTCCACCGAATGAGCACAGAAACCCAGAACTAGGCTAGTTCTGCCTATCTTGTTACGTGATACTGCCCACACTAATGCAATGAATGGCAGTGTCTATGAGTCCAGCGCAAATAGGCACTTGGGCAAAGTTGACAAAGGATCTAGCGTCGCTTTTTATTAGCTTCTGATTGCAGTCCCCTCTGCCAGCAACGAGGATCCTGTTCCGTGTCTGTATTTTATACATGCCCTCACCATACCAGCGTCCTTCTTTGCGTTATTTATAAGGGTACGAGGCATATCTACGGGTACGTGGCGTCATGGGATAAAGATGATAACGATCAACAAATTACTATGGGTTTTACTGGGTGTTCCAAAAGTATGAATGACAGACTTTTTTTTTACTATCCTCTGAATTTTTACTACGTCGTTAGATGCTCTCGGTGGCCCTTGCGCAATATTTATATCACATGATCATAAAGTTGAGCCTCAATGTTTAACCTTAAAATAGTTAGTTAACGTCAACAACTTGGAGCCCGCGAAACACAGCAAAATAAATAAAAATAAGGCATAAAAAAGGAAAAAAGATGGTATATATTAAGTTCTTTGGTCTACCTATCTAAGAAATAATCAGATAATAAACTAACCTACTCAAATAGTCCAAAGACTCCTCCGCGACACACCTCCACCTCCACCATCCGCGTTTGGCAGATGTGTTCGAAGACTTTAACCGCCCGCATACTTCATTCTTCACTCCATCCTCTATGAAAACGTCCGATTCACAGCAACAGCAGCAAATGAATGCGATGAACGATCTTTCTTCCCCGGCAAACATTCCTTCATTCCTCCCTATAGAAGATATATTCGTACAGCCCCAGTTCCAACCAGTTAATCCCGAAGATGAAGATGATGTTGTGCCAGACCAACATGCTGCATTTGGCATTACCAGAGCCATGGACTCGAGAAGGCAGATTTCCTGGCGGGATTTGGGTCTAGAAGAACTGATGAGTGGTATGCGGCTAGTGCAGGGAGAGAGGGGCGAGACCAGGCCGGTTGGGAGAGGGACTAATAATATCGGCCTAGGAGTCAGGGGTGGTACAGCCGCACTTCCGGGGAGTAATACACAGAGGCGAAAGAGGATGGTTTGTTTAAGATGATAATGGTTACGAACTCCCGAGCTTACTGCTTTATCGTTCATGGCGCAAGATAGATACCCATGGTTGTGTTTAAGAAGCATATATTATTACATGTTCTCGTTAACATCTCATCACAGTGGCCAGACTCTGAAGTAATAAACAGTAAACGCCAATAGCACGTGAATACGCGTTTATATGCGAATTATATCAACCCGTGCCCTCTCGTAAACTCTGTGCCCTACGAATTTCGACTCCCGTTCTTCTTCCGTGAGCTTTTTGGGGTGTACAGCAATTTGGGCGTAAGTTCCAGGGCTTCGCCGCTTGGATAACTTCCCAGGGTTGATGACAACAACGCTTTCAACAACCTAGGTTAACATGTTAGAGAAAATGTAGACAATATGCAGGGATAAAAATGTTTGCCCACCTTGACGAAGCCCGGTAACACACTAGGGGTTATTAGGATGTCAGGTCTTGCTTTCCACCAGTCTCCAAGCTTGAGATATGTAGTATCAAGCATAGACCCAATTTGCAGATTTTCCTCAACCCCAGACTTCGGGAGATTTTCACGGGCCGTTGGAGGGAAAACTGGAGAAAAATGCCTCTGCTCGATTAGATACCTCGGCAAGCGACTCAATAGATCACTTTCACTGGGTCGCCCGCTCACTACCTCCTCTCGCCTCAGTTCATATAGAGTGTCGGAGGCACACAGCCCCACCATGATTTCGTTCAATGAAATAGCCACAGGATTTGTGACGACTTTCGCCTGTTTAGGAGGTAAGCCCAACTCTCGTTTAGGAAGGATTTCCTGCGGCCATGAAATATGCTTGCTAACGGCATCTCGAACTGAAGGAATCAGTATTATGTTTATATTCGGTACCTTTGAAGCAAGTTGGGTCAATGGTCGTGAGATGCAGTGTTTAAAAAGAGTGGCGAGAGTGGCAGTATCTGGATCTAAGCCCTTCAATTCAGGAAGGTCAAAATCACCCGAAGCAATAAGAGGATGCTCCAGATCTATGAATGGTCCCGTTAATATGAGTGCATCCGCGCATTCTTCCGCAGCTTTCTCACAAAGGGTATTTAGAGCTTCAAATGCTAGGTTATCGTCAGTTGTATAAGGGCCGGCTGCAAAAATATAATTCAGCGGCTGATCACCAAAGCTGTCAAGTTTTTCATTTGTGGCTTCCACTTCTGCTGGTAGCGACACAGGTAATGGTAGTAGCGGAATAGCCAACGTGTCAAAAACTGTAAAGTATTCTCCAGAAGCATTTATACCTCGGAGTGCAACAATCTGACCGGGAAAGAAGTTTATATGTTGGAGTTTATCAATCTTCAGTGGCACGCGTAGACCAGCCCCTGTTCGCCTAGAAGTTTCAAGGACAATGGAAGCGGTATTCAGCCTTCCCTCGGGGCTATCTGACGCTATTCTTCCCACGGCAATAACCTCTCGTGTGCTTTGTTGGGCGGCATTGCCAAAAGCCGAGTCCTCCAATTTGTGATGTTTCTGCACTATCGCCATAAACTCGTCTATTCGGTCATCAAGAATCTCCGAAGCCTCAGACAGTTTCATCGCCATGGGCTTATATGAAAATTTCCTGATGTCGGTATTCGCGGTCAGCTTAATGCGGGGATCTGAATAAGGTGCCAGAGGAGCGGATGCCATATTCATATCAGGATTAAGTGTTTCTATAACTTGTCCACTGTTTTGGCGTGCGGAGAATGGGGTAGATCTGTTTCAATCGTTAGTGGCTGCCAATGATATGCACAATTAGATTCCATACGAAGTTCCGTTGGAAGCACCATCAGCAGTGCGAGATGGCGTCTTCACACTCCCTGGTGAGTCTAGCTTCGCGCCTTTATGAAATCTTGAATTGGTAGGAGTGTCAAACGCTTTTCGTTTTACGGAACTTCCTGTTGAGCCGCTCGCAGTTCTTTTCGGGGTATTCGGCGCAAAATCATCTAACCTTAGTGATATCAGTATTTCGAGTCCTAACATATTTCTTTGCAGTACTTACATGTCAAATATTCCCTGATTCCCTCCAGCCGCGGGCCGAGGCGCTGCCGTCCCTGTATTTCGCTTTTCTGTCCCCCGCATTTGAGTTTTTGCTCGCGATTCCCTTTCTATGGCATCATGAAGGTTGCGCTTGAAGGAACGAACAGTATCCAGATTCAAAACTGTTTCCTCTCCAGCCATCTTCAAACAGTAAGATTCCCATTTGTAAAAGAGCTCCTGAGGGTCAATTGCGTGGAGCTGCAGAATGGACAGAAGCTCGCCTAACACGTCCTGGGGAAGTCCATCGGGAAAAGAGCCGCCAAAGAGCTCATTCAGCTGCTCCGTAGGTTCTGCCATTATCAATTGAATTCTATCACTTAAATGGATATATAATGATTAATATCAAAAAGCAGCCAGCATCATACAAAAGAATCAGAGATATCAAAAGTTGCCTTTTATGGCTTCTTGACGCGTTTAAAAGACGCGACTCAATTAACAAAGGCGGTGAGATTCTGCCGTTCGTAGCTCCCCTGAAAGTTAGTTCTTGGCGCTTTTTCCCCTAAAGCAATAACACAACACAAGACCACCAAAGGACAATCAAGACGACGACTCAAAGAGAAGATACGGCCGTTTCTTTTGTGTCCGCCTCATTTGGTCAACATCCTGTGCTTCGGCTTAAAATAAAACCGATATGGCCTCTGAAAGCACACCCGCACCGCCACAGGAGCCGCCAAAGGAGAATAAGCCGGAGGAAGCTGTGCAAACAGAAGTGAATAAAAATGAAAATACAGGGCCTGCCGAAAAGGCTGTTGATATCTCCGGCCTCCCATTATCCGCTGCTGACGGCTTGATCAAAACCCTCTTCCGTGGACCACTTGACTCTTGCAAGCCTATCCCGCCAGCAGAGCTAACCGCCGAACAGCAATCTAAGTACGACAGCCTCCTTGCATTGGTGAGAGGGTGGACAGCGATTCCGGCTACGTCTGCAAAGAATGCACCTCGTGAGCCACTGAGCGATGATGAATGCATGTTCCTCACACGAGAATGCCTGCTCCGATACCTTCGTGCTACAAAGTGGAATGTTGCTAGTGCAGAGACCCGACTGCAGGCAACCCTGACATGGCGTCGCGAATACGGTGTGAAGGAGCATACTCCGGAATACATCTCAATTGAGAATGAAACTGGCAAACAAGTGATCCTGGGTTACGATATTCACGCTAGGCCCTGCCTGTACCTTAACCCTAGCAAGCAAAATACTGAGCACAGCCCCCGCCAGATCGAGCATCTCGTCTTCATGATTGAGCGCGTCATCGATCTCATGGGCCCTGGCCAAGAGTCTCTTGCATTACTCGTGAATTTTAAGGAGACTAGTTCTGGGCAGAATGCGACTTTGTCTCAGGGAAGGCAAACTTTGAGCATCCTGCAAAATCATTATCCAGAGCGCCTCGGCAGAGCTCTAGTCATTAATAGTACGTGATCTAGAACTTTTCTTTACTATTTTACGAGATCTCTCGGCTAACCCGCAGTTTGTTGTAGTGTCCTTTTTCATTCTTGGTTTCTTCAAGTTGATCACTCCTTTTATCGACCCATTGACGAGGGAGAAGTTAAAATTTAATGAAGACATGCGCCAGCACGTTCCGCCTTCTCAACTGCTTAAAGCAACTGGTGGAGATGTTGATTTTGAGTATGACCATTCTATCTATTGGCCAGCTTTGAATGCGCTGGCTGCCCAAAAACGACAGGCCTACCGCGAGCGATGGATCCAGGGAGGCAAGTTTATTGGTGAACATGAAGACTACCTCAAGGGTGGGTCTGGAAAGAGCCTTAGGGAGACACCCACTACAGCGGGCGAGGCTGGTCTTGAGGAGAAGATGGAGAGTTTGGCGGTGGACGGCGCAATTAAACCCCAGCAAGAGATCACGACAACGGTTACCTAAATTTGGCCTCCCGCACTATATTTAATATGCCCTTGTTTTTTCTTCTAAACCTAGAGAACTGCATTTTAGCATAAGCATGCCTGACATCAGATCTGGCCTATTGCACCTTCTGTTCTTGTGTCCCTTTGCTTGCAGATTTGAAAAGCGTTTACTTATTCTCCTCTTAGTTTATCTCGTAGAGGAATTTTAGATTTTTAGTAGCATTCCCTTTAATCTATCTCTATTATCATTGCTCCCATCTTTCTTTTCGTCTATCTCGATCTATAAAATTCTACGTTGCCTCGATCAGACTCTATGCTGAGTCAGCGTATCCGGAACAACAGTCGGGCCGCGCGGCTGCCCGAGCCAAAAATGGAAACTCGAACAAACGCCGGCTTGCATCTTCTTGACGCAACTTTCGCCTCATATCAAGTATCACAAACTCCTTGCTTCTGGCGTCTCTTCAGTATCTCCCCTGCTGTTGAGCAACTGGATATATGCGCAAGGCCGATATCGTCTCAATTCCCCCAGGATCCGGGCACAAGCTTACCCCGTAACCTTGGCTGTTCCAATATCTCCCCACCAAGCAACAACAGCTTATCAAACGTGCTGTTCCACCTCTCCCTCCCTCCAAAGACAGGAACCAGACGTCTCAATTCAGTGCATGGCTTTTGTGATCCCAGATATAGCTTCTCTGCTCCCCTTGTCTTCGATCAGAACCCTAATACTGGCTTTTTTACACTACCATCGGACTCAGTAGCACAGCCGCCCACGTACCAAGTCTCTGTAGAGCTGTACCGCTACCTACCGCAAACCCCTTCCCTCCTCCCTCCCTCATACCTCCCGCCAGCCTACCCAATTTTCGAATAATTGGACAGCTGGTAGGGTGCTTAGAGTGCCTATGCGAGATCTCTTTCTTTCTTTCTTTTTGTTTGGTATACGGACGGCCACCTAGTTCCGCGGAATAACACGAGCATGGAAGACTCAATATCCCGGCAATATTCAAGCCCAACCCGGCACTCCGACTCTCCAATTTCCAGTGCGGGGAGCCCCCATGCCCATAGTAGGTCCAAGGGCAGTCATGAGGCCCCCTTTGTGCAGCCATCCTCCTATCTACGACCCCAAGGATACTCGCGACCAACGACCCCCACACAGCAGGAAAGGGTGGTTGATGACGATGAACGACAGGCATTGGTAAGCTCATATGCCCCAGTATCTGTTTCCTGTTATGTCCGTTTCATTTTTTATTCTTTGTCTCTTCCTTATTCGGCTTCTCCCCTATATCCCCTCACTCCAACCCAATTTCTAGCCGCGACATCGGCTACTCTCATGTCCCGTAGGCTACAGTCCTACCGAAGTTCCAATTCTCTCGAACTCCCTCTACTAGGCTATATACATTCCTTATTCTCTAGCCTTGGAAAGGAGAAGAGCGATGAGAAGACCGTAACATGCCCAACTTATATATACCCCCACCAATCCCCAGACTCAAAGATACGAGAGACCCCATCTTCATCCCTTGTTTAAAAGTTATAACAAGAATATAATCTGTTTTTCAACTGAACATATTCGTGCTCGTTCGCCCTGCGACTTCTCTGCCTGATTTAACGCTTTCGTGGTTTCCTGTAGCGTGCCATTCGAAATTTCTTAAAAGTCCGCACAAGTTATGACGTGCTGCCGCTCAGTTTCCGACTTATCGTATTCGACACCTCGTTATCAGTCAAAGAGAGTTTGAATATTCTCATTCAAAATGGTATGTTATTCGGTTGTCCGCTTTTCTCGCTCGAGCCTCATACCTCACTATCTTCCAGGATATATCATTGGCTAACCAATGGTGATATCAAATTTATTCCTGGCGTATAGGAATTGTGTCTGCTCCCCTTTGGGATTCTACAACTTCAAAGTTCGCCGGCATCCTAACAACATCCGACTATATTAATGTGATTCAATATTACTTCCAACATCAGGAGGCTTTGGCAAAAATAGATCAGTTTCGGTTAAACAGTCTCCGAGGTATACATTTAAACCTAACTCCACTTCTATTTACGGGGTTCAGTGCTAATTCGTCCACAGAAGTTGAACGGGCTCTTGGTGTAGCGCCTCCAGAAACCATATCGATTGGCCCGGAACGCCCGTTATACGAAGCCTGTCGTAGCATGTTATCATCCAGAGCGCGCCGTGTACCCCTCGTTTCATACGACAGTCAAACCGAAAGGCCGTTGGTGGTCAGCGTACTTACTCAGTATCGCCTTCTCAAGTTTGTTGCTGTGAATGTAGCAGAAACCCAAAAGTTACGGAAACCACTAAAGGAAATTAATCTTGGAACTTATACCGACATAGTAACAGCTTCTATGGATACTCCTGTGATTGACGTCATACATAAGCTGGTTGAAAGGAGCATATCTAGTGTACCAATTATTAACAGTGAAGGTAATTGCCATTGTGAAACCTCATATCAACAATATATTGCTAACTTTGTCCTGAACAAAAGGTGTTGTATACAACGTATTCGAAGCCGTTGATGTGATTACATTAATAAAGGGAGGGGTATATGACGACCTCAATCTAGAGGTAGGGCAGGTTCTGAAAAAGCGCTCCCCCGTGAGTACCTAACCCTATCCTTTAAAACGTGGGGCTCATGTAGCACTTTTCTAACTAAGAGATGAACAGGATTTCCCTGGGATTTATACTTGTTCGATCGAAGATGGGCTGGATACCATTCTCGACACCATCCGGAGATCTAGGGTGCATCGCCTAGTAGTTGTCGATGACCAATTCCGTCTCCGAGGAGTCCTTGCTTTAAGCGATATCCTTCATTACCTACTGCTAGAAGGTGAACAGGACGAGCCATAATAAATGATAAAAAAGGAATCCATGTGCATGTGCATATAATTTGGCGTTTCTTGTTCTTATTCTTATCAACACATTTATTTCTTTTCGCTTTTTACTTTCTCAATTGGCCATGGCGGCGTTGGCTGGGATTAATGCATTACAACGTCTTATGTGCACTCTCTTCGTTTACCAACCGTTTCATTTGCACCGTTATTGGCCCGCATAAGTGTTGATTTTGGCTTGAAAGGAAGTTCCAAAACACATGTTTAATATCCGGAATGGGCAAAGAGCTCGAATAATAAGGCATTGGGTAAAACGGAGATTTTCGGCGTTGAAGATGCATGAATAGAAGACCGAATCATGGAGGCTATTTGGAAATTTATTTCTGTTCCGTCTTTCTTCTTATATTTGGCCATAATAATATATCTCTTTACTAGGTCTTTACTAGGAAGGCTTCCCTCGTCCTCCAAGGAGGATCTCGCCTTCGCTCCTAGGTAACACCTTCCCTTTTTAGAATATGTCGCTGACTCTTAAAGAGCTTAGGTATAGGTATATAATAATAATAAAATGTCAATAATGATAACGAAACAACAGCAAACCCACCAGGCTTGACAAAAATAAAGCCGAAAATGGGCCTCTCCGAAGCCTATGACTATTTGACTAGTTTCTATACCAAAGCAAGACGGAATGCAAGGCTCCAGCGGAGGAAAGCCAACACTTCAGGAGATAGTCTTCGATCATCCTCTTCCCAAGATGTCTTTCATTCAGCCGTGTTGTCTCCAAAAAAGGTACGAGATTCGGGCATACCGACAGACAGTAAGGGAGAATCTATGCAAATTTCAGCAGGGTCAAGCGAAGTATACGGGGGTCTACCTCCTATGATCGAGTTCCCAGGATTCAGCGAAGTAAACTTAGCAGCTCGGATCCAACCTGACTGGTCAGAAGGAGATAAATCTATGGAAAAGGCTCCGAAAATACCAGATCGCTCTCCAGATCGGCCCAAGCCACAGAACAGATGTGTCCATAGTCCTGACGCACCGGCTATGGCTCACCCAAATACCACAACAGCGAACCTTGCCATCACCACAGGGGGAGATGTATATAATGGCATGGGGATATCAAGTAAGACAAGTAGCTATACGGCAATGTCGGAGAGATCGAACATGACCGTCAACCATGACCCGACAAAGCGAGCCTTTAGTCCATTTGAGGCGGGACGCCCGGCGATGCCATCTGAAGCCGAATCAAACCCGTTTTCCGACAGTAAAACGATGGAGCCATGGGAAGGATCACGCAGTGTCCTTGTTCCCTTAGGGTCATCCCAATGTTTTGTTCATGAAACAGAAAACTCGAACAGCAGCCACCATAGACATGGGCAAGGAGAGGCTCTTGGTAGAGGCCCTCGACTCTCCACGCGAAGAAGCGGCAGCAGTGCTTCGTCCGCTTCAGCGTGCTTGCGGTTGACAGATGGTAACAGAGAGAGGCGAAGGAGCTTGATTAAAGCACAATCCCTTCTTAAATTCAATGGTTCCGCCCGGTATTATGGGTTGGATGTCATTATATCGAAGGAGGTATCACCACTGCCTGGTGCAGGTAAGACAATACACCCCATATAAAGCGTCTCATTTTCCGAATAGGTACTAATGTGTTGCGTTTACAGAAAACAATCAGCCCGCGAGACAAAGCTCGCTGCTTAACCGGTTGCGCAAAGTCAAGTCTAACCTGGCAGTTAAACGCAAGGACACCAATAGACATGGCTTGCGACGTATCAAGACTATGGCAAATTTAAACACCCATGCCGAGTACGGCACGCTCGAAGGAAGAACGGTCGAAGACCTAGCACGACTGGGAGGGGAAAGTACCCTCATCTTCCCAGGTGAATATGAGCCAGGCGTCCTTCGGCTTCCCACCTGCATAGCAGCGCCAGTCAACTTTCTACTGCAGCACGGTAAGCTATGGCCAAAGCGATCTTCCTCCCAAGGGGTATTTTGGATGCTAACGAGAGACGCTTCTTCCTCTACCAGGTACATCAGCACCATACGGGTACGGTAGTGCGTGTGATGAGTCGGTAGTTTCAGCACTATACAGCCATTACGCACGTCAGATAGTAAGAGCAGAACGATCGAAGGACACGATCACCAGAACCACGAGATCGATTCGCCTTCCATCGGGCTATGTGTACAAATGTGCTCGGACAAAAGGCGACGCCCATGTTCAGGACATATCCACGGTACTCAGACACTTCCTCTGCGAGCTGCCCGGTGGTATTCTGCGTTCGTCCTCTCTATACCAAGCCCTAGTGCAGATTCATGACAAGTCCTTCCTGGAGGCAAAAGAACTGCGAGATCCAGGCCGGAAGGAATACATCAAAGGAATAGCAACGCCTCTAGCGGCAAAAGTCCGGATGGTCTCTCTGGCACTGCTGGCGCTGACGACGGACATGCAGCTGGAGGTAATCTGTGCAATATTTGGCCTGCTCGCGCTGACTGCGGACGAGTGCGCAGACCGGAAGCTCACGCATCAGTATCTCCACCCGCCAGGGATGGTATCGTGCGATTTCTGCATAACACTGCCGACTCCTCGCACTCTAGGACGAGTATTCGGATACTTTTTATACGATGCGAAGGGTGCCCGCGAGCTTCAACCGTTGGTCAAATTCAAGTTGGCGGAGGGCACACAGTCGGCCGACGTAGCGACCATGCTGATTGAGCTGTGGAAGCACATCTCTACGCAGCTCCGCAAGTGGCAAGTCCTTGAAAACGCATGAGGTTGTCTGTTATCTTTATTCCATTCTGTTCTGTTCTGTTGAGCTGTGGTTGCAGGTAGTTTCCCCTTCGGTCACGACCTTTTCTGTTCATCCTTAGTTTAAGTCACACAACAGCGAATCAAAAGCATACATCTTTTTTTTTCCCTTAAAAAAAAAGAAACAGCAAAAGATCAACCAGGAAGAAAAAGAAAATGCAAAAAAGAAATGCTCCCAGCCAGGTTCGAACTGGCGACCTTCAGATGTCAGAACAGTTTGAGCTGCTCCTCATACTTAGTAATATGAGACTGACGTGATAACCAACTACACCATGGAAGCTTGCTTGATGGAAGGAGCAGCCGCGACTTGTATCTTAACCGCCACTGGTGAATGCTTCCACCGTGGGATCTTAGTTTCCGGGTATGCATATTTCCAAACATACTGCCATACGGAGGACTGTGGACGTTATATACCAACGAGCCAGTTTCACCCGCTTACACCAAACCTTGTAGTTACCCAGTGACTAATTAACTAATAGAGTAGTTATCTTCGTCTTTCAAAAGAAAACACCGAGTAGCCTAATTTTTCAAATGCCCACTCCCCAAGTCGCTGGGGGCTACCATGCTCATAACCCAATCAATTGTCTAAGTATACACTCTCTTTGTCCTTTGAAATTAATATATCTGGTGCCCCAAGCCCTCCTCTCTAAGAATGCCCACTAACTAAGTCCCCCCTTAAGAAGCCTGCTCGCTAGGTATACTACCACCAAATGCTGTTACTATCCACTTTCTGTACAGGTATCACAAGATGATTCTTAGCATCTGTAGACATGGAAACTACTGCATCCCCACTATCCAAACGCCAGTTCAAAGTTAAAACCAACACAGTCACTTAATATGCTCTGGCTGTTGTGGTAGCAAAGGCGTCTGCTCTGCTGCACCTGGATCCACGGGATTTTCAGGCTCGCTCCGCTCTGCAGGAAGGTAGTTATCGTCTCGTGTCGTATAAGTATAGTGAATAACCAGCATCAGCAGTACAAGTTCCCCAGCCCCAGTTATAAGGCAATTGACCCAGATGTTAGTAGCGAAAACATACACAATCCAGAAACTTTCCCAAGAGACGTCGACATGGAATCGGACGAATAGGTATATTCCCCACAACAGGTATATGATGCCTTGAAAAGCCAGGCTAGGGAGACTAAGGCTTCCAGCCCGTTTAAGCGTCCAAGTATGATAAATCTGAGGTAAAAAGGCAATGAGAGTGAATATTCCTGCAAACGTTATGACAGAAAACCACCATAAAGCAACAGATGTAAAGTATGCCGGCTCTTCCCAAGGTGGTGATTTTGGGATAGAGATAAGGAGGAGATAGGGGACTAGGATAACGAGATATGAAAATATAACCCCTCTAATTGCGACCCTCTTTGCTGTCAGGCTAGGAGATTGGCGTAGAGGTTCGCCTTGTTCATCGGATAGGGAGGCATCTGCTGAGCGGATGGTAGCTGGCTGCGGGAGAGGCTCATGTATAGCAAGATCCTGAAAATAGTGCAGGCAAAGAAAAAACCTAAGCGGTAAAGAGAATATTTAAGTATTACCCTCTAGCCATACGACTATCATATCATACAGTTTATCAAAAAGTCTCACTTACATTGCTTGAGCACAGATCCAGTCTAATATGTAATGCCCGTACAATAGTAATGCATCAGCACACTGGTCGCCAGAATATTCAACCCAGCAGAATGTACGTATAGAGAAAACTGGGCCAAGTAGGAATACATTGGCAGCATTTTCTGTTGTACCGATGGCTCGTATGACCAGGAACGAAAATGAGATGCCGTAGATACTCTGGCGTTTTTTAATGTGGATGTATTGTAGGAAGTAGGGAAGAGGGATTGCTAATAAGAGCAGACTATCTAGGCGGTCAGTTATGGCACTCGACTACCCCAGAGATGCGTTACTCACAAGTTGAGAACAAAGCTCAGCGGTGATGGTTCAAACAGAGTAGCCCTCAATTCACTTCTGAATAGGCCCATCCGATCCATAGCAGCTGCCTAATAAATCTTTGGTACTCAGTATTGAAAACGTACTTGGCCGAGAGGAAGAAAACTTTGGGTGATTGATAGATGCGAGCTCTCTTGTGTATTGTATATACTAAAAGGTGCAGCCTAGTTACCAATATATGCAACTAGACTGCGTGGCTTAGCCAACACTTAACTAAATATCCTTGAGAGTTGACCACATAGCGCCGACCTGGGGGCGGCGTAGTGACTGTCAACTACCTGGGTATGTACGTAAAGTACCTTGTCCTGGCTGCATGGACTATCACACAGTATGTCTCCAGGTTGGGCTTCGCCTTCTCTGCTGGGGTAATCAAGGAGCAGGGATCCCCGTATGCTGGAGCAGTTTTCATTCAATCAAATCTTTCACGCTGGGTCTCACTTTTCCACCATTGACGGGAACAACCGCTCATATTTTTTGCACGTTGCTCTGCCACGCTATTTTCAAGCATAGCCCCGATATAGTTATCTCGGAGGCTAGGTGGAACATCACGTGATATAAGCCTCGGGGCACAAGACGCAACGGAGCAGCAAGTGAATGCCTCAGCGCCTTGCTGAGCACTGGAAAGGAAGAGAAATAGGTGTGTAAATGGATGATGATGATGATGATGATGGCTCTAGACTGGCAGCCATTTCACGGCTATTTATCTGTACAAGAATGAGCTCCGTCGAACTGCCGTGTAGGTATGGCTCTTTTTACAGTCCCTTATCTGGAGCCAACGTCGACGACGCTGTTCCTCCAGGTGTGTTTGTTATCTCGTCCTCCGCTTCCACTGAGTTGGACTTCAACGCTCGCCCCAGGTTGATTTAAATAAGGTTGGTGCCAAGTCCCTTTCCCGGACCCACAGAACATGTCGGGCATAACATGCGTTAAAATGGCCGGTAGAATGCAAACATCTTGAGGTCTCGTTCTTCCTAGCTTTGACATGATCTAGCTGTTAGTTCTATATTTCGCAGACAGCATAGACCTCTCTCCCTCTCTACCAAAAACATAAACAAGATTCATACAGTACTGGCTTGATGCCTCATGTCCTTTAGTACGACGAAGGTAACGCCAGGAGAAACCAGGACTCTGCTTTTGCAACACGGGTGGTCTATAATACCAATTAGAATGAAACGCGGTGTTGTATATCTACTGATGGATGACCTGTTCTATTTATGAGCTGGAACGGAAGAATATACAAAATACAAACAAGCAAGAGTCCAGATATCAAGTGCCAACCAATTAATTCAAAACCAAGCCCTTTTCCGTGTCCTTAGTGTTCCGGTTCAAGACTTCGTGGACCTTTTCCTTTACCCCAAGCTTCGACTCGGTTCGTACCATGAACTCCTTGATGACCTGGCTAGCACGAACCGGAGCATTGTCTTGGACGAACTTCACGATATCATGTTCTGACGGAAGGGCAAACTTGGCATGTGGATACTTCATGTAGTCCCTGGTTTGGTTCAACAGTGGTAAGCGGTTCTCGCCATCTGGAATACGGAAGAACTCATCTACTTCGGCATCAGTCACTTCAGCAAGAGACTCATGTTTCCAGGCTGGTTTGGTTGGCGGTTTGTTGACAAGCCTAGCCGAAACACCCTCAACAAAGTCCGGATGAGCCATGAAGTGTCCGGCTATTTGATCCTCCCGCTGGAAAGTTTCGGCGATAGACCACGACTTGCCCACACGGAGCTGACGAAGTGTTACCTTGAGAGCAATAGGGGAGCGTTGAGCCAGCGTTTTCAAAGTCTTCTGTGCCCATTCAGGGTTCTCCGTTTCCTGTTCCAGGGCTTCTATGATTTTCTCGACGGTTGGCTGAGCGAAGCATCGATCGATTGACTTACGGAGGTTGCCGGATAGTAGCATTGGCTCTTCTTTCAGAGGTGGGAGATAAACCGCGTATTCCGAGATTGTCTTGTTAACGAGATCAAGGCGGGCATCCAATGTCGCACCATCGCTGAATACCAACTCGGAGAGTCGAGCAGTAAGGTTTCCCAGTGCACTAGATGGAAGGTAATGAGTTGCAATACCGGCGTAGAATGCCTGTACACCACTTAAACGCTCCGACGTAAGGGCAAGATATGTGCCGATTTCTCCATCGAGGCGTGGGAGGAAGAAAGAGCCGCCAACATCCGGGAAAAAGCCGATAGTCGTCTCAGGCATCGCGAACACGGTACGTTCGGTAGCTATCCTGAATGGCGCATGCACACTGAGTCCAACGCCGCCACCCATCGTGATCCCATCCAAAACTGCGATATAGGGCTTGGAGTAGGTCGCAATGTAATGGTCAAGTTGGTATTCCTGTCCGAAAAATTCTCTGGATTTCTGCTGGCCGCTAGGTCCTTCAGTATTCTGCTTTGCAAGCTCAGCAACATCTCCGCCAGCACAGAATGCCTTTGTTCCAGCGCCAGAGATCATTACAACGTTGGCAAGTTGTGATTTTTGCCATTCCTACATCCAGTATTAGAGGCATTAGCAACTCACTCTTGCACTTAAAAAGCATAACTGAAACTGAGGAGATATACCTGAAGCCTAGGAAGAATCTTCCGCACCATCGAACCATTGAGCGAGTTCAATTTCTTTGGCCGGTTGAGCTCAACCAATCTGACGCCGTAGAGCTTTGAAAAGAGGACATCGTCGGGATCGTCTCCTGGAAGCTCTTTCGCACCGGCAGGGGACGCCGTTGAGGACATCTATCGCGAGAGACACAATCCATCAGTCAAAGCTGAACAATAGGTAAAACGACAGAGACTCGTTGCGATTCACTCACTCTCGCCTTTCCGCTGAATGCTGAACTGTCGAGTTTGGCGCGTAGTGGCATCTGGGCCGTGGTATTCCGCGAGATCCAGCTCAACGGTGTGGATGATCGGACGCAATTGGATCTTAAGAAAAGTAGCGACATTGCAACTGCAAGGCCCTTGTAACCGAGAAGGATTGCTGTGTTTTTTCAACGGTACGAGTGCCGGTAGAAGTTCTGCGTTGGAGTTAGTTAGTTCGTTCGCGGGAGAAAAAGTTCTTTGGTTTCCTCGGCGAAGCTTCGGTGCGAATGACGCATATATAAACATGGTTAAGAGCAGATAAAGTCATTCACCAGGCATCAGAGAAGAATAAAGAGAGATATGGGCTAGATAATAGCGATTATTGGTATACTGACTTTTCTCGGGACTGAGAATTTATCCATTGCAATCGCGATGACTGTCATTCTAGCCGAAGCTATCGGATCAAAGAAGAAAAAATGTACTGGTACATAAATGTAGTCAAAATATATATTACACGGTACGCCATGATATGCCTATAATCCCTCACATGTTGCCCAGCGGACGACCAAGGTCACTCGAGTGAAGGGCGAGCATCTTGTCCAGAGCCTGCTTCTCAATAATCAATCGTCCGGTCTCGAGTAGATCCTTTACATCAACATCTGCACGGTCCAAAGCCCTTGCCTCTTGACCAATCTCTGCTACAGCCCGGAAAAGCCTCTCCTTCTTGACCTCAGTAATGAGAGAAGACCTGCCGAACTCTCTGCCCCAACCGTGTGTTTGGATGATATCGTGAAGTAAGTGAGCGGAGGAACCGCGCTCTAGGGAGATATTGTCGTTGATGACAATGAGCTGTCCTCGTTGGTATCTATAGCTTAGCGCCGTCCGCCAGGCCTTATCGTAAATCTTTCGTGGCAGGTCGGTCGAAAAGTCTCGTGGATGGGGTCCATGGGCAACACCACCTCCTCTCAGCATTGGGGACTTCTTATCACCCAGACGGGCCCTTCCAGTGCCTTTCTGCGGCCTAACTTTTCGTCCGCTACCCCGTACGTCGTCTCTCCATTTTGTGCTTGCGGTACCTTGTCGGGTCTTGTCGCCTTCATATATGACAGCACGGTGCAATATGTCACGTCGCAGAGGAAGGAGAAGGTGCTCAGGCTTATATTCAAGGTATTGAATTGGTTCCATTGAGGGGAAATCATAGAGTGTGACAATTGCAGGTGCGGGATTCCACACTGGCTTTGGAATATCGTCCTGGAGGCTGGTGATGATAGGTGACTGAGCTGTAGATATCGAACCGCTTCGCAGGTTTGCTTCGGTAGCCATCGTCCGAGTCTGCTGGCTAGCCATACATTGCTATAATCAACATCCGTTAGCCCTTGGGTTTTACAATGCGGAGAGTCTTTCAGCGGGAAGTAATATATCACCTTCGAGGCTTCGAGTTGACTGCCGAAAACGCCTCTGCTTCCTCGTAGCAGCCATCTCAGGCTTCCAATGGGCTTACTTGCAGCCATGCTGAGAACAACAAAAAGGAAATGGCTCGTCAAGCAGCGTCTTGTAGACGTTTTGAGGAAGTTGAGGGTTTCAAGCTGGACTGAGTAGTTTTTTTGAGATTTTTGGCTGCATACCTTTTTGGCACTAGCGCGGATTTTCTTTCACGCTGAAAAAAAAGCTCGAGAGGAAAATGCGAATGCAAAAAAACGGCCAGAAGAACGAAACTGCGAATTGAACACCACGACAACCCAGGCTGTTTGAGGCATAGCAGCAATGGCTCACTGCGAAGCGGCTTCTAAGCCGATATTGCAATGCCTCCGACAGGCGTATAAGGGCCGTCTCGCTGCATCGCAATTGCGGCTGGACCGTTCATTCTCGTCAACCGCAGCTACTTTGAGCAGCGCTGGAACAGAAGCAGCAGCTCCCAAAGAGCCATTCTACAGAGCCATCGACCCAGAATTGGTATCGAGCCCTCGCCTCGAAAGGAGACTTATACGAGCGGGAAAGTTCCCAGTCGGTTCTCGTCGACGCCGTGCTGCGCTGCAAGGGTCACCAAACCACCCTTTCGAACAACTACCCTTCCAATGCTTCCAGGATGCCCGAAAAGTCCTTCAGGAAGACCGTGAGGAGAAACTCCAGCAGATTGAGAAAGAGAGAGCCCGGTTGGCTAGGCTACGTGAAGCGGATCCGGCAACAGTTGGGGGGGAAGCACAGCAGCAAACGAGGATCAAGAGTATGGGAAAGCACCTAGAAAAATTGAAGATTCTAGCAGACATAAATGATCCTCTGGTTAAGAAGCGATTTGAGGACGGAATGGGTAATATATTCCTTCATTTTTATTAATATCTCACATGCACGGGGCCTCTCAGAAGCTAATCTCAAGTTCCCAGGTGATATGTCGAAGCCCATATACCGGCATTTGGCCAACCAGAAATGGAGGGAATACCGACGATTGATCCTCATCCAGCGACTTACACAGATGAAAGTCGTTCCCGACGTTCTCCCCCACGTCGACCCTGTTGTAGATGTCCAGCTCTTCTTCGGAAAGAAGCCAATTCAACCAGGTGTATTCGTTGATTCTCGTATCAGCATGCTCCCGCCTTCCCTCGATATCCAGTCCTTCGATAAAGGTGAAAAGTTGGTCACCATTGCCGTTGTCGATCCAGACATACCCAATTTAGAAGCAGACAGCTTTGACAACAAAACCATTTTCTTAGCTGTTAATGTTCCCATTTCGCCTACTTCAACCTCCGTTTCTCTGAGCGACCTCGCTGAATCCCAAGTTGTTCTCCCTTGGACAGCTCCTTATTCGCTAAAGGGCAGCCCTTACCACAGAATTTCAGTCTTCGTGATGGAGCAGAAGGATCAAAAGGCATTGGATCGGAATACTGTCGCAGAGAAGGCCAACCGTGACTCCCGCCTTCGAAGCTTGGAAACCAGGCACCAATTGAAGCCAATTGGCGCAAATCTCTTTAGAACCCAGTGGGATGACAACATGGCATCTGTCATGGAGGAGCTTGGAATCGAAGGGGCTGACGTCGAGCTGAAGAGGAAGCGCGTGGAGCCGCTTCCATATAAGAGAAGAAACCCAGCTTCTTTCAGATAATCCTTGGTCACAGGATTCATGTATTAAGATATAATTTTGTTTGTCTCTATAGTATTGTACACTAGCATTTGAACGCCATACACAAACCTCTCTGGAGTTAAGAGTAGAGACTTTTTTATATAGTCTTGCCATGCAAGCTTCGTGTTTTCCAACCACGATATCTATTGTTCAGCCATTGTAGCTGGTTTCAACGTGTTCTCAAACCGTTCGTAGTTAAACGGATACCAGACCCTTCCCAGAGCCTTGCCTATGATGAGTCCCATGGGTACTGGTCCGTAGTCCTTGGAGTCGATTGACCACGGTGCATCGTCGCCGCTTACCCAAACGTGGGCTTCAGGAACCTGTTAGATAGAATAATTCGTTAGCAGAAGGCCCAGTATAAGACACCAAATTTTCCATATAAAGATAACCAATCCAACGAACCTGTATCATCTGCGCATCATGCTCTACAACCGTCTCTCCATTCAATGGAGGGTTCTTCAGCACATAATCCCCAGGCAATGCAACAACTCGCTTTGCAACCTCGGAGTGGAAATCATGTGGTTTCTTATAGACAATTATATCACCAAGCCCAACATCACGGCCGTTCTTGTAGTGCTTCGATATCAATAGCCAGTCTCCCTGGAAGTGAATGGTTGGGTACATAGACGGGCCGTCAGAGGCCTTGAGCTCGTAGAAGTGCTCATTGAATATCTTGAACCAGCAGAATGTGCCTGCAAGGTGGAGGGTATACACAAAAGCGCGCTTATGACGGCTCAGCGCACCGAACCCGAACACTCGGCTGGTCATTCGGATGTCTGCTGCCAACGTCTTCGCATCTTCATGCCTTATATCAACTCCTTTCGTTGCTTTGAAGCTAGATTTAACGCTTGGATACTGAGTATTATGTAAGCATTTCGGTCAATAGATTATCCGTTAAGCAACGCTTATGGGTATATGTTTCTCCGCTCCGCCCTGCTTTGGGCTCCACTCACAGGACTTCTTCCATCTCAACTTTCAATTTTTCACACAATCAAATAACATCCGGAAAGTGAAAGTGAAGATGTTGGCGTCCAGTTGCGATCCTCAATGTTTGAATGATAGCTTGTTATGATGATAGAGCCAGCATACACAAGGAAACTCACTCTCCTTGTGTCGGCTCGACCTAGAAAAACCTGAACAAAATAATGCTAACCATCAAGGCTTAGGACTCATTCTGATTCCTCCGATCTGTTGAACCAGCCATCGCTTCTTAAAAATGCTAGAACTTGCCGTTTTCGACCTTCCAGGACGAGCAGGTGTGGACACTGAAGCAATATTATCCTGACGGGTCTCAGCCACATCTTCTTCTACCTTGTGCTAGACTCACCCCGGTGGCCTGCCTTGACTTCTAATATCTATTTAATTATGGGCTATGAGAAGACAAGTGGTTGTGTGGGAGACATTGACCTGAAATACGTTTGGTTCCGTTAATTACCAACGTGTGTTGGAGAGGGTTTGCACTGTTAGATACCAATACAATATAATCATTTTCTCAACCGATTCAATCCTATTTAGTGTCTTAAATCTGTGTAAGGTGCCTAGGTAGGGCCGGCTGAGGCTACCTGGAGGTAGTAGGACAAGGACGTTATTTCGGTTCCTCTGTAGTACCGGCTCGCTGCTCGTTATCCTTCGCCCCTTTCACTTAAAAGATAGAACAGGTCATTCTCCAGAGCAAGGTTTGATCAAGTTATATATATCTCAGGCATACATGCACAGCTGCTAGCCGCAATATGCGATCCAGCTTTAGTGATCGGCTTGACATAGAGGCAATCTAAGATGGCGTACCTGGCGATTCCCGCTTTCTATATCGTGTTGGTGTTATATCCGTTAGCCTAACCGTCAAAGTAGGACGAAGTTCAACAAGAGTATCTTTTGTGCTTCCTATCTTTCATCCCATCACAATTTCTTCAGGCGAGGCCCTTTCACGACCTCTTTGGTAGGCTATGCTGCCCGAGGAAGGGATATTTAAATTTAACTTGTTGCTGATTAATGATGATTACTTTCCTACTTGCATAGCAACAAACATGAGTCCGTTTTGTCGGAGTTAATTATATGCTGGTGGATAGACAGATACAAAGGTGCTTGGGAATCACATTTTTTAGTAAATGGGAATAGATATAGACAGGTCTATAAGAAAGTAGGAAAGTGACCTCGGTCTCAGCTGCGCTGGTAAGTTAATATGCATTTGATAGTTAGAATAGCTACCGTTGAGTATACACAGGTTTGTCAGCTAGCCACAACCGACACCCTACATGCTGTTCTTCATCTCTCGCAAACGGTTCATGACCTCGACCGGTTCAGAGGCTCCTACTGCCTTATGAATTTCAGGGTCCTATGTGGAAGTGTTGATATCAGTGACATATATTCAAACAGGGCTAATGAAGGTGGGGTTTGGGGGGTAAGTAGCCGTATCCTTACTGTGACACGCATAAAGACATTATGGAGCTATGGAAAGCCGTTAGCATTTTTTTGCAAATAGGCAATGACACCAGCCAATAAATAGTTCTCGCTACGGTGAAAGCAACACAAAGGGCCAGATAAGGTGCATACCTTCTCATCACCAATAGTGAATTTCCCTTGGGTTTGCTGGTTGTTACTGGCAAACTCTTCAAGCTTCTTTACGGCATCCGACTGGGAGACCGTGGCGCAGAATTTCACATTCGACTTGGTATATTCATGTCCAGGCTACCATAAGAGATTAGTCACACACTGCGAAACATACCAAGGGAAGGTCATGCGACTCACGTATACTTTAGTATCATCCGGGAGCGAAGCAAGCACTTCATTCAGTGCCTTGTGCATTTCAGCTGCATTGCCTTCAAAAAATCTTCCGCACCCTACATCATACAGATGTGTATTAGACTAGATCCCTCGCCGTCGGTTTTTGTAAAAAGCAAATCGATTTATTTGAGTAACTTACCCCCGATAAACAACGTATCGCCGGTGAATACGACACGCTCATCCCCGTCCTCTGCGAAATAGCAGATGCTGTCTTGGGTATGACAAGGGGTATGCAAAGCGGTAACAGTGATCCGCTCCCCAATCTTGAACTTCTCTTTGTGCCCGGGAGTTTGGGTGACATGGGCACAGTCTTTACCGCCAATCACCGACAGTTTGCCAAATTGTGTGAGCTAGAAAGATATCAAGGCCATTCTAATTAGCGGGTTTATCCACAGGTGCTACATCGGAGTGTTATTCTGGATGTGAAAAGCTGACTGTGCCACGCAAAATGGGGGGAGTGCATACAATCCCTTCATTCCCACCTGCGTGATCATGGTGGCTATTTTGACGGTCAGCTTCAGATGCTGTACCCGTGGAAACTGCAAAAACGGCGACAAACTTACTGATGAGTGTTTATGATTGCCTTTAGATTAATCTTGCCGTCTTCTGCGTGGGATGTAAGTACCGGAATCACCCTGCACAAACGTTAGAAAGATGCAATTAATTGCAATCTACCAGCTTCCAATGGTGCGTACTCTGGTGGATGTGCCGGATCTACCACCATAGCATCCTTGGTCGCATCGTCTGAGATGAGATATGCATAATTGTTACCGGTACCGGTCCCTACATGGCGAGCTGGTCAACAACCACGGTAATCTATGGCTAGCAGCTTTGCATACGATGGTCTTTTACTCACACATGGGAATCGACTCGATATGCATCTTGCGTTTGGTTATTGTTGATATCAACCGGCGAGAGAGGAGTGCTTTTCCCACGTTCATGAGAGATGGATGCTGGAGGGAGATGACGTCGATGAGGGGGATGCGGCAGGCTGCGCTCTTGACTTCTAGGTAGAAGGAAAGGTGCTTACTCAGACTTCTATCAAATGGACTGTCAACCAGGCTGGTTATATACATCCGCACCCCAGCTGCTGCTATCAACAGAAGCGCCAAATACACAGCAAATGATTGGTAGCCCGTCAGCAGCCACTGTCTTACTAATAACAATTTTGCAGCCTCAACCAACGAGCTCGCAGTTAATTCTGAACGTGCGCACATCGTGTTCATCGCATATATCGGACCATCCGCCATCCAGCGCAGGTTCCTAGCTCCGTTCTCCGTACGACAAAGCCGAAGCAGTTCATAACGATATAAATTGTAGTGATTCAGGCTGCGATATTTAAGATGGGTCAATACTTCCTATGGGCCTGCATGATATCTTCTGTCCAAAATCCCACCCGTAGTTCCGTAACACAGCTATGTCCGAATTTGGATCAATCGCGGCGTCTGGGGCTGCGGGCAGCTTGGAGGAGTCAGCTTTCCCACCCCCTGGTGTATCACTGACGCGGGTTGGAGCGGTATATTCATCTGGTAATATCTTGTCTATCTCCTCAGCCCAAAACCCTGCAGATAAGCCCGGTACACGGCAGATAGCTCTAACGTGGGACAAGACGAGGTATTGATTGCGTAGTGGCTCCCACACTGCCCCAGAAAGAATATGATCTAGCCACAAAAACAGGTCTTCCTCGTATTTCTTCCCGTCTAGTGCATCCCGATTCTCAACGTTGCGAAAACTCCTTGAGTCGGCAGAGACCAAGATAGTAGCTATTCCTTCCACCAACAAAGTAAGGAACGGCTGATAGGAACGGCTAAACTCCCTCAATACATCATCCCAAGCACTGAACGGTGACTGGGTTTCTTTATCCTTTTCGTTGTAAGAGTTACTTTAGACGAGGTAAAAAAATTAGTATGATAAGTTCACAGTAAGCGATAGACAACTTTACTTACCCGTGAGCGCATGAAGTAAGGTAACCACAATCTTGATCTAATAAGATCTGCACCAGTAAGTCTCCAGCTATTTTCTCTCTACAACATAGGGTGCTGATGTCCCTAATGATGTCCAATTTCACTCCTGACTGCTGCCGTGCTCTGTTCCTTGGTCGGCCACCTTTGGTTGTCGTATATATATGTTCTATAAGCGGATGCAGCATAGAGGTTACAGTCCCTAGCACGATATCCGATTTTTCGCTCTCGCTGATACCTGAGTCTTTAGCAGGTTCGCATATGCAGCGGCTGCCATTGTCGATTTTATTCCAGTAGAATTCCCAGAGCCAGTCCATTGACCTTCTAGCAGCATCTCTCAAAACCACGAGAGACGGCAAGTCCCTATGCGTAGCTTCATGGCGCAGCTCTACAAACGAAGCTGGCACGCCAACGGCCATTGCCTTTTGATACATAGACTGTTTCGGGCCATGCAGCTTTGAGTCAACCAGACCAGTTACAAATCTGAAAGGCAATAGTCAGTATACCTGAGCTCAATTCAGATGTGCGGATAACCACCTGCAGAAAGCCAAAGAGTAGGCAGCACGAATCGAGAATATGGAATTCTTTTCCGGATCGTCGTGCAGTATTGCGTCCGTCAGTAGGGCAGTGGCCTCAACTGCATGGGGCAGATTTCCTCTGAGCTTCCATACCCAGACCTAGGACGGAAAAACGAAAAGCTATTAGCGAAATGGGGAACGAAATAGATTGTTTCTCTTTCTATGCATAGGATATGTCGCGTCTCACCAGCGAACAAGCCTTGGCCCGGCAATCTTCGCCATCGTCTGACTTGCGATAAAACTGCTCTCGAACTGAGACAAGCTGGGAAAGTTCCTTCCACGGCGTTATTTTTGGCCTCTCCATGTCACAGTATTCTTTATGTCGAGACACACAACGGCCAGGTATGGGTATATCCTCCAACAACTCTTCCGAATAATGGGGACTCTCTCCCTGCCTACCCTTTCTCTTTTAAGCTACCTACCTTCCTTTGCCAGCAGTTCGCCGAAAAGTACAAAAATTGATAACACGAGCTTTTTTTTTCGATAAAATAAAGTTTAGCTCAAGCTTAAAAGCTTGGTGTAAGTTGACCAATAAAAATTAATGAAAATATGACTAATTCCATATAGGGCTACCGTTTAATTTTGCAAATACCGACTTCACGATAGATAGTCGTTGGTGGGTTTGCTATGTTCAGAAAGGAGAGAAAGATAGAGACCAAGAATAGTATTATTAATAGTGAGTAAAGTATCTATCTACCTAGAATAGTTGATAAATGTTTTCCAACAGCGCGTCCCAGCCGATCCTATTGGTCAAGAAAGTTTGGGTCTCAATACATAGTAGGATAGACGTTTTGGTACGATCCAGGGAATGCAGCGTAACTATTGAGCATAACTGGCGGCGCTGCCGTCCAGCTCACTTGGGCGCTGTTGTATGAAGCATCCTCGTCCACCTGAAACAATTGTCCCCCTGCACTGTTGGATTCATCCGAGTCCTTTACGGACGGCTCCATACGTGGTTGCTCGTCCTCTTCTTCCTCCTCATCGCCATCTGCATCCATATCGCTGCAGTTTAGAGTTGATGGGTCGAGAGTCTCTTCTAGCTTCAAACCCTTGCGTGTGGGTGGATAAGGGTACAAGATCGGATCAACCGAGCTGGATAGTGATTCGTCCCAGTAAGAGGTGTCCAGTGGTTCGTCATAAAGTCCAACGCCGACAAGATCGTCTTCGTCTCGGACACTTTCGCCAGAAGAGTTTGACGAGGTTGGTGGTGGCGGAGTTTTTGGCTCAGGGAATTGTTGGTTGGCAGGCAAATCAGGAGTGGAAAAGGCGGTATTGCTTTCCATTGCTGGTAGAGAGAGGTGGGCGTGTGAAAGTGGCGTGGCGTCGTAAGTTGATGAGGTCATGTCTACGTCTTGTTGAGCGTAGGCCATGGGCATGGTTGACGTAGGTAAGTAGGTGTCGTAATAACCATCTGGTGTCATCTGGTACTGGCCGTAGGATGATAATGGCTGCTCAACAGAGGAGTACACGTAGTTTGACGAGACAATTGGCCCCTGAGAGTATTCTGCCTGCTGGTATTTTGGGAAGTACGAAGGTGCAGCCATAGTGGTAGCAGGGACAGAAACCGGCTGATACGTAGCCTGTTGGTGATAAAATGGGGTATTTGGTGAAGAGTAGGCTGGGTGAGACAGCTCAGCAGCACTTATCGAAGCATTCCGGTGCAGTTCGTGTCTGTTTGATAGGGCCTGCATGGTATGTTCTGGCGAGTGATGAGCCATGCTGGCCAGGCGGGAGCTGGACTCAGCACTTATTGTTCTAGCAGTAGATTGCAAAGCCTGTCTCGAAGCGATGATATCCTGATCAATCGTGTCTGGGTAAGGGTATGTCGCAGCAGCAAGATAACTCGAGCCTTGCTGAAACATCTTTCCGTAGTGTGTGAGTGACTGTGTATGTGTGTGCGTGTGTGTGTGGAAGAGTCGGCGTTGTGTTGTTATATGGAAAGTGGAAGAGAAGAGATGTGTTGCTGTATACATATATATGAATGCTGGTTGAGACAGCCCGGTTTTCTCATATGACGAACGAGAAATAAAACCGTTCAAGTAGTCCTTGCTCAAAAGAAAAAAGAAAAGAAAAAGGAGCAAGCAGTGACAAGAGGGACAGGGACCATTATGATGTGGGGAGAGACGGTCTTTGTAAAGGCATGAAAATTAAGGCAGACCAGCAAGCCCACTCTTTGATATGGATGGTCCCCTGGGCAATATTATACACTTGAGCTCTGCCGGATACCAAGCGTTTAGACTGGCGGCGGGCTTGTCAAGCATGTTAAAGTCCATATATAGAGTTCTCCTGAACGGGCGAAAGAGAGATGGAGAGAGGTTGGTTGATTTCATGTAGAAGATCTCATATAGCCCGGCTGGCCCTGTGGAGATCCAGGCGGTAGTCAATATCTACTTTGTGCAAAAAAGAAGCAGAAAGAATTAAAAATAAAATATACGGAGTACTTTAGTTATACAGTTCTATCTGGAGATAAAACGACATCATCGAAAGGGAAGACGACAGGAGAAAAAAATAAGCAAAAAGGCCAAAAAAAAGAAACATGCAAAAGAAGCAGAAAGAAGTAGAAGACGCCTGAGTGGAGGAACGGACGGAGTAAGTATCCAGGCCCATCCACCCGGGCATTGAATAATATGATTTTTTATTTTCTTTTGGTGATTCTTATTTTAAGTATTTTTGCAAGCCAAAAAAGAAGCAGAAGAACAAGAAGTAACAGCGTCATGCAGTGTGGCAGGACGACCCATGGCTCCAGCAGCCGCCATGCACCCGGGCCTGTTTGTGTTTGACCAGGCGACGGGGATCCTTGATAGTTCAGTTCAGGGTTGCTGGGAGAGCTCAGAGACAAGCCGGAGGAGCAGCCATCGTCTGCTTTGCTTCCTGCCAGAGCAGATGCAGAAGAGGAGGAAGAAGCAATATAAAAGAAAATATCATACAGACAGACAGACGGCTCCGCACTCCCCATATATCCATTAGTTACAGAAAGGAAATCAGAGTAATCCGACAGAAAGGAGAAGAAGCAAAGACAAAGACGCCCACCGAACCGCCCGCCATCCATGGTTGTGACGTGATGCGCGCCGCCGTATTTTAATCTCTCGGAGACGCCAATCCAGTGCTTGGATCCAGATCGCGAGAGAGCGTGGGTCTATCTAGGGTTTTTGGGCTCCTTCGATGTGGACGCAGCGGTTTCGGTGGATGGCTGTGGTACAAGAGCCAGCATCGGTTACGGCTTAAGGGGGTGGCAGCACCAGCACCAGCACCCAGCATCTCCGCCAGGGAGACGCTTGGAAAGTCTCGTCTCAACACTGCCTGTCGACTTAATTATTTGCCCGTGGAGTGTCTTACATTAGCGGTATCACGCTAGAAGAAAGCTGCTGGACCGAAGCTGGAAGCCCAGAGAACAGGCGGAGGGGTCAGGACAGGCTCTTGTTTCAGGGATCAAATCAGACGCCGGCCTACGATGGACAATCTCTCTTGTCTCTTGTTGATTTAGCCCGGCTTGTCTCTCTCGCTCTCTCCACGGAAGAGAGCAAGGCAAAACAGCAGCTGGACGGGAGCGTGGATGAACGGACCAAGGTGCATCCCGGTTCCCAGCGATGGGGAACAAACATCGCACGTCCGTATCGAAAGTGCCAAAGCGTTGAAAATAAAATAAAAGAAAAAAAAAGAGGAAAGAGGAAGAAGAAATGATATACAACGACCAAGTATATTCCTCTCCGGTGGTGGTCAAACTGTTGGCTTGCATACTATCAGCTCCCTGGGGTACCCGGCTGGGCTGCTCTGCCTCTTTTGTCTGGGTGCCTGTCTGGCTTTCTCTGCCTCTCATGGATGGCGATGGATGGATGCAAGTTCAGTCCCCAAGCCTCCAAGCCTGCAGCACCTCAGCCAACAGCGTCAGATCGCTCGTCTCCTGGGCTATTGGCTTCCCCCTACGCCACGCTCGTCAAGCTACCTGATTGAGAGGTAAATAGAGCGAACCTTGTGGCCAGGCTGCATCCCCTTCCTCTCGTGTTACGAAGTGAGTATACGTACAGGCTGCCGATTTTATCGCCATTTGGGACTACAGTATGGAGTACGGAGCTAGGAGTGATTCCTGTCAGGCGCGATCAGCAGCAAAAAGCAGGAGACGATGCTGACGCTCGCTTTTTATCGACGGAGAAACATGCCACGACCCACAGGATACGCTACTGTGATACTCCGTGTCTATTCACACACACACACACAATCATATCACTCCATGTATGATTTTCGCAGGACAGAGAAAAGGCGGGTAGCATGAAACAACAAGGCAGAGGCGGAATAGAAGTGGAACAAACGATCTCGGATACTAATTATGTCTTTTATGGGGAGAAGGGGATGTCTCCAACGATGACGAGGAATAAGGGCAAATATCGGGACTCCGTATGAAAGGGCGAAAAAAAAAAAAAACAAACCTAAGCGCCCGCCAACACGCTCAGATCACCCCTTACCAGCTGAAAGTGTTGGTTCTCCGTGGTAATGTACCGACAACAGAGAGGATGGAGAGCAAAAACACCAGTCGAACTGATACACTGCGGCACGCACCAGCACAGCGGAACTCTCGCCGAAGCGAATGTCGCAATCACAACCTAGATACGGATAGGCTGGCTCCTAGATTAATAGTTGCACCGACTGCGTCGCACATGGGGAATGCAAGATGCAGGTTGCATACATATGTTAACGGAAGATAAAAAACCGTACCAAGTATCGACAGGTCGCTCAGGCTACAGCATTTTTCTTTTCCTTCCTTTCTGTCTGCTTTCTTCCTGCCACCTCCCTCTCCTGCGCTCGAGTCTGTGATGAGACTGGTACGGGACCGGGCTAGCGGGTCAAAGGAAGAAGATTGATGAATGAAATGTGATATGCAGGCTGGGCGGCGACTCTCACAGGAGCAAGGCGTCCAGGCGGCAAAGCTCCTCGAACTGGAAACTGATAGGCCTGGTATCCTGCATCCTCTTTTCATTATTATTATTATTACTACTCCGTACTATTTTATTTCTTCAAGTTTACGGAATGCTACCCATTCCACTCAACTAATCTTAAGTGGTATGCAACTATCTGTGGGCAACACACGGCAGGTCCGCGCCAGGCCCTGGTAGCCGGGAGAAGATGCCTGTCCTTCTCGAAGCCAGTGAGAATGGGGCTGAGAAAAGAGGATACATATTGCCGAATACGGAGCATTATTCTTCTCTCATGAGGGTGCCAGACAGAGCAAATAAAGGCAGGTACCTATATATACGGAAGATACGCTTTCAACTCGCTGGTAATAATATCGATCGACGCAACCAGATGCCCCCTGCCGCCGGTATCAAAAGCGTGATGGCCATTTTACACGGCCATTGGCAGGGATGTACGGAGTAAGGGTTGAGTACAAAGTGAGTATAAACCTCTCAACTGCGGAGTATGTACCACTGCTATCCTGGACTCCTCTGGACTATGGATATGGATATGGGTATTGCTTTGTATAAGGGGATAAAGGGGGCGAAACTCGTCACATCCGCGAAATATATACGTGGTATTTTTACCACCTTGGCTGTCGTGTCGGGTTTCAGTACACGGTATTACCACCGCAAGACGGCTGACTAACGGCATAAAAAGGGATGCGTAGCCCCAGCTGCCGCTTTAGGATGTGCTGTCCGTCGTCTTCTTTTCTTCTTCCTCCTTCGCATGCAACGCATGAACAAGCAGCGGCCAGTCGATGGATGACGGCGACGGTGATGAAGGATATACGATCCAGGGCCCGCCCTGGTGATACTATTCTTTACAGTTATACAAGTACGGAGTATACATGTACTTATTTCAGCCCTGACGAGGACTTGCCAGGGTTCATCCAGGGACCTCGACCCAGAACTGACATGGGGCTGTATATGTATACATATATCCGGAGCAAGCAAGGCAGGCGTACGGAGTACCGTACGGAGTATCCGTAACGACCCCGACTGAGGCTATACGGAGTCCCCTCTGCCGTAAGTATAGTATACGGAGTAAGTCCATACGGAGAACATACATAATGACGAAGTAGCTCCGTATATACCTGTGAACCGTTTCATCCACGCGTCCTTTCCCTTGCTAACGGTTCATTGAGGCAGTGGGATAATATAAAGATAATAACCGAAGAAATCAAGAAAGCCCCCAAGTCCTCGCTTTGAGCCTTCTCTCTCCGCTTCCTTGGGTGCTTGAGAGCCACTCCAAATAGAGCAGGAATACGGGAAAGGGGAAAAAGAACTTGTTTAGCCCTCCCTGAGTCCACGGACATGGACAAGTTACCGCTTGTGTGGCAAGTTCGGGTGCCTCCATCCGACTCAAAAGGAGCCGCCCCCAAGTGCCAATGATCGCTTCTCACGAATCGAAGCACTCGAAGAACATGGCTTGACCTACTAACAAACACAAAAATAATAAAACAGAGTTGCAAAAGGCCCGCAGGTTCCTTTTGGGAAGAGTTCCACGCGCATGGCTGGTCTCTGGCCTTTTGCTTTTTTTCATCTTCCTCTCTTTTCTTATCCTCCAACTTACTTACATATGATATTTTAGTTAGCTTCCTCTTTCTGGTTGACGATGGTGCCCTTTTACTTCCGTCCACCAGGTGCATCGATGTTATACAACATTCTAAGTATAACAACTACAACTCTGACAAGGCTAGTTGATTACGGAGTCTAGCACATTGCTGACATCGCCGCCCTTCGGCATTTTGACGCCCCAGCCTGCTTACGCATGTCCCCTCTCGTCACGTACGAAGTACATACATTGCTCTCAAATAATGGCCTGGAAATAGTGGCCTGCACTATCTGGAAGATGGCCGGCCGCTTCCTACTTCCGAATGCGGTAATAAGTGAAGGCATCGCCAGCGTCCCAAAAACCATTTCCAAACGTATTTACTCGCTAGCCTCGGTTCCAACTACTGGAGCACGGAATAACGAAACCGCCAGTTGATTGATCTCTCTTCCCCTTTCCCTTTTGTTTTTCTGTTTCCGCCTTTCTACACCGTGCGCACTACTGAGTTACGGGGTAGATCACAGAGATAAGTCGTTGTTGTAGCATTATTTCAAATATATCGTCCCTCCATCTTTCCGTTCTATCCATCTCTGTCACGCGGCCGGCACAATTTTTTTATTCTCTAGAACCTCCACATCGAAGTGTAAAAACGTAAATCGAAAAACGTTTCGCTTGTCATCCCTATGGCCCACTTGCGCAGGTATCCCCTTTCCGTCCCATGGATCATATCGTGGGCTTGCAGCATTTATTTTTACAGCCGCTTGCTTTTTTTTTCTCCTTGCTGCCTTTTTTATTTTTGCAAATTTGATCCTTAAGCTGGGATTCCAAAGCTGGGATTCCAGCCAAACCCTGAAAGCTGCATGCCCAAATTTTAGTGGTCAATTTGCCATGTCCATAGCCGCTGCCTAGGATTCAGATGGATGTTCGGTTCTTCCCTCCCCAGTAACCTTGGCGGGGATTTTGAGCCTTCTAATGCCTAACCATGCTTTGATCCAGGCAAGAAGTATACTGACATGCAACTTGCCATCTGGGAGTTTCTCATTCCTGGTCAAACACATCAGCCAATCTAAATTTAACTTGCCTACCGAAGCATGGCAATTTCTTGTTGGACATTCCCTCGCTGCCTCGTGTACGGAGTAAACGGAGGACATCCTCCTTCGATTTGCCTTCCCTGTGCACCTGGGGTTTGGATGAGCTAAGGCGCAAGGGCTTTGTTGCTGTCTTGTTGCGCCCTTTTGCGAGAAAAGGAGCCAGCTAACAGGCTTTTTTGTTTGGTCTTTGTGACCGAGGGAGCGAGCGACATTTCAATTCCAACTTAGTGTTTTGATATGCACTTCCATCGATGGTGATATCACAGGCTAGTTTGAGATAGTAGTCGGGGGTTTGTGACTCACCTTGCTCTTTACGGGGGACTTGCTTCCCTTCCCTGAGGCATGATGTAAGCTGCTTTCTTTTTTTGTCTTCTTGTATTGCTTGCTGGGCATAGGCAACCTTTTTTTATGCCGACACATACATATTCCGTATATGCTGCTTTTCCTTCTTTCACTTGTATAAAATCTGCGTATGCACCAGCTGCACCTTGCCAGCATAATGTGTTTGTATGCAATCAGATGATAGTCCTTCCCCTTGCCATTCGCGCAGCTCCGTTGGGTGGCGATATTAGCTCCATAGAAGAAGGAGAGTCGAAAACACCACCAATCAGGGGCCTGGTATCCCTTACCCGAGGGTCAACATAATAGTCCAGCGTATTATTATATGTCTGTGTATATACTCCGTATGTGAGCTCGACACCATTTTAGTCTGGTTCTGGCGTTTCCATCCGAGAACCCCCCGGGCTTTGGCTCGACACATTCGGGGGGGAGAAAGTTGCAACTTATCCCTTTCACCCCTCCCAAATCTTGGGCATGGATAGGACGGCTACCCTGGCGGGCAAGAAAGAAATCGCACTTCCTCTGTAGAGTCAAGCAAACCTTATGATTGGTGTCCACGCAGCTGCCGGTGACTTTATATATACTCCGTATATATACGTCTGCCTGCTATTGCTTGTCCTGTGAAGGAACTCTAATAGTTATTGACCGAAGATCTTTCTCCTTCACGCATCTTAGCACATGCTGTAGTAGTATTAATGTCTGTCCGCTCAGCGCAGGCCCCGCGGACGTTTCATCGCTGGAGACTCCCTTTATTCTTGTTCATATCCAATACCCTTTAGGAGGAGCCCTTGCTTCTTTGCTTGCAGCGAGATAATCCCGGCTTGTCCAGGCATCCAGCACCATGGCCAGTACCCAACACCAACTCTCTGCATCCTTTACCACGCACCAGGATTTTCCGTGACAGACAGACAATTTGGAGCAAACCGATGCCGCACAAGGCCACACTTTCTGATTCTCGAAAGTTTAAAGCCCCACGGACCTCAAGATCTGAGGAAGCCCTTTTTTCCTTTTCGCTTTCTTGTTCACCGCATGTTTTTTGCTTGCTCCCTTCCTTGTCCTTTTGGGCCTTTTATGGCTGATGAAGAAGAAGGGCGGATCAGACACCAACGGCCAATTTCACGGCTCTCACGCACGCAGCTGACTTCTCTGTCTTCCTTTCCTTCCCACTTTCGTTTCTTTCTTTCCTTTTTTCCTCTTGACTTCTCGCTTCGATCTTTGTTGTTTCGTTCTTCGCCTCTCTGTTGCAAGTGTAACTCCGCCAACACGTTGGGCATCTGGATATTCATCTGGTAATTCCCCTCCCTCGATCCCTGCCTGCTTTCTCACGAGTCAAAATTTTCATTTCTGCCCTTTTTTATTTTTTTTTGCGATGAAACCTTCGTTATTATATTTCCCATGGGGTCTCCACAGTCATCTCACGGCTTGAACGCTGTTGATACACCAACCCCACCAGCCGACCAGCTAAGCAAGGTTTGGCTGGGTAATTTTGAGGTTTTCCATGCATGTACAAAGTACGGAGTAAGTCTATCCATACAAAACACATAAAAGGTCCTATGATGTCCCTTGTGTGAATCTTCGTCGATCAAAGTCGCCTGGCCCAAGATGCGTTCGTTGATAGTACAGAGGAGGCTTGCTGGAGGGTGTTCAACGCGATACCAGATCGATTCATAATCCATTGTCGGGGCCCAAGGAAATAGCCATCATGTGCAACCTGACCGAGTTGGTGACCTTTGAAGTCAAAAATAGGAGGGTGGGAGAAGATAAACAGGCCACTTTTTAATATAAGATAATGGACGTCGCGAGCCCTCTCGGAAGGAATGCAGATTCCAGCTATCACATTAAACTTCCATGCAGTCACCACGTAAGGGACTTTGGGCTTCAGGTTACTCAACATTTGCGCTGCACTGCAGGCAGGCAAGATAGGTATTCTGGTCAGATCGTCTTTCTCCTTTTTCCCGCTTTTCTTGCCTTCTTTCCTTTTTCTTCTCATCTTTTCTTTTTGCTGGGCCAAAAAAGGCGAGATACGAAAATAAAATAAACACGGCTCGCCATATACTTCTCGATCTATTCGTCATTAATGCTCCCTTTCCATCAAAACCGTTGCACATATGTGGATGCATCGCAAGATCTTGCCGCTTTTGAGAATATAGTCGGTTCTGTGATGGAGGCGATATTGATACCGCACACGGAATATATTTGACATCTAGCTGGCAGCCCATTTTAATATATCTTGCTGCTGCCACAAGGGAAGCTGATCCAATTCGGCATCTCGCTTGAAGGAACCGCACCTGGAAAGGATGTTCTGGCTGACCTTTCGATCCGGATGGGATGAAGAAACAGGCTGGCACACTCGTCATATAGGAGAGGGCTGAGCAGGCACGGGTGTCAGTCTGGAATCTGGGGTTGCATCCGGTATCGTGTAATCGTCCTACTGAGTAGGTGAAGATCCCAGATGAACACAAGTGAGGGATAACTGTTGGTCGAAATGCCCAATTCTCCCTCCCCTTGACCCCATAGTCTTCGTTGGCTTTCATTGCCAGTTACCCTTTTTTTTTTTTTTTTCCCTTGACTATGGATCTCGTGCCAGGATACCCCCAAGGGATAACACATTCAACGCATCTCTGCTCTTACGAGCTGTGTCCAAGTGGCTTGACCAGGCGGTTATTGCAACACTGAACAAGATCGATGTTGTATTCTGTATAACTATACCTTGCAGTGGAGGGCTCGGGATGAGGCTGTAGGCTAGCCTACTCCATCCACCCTATGGTTTTGTGTATACTCCAAGTCCGCAAACGTTGTAGATCCCACAGCATGCCGACAAGGCCCAAGGCAACACAGCATCTCCTGTTCTTTAAGTACGTATATTATCTATCATAATTTTTCTCGCCAGGTTATCTTCGTGCTTCTTACTTGCGCTGAGGTGCGAAGCCCATTGTTGTACTCCGTACATGTATTGACCCGGCCCTTGCTGATTCTGATGTGCGTGTGTTTCTTTCAATAAATCTACCGTCCGTTCCCGAAGGGACTCGCGTTTGTATATCTCACAGAGCGTATGTATCCTTTATCCGGATGGCAAGCTGTTGGTCGCTGGTGCTGGTGTTTGCCATAAATATCTACGGAGTAATACAATAACTACATCATTATTTGTATGTTTTGTTGTCATCAAAATAAGGCCGAGGCTAAAAACCTTCTTTGAACTTCGTCCGTCGCTAACTAGTTCAACCATCAAGAAATGCTGTCATAAGTTTAGAGAAAGCAGTTCAGACAAACCAACTAGTTTTCCCGAAGCTCCCAAGATGCAAGCTGTACAATCTCCCTGCCCTAGATAGTCTCACAAACACTCACGGAATCTCATGGAGGATCATGCCGAGATTCGCCATCACCTGGAGGTAGGTACTATGTCTGTGCCATGCTCCCCGCAGGCACTAACATAAAAGAAAAGAGAGCTACATCTGCCATCTCCGGCTTGCTGCACCCAGCCTTAGCCTATCCTGTTCGATATGCAATGCAGAACTGCTAACGCAACCTCCTTCTTGCAGGTAGTGTTCGAGTCTGACAGCGGTCATCGCCGCAAATCCTCGTTTGTCTCTCCCGATACCCCGCGCCTTGCCCGTCGACACGAAACGCAGACATCAGACCAGGCAGCTTGCTTTGTGCATTCCCTGCTAGGTCAGCCTCGGGCTGTCCAGCTCGACCAAATCGATGAACATGGCAAGGCTGTGACGCGGTCGGTTGGGCCCCAGTTCGAAGATGGTGGCGACAATACCTCTGGGTCCTCCCGGCTCCTGACGAAGAGAGAGCTCTCGGATATGGCGTGGAACGTGCGGGCATTGTCAAAAAAGCTCGGCAGCCTGAAGCTGAAGCTCAATGTCCACAGCATATTCATCTTGACGAAACCTCAAGACCAGAGTCTGGCTCGATTGACCAAAGAGGTCACAAGCTGGCTCCTTGGGCCGGAGCAGAGAGTTCCTTACACAGTTTACGTAGAGAAGAGGCTGGAAAACGATACCCAATTCGATGCACAGAGCATATGCAAAAAGGAGCCCACCGCGAAGCAGAGGCTAAAGTATTGGGACAACTGTCTCATTGAAGATCACCATCACCTAGTCGATTTTGTTATTACCCTCGGCGGCGATGGGACGGTGCTATACGCGAGCTGGCTCTTCCAGCGTGTGGTGCCCCCAGTTTTATCATTTTCCCTTGGGTCACTGGGATTCTTAACGAAATTTGATTTCGATGATTACAAGGAAACACTAAAGCGGGCCTTTACTGAAGGGGTTACTGTCAGCTTACGGCTGCGGTTCGAATGCACTGTAATGCGGAGCCGGCAGAGGTCCTCTGGTCAACCTCAAATAGAAAGAGACCTGGCTGAAGAACTGATTGGTGAGGAGTCAGAAGACAACGTTACTCATTCCCCAGACAAAATGTTTCAAATCCTAAACGAGATAGTGGTTGACCGTGGGCCAAATCCAAGTATGTGACAATTTACTTCCCTCTATTTGCCTCTGTCTAACCGCCGTGACTTTTTTTAGCGATGTCGTCTCTCGAGATATTTGGTGACGACGAACATTTTACGTCCGTTCAGGCTGATGGCGTCTGCGTTGCTACCCCCACAGGCTCTACAGCATATAACCTTGCCGCTGGCGGCTCCTTATCACACCCTGAAAACCCTGTCATCCTTCTTACAGCAATTTGTGCTCATACGCTCAATTTCCGGCCCATAATACTCCCGGATACCATAGTATTGCGTATAGGAGTTCCGTATGATGCCCGGACCAGCTCTTGGGCGAGTTTTGATGGCCGCGAGAGGTACGTGCTTATCCTTTAAAATCCAAGTTGTGCCTTAACTTACATTCGCGCTCTATAGAATTGAACTACATCCCGGAGATTACGTTACAATTTCTGCGTCTAGGTTCCCATTTGCCAATGTGATACCTTCCGGTCACCGCAGCTATGAATGGATTCAAAATATTTCCCGCACGTTGAACTGGAATAGCAGGCATAGACAGCAAAAGCCATATGACAGCAAGTACTTGGAGCAACCTAATACCTCTTAGCATTTTTGGTTAATGCGTGAATTAGTCTAGTTATAAGTAGGATTATAATATCTAACTAGCTGCATTGTGGTATGGATATTTCTCTATTCGTAGGTATATATTTGAAAGATAAGCGGAATGGTATGACACAATCTAAGCTGGAATACATGGACAGAACCTATGGACAGATAGCACAGGCACAGGCTATCATCATCGGTCACTCAACGCACCATGGACTACTACCCAGAGCCTCTAGATATTCTTTCCCCTATAAGATAATAAATAACCAAAATACAAACCACCAACGGGTTGCTTACTACCCTTCACCAAGCGTGGTGCGTAACTAGCTAGCTCGTGCTTGAGCTCTTCTTGGCGGTGCGGGAGCTTTCTTTTAACTCAACCTCGTCCACACCGAACACCGCAACGGGTCAAATAACATCCAATTGATGAACAAAAAGATATCCCGGCCCTGAGCAAACATTTCTTGCCTAACTCGTTAAATCACCGGCTACAAAGGTATATTACGCTTACAACGCCGCTACTCAGCCTGCAAAACATCTGCGTAAAGGAAGGGGCTGGCTATTCTTTCGTTGACAAACACCCGACGGTACCCCCCGCAACCAACTACGATGAGCGCGCCCCCAAAGGCTCATGTACACGCCTCCTCTGCGGGTGCCATTGCTGGTACTGGCTTAAGCGGACAGGGAGGACAGACAGCTCCTCCACGCTCGCCGCAACCGTCGCAGAGCCAACCATCAACAGGACTGCGGGTTCCATCCAATCGCAAGACTATATATGACCGGAACTTGAATCGCACGCGAAATGCAGAACTTAGCAAGGCCAGCTTTGGTTATATCTTTTCCGAGATGGTGGTATACGCCCAAAGAAGAGTTACAGGAATCCAAGACCTAGAAAGACGGTAAAACTTTTGCACCTTGCAAGTAATACACATGACGAGGTTGCCGTTTTTGCTGATAGTTCGCTATTTAGACTAAACGAACAAGGCTATCCTCTTGGACTTCGTCTGCTAGACCTACTACTATACCGATCCTTAACTGGCTCATCGACAACGAGCACCTTGACGTCCCAGTCTTCCTCAAGTAACCAGCCTGTTAGACCGCTACGCATCCTTCCACTCCTACAGCTGATCCATGGGCCTTTATGGAAACTCCTATTCTCACGCCCGGCAGACGCCCTTGAACATTCCGTCTCTCCAAATACACCTAATGAATATATGATTACCGACAACGATCCCCTAACAAATACCTATATATCGGTGCCAAAAGAGATGAACATGTTAAATTGTGCGGCCTTTGTAGCCGGTATCATTGAAGGAGTATGCGATGGCTGCGGCTTTGAGGCTTCTGTGACCGCTCATAATCAAGGAAACGATATGTGGCCCAGCCGAACCGTGTTTTTGGTGAAATTTGGAGACTCCGTTATGGAAAGAGAAAAGACTTTGGAGCGAGCTGGAATTAAATAAACCTGCTCTCTACTTATTGCCATAAGGGTTCCATGTCAGCCATTGATCGAAAGTGAACCTCTTTCGGATCATGCATTTTGGGGGGCATTTATGTGTTGTCTTGGGTTTCAGAGCGAGGCGTTCACGGCTGGGGAAGCTACCTTTAGAGAGGGAAGGGTCAACATTGGGGTTGGGGTTATTTATTCGAAATACATAGAGAGCGCTCGAAGTTCAGCTCATCACACATTCGGCCACACTTGGGCTTTCAGCGCAAACGAAGCAATGTCGAGCATTAGTCTAGGGTTGAAAAAGGAGATAGAATGCTGACGCTAAATATACCCATTTTTAGAACACCCCTGTGAAGACATTGAAAAAGTACATGTTGGATCCAATATACACAACCTAGCTCCCAAACAATGCATATAATAAAAACAGTGCTATGCAGGAAACAAATAATTGAAAATATACATGCTACGATACAGAGTCTACTCGCCGCCTTTTATCACGATCGTGGTATGGCGAAGGGCTACGTTTCCTTCGGCTTCTGCCATCATCATCCCGATGCTGATCTCTTCGTGGAGGAGATCTTGATCTTGAGCTCAAGTGGTCTTGTCGACGGCGAGGCGAACGAGACCTAGAGCGGGGACGGCGGCGTTCTTTGACTGCACTTGCATTTGCTCCTGATGGTCCAGATGGTCTCCTTAAATCTCCGTCCCTACTATCGGGTAGGAATCGTTCGTCCTTAATACCGAATCGAGCAGCACTGCTAGCAGGCGCATTTGACCGATAATAGTTTTCAACCCCCCATCTACCAGTATCTTCCGTCTTCAAGTCACGATACTTCGTCCGGCCTTTGCGTCCAATCTTTGTTGCATCCCTGACTTGGAGGTATTCTGGCAACGCTTCGCGGTTCTTAATTTCGTCCACGTAATGGCCACCCATAAGATCTCGTTCAGTGAGACCATGTTTCTCCGAGTCAGGCTGAAAGAAGGCACCCTTGTGGAAATATCGTTGCATAAACCCAGCCTTTCCTCTCCCAGCTTCTCGGTCCTCCTTTTGCTTGTCAATGAATTCACGATCTTCGCGCTCTCGCTCCTCAGTAGTTAGGTTACGACGGCGTTCAATCTCTTCCCGTTCCTTTTCGGCAACTTCGATGGCTTCGCGTTCACGTTTGACTCGCTTAAGCTCTCGCAATTTCCAGGCAGCAAGTTCAGCTGCCGGGTCAACACCGTCCGTATCGTCAATGTGGTTCTCATCAACTCCTGCACCTGTCTCGTCAATGTCGTCGTCCCATGTCTTTCTACCAGCTATCCGAGCAGCAGCATCCTTTTCTAGTTGGTCGCGAATCAGTAGGTCTGCCTTATCCTTCCGCCGTTTAAGCTCTTCGGCTTCCGCATCAGGGTCGAGGGCAGATGAAGACGTCGCAATATGACCAACATTGCTTGAAGTCACAGCGGCTTTACGTTCGCCTTTTTTTATAAATGTTGGGCGAAGTAGTAGTCTCCTCGGACCTTCATCCTCTGAGCTAGACTCCTCTTCTGAATCCTCTTCTGAATCCTCTTCTGAACCTGATTCTTCCTCTGACTCGTCCTCGACTTCCGACGTCTGTGCTTCCTGTTTCCTTACTGAAACTTCGCCGGTGTGCAGCCTGTCAGAAGTAACCGGTGCTGAAGATTTAGGGTGGATATCGACAGCATCCTCCTCCTCTTCCGTCACAAATCCCTCTTCATCTTCTGCCTCCTCTTCCAATTTGACTTGTCGAACGCCAGAAGTGATGTTCCTAGAGCTTGGGGGAGGCCGGCTCTGCGGTAATTGTTTGGGCTTCTGCTCCTCTACCTCCTCTTCCTCCTCATCTTCCTCTTCGGACGATTCAACTTCATCTGCGATGGGCTTGCCGGGTCGATATCGTTTTGCTGGCTGCATGCGCTTTGCAGCTGTGCCGCGACCAAAACTTGGGAATGAGGGAGGAGCCATGCTTATTGATAGATATACGTGTTAGCTATATGGCAACCAACATTGTAGTGGGGTGCAGAGGCAGCTGCTGGTGAGCGTGTCTTTTGTTGAAACGACGCTGGGTCTTTTTCTTCGTCTATCAAAAATCTTGAAGCTTGGACCTTCCTTGACTATCGATAAATCGATAGCTAATAATAGGCTTCATTATTTCCTCAAAATGTATTATATAATCAATTATCGGTTAGTCATCCAATCCATTCTAACCTAAGGGATGAGACACCTTCACGTGATAGATAATTTCATTGAGTTATTGGATCTTCGGCTGATTTGCATGCGACCACATAAAGTGTGATAGAGTGTTTATACGGGCGATAGAGCAAAAGGCTTTTTTGACTTTGGCCACTGGCGAGGACGCCAAGTGACGCGGACGGTACAACCTGCCTTCGTGGCGGACTAGGCGGCCTCAGGCAAAAGGTTTTCAACCGAAATTTGTCAGTCCTTTGCCGGTTTGACGAGGCATCAAGGGGTTTTGATGAAAGACTAGGAAGGGAGCCAGGAATTCATGACGATCCATGCATGGATTATTGATTACTCCGGATACTTGCTGATGAGCTGTGCAACTCCCGGATTTTCGCAGAATGTCCTGGGAGCCGTTCCATTCTTCAATATTCATCTTGCAGGCGATCTCAGGGGCCACTGCAGAAAATAAGGCCTGCCCCCCTTTTTTAAATCTCCCAATAATAGCTCATCTTTGTTGCTGGAATCTCAACCACTTCTGGGGGTACTAAGCTGCAGAAGGCTTAGTGGCCAGGTCCCAGTTACAGACTAATGCCAAGTGGATCCACCATAGGCCAACCAGCATGGCCCAGTTGAGTGTTGTTTCATGGTCCGAAAGCCCCCGTCATATAATAACGAAGGGAAGGGGGTTGCAATCGACGTTCGATCGTTCGACATCGAATTCCATCTTTCGTTCACCATCACCACCAGCTGCTATCAGTCTTTTCCCCTCTTGAGGGGCGTGGCCTATTGTCTCTCCTTCATGTCCGTTTGGTCGCACTGATTCTTGATAGCGTCCTCTCTTTAAAAAGGAAAAAACCGAAACAGAGCCTCCTGTGAATCTGCACGCGTCTTTCGTTATTTTGTGCACCTTCTCTGCTGCCATTTTGACGACCGTCGTATAACGTCTCACAATGATGGCTTCTCGAAGCATTTCCCTTCTGTCGTCGTTGGGGCTTTTGTCCTGTCTCTTATCCACCGTTGTAGGCCAGACGTTCACGTACTGCAACCCGTTGGAGAAAGATGACTGCCCTAACGCCCCAGCTTTGGGACAGAACTTCACCACGTACCTTAACAACTCGCTGAACCCTAATATCTGGAATACTACCAATGGAATTGTTGAAATCTCTGATAAAGGCTCCAACTTCACGATCCGCAAGCAACTCGACTCGCCAACTATCCAGTCCTTCTTTTATATCTTTTTTGGTACCGTTGAAGTCCATATGAAAGCCGCGACTGGTCAAGGTGTCGTTAGCAGTGTTGTCATCCAGTCAGAAGTATTGGATGAAATCGACTGGGAATGGGTTGGCTCGGAGCCAGATAGAGTTCAAACCAACTACTTTGGCAAGGGAAATACTACGTCCTATGACCGCGGTAAGAATTTCGACGTTAAGGGAGCTATGGATGATTTCCATAACTATACCGTCAACTGGACGCCGGAAAAAATAGAATGGTATATCGACACCGTGCTGGTCCGAACCCTGATGTACGAGGAAGCCCTTGGTGGAAAAAACTTCCCTCAAACTCCCGCAACTGTGCGCCTGGGTATCTGGCCTGGTGGTGATCCGCAGAACAAAAAAGGTGTCATTGAATGGGCGGGCGGCGAAATCGACTATGACAAAGCGCCATATATCATGAGTGTCAAGAAGTTGAAGGTTGTTGACGCACATAAAGGGAAAGAATATGAGTATTCTGACAGGTCCGGTGACTGGCAGAGTATTAAAGTGATAGAGTAAGTTCCTGTTTCTTTTTCGCTTCCGTCGTCTCCATGACGATGGTGATGTTTTTGGATGGCTGATACTAACGGCTCTGTCTGTTTAGTGGTGTTTCTGATATCGCGAACGAGATCAACAAGCCACCACCAAAGTCTTTGGCGCAGAGATGGCGAGAACTACCAGCTGCAGCTAAAATCGCCGTCTATGCTTCAATTGGCGGAGCAGTTATTCTGGCTATGGGGATCATAGCATTCTGCTGTGTCAAGCAACGCCGGGCCGGACGACGAGAGTTCTCCATGGAGAACAGCAAGTTTGTTGAAGACCAAAACAACGTCATGGCCATGAGGACCCAGTGGAATCACAAGTATAAGCCAGTCGGTAGCTGATAGAGCATTCTACCCCTCTTCTAATCGCTGGTTCTCGGTTCTCGCGCGGTCCCTTATGCCTTTGGCTGGTCCAATGCTCCCTGTGTCATATACCTGTCCCACGCCTCTCTGTACCGTTAGTGCGGACATTTTTCCATGTCTCCTCCTCCCCCTCCCCCTCCCCTTCCCCCTTGGCTCATCTTCTGTTAGTATTTTTGCACCTACATTTTCTCATGTGTTTCTTGGTCCTGTTTGTTGCGGAGAGCCCCTCGATCGAGTTTTTGGTCCATTCCCCAAGGTTGCTTTGGCGAGTATGTTATTTATTACTTCCTTTCTGAGCAGAGTTATGAAAGCGAAACGCTTGCATACTGGGGGGACTTGTGTATAGCAAATAAATTGTTTAATATTATTTCAAAGACCTCAATGAGCGTCCAGCTGCTCCAAGTTGTACGGGGACAGAGTACATTCGGGAGAGTTTGGAAGTTGCCGTTGTCTCCTTAAGGTTCAGCCTCATCTAATTTCGGCATAAATATGGTCCGATTCCGACAAAGTTGGGATTAGTCATCGACGCGTACCCGCGTTTCGTTTTCGTGTGTTAAATGAACAACTCCCTGTTCGGAAGCAGGATATTGATATCAACGAGAAGAAAGTCTTCAGGGCAAAGATTCAATACAGATCATCCGGCTAAGAAAGACATACAGATACCCATCAGTCTCCCATTTCACTTGGAGTAAATCAATATCAACTCTTCAAACACAAAAATGTCTCTCGTTACCCCCCGCATTCTCCCAGAATACCTTCAACAGTTCTATTCTTCAGGCCCGACAAGTGGTCGAATGCCGAGTGCAGTACGAATCCTGGGAAGGGTGTCCTCATTACGTGGAGAATACGCTACCATTACCTGTGGCGACCATGGCGATATCACGCTCATATTAAACAGAGACTCCCATCTCCAGATGGATAGGATGGTGGATGTAGTGGGAAAGGTTGTGGAGGTGGAGGGTGTGAGTGCTTCCCTAGAATAGAGAAAAGTCATTTCATGGGATACCTAGAAATTAACGCTGTGCCAAATCGTGATGTAGAATCTTGGCCTCAGAGTATTTGGAGCTACAGATTGTGGCAGCCCACATGAAGTTGGTTAGTTATCCATTATGATTCTCCTTCCTTAGAAATCAAACCAAATTAACGTCCTGTGTCAATGTGACAGATTATAAAATCTACGAGCAAGTCGTGGAAAGCACTCATAGATTCAAGACTATTTTTTACGATTCAGGTTGAGATCACTCGGTGATCATGGTGGACGACCTTGGGCGCAAATAGCTACCTACAGAACCGCACCGAGTCAAGTTATATGACGTTAATTTCACTCGTCAAAGGGACAAAGGACAGAACCAGCCATGGAACTTGATGCTCATTTTCTAGATTTCAGAAAAACTAGAGTACATAAACACAAACAGTCCTCTTTTTGAGTAATCTGGCATTGTTGGGAGAGCACGATGATACCCGAGGTGTTATCTAGTGATTTATTGAGCACTCTGAAATGAAATTAATGAAATCAGCTTGCATTCAATGTTTAAATTTGTCAAATTCTGGTATATGAACCCAATCATTTAAATAAAGTAAATATCGTACGACGAAGTGAACCTTTATGACGAGACCCGGCGGTAGATCGTCCTTTATTTGTTTTAGTTTAAATTCAAATACTAATTATTACTTAACGAATACTCCAGGAAGGAAATGGCTTTAATTGATATCTATTGAGTGACAGTAATATCATAGTATGAAGCGCGTAGTATCGATCAATGGTAGCGAGTACAATCGACTCGATCAGCGCCCTCCTCAAATATATGCATCGCTAGTAACATGAGGTCGTTAATATACTACAAGTTATCATCATAAACGTAAAGGAGTCAAGCAAAACAGGAAAACAGGGAAGTTACAATCCAACAGGATACATCCCTGACAGCAAAAACGGGCACGGCTGGAACGGTGCCATCCAAATGACACTGGGTCGTGGTGACTATCATTTATTTTTGAAGAAGAAAGAAAAGTGACAGAGGTAACGATAGGGTGGATGGAAAATACTGCGTTCGAGTCTAATTATTCATTGACTCCTAGCAGAATTCCGAATTTCTTGCATCATTGCGGCGAAGACCGTTGGATCAAGGCCTTCCATGGTACCATTGGCTCGAGGAGAAGCGTTGGCGTTATCTTTCGACCATAGATTCATCAACTGTGGATCAACAAGTGAGCCCGAGCCAAATATTTCAGACTCTGGAAGAGTTGATATCTCGTTGATTTCACTCTCAAGGAAAGACTTGAAAGGTGAGATGGCTGGCACACTACGGGCACGCCTTGGGGTTTCGGGGTTGTTTTTCCCCGATTTAGACTTATCCCTCGAGTTTGGGGTATTGGTGACGTCTTTTTGATGTAAATGAGATGTGTGGTCATCTTGAGGGATGCAGTCATTTGGATCCCAGTTTGCCCAGCTGTCACCGGTGGGAGTTTTTGGCGCATCAAACTGGAACAGTGAGTCTGTGTTGGTAAAAGAATCCATGTCAGAAGCCAAGAAATTAAGAACCATGCTATCCATAGGATCGAGCCCTTTAGACGGGCTTGTCGAGTTGGGTTGACGGTTGTCGTCTTTTGAGCCCTGGATTACAGAGCGAGTAGATTTCTGAGATGGGGATGCATTGGTTATAGCCTCATGTAATTTTTTGGACCGGATTGACCTACTCCGACGGTTTGGAGTTGGGCTGCCAAGGAACTCAAGTGCGTTGCAATCGTCTGCATCTTTGAAGAGGTGATCAAGGCCATCGGCAGGTGTTTGGGGAATGTTTTCCTGATCTAATGGCCTTGTAGGCTGTTTCTGGGCTGACCGGGGGCTCCGACGCAAGCCATTGATCAAGGAGTCGCTAAGGGATTTCATGGATTCGCCATCTTTGTTCGAGGAGAATAATGCTCTACGAACTGGTTTGGGAGTGAGCTGTGTCTCTGAGAACTGGGGCTTGCGCGAATCCATATTTCTGGCAGGGCTGGATTGAATAGCTCGTCTTAATGCTTCGAACGGATCTTCGTCACGCCAACGATTGTGTTTCTCTGCTGACTTAGGTGGCTCAGCGCTACTGGCCCTTATTTTCTCAGTCTGCTTTGAGTTACCTTTATTGGTCTCAGCATCAACTTCTGCTTGGGTATCATTCTCCGCCTGTGTAGTGGCACCCTCATCGGCGTCCGGAGACGAGGCCTCCGAAGGGCCTGGCGAAGACTCGGTTCCTACGGCGTTACGAGCTTTGCGACGAGAGCGGGTCTCTAATGGCTGGACTCGGATCGACTTCCGCTTTTGCTTGTCCTTTGGCACTCCTTTGTGCCATTTATGCTCAGGGCGCATGGTCTTGAATTTATAGAGCCATAACCCACATGCTATAAAACGTTAATACATAGTAAACAGACAAATCCAAGTTGCTTAATACTCACAGTTGCAAAGTAGAAGTTGGACAAAGTCTATATCGTCATGGGCGAGCGACTTCTTATATATCTTGATCGAATTATGGGATCCATCCTCTTCCGGTTCTGAAGGTTCCCAAAAAAGAATGGTTGGATCGCCGCTATACGCCTCGGCTTGCTCAGCGTTTGCCGGGACAACCTTCGCATGGGCACGACGCCAAGTTGGAGTTTCAATGGCACCACAGTTTTCACAGTATGGAGGAACGGTGCCTTCGCGGATACATTGTTCGAGACGAGCTTGTACTTGTTTGGTCCGTTTAGCACCTGCTCCGCTGCGAGGTTTTGGGTTGTGCTGCTGACTCGGACCAGGAGTAGATACAGAAGGGAGTTCGCTTGCTAGTGGGTGGAGTTGTTGAGATTGTGATTGCCAGGACTGGGAAGGCCGGATTGGGTCACTAGCGGGAACAACAGCGGGTACAGCAGCCCGTTGGGTGGCGGGAGCTATGGATTTAACAGACCTCATGCTGGCTCTCGAGGAGGGGCGCGAATTTGATATTCTGGTTGGCTGAGGTGGGAGTGCCAGTGCAGAGTCTCCAGCAGAGCTTTCAAGTTGAACACCATTCATAAGGGCTTTAGGTTGTTCCGTGGATGGGTGTGGGCCATTTTGATGAGACTTTGCGGTGTCATTATAATTGTCGTCGTCAATTAACGAATCGAACTGAGCGCTCATGAAGCCTGAGTCATGATCGGACATTGGAGGAAGTCCCGGGCTTGAGGCCTGGGCGTAATTAGTTTCCATGATAGGAGGGGATGAAGGCATATTAAAAGGTGTATCGGTAAGCATGCTGTACTGAGGTTCTTCTGGAGAGGTGGCTTGTGAATCAAATGCAAGACGGTTAGTTGACATAGGCATTGGAGCGATTAGAGGACAGTTCTGTGAAAAGTCAGACCGGCCTGAGGACTGACGGCGCAAATTGCTGGGAGCAATTCGGTTCCGGCGATTGGGACCTTGGGTAAGTGATGGAACGGGAGTGGGTGGACGAACGGGTTCCTCGTTTGATAGCAATGGGTGGTCTCGCTGGGTAATTGGTGTTGGGCGGTGGATCCTTACGGATGCGGCTGTGCTTGCGGCCACTCGGAGGGAGTTAGGCTGACGTTCGATGTTTGTATTCACGCCACCGGAGATATCGGTTCGAACCAGTTTTGCTCTCTTGGGCGCTGGTCCTTCTGAGGCCTCATCGCCGCTGCCGTAGCTTGACATGATAGACCCCCTTCGGCTAGTAACTCTATAAGAGTCTGGATTTAGTACAGAAGCTCTTGATCCGGGACGATTTATCTCATCTGCTGGCCTTTTTTGTTGGCTAGCCGACATAGCCACTCCTGGCGTTGACGCCCGGCTTGGGGCGTTGTGAGAGAAATGTGCTGGGGAATCAGCACGGAAACTACCAGGTCCCACATTGGGTAGTTCACGAGGCGTCGAGCCATCGCTTAGGAGCTGCTGTAACTTCTCCAGGCCGGACCTGTCGAGTGGGGTGTGTTCTAATTCAGCTACATTCTGGGATGAACTGAAGCCTGAAAGTAGCCCAGGATTTGATTTCAAGAAGGCTGTCCAGGCCTGAGCATCGAAATCATGTGGTATGAGATTGCTCAGCTCACGGTATTTTTGCATGCTCTCAAGATATTCACTCTGGAGGACGGTTGGTACGGGGACGAGGCGAAGCTTGACTTCGAGGGTTTCCTGTGCGCCCCTAGCAAATAACCCAGAATTTTTGCAAACTCGTCCCGTGACAATGGTTTTGGATTGGTGTGCGGGGGCATTTGGTGTTGGTGAGGCAGAAGCCAAAACCCAGGAAAGCATTCCCTGGCCGACCAAAGGAGTTTCATATTCAGAATAGTCGTAGGCGTAAACCGTGTAATCCCGTCCAAGCTTCGCAACCAATTCAGGGCTATGCGGGGGTTAGAGAAAAAACATTATTTCAGAGAGAAAACACGTTGTTGCCTTACCTTGCCGAGACGATTGTTTGAATGCAGGTTTTCAGCTCAATCACTCCAACCTGCGTAGTTTCATCAAGATAGGCAGTTTGGATATCTAGGATATGCGGCCACCTGGCAAGACAGTTTGTTTTGCTCTCGTTATCGAACGTGTAGAGGACCTTCACTACAGAGAAGATTAGTATCAGGGCCTGGTCCTTGGGCTGCTTAGGAACACTCACGCCTCATAGGCCGAACAGAGATACCCTCCTCGTTTTCCATATTTCTGACTGCAAACTAGGATATCGAAGAGTCACGGAAATCAAGGCAAAAAGAAGGCAATAAAGCTTCAATGATGTGATTTTGACTGCTGGGTGGCTTATTCTATCAAATTTCTCCAGGTGCCGGTTGCTTGCAAGACCGTTTGTCCAAGGAAGCCGGCGGGCTGTCGATGGTGAAAGCAGAGGCGGACTGATGTCCTCAGTGAATGAGTCACTGAGTAGGAGTGATGTCTGTCCCGCGTAGGCTGATCGGCTTCATAACTTGAGCACCGGGGCGAAGAGTAAAATGGCGATAATGGAATTGGCTGGAGTTGTCGATACCAGGACCATGTACCTAATGAGAAACAAGATGAAAAGAGAAGTAGAAAAATGGAAGCAACCCCTTCAATGGACTCCCTCTCACGCGAGCTCAGCCTAGCAACCGCGTGTTTGTGGGAGAAAGGGAGAAGCAGAGGAGGAAGAAGAGGAAGGGGATGTTGGAAATGGAGAAGAGGAGGTTGGAGTAAAAGACGAGGTAGAAAGTCGTGAAGCCAAACGCGATATTCGAGATTGCTGACCTAAGCGCGCGTGAATGGGAAGCAGATTTCCCGATATAGACTAGTGACGCGCCAAGTCCAACGCGCTTTCCGGTTGGGAAAAATAAACAGCCGACGCGTGACGCGCTAACCTGAATCGGACGCAAATCTTGGCAATTATCTAATATTCACGTGATATGGGAAACCTTTAGGGCTTGTTGACTTTTCTTTGCTGCGAAGAAGCAGAAGAAAGACGAGCGAAAAGACGAAGAGCCAGCAGCAGGACTAAGACGTCGACACAAAAGAGCGTACCTTTGCTGCCCTTTTATAGCTTTCTCCACGATGTCCGACACTAAGATTCAGTAAGCAGGCTCCCATTCACCGTCGAATCAGATGACTCAACCGGTCTCGCTCCCCGCGCAACGGATGGCCTTGCTGCTACAGCGCATTGCGGTATACCTGCTAACCTCTGGCTCTTGTTCTTTAGAGATCTCCTTAACAAGCCACGCAGTGAGCTGACGTACGTTCCATTGGCCGTTTGAATGTCCCCGAACTTCTCCTCTTCCCAAACCCGAAGCTATCGCCAACTTCAACCACACCACACACTAACGGCCGTCGTTGCTCCCTTCTTGGCATCCGCACCCGTTCAACTGACTTTGTACCTTGTGCAATAACTAATAATGACGATGGGCGATAAGTTAACCTGGTACGCGCTATAGTGAATACGAAGTCTCTGTTCTCGAAGAACATGAGCTTACCACCGGCCCCCTCTCGATCCTCCAGACAGCTACCCGCGCCCACTCGCAAGTCTTGATCTCATGTCGTAACAATCGCAAGCTCCTTGCGCGTGTGAAGGCTTTTGATCGTCACTGTAACATGGTGCTAGAGAACGTCAAGGAAATGTGGACTGAGAAGCCCAAGGGTGGCAAGGGCAAAGGTGTCAATAAAGATCGCTTTATTAGCAAGATGTATGTCTATGCACGGCTTCACTGGAGCTTCCCTCTTTGCCATTATATGGCCGCACGATACTTACCTGGCTGTCTAGGTTCTTGAGAGGCGATTCGGTTATCCTGGTTCTTCTAAGTTGAGCTCCGTTCTGCCTTTCTTTAGCTCTATACTATGCGGTCCGCACACACATTCGCCAATCTGCCACCTCCGGATGGCTTAGACTTTCAACCACTTAAATACCTTCATCCTAATGCGGCAATCATGATGCAACAAATCGCTCTAAAGTTGCGGGAGACAGGCCTAGTCCGCGAAGTGATGTCTTACTTCCATTTTAAGCATATACCATGGAAGCTCTTAATCTAGCATGTCGGCGTCTTCGGCGTTTCTTGTCCCTATCCTTTCCTTCCCAAATTCCATGCTGCTTTGCTTTGCGATTTCTTTTTTCCCTTGGAGTCCATGGTGGGATGAGCCGGATATCCTGCACCGGCCGTTTGTTACACTTGGTGGAATGTTAGGGTTTATGCGATATAATAGCCAAGCCCTGGAGAAGATGCTACATCCGCAGAATATGATGAAAGTTACAGCCTTTATCCACGAAGGCATATTAAATACTACTTTTTCTCCTTTCGCCTTATTTGAGCCTTCTCTGCGTTGCCGGCTCAATCAGTCACGTGTTACCTCATTGGCTCTACGCATATACCCAACCTCAGGGGGTTTGGACAATTTGATTAAAAGTAAGTATTATTGTAGAGGTAAGATATTGGCGTTATATATAAGTCCGGGTGAAGAGAGTAAAGAGCGACACAAGAGAATACTCCGGAAGATAAGAAAAACAGAAAAGGAAGAAAAAGGGGCTAGATTATCTTAGATATTAATCGCTATATTATTTACTCGATGTCAGTTATACCAAAAATGAAACTGTAGAATGAAACGCCAAAGAAAGGAAGTATCGCTAAGATGCTAAAATGATCACATACCCTCAGCTACACCATTTAGGAACTCGTTGAGGCCATACGCGCCAGGGTCCGGCACCTTGCCAACCCACTCGTCCTCACCACCAACATACACAGCCCTTCCAAGGCTGGCTTTCATCTTCTTGGTAGCTTCAGTGCCTTGGCTCGCTGCCTCAGCTGCCTTCCGAATATCCTCTGTTTCAACCAAGGTTTTAATAAAAGGCGACAATGCATCCATAAGCGTTCGGTCGCCAGGTTGAGCAGGTGTGTACTTGGCCAAGGCTTTGAGGGAGTGTTGGAGTGCATTGGCCCATATCTTGGACGTTACGTTTGCCGGGGTGGATGTGTCTTGTGCACGGAGACCATGAGCGAGAGCGTTAAGGAAAATTGCGTAGATGGCGCCGCTGGTGCCGTCCATGGTGTTTTCGACAACGTCTATAATGCGGTGGAGGGTGGTTAGGACGTCAGAATTGAGGGGTGTGGAAGTATCGTTGATTTCTTTGAGTATGGCTTCTGCGCCGCGCTGGAGCCCAATTCCACAGTCACCGTCACCGACTATGGTGTCGTATCGGGTGACGAGGGGTTCGGCTTTGATGACTCGGTCAAGTCCCGAGGAAAGGGCCTTTTTGAGAACGGCAGGATCAACTGGTGTGGTGGAGTTAGCTGGGTATCTGCAGTTAGATGCAGCTGTGGAGAAGAAACTTACCATTGAGGTTTGAGGGCTGTTCGACGGTACGAGGGCTGCTAGCTGTCTCGAAGGAGGCGGCTGTCTGGTTGTCCCAAGTGGAAGTCCGGATCGGAGCAGCCCAGCCGACTGCCTCTGAGGGAGCATCTAGTAGCTCGAGGAGTGATTTTCCTGCTCCTAACCCAGTGTCTGCAAGGCGGAGTACGGAAATGCTAAAGCCCATCCCGTTAAGACTGGTTAAGAACGTGCCCTGGATTGTCCTGATGGGCTTGATCTTGTAATCCCTTTCTAACTGTAGGACTACCTCGGCGGTAAGGGCAGACAGTTCTAGAGTGCTTATACCTCCTAGGTTGTTGATGAGAAGGGCAAAACGGTCCGAGGAGCTGTATTTGAGGAAGGCCCGCTCCTTGTCATTTTGGTCGAGCATCTGCTTGAGCATGGTCTGTATCATTTCTTCGGCAGTTCCCTTCATACGATGGGAGCCAGGCTCATTATGAATACCCATCCCAACCTCGATCTCACCGTGGGGTACCAGGTCATCAGAATTCGGGTCTGGAATATCTCTACCTGGAACATGGACGTGTTCCAGGGAAGAGCCAACAGAGACAATGTTGCTATTGGCAAGCTGAGCCGTGGCATAAACCTCTTCCAATGATGCACTTGATACATTCAATTAGCATCGAACTAGATAGGCAGGATAGAAAAAAGGGGGGGTCAAGACTTACCCAGTTTCAGCGAGAGCTCCAACAATCTTCAAGATCATGACACCACCACCAATTCCTCTCCGGCCAACCTTTCCGCCCTTCTCACGTCCGACGCCGGCATCATCACTGATAGCGAAGAACTCTGTCTTGATTCCTGCCGCATTGCCCTTTTCAGCAGCAAGTCCAAAATTCATCACGTCACCTGTATAGTTCATGACAATGATAAGGACACCCTTGGAGCCATTGACTCGTTGCAGCAATGCCCTCCTGACCTGCTCGGCGGATGGAGAGGCAAAGATGGTGCCTGCCACAGATGCCGTTAACATCCCCTTGCCCACAAAGCCGGCAAAGGCAGGCTCATGTCCGGAACCACCACCAGATATGATGGACACCCTGGACTCGGTATCCTTGCATGGTCGACGGTATACTATTTTGTTTTGCTTATCGAAGGCAAGGGAAGGGTTGGTCAGAGTGAGTGAGTGAAGGGCCGAATTGACCAGGTGAGTTGGGTCCGAGAAGAAATGTTTAGCTAGGGAGATGTCAGCATGGATTCCGTAGTATCTTCTTATACAGAGCCAAATAGTTATCAAACTTACTCTGCATTGTGACGGTAGAATGGCTTTCTCTCCTGCTGTAGGACGCTCTGCCTATAGACGAGTTGTCCGGCTGCTGGCGCAATCTGATAGGTGCTAGTTACCTGACAATCAGACCGGGTTCTCACAGGACAAAACGACAAACACAGCTGCTCAGGAGTAAGAATAGAGAACAGAACAAGGAGACTATGTAAAATGTGCCTGGGAGAGTAGAAAGAAGAGTGCGAGTTGTGCCGGTGACTGGCTGACCTTTGTAGTGCTGGCTTGATACAGCCGACCCGGCCATCGGGGCGAGGCCCGACAAGCCAGGAGGGGCAACGAGCTGCCAACAGCCATCGCATCAGGGCAGCGCAAGCTTCGGGTGGGACAGGCCAAGGTACATGCTTCGACGCTGCGGGATCTAAAAAAAAAAGGAAGAAGGGGTGCGTGATGCGTTGCAAGGAAAAAAGCAAAGAAGCGACGAAAGCTGTTGGTTTATACTTATACTCAACTCACTTTCGGTGGCGGGTGGGCCTTGTTGCAGGGCTTCGGGGGAAAACCCTCCAGCCTTAACTATCTAACAGCCAGAACTACGGGTTAACGACTACTAGTTCACTACCCCGGACGGACGTCGAGCCCGAGCAAGCATGTTACTAACCATGTCAGCAAGACCATGATGGGCCGTCCGATGACGATATATGGGCTGTAGGCTGTAGGCCAGCAGTGTCGTCGTCCCAATGCCCTGAACACTGCCAACCGTCCAAGCAAGGCCGTGATATCAGCCGGTCAAGAGTGGCTTCCGGGCTTTTTCTTGTTGCTGGGACATTTTGATCGAGCTTTCGCGGGCGGATGTGCCGGCTTACCGGATCGGGAAGTGCCGGTGTGTTCGGCTTCTAGAGCTGCTCAGGAGTATAAAAATAAAAAAGGAAAAAGAAAAAGTCGGCCGAATATCGCAGTTTGGTAGGAAAAGTTCTAGCCCAGCCAGTTGGCTAGATGAGCCATGGCAAAAAGAGAAGAGAGAAACTAGTTCTTGAGAAAAATAGCAAATGTGGCCCCGGAGAGAGAAGCTTGATTGATCATCTGATGCTTCGAGATCCAGCTGATCGCGTTGCAGTTAGTATACATAACACTTCAAGGGCCTGGACCGGCGGCATCACGTAATTGATTAAATAATAGGAGAAAGGCGTTGTGGAAGCAGTGTGGAGGTAGCTGGGAGTTAAGTCAAAGAGCGTATATTATGATTCGTGAGATGTAGGGCTGCATGTCTTTCCCCCGTATAACTCCGTTCAAAATGCACCAAAAAAAGGGGGTAGCTGTCATTCTTAGATGAGGAATTTTTTTTCTGTTTTATTTTTTTTTTCCTTTGGCCCTTTCGTGTCGTTGCTTGAAAAGTTGTTGGGGAGCGGTGATCAAATTTTGGACAAGTTGCATTTGATCTAGGCAATATACTTGTACCGGTTGTCTTCTTCTCGTTCAATGTAATCCTTCTCAATGAGCCTGGCGTACACGTGTCATGTCAATATGCATTTCTTTTGCCAGTCACACAAACTTGTGAGTCCAATACTTACTTGTCAATGTTTTTCTTGATACCGTCAATCTCGAGCTGGCCGCGATTCTTGGTTGCCTTGATTACTTCCGCCACCAGGTCTGAATGCGTAATGACCTTGCGACTTTTCATGATGCGCACGATCGCTGCCTGTGTCTCAAGGTGTCGGTCTTGGGCAACACGCTCGTGTGTCGTCTTGTTCTCCTGTTTGGTCTCCTTCAGCTGGATCTGATTGATCTTGATGCGCATCTTTTGATCTTCGAACTTGGCATTGTATGCAAATACATCTCCATTGTTAACCTCCTTGCCTTTGGGCTTCTTGAGGAGAACGCGGTATTTAGCACAGGCTAGAGACTGTAGCGTTCTTTTCAGCTCCACATCGGCTGTGACAAGAAAGGTACCGTTAGCATTCCAACGACATCGAGACGATCAACCCGAGCTAGCCGGGTCATACGGAAAACGAGGGGGAAAAAAAGGAAGGTTGAAGCCTTACAAAGACGAGAAGCTTTTTTGATAACCTCGTACGACAGCGTTTCGGAACCAGCATCGTTGAATAGAAGAAGCACGATGGCCTGGAACGAGCTCACAACGAGCTCCTTGTCTCCAAGAGGGAACCGCGCCTTTAACTGACAATGGGCGAGGGTATGCTTCCAATGAAGCCTTCTCCCGCTGTATTTGTTATTATAAAATTTCTCAAAGTTGGTGATGGCTTCAGATATCGATGCTGGGATGTTGACGGGCACATCCGGGTAGCTCGGCCACGCAGTTGCAGATATGACATTAACATTGAGGTCAATCTTTGGCCGTTCGTCCTTCTCCCGCAGCAGGGCGTTATACGAAGCCATTTCGTCCCGTGCAAGGTCCATATCCTTAAACATGGTCTCCAGGTTGTGCGTGAAGTTGGAGCCACACTCTGTGGACTTCTTGTCAGCCGGGTTCCAAATGAATCAAGGTGATACATACCTGATTTGAGCCTCGAGAGCATGCTCTTCTCCGCATCGTCACTGGCACTCCTACCCATAAGAAGTCTTCTAGCGAGGTCATTCTTATAGAAGGCTTCAAACACGGCTTTGCCATGTACGAATCGGAAGAGGTCCAAGACTTGGTCTAGCTGTTTATTGATTTCTGCATCCTCGTCGGTAAGGCTGGAGTTGCCAGTGATGTCCTCAACTGGACGATTCTGGAGTGCTCTCACTCCTCCCTTGAGTAACAGGTCAACATGCTTTGCAATCATCTCACCCGGCTTAGGGTTGTCTGTGCCCCAGTTAGAATCAGTCTTCTTATGCTGGTTGATGAAAGTTTCAAATGATTCACGAAGGGTATGGCCGAGTTGTTCATGAGTATGGAATGAGAACTTCCAGATATGGTCTAGACTCTGCTTGAAAGCAAGGAGTCTGGTGACCATCTCCGATTCACGCGCTTCATCAAAGACAATGGCGGAACCTTCATCAACAATATATTTACTAAACCCAGACTTTACATCCACGCCCATGCCTTTTCGTTCAAGCATGGAGAATAGCCGCTCCAGAGCGGTGGCATTGTTTGCTCGGAGGAGACCAATGATATCAGCTTCCTGAAGAAGGAACAGTTTTTGATTAGCCATCAGGTTATGATCGAGCAGCTCGGCCAACCTCTGCTTGGTCCCTCTGTCGAACGAGAGGAGATCGCACCGAGCCATCTCCCGCTCAATAAGCCGATATGACTTTTCGACATAGCTTGCCAGGTCGTCTTCAGTCACATGGGTTGCAGCCCAATTCTTGTAATATGTTGCTGAGCTCTCAAGCATAGATGGCTCAAACTGACTGGAGTAAATCTTCAAGTCGTGAAACAACTTGATGGAACTTCGCAAAAGGGTGGGATCGGCATAGGTATCCTCCAATCTATCCAACTCGATCAGAAGGCAGGCCCCCTGCAATATTTTGGATTTCAGCGTCTCATCAGAGAAAACAGAGGAACGGAACTGGAGGAGGCCCATCTCAGAAATAACGGGGTTGTTGGGAGAATGGAGGAGGAAGGACTGATCTAGATAGTAGAAAATGGACCGAACCGTCATCTATTTAAGTAAATGGTCAGTTAGAATACATATATAGCTTGCGCTAGACGGGAAATAGAAGAACTCACCAGTCGCGCATTCCACTGTGTCCATGCAGCCTCCACAGCCCGCAATACCCCGGCCTCGTCTCCAGACGTAGATTTGGCAAGTAGTGATTCCATGACTGTCCCCGAAATATGTTCCATGCAACGGTCCTTTAAATTTTTGGCCAGGTTTGTTGCTCTTCCCTGCCTGCACACATGCTCGACGCCCCTGTACAGCTCTTCTAGAGAAAACGGAAGCTTCTCATGGTTGAATATTGCCGTGAGGGCCGAGTCCAGCTGCGACCACACTTTGTCAAAATAGAGCTGTTGATCGAGCTTGGGCGTATCGCGCAGGTTCTTGACCTTGAGCGTCTTTGCACCCGTGTGGGGTGTAAAACTGCTTGGGTTGGAAGAATTGAACTGCCTTGTCCTCGCGAGCGGCGTTCGGTTATCGGCGCGAGCGAATCCAAACGCACTTCCATTACTCCCCTTGCCGTCCGAGCTGGTGAACTTATACATCTTATCGACGGTGATAGGCGCTACTTCTTGGGGCGGTGTCTCGCGGTCAGAGTCGCATTCGTTACGCCGTAACCGCTTGTTGGATTGTGATGGAGGGGGCGCCTGTTTATGATTCGTGCTGTGGTGGTCTCTGCTAAACAAATCCGGAATCGTCCTCTGTTTCTGTTCCTGCTCTTCTTGCGATTCGTCTCGGCTTGAGTCCTTGTGTTTCCTTTTACCCATTTGTTTGCGGTTCCCGCCAGAGGAGGGAGTAGGCATTAAGTTTCATCGATATGAGGCAGCCCAGCAGTGGGAAGAGACGAGCGCGGCCAGGCAGGACAGCAGCGAGAAGAGGGAGACTTGAGGAGCAGGATGGAATGCTAGCTGACCGTGACCTGCTGGCTGCTTCTCATGCCCGTGGACAAGTGGCCTGGTGGTAAGGGGGTGAGGAGGCAGAAGTCTGCAGATGAAGACGAAGAAGTTGTTGGCCAGAAAGTCGAGCAGGCCGCCGAAAGCACGTGAAGTCGTGGCTCCTTTGGGCAACTAAACACGACCGACCACGTAAATAACCGTAGGCACAGGCACAGGCATGACCGCCCGGCGCTAAGCAGAGAAATAAAATAAATATAGATCGATCAACGGGACAACCACATTCCACTCTTTTCTTTTTCCTTCGTCTTTTTTTTTACCCTGTATGTTATCATTGGTCCTGTCTAATTACAGACACACAAACTGAGTGACTCTAAAGCTACAATAACTGAAAAAACGAGGAAGACGCCGTGGTGGAATCAAGTAAGAAAAATCCAGTGATAGTGATAACTAGAGACGTCGCATTGAAGCCGTAATAACCATAGAAGATTAGGAGAAGAATTTTGGTTTTGACGTGATGGTGGACTGGCTGTCTTCGTACTATACAGAAATGTGTAAGTATGGTGCGTCGTGTGAACGAGGATAGGCAATTGATGGAGAAGGAGAGGCGAAAGAGCTTACATCTAGAAAGTCGACGGAGGCAATCAAGGCAGTGTACGATTTGGCCAGATTGTCCAGGCACTTTTTCATGCTGGGGTCATCCGAACTTCCTGCCTTTGCGCATCGCTTGAATATGCCAACCATGCTCTGTCTGTTTTCGGAGAGGAATGTTCGCGTCTGGTCACAGATGGCCTGGTTGTGCAGCCCTCGAGCGAAGATAGTGGAAACAATCACTTGGAGAACCGATAAAAGCAGTTCATAGTATCGCTGAAGTGCATCAGAGTTGTCGATATCTAATAGAAAACTTGATTAGTAAAGATGATAACCACTCAGATTTAGAAGTGAAATTAATTATCATACCTATGCCTATGTCCGGGTCAGCAGAAAATAGCTGGGATTCCTTGACTGCCTGGAATAGGCCAGCATCTAAGAGCTGTGATGCACCAGCCTTCGTCTGTGAGAGTTGTTGGAGAAGGGATAATTGCGACTCATAGAATAGCAATAGCTGTGCGGTATCTGTACAGCGGTTGGCAAGTGAAATTGCTTTATTTGTAGAGTAGAAAATTGGAGACATACCTGCAGCTTTGGCGTTTCGGAACTCTGTAGGCATTACTCTCAGGACATCTAGGAACATTCCGAGGTAGTTGGAGTGGGTAATCAAGTTGACTAGGAGTGAGGAGTTCCTCTGTTGGTCAAGGGTTCCTAAAAGATTCAGTAGGACTAACGCAGAGACTCTGCAACTCTCGCTGCCGCCGTAGGCATCATCACAGATAGTTTCCATAAGTGCGGGCCCTGCAACTTTGACAGTGCTATGCGCGTGCTCCTTAAATCTGTCACCCCTTGAGTCGGATGCTGTAATTCGGGCAAGATGTTTTGAGGATATTTGATAAAGTGATTCTCTCAGAGTGATATTGTCGGACGTCTGTGGGATGCCGCTTATGCAGACTTGGAATAAGTAGTCCAATCGCTCATCGATTACATCACCATTAGTATTGGTGGGAATGTCATCAAGCCTGTCGATGAGAGTCTCTCCAAGATGGGCCAGTTCAACCGCCTCCGCGGGATTTCCGACTATAGACGACTCGAACTTTGGTAGAATGAGTTGCAATGTTTGCTGAATAAAGGAAGCCATGTAAGTAGGGTCCATCTTGCAAGTGACAGCAATGATGGTTATCAGCTCTGTCCATGCTTTTAATGCGATGAACCGATTGAATCGAACATAACGGAACTCGTTAGTGGCACGTAAAAACAGTAAAAGCTTCTCCTTTTCGGCCATGATCTGCTCCTCGTTTTGTGAGGTCACTACGCCATCGGCAACAAGATCTTCTTTCACAAGTTGAAGGAGTTCTTGGAGTGCTTCGATGTCGTACAGCACAACCACCCCATTTTCCTCCGTTTTCACACAGTTTTCAGCATCAATGTTACCAAAGAACTGCAGTTCAGGCCATGAATAAGAAAAGTCAATATCAATATCTGCAAAGTCAAACAGGTCGAATAAGGACGGGTGTTCGATGCTTTGATTGCCCTCGACTGACGTTGTGCCCAGTATTGTTCGTAACGTATCCCGCTGGAGAGATGGAGAGCCCTGCTTATATACAGCCCGCACTTCTGTGGTTGCGTATTCATAAAGCAGTGTGCGGAGCATGAGGAGCTCCGAGAGTGAGCTAGGAGATGATGACAGCCAGAAATCAGGCTCATTTGTTCGGAAGTCGTCCCACAACGTCTCTGCGGTAACAACGGGCTGCGACATGAAGAGTACTGGTAAAAGCTGACCCGCTCGAAGATGAGGTAAGATAAGATTAGATGAAAGAGGCGAGGCCCATAAGTTCAGTAGAACTTGGAATCCCAAACGTCTAAGATGTATCATCCAGGATACAACTGCTCCATCTAGTCCAAGTGGGTAGGCTTTCACGAACTCAAGTATAGAATGTAAAAGGGAGATTCCGTTGTCAAATAAGCCATCTGGCGGGATGTCAAGGGTATTCCCAAGGCAGGAGAAACCGAGCAGCAGATGAGCGATTGTTGGCTTTTCGGGAGACATCTTGAGGCACTTATCCAGTAGCTGAAGTAGCCCCTTCTTAATGAGGTAGCCAGAAGAGTCTGGACCGCTCTCTAGTTCCCGAATATCTACATCTATTTGGGAGGCTAGCGACCGGGCAACTCGGTCTGCTTCAACGTTGGAGTTCAGCTGTTCAACCATCTGGTTTGTAGATTGCCATCGAGATGATACATTGGAAGACTTATTTAGCTTTCGTGAAGCTGACAGCTTTTCCAAAAGAGTCAGTGAAGTTAGGGTCAGCTGAGGATGCCCTGTTCCGCAATAAAGGCACAGGTCAGAAATCAACCCTAAGTTGTCAATAACACAGTCTTCAAAGGAGGCAAGAGTAGAATTGGCGATATTAAAGGAGGAGTCTTGTCCAGAGCTCTTGATCATTGGCCGAACTATATTGAAATATGTGGGCTGGTGATCAAGAATGAGGTTCATGATATCAATACTCCGAACCAAACCGGAAATCAGTATAGAGTCTGACGAAGCTTTGGAAACCACGTCTGCATCTTTGTGTGAGCAAGAAAATAGGACTCTGAGTACATCTTCATTGAAAAGCCATTCCATGACACGTGAGAATGGGTGTAAGCGAAGGTATGTTGAGAATGTTACCTTCCAGTTTGGCTGTGCGGATATTGAGGGCTGGCTGACAATGCTAACAAGATTTTCGTTGAATGATTCCAGAGCGGTGGCAGCAAAATTCATACAGTTCCATTGCAGTAGGTGTGACTCCTTATCTTCAGACATGACACTCCTGTTTGCAAAAGCCTGGCCCATTACGTAGTCGATATACGGCTCAATACCGGGCATTCGGTATGTGGAACCCAATGACTCCGGGAACGGCAGAGTCAATTGTGAATCTAGTGAATCCGATACAGGTGCAACCAATTGATTGAGCATTTCAACAAATGCATTCATCTGGTCAAAACTCTCTGTGATGCGCTGAAAAGCATGCCGTTCGTTCCGTACTTGTGGACTAGACAAAGGAGGTAACCGAGAGAGTGCCAGTGGAAGCGAGCCCGAGCCAGAGATACAATTATCGAGAGAAGTCCACATTTCATTTGAATGGGCTGACGTCCGGTCTATCATCAGGCATCGTAAAGTCACAAAGATAGCTGCACGAAGATGCTGGGGAATGGATGCACCACAAAGTGTGAGAAGTACCGAGATTAAATTAGTCGTTGGATGTTGCAAAATCCAATCACGAATTTTACCGTTCTCCCGGGATAGGTGGCTGATGAGACGTAGGTAACTAGTAAGCATAATTGGATTCTCGGGCTCCTCAATATCCGGGACTTCCAATTTACGTAGACGTAGCGTAGAGGACTGTGTCGTAGACGGCCGCTCTGTAATTCTCACAGCATAGAGTTGAATTTCGGCGAACATTTGCGTCCAGTTCATGGAAGCAGACCTTCGAAACTTTGCAGAAGATAGAGAATCTTCGTCGATGAGGAATTTGTGTGCAGCAGCGGAGTTCTCTTCTCCACCTGAGATAGAACATAACATCTCGCAAAAAGCACTGGCCCGAGGCACAGTTTGGCGTTTCGAAACCCACTGAAGGAATCCGTATAAATTACCGTCAGGATCTAGCCAAAATTCTTGGGCAGCATCATTCCTGCCGTCAAAGGAGAAAGCAATTATCGTTAGTAAACATTCTAAATGCATGCGAACCTCCACAGGCCCCCGATGTAGATTAGGAGAAACCGAGTCCCTGAGAGCCGTAATCTGATCTAACCGCTGGGTATCTTCTTCTGATTTCAGCATTCGGATAGCATCGGGCATGTTTGCGATCAGAGACTCAGCAAAAGCCTCGATATTCTCCATGAGTAAGGCATGAAAATATGGCGAGGGCGCGTCGGGTTCGAGTGTTAGTCGGGCCGCATCCTTCAGTAATAGCGTAACTAGCTCGTTTCTTTCTGCATTTTTCCACTCATCCAAACCAATACCAGCGCAAATGCTCAGAATAAAATGAAAGCCGCCGTCTTCAAGGGCTGAGAGAAGTGTTTTCGACAATTTGGCAGACTCATCGGCAGAATTTATTCCTTGAAGAGAACTAGCTGCAGTACTGTCAAAGTACCAGCCACTATACTCCGCTAGCCAAAAAACTATGGTTGCGGCGTGGAATTGGGGGAGTACCCAGCCCTGGGAGTCTTTTGACTCGGCGATGACTTTGTGTAAAGATCTCGCATCATCGATCCCCTGGCCTTCCGATGAGCCATATTGTGAGGCTGCAATTATTATTGAAGGAACATAATGGACTAGCAGCATGTCAAATTTGTCGACCTTCTTCGTTTTCTCCATGAGTTTACGGAAATCCTCCGAGCTGGTGTAGGTGCCTTTGAAGAGATAGGACACGATAGCTCCTAGTGATTCATGCTGTTTCCCAAGGCTCTGGCGTTGATATTCAATGACCTCAAGAATATCAGCTTCTTGCGACTGCCCAACGATAGATGCCTTTTGTATCTGTTCCCCCAAAAGAACCAGCCACTTTTCGATATCTGTCATGGCATCCATGCATTTCCTAGCAAAAAGCGAGCCGTTTCTCAAAGGGCCGTTCTGAATTTCAAGTACCGATGCCACATATTCTTTCATTAAGAGCTGGGTTTCCTCCCGTTCGACCTCGAAAGATTCGCGGAGGATCAGCCTCAGGCATTCTAGGACGAACTCTCTCTGTTCGTGGAAACGGATTATAGAGCTAATGATCGGGGATCGATCTAGCTTCTTGGAATCGGATTGCGCGCGAATATAATATCGCGCGGCCTCAATTTCATCGACGTCCAATGCATCTGCTACCTGCAGGACCTCTTGCTGGAACTCCACGTTGACCTCATATTCGATGTCGTCAAGCTTAATTTTGCCTAAGAAAGTAAGCATCAGCAAAGAGCCGCCAGTATTAACGTCGCAACGCCCATTCGACCTCAATATACTTACCTGAAAGCACGGTCTTTCTGCTGCTGTCGTTTTTGGCCGGCTTGTCTAGAAGCCTGCGGAAGCCTTCAAGTGTTGCTTCCAACTCGGCCACGAGCCTCTCCGCATTGGGGAGAGCGAACCTGGACAGAGCCGACAGGTCCTGGTATAGGCCCCGTAAGTTGTTAGAGCTCTCATCTCCTTCCATTATGAACTCCGCGTGTCCTTGCTGCAACCCAGGGCTGCTTTTTTCAATGTTATTTATTATTGAAGCAGAAAGGTCAAAGTAAGTTTACTCAAGGTTAACTAGTTAGGGCCAACCGCCAAACGTTGCAAACACGCCAAGGCCGTTTAACTAGACAGGCCAAGCCTAAAAAAGAAAAAAGGACGACAGGCGAGCGACAACTACAGAAAGCGAACTAACCAGCTGCAAAGCTGGACCAGCGATGTTAAATGGAATTAATATGGGCTAGGATGGAACTGACACTCATACTGAGGTTTTTCTGAAGCTCATTTTTCTAGTATTATTCTCTTTGTTTGAATTAACGCCGTATGAAATGTCGGCCTGTTGGGAATACCAATCCACAATAATACCTATGAGTTGAGAGAGCGCCATCATGGGTGAAGTCAGTGTTGATCAAGCTGTCAATTTGATATCCTCCGGAAGGCTCAAAGACCGTATAGATGGACTTGAAGGTGATACCATTTGACCGTTTATGCTCTTTTCTTTTCTTTTCTTTTTCTTTTTTTCTTTTTTTTTTTTTTTTAAAAAAAAATTGATTAGCTGACTTTTTATTAGATCTAAAGCACATCTTGCTTCAAAATAGGCGCTCACCTAGATTGTATGTTAGAAGAGTTGCTAGTTGCTAGTAGTAGCTGGTTTTTATAATTCCTTGTGATAGCTTACACTTATACCTATAGGGCTTCTTTGAACGACAAAGTTTATCACAGCATCTTTGAAACTCTCTTCCGGTTTATTGCTATTGAGAAATCGACGTTCAGCAAAGCCAATCGAGCTGTCTCGAAAACGCAAGCGGCGAGCAGACTAGCAAAGTGTGCTGGAGTTATTCGGACAGCAGCTGAAGTCTCCTTACGTTGTCTTAGGACAAAGACTGTGGTTGCCCTGATTAATCATGTCATTGATTCATTGTCCGTCACTGCGGAAGGGCTATGGGAGCCTCTTAGCGCGGATTACATCAAAACATTACGAGTGATTCTGCAATATCCACCCCACGTCGAACATCTCTCTAAGGATATCTGGTGCGATGTACTTGACTTCTGCCTGCGGGGCCTTGGTCTCACGAAGGACAACAGCCAATTGCAGATGAGCATCCGGCGTGGTCGTTCCATACCACCAGAAGAGTTGAGCCAGAGTACCCGCTCATCTCCCCATCCCACATCAATATCATCGTCTTATCCATCAACTAAGCAAGATTCGAGGGGCAGCTCTGAGGATTTTGAGCTTTGCATTCAGCTGTTGGTCTCCTGTCCGGGTATGCCGGTGCTCGAGAATGCGCCTAAGCTATTTCATAACCTTTCAAAATATATAGCTTCATTAAATCCAATGGGGAGTACACCGCATGCGGCTTTCAGTGCTCTTAACACCACTCTCTCTATTGCCATATTAGAGAACATCACCCTGGTTCAAGATACCCTTTGTGATGTGATACCTACCATTAGGCGATACTGGTCTACGAAGTCTGCTGTGCTTAAAGAGGAGATGTTGGCTACCCTTCTTTTAGGAAAGGAAATCCTATGCAGAAGAGGGCAGGCTCTACAGCCAGAATTAGACATCGAAATCATTCAAGCTATCGTAGACCGGCTGCAATCAGAATACATTCGGCTTCCTGAGAGGGAAATACTACAGGTTGACGATTTAATTTTCTCCCTTAACCATGTTTCTAAGCAAGTTGGCCTGCACTTTATCTCACCAAATACAGGGGTTTCAAAAGTCATTCAAAACTGGACTATTTTGTCACTCATCGCGGCATTCTCGAGATTTATTGACGATTATTACTCGCGCGAGAAACGTGGTTTAACAGCTGAAAAGTACTTGAACAAAAAGCAACATCTTCTTTCTAGGACTGATGATATACTTCGTGATGCCTCAAGGCCCAGTGGAAACAGTCGTATTTGCGCGTTGCAACTTATACCTTTTATCATATCGGAAGCAGAGCTAGAAGCCGGAACTCTCTCAACATTACTTGGACAGCTTATCAAAAATATCCTTGACGACAACATTGTGGTTGCTTCTTGGAGTATTGTTGCAATTGCGAGGTAAGCTGGCTTATCATACCTTGTTAAATAACACTGTTGACGCATTCATATAGCCTTACTTCCTGTGAGAACGCCAAATCCGACCAGCTCAAGGGAATATGGCTTCAAGCATGGGAATTAAGTGTACGAAATATATCTTCCCCAACTATCTCACGGGCTGTTTGCCATCTTATGGCCGTGTCTATACGATCCAAACTATTAAATTACTCGGATATTGCTCGTACGCTTGATTCGTTGGTGTCTTCCGCAGACCTAAACGGCCCTGCCAATCTCAACGATTCATCATTAAATCTTTGGATCAATGTTTTGGAGCAGTGGTCCGACATAAATGTTGCACAGAGCCAAAGCCTCGCAAAACAAGCGTGTGGGTGGCTGAAAAATAAATGGGTGCTAGGTATTAGGATCTGCCTGGTTTAACTAATGGATCAATGCTAATTCTTGATTAATGTTATAGTGCCGACAGATAGAGCTCAGACCAACCATATGGCAGTGTTTGCTCGCCCACTACCACTCCTGAGTATTTTACTGTCATGCTCTGGAACGTCAATACCGAATCTAGATTTATCTTTCATAAACCCTGCAAACCGCATCTCAAAGATTTGGACGCGTCTACAACATGATTCAAAAACTCTCAATTACTTGATGCTCACCGACAAGAATATGTCTCTCCCTTCAAAGTCACTGGATGCTGTGCCAGTCTATGCCGCCACTAGACACCTCCCTTCTGAGACCCTGGTTCTTGACCTCTTGCAAAATAAAATTGATACTTTTCATCAGGTGTGGGTTGCTCTCTGCACTGATAAGGGGCATCATATTACAACGGAGATTATCCAAATCCTGACTTCTTTATGCATTATCTCAATTATTTTGATGGAGTTCATATCACCACAGTCAGCAAGGTGCCAAAATATCCAAGATTCTGTGAACAAACTTTGGGCAAGTTTATGTGATAAATTTGGCAAGGACGAGGAGCACCTAAACACATGCCTAGAAGTATTAGCTCCTATGGTTCTCTCGTTGGAAGCTCCATTTGACTCAAAGGATATCATGTTGCGCGGCATAGTCAAGGTAAGCGTGCTACTCATCCCTATCATGGAACGGCGTAGGCACTCTGATGAAAGCAATTCACAAGCAAGTGATGCCATGGATATTGATACGGACTTCCCATCCCATCAACCCGCGACCATAGAGTCAAGTCTCATTTCAAAGGAACTCCGAAGGGACAACGTTGCTCCATTATTCCCAGATAGCACTTCCATTAGAATTGCGACGTCCATTCAGCTTACTGTACTCCACAAAATTCAGCTTGCCGGGGAACCATGTCTACCTCTTGATGACGAATTAATTGGGTATCTCACAACATTAACTGAAACAGACATCCTTGTTGGCTGGAAATATGTCATTGACATTCTCAGAGGACGACCAGACATCTCAAGGGCTAATGCTTGTAGGGTTATCGAACATTTCGGGGAGAAGTGCCTAGAGTCCTATGAGCTTGAAGGGTGTGAGTCTACGATTTGCGCTTGCATCAGCCTAATGAGCTGCTTTGTAAACCTTTGGACTGGAAATGAAAGGGATAATCTTTTTGAGTCTGCATCTGAGCTATATGCGTGGTTTACTGAGGTCTTATTAGGAGAAGGCCTTGGGTCCTCGAAAATACTCATTAGGCTTGCAGATCTCTCAGAAGCTATCTTACGAGCAAACCCTTCTCACTTGAAAGAAACACGACAAGCCTCTCCCCGAACTACCCTTTTCCGAATCCTTCGTGATGGCGACCTGGCAGTGAAATTTCATATATCACAGCTTATACCTGATATCTTCAGTCGTTTTGTGCTGAAAGAACACGATGCCATTCTCGAAGATGTGATAGATAGATTACCGCAGGACTCAACATGGATTGAAGGCATTGCGTTACGCCTATACCTTTTTGCACAGCTTGCCTCTCGTTGGCATACACTTCTTCGCCAAAGTATCTACCGTATTTTCGAAACATCGGGAAATGTGCCAACCTCTATTCCTCATGCAAAAGCTTGCCTCCAAGAGATTTCGACGGAACTTAACTTGAACGGCCCAAAGGAGGTGTTCCAGCTATTTACGCCGCAGATACTCTACACTTGGATGGACAAAGAGTCTGTGACGGATATCCCATTTGCTGTATTTGGATATCCTACGCTTCATGAACTCCTCCTTGACATACAAGATGAAGTTGTGGGCCAAACTGCAATGAGAGAAAAGGAAGATGATAAAAAAGCTATCGAGGCTTGTCTGGAGAGGAAGTTCGAGGATTTATTATATGAATCATTCTATAAAGCAGAAGCATACAGCGTCGCTCGTGACATTAGTATACCCCCTTCACAAGAGGCAGGAGCAAAAGGAGCGGAGCGTGGGATGATTAATCTTCTAGGAAAAGAAAAATTTTTCCAGCTATCCGAGCAGTACTTCCCTCAGACAGTTGCTACCCTCTTCGGTAGCATTGACCAGACTGAGCAGATCCAGAGGGCATTTGAAAAACGGCCCTTATTTCATCATGCGTTAAAAGCCTGGCAACATATACATGCGCGGAGCCATTCAACGTCAGCCCTTCCACTAAGTCAACAACCCTGCTTCCGTGCGAGATATCTTCTCGATGAAATCGAAGTTCTGTGCAAGAGAAGCGGCTTTGACATTGAAACTATGTGGACTCCATCTCTAGTTTGCTTTGTTGCAAGGATGCTTCTGGACTCGACACACCCTGCTCTTGGTTCGTTGCATACGTGTTCTGTCATCCGAAAACTTAAGATCCTGATCTGTGTGGCGGGTCAGATATCACTATACGATTATCCATTTGAGATGCTTCTCCGTGGATTAAGCCCATTCCTTACAGATTTTCATTGCGCAGAGGATGCAATTGGCCTGGTTTGGTACCTGATCGAAAACGGCAAAGCATATCTCACTGACAATCCTTCATTTACTGCTGGTTTAGCCGTTTCAATATTAGCCTCTCTTCGAGAATTCTTGTCTGCACCTCAAGCAAGCACTACCCAACGAGCTCATTTTAAAGCTACATTGTCCAAAGCTCATGAATTCCATCTTTGGTTCTCAGACTTTCTCAAGACATATAGTCCATCAACGGAATATAGCACTCTTGATGGACCTTCTACAGAGTCGTTACGCAGAATAATCCATGCGTCCCAGAACATCCAGCTTGTCGGGAATGGTATCAAGGGAACATACGAAAGTGAACTTATCTTAGAGCTGCTAGGCGATAAAATCTCAGGGCGGAACTTGTTAACGACCCACACGAGTAACCTAGTCTTATCACAACTGTGTGGTAACTTTCAAAGACCGGCTTCTTTCCGTGATGATGTTTTGGGTGAGGATGATGATGCTGCTTCCCATGCAATGACTTTGTGGTCTTCCGTCGAAAATCGAACCCTGGGCAAAGGGTTTCGTCTGTGGTTAGCTCGAGTGCTTGGCCGTGCGTATGCGGCAACGGGAGTAGTGAATCCATCATTTCGAAAGGAACAAAAATCTGAATTCTTGGACTACTCTCGGGATGGCTTTCTTGCTGGTTCAAAAATTGCTATATTACGAATACTATGTAACACATTGCCTAACAACAGTGAGCCTGCTGGGCTGGCGGAGAGGACTCTACAAGTGATTGCTAACAACCTTGCCAAAGATCCTTTAGCGGACGAATGTATGCAAATTATACCCTCGACCTTGCTGAAAGCTCTAACATGGGAACCATATAAATGCCCTATGCTTGTCTTCTCAACATCTAGGATGGCCCCCTTTCTATATTTACCGCAATGGGACGTGATAAATACGGCTTCTAGGTTTGCTCAACACTTAGCACTGTTTCTATGCAACAAAGTGGCTCACGATGCAGTCATTGGGACTTTGCCGAAGATTATCCTTGAAGTCCCTTCCTTTGCCGTCCAGCTTCTCCCATACATCCTCCATGATGTGTTGCTCTCTGAAATAGACGGCAACCAGAAAACGAGGAATGAAGTTTCTGAATTATTTAAAGAGGCATTTCAAAACAACAGTGACTCAATTATACCCCACATTTGTTTGATAGTAACCTGCATCCTCTACCTTCGACGCCAGCCTTTACCGCGAGAAAACACTATGAGTGAAAGAAATGGGTGGCTTGATATAGACTTCATGTTAGCCGCTACAGCCGCATCCCGCTGTCAGATGTATAAAACATCGCTGCTATTTTTTGAAATTTGTCACTCTCAAGCTGTTGGAGCATCAAGACGATCCTCTACGGTGGCAACGTCAGAACCTACAGAACTTCTCCATTGCATATTCAAAAATATTGATGACCCAGATTCATTCTATGGTATACAACAAGACCAATCTCTTGACGCTGTACTGAAAAAGCTGGAGCATGAAAGCTCTGGACTCAAAAACTTGTTCTTCCAGAGCGCGAATTTCGACACGGATCTCCGGCTAGGACAAGATGTAGATGAAGGTGGAGCTTTTGAAATGATTAAAGCCCTTAATTTCACAAACCTACAAGGGCTCTCTAACTCCATGTTTCGCTCATGTACTCCGGCCCGTGCTGGCAACGAAGCGTTTGATTACATGCTTTCAACAAATATATACCTTCAACAGTGGGACATACCAGTTCCTACAACAACGTCCCCAGCTGGAACACTATTCAAATCTTTACAGGCTTTGAATAGTTTAGAGGATAGGGTTCAGATAATCAAGTCTCTGGATGACTGTTTCCTCGAGATTATTGACCGTCTTAATCAGGGAAACCAGTCGCTCTCCTCTTTGAAATCTTCCATGACAGTTTTGGGAATACTTACTGAAATTGATGAAATAATTGTGTCGGATGATTCATCGCACCTACATGAAGCTTGGGATAGACTGACAACTCGTGGAGAGTGGCTGAAATCAGAAAGGTATGTGCTTCGTCTCCACTTGGCTTCTTCATGATTAAAATGAGCTGTGACTAATGTCATTGTAGTTTCCAAGATATAAGCCAAATATTGATCAGCAGGGAAGCCATATTCTCATCAATTAGCCGCCAGCCACATTTGAAGAAGATGACAAACTTAAGCTCCAGAGACGCTCAAATCTTAGAGGCAAAGTGTATCAGAGAGTCCTTAAGGATTAGTAGAGAACACGATATTCCACAGGCATCCCTCCAATCTGCAATGTCGTTATCAAAACTAGTTCAGCCCTGCGCCGAATTAGGAGTGAAAATTGATGCAGCGACTGCCTTTGACCTGGCAAACGTCCTCTGGGATCAAGGGGAAATGAAAACTTCAATCAAGATCCTGCAAAGTCTGAGTAGTCAAAAGGGCGTGCATGACCAAACAATTCCCGTGAGTGTAGCAGAGGTTTTGGCCAGTTTGGTAAGTTTCTCTAATTTATATCGGTTTCAGCGCTCTAATATACGAGACAGGGACATCACATTGCAGAGGCTAGATTAGAACAGCCGGATGCGATTATCCAGAGTTACCTTGTTCCATCGATCAAAGAGCTAAAGGGAGAAAATACTGGTAAAGAAGCTGGTCTTGTATTTCATCAATTTGCAACCTTTTGTGACCAGCAACTACAGAATCCAGATACGCTGGAAGACTTTGTCAGACTTGAGCGTCTGCGATCTAGAAAGCTAAAAGAAGTGACTGATCTAGAAGATATGATGAAAACATCTGATGGAAAGACAAAAGACCAGCTTCGTTCCCATCGCACGAAAGCAAAGCAATGGTTCGATCTGGATGACCGCGAATACCAACGACTGAAGAAGAGCAGAGAGTCATTTCTATGCCAATGCCTTGAAAATTACCTCTTATCTTTAACAGCTTGCGACACCTTTACAAATGACGTACTTCGATTCTGTGCGTTGTGGCTTGACAATTCGGACAACGAGCAAGCCAATAATGCTGTATCAAAATATTTATGCGAAGTTCCTACCCGGAAGTTTGCATCGTTGATGAATCAGTTATCTTCCAGGTTGCTCGATGTTGCGGATACGTTTCAGCCATTGCTATCTTCTTTGGTACTCCGAATCTGTGTTGATCATCCCTACCACGGCATGTATCACTTATTTGTTAACAGCAGGTCTAAGAAAGACAACGACCCAAAGGCTGTTTCGCGCTATAATGCGGCAGGAAAGATTGTGGATATATTGAAAAAATCCAAAAGGTCTGGGGAATGGCTCGCTATTCACAATACAAGCTACCACTACTTGAACTTTGCAGCAGAACCACTGGACGGCAAAGTGAAGAGTGGATCTAAGTTGGTGTTAAAGAAAACTATCTATGGCACTCGGATGCAAAGCGCCATCTCAAATACTAAAATCCCACCGCCTACTATGACTATTCCACTTCGCGCTGATTGTGACTATAGCAAGGTTCCGCATCTTGTCAATTTTCAACCGACCTTTACCATTGCCTCTGGCATTAGTGCCCCAAAAATTGTTACTGCTATGGCATCTGATGGGGTACGGTATAAGCAACTAGTAAGTCTTCAAAGTCCTTTACTTACTTGATTTTGGCAAAAAGTTTTTGCTAACATATACCTCTTACGAATTACAGTTTAAATCTGGAAATGATGACTTACGACAAGATGCAATAATGGAACAGACCTTTGAACAAGTTAGTGACCTTCTCCAGGACCATAGGGAGACTCGGCAACGAAAATTGGGTATCAGAACTTATAAAGTACTGCCGCTGGCATCAAATTCGGGGATTATTGAGTTTGTCCAAAACACGATGCCATTGAATGACTACCTGCTACCCGCACACCAAAGATACTTTCCTCGGGACTTTAAGCCCAACCAGTGCCGCAAATTTATTAACGATGCACAAAGCAAGTCTCGCGATCAACGAATCAAAGCCTATCGCCATGTTACGGACCATTTCCATCCTGTCATGAAATATTTCTTCATGGAGAAATTCCCAAATCCAGATGATTGGTTTAGTAAACGGTTGGCATATACTAGGAGCACTGCTGCTATCTCCATGCTTGGCCATGTGCTAGGCCTGGGAGACCGACACGGCCATAATATCTTGCTAGACACGGAAACAGGAGAGGCGGTACATATTGACTTGGGTGTTGCCTTTGAGCAAGGCCGTGTTTTACCTATCCCGGAGAGTGTACCCTTTCGCCTGACTAGGGATCTTGTGGATGGTATGGGATATACGAAAACTGAAGGAGTATTCCGGCGAAGTTGTGAATTTACACTTGAAGCCCTCCGCGAAGAGTCATACAGTATAATGACTATCCTAGATGTTCTGCGTTACGACCCGTTGTATAGTTGGACATTATCTCCACTGCGCATGAAAAAAATGCAAGATGCCCAGGAAGCTGAGAATGGCGCAGTCACCCCCAATGAAGGTGGCAAAAAGTCAAATCTCAATGAGCCAAATGAGGCTGACAGGGCTTTGACAGTTGTTCGGAAGAAGCTTGGCAAATCACTGAGTGTGGCAGCCACCGTCAACGAATTGATTCAGCAAGCTACAGATGAAAAGAATCTTGCTGTCCTGTACTGTGGTGAGTGGATACATCATTTAACAATGCATTCCTGCAAAGTTATGGAACTAATTTGACTCTATAGGCTGGGCTGCGTACGTCTAATGTTTGCATTTTACTATGGAGTGTGTTTCTGGAGATACCTCATATATATTTATACATGACAAGCCATTGCGAATTAGAGTTAGAATGTGGCCTTTTTAACGGAATGTGTACTGGGCCAGCAGTCTACCAATTTCGTTTGAAGCATCGGTCTCACAAACTAATTTGCTCAACTTTGGTAACTTTGTCTCTGTCATACTATTTTGCGGAGATATGGCGACACAAAATAACATCAAAGTACCCTGTATATCCAAAATTTCAAGAAAATTATTAATGTGATAGTCATGAGAAGTATGGGCGAACATTGTGAAAGACGACGATGTTGATCAAATAGACAGCCACTTCAAGGTCAAAATTGAACAGTGTCACGTGCTTGAGAATTAGAGATTTGTTTTTGGTTACGAATTCTGTCTTGGAAATCATTAAATAGCTAAGCTAGCCAGTTAGATAAGGACACTGTATCCTGAACCGCGAACCTCCGACTCACTATATGATACCCCATTGCGCTCATTCACCCAGCATCGCTGAACATTATACCTTGAGTTGATAAGGAATCCGCCAAATGGCTGCCTCTGCTAGCCCCAACCGCGGCATTACGGTGTTCTCTGGCGGCAGCGCTGCAAATAATCTAGTTGATGTTTTCAGCGCCCTCAGAGAATCCAAAAATTGTCCGTTAAGCTATATCATTCCAATTAGTGATAACGGCGGCTCCTCGTCCGAGCTTATAAGATTCTTTGGTGGCCCAGGTATTGGCGATGTTAGAAGTAAGTGTACCTAATCCATAACTACCTTATGGATTTAACTGTATATCAGCTACTAACCATCTCACAGGCCGGTTGGTACGTTTGATTCCGGATTCCCCGACTGATCCGGAGCGGGCCGGTATCAAAGCGCTTTTCAATCATCGGCTGTCTTCGAATGCTAGCAATGCTCATGACGAGTGGTATTCAATTGTTGAGGGAAATTCGTCACTGTGGCAAGCTATCACTCCTGCAAAGAAAGAATTAATTCGGTCATTTCTAAACTTGCTTAACCTTGAGATCTTAAAGCGGGCGAGACCACCTGCGTCGACATTCGACTTCACGTCAGCCAGTGTCGGTAACCTGTTCTTGACCGCAGCTAGAGTGTTTAGTGGGAGCTTTGAGAGTGCCATTTACCTTCTTGCCAGTATATGTTCTGTTCCTATCGACAGTGTCCGAGTTATTCCTGCCATTAACTCCAACTTCTCTCATCACATATCTGCCTCGCTGGAGGATGGAACTGTGATAGTTGGCCAAAATAGTATCTCTCATCCGAGTGAAGCTTCCTCTGTCCAATCAACACCCTCTTCCAGACGTCCAAGCTTGATGTTAGCCGATGGAGATGACCCCCATCTCGAACCAGACGACCCGCTATATGAAGAAAGCCATTTACCGGGGTCCCTTCCAACACTAAGGAACAAGAATATTCAGTTTAGCAAGTCGACTGTTGATGAGCTCCCCAGCCGAATATCCCGTGTTTGGTATATCAATCCTTACGGCCAAGAAATCAGACCACCGGCGAATCCTCGCGTTCTAGAGGCGCTGCGCTCATCTCAGGCGATAATTTATAGCATCGGATCCCTATATACATCTCTCATACCTTCGATAGTTCTCAGAGGAGTAGGTCGATCGATAGCATCAGGTCCTGCACGATATAAGATCCTGATTCTCAATGGGTCCTTGGACCGCGAAACTGGCCCATCATCTCGGTCATTATCAGCTTCTGAATTTGTTGAAGCTATTGTACGCGCAGCAGAAGAAAGCTCTCTACATAAACGCCAGAGCTCAGTGCTGAAAAGTTGTTGCACCTCCAAGTCCAACGCACCTCAAATTTCTGTTCCTAACGAGCCTTATACATCTTATGTGACGCACATTCTGCATCTTGACGGACCCGGCACACCACATGTGGATCGAGAACGCCTTAGTGAGATGGGTATTGAGTGCTTACGGTTGTATGGACGCAAGGTGGTGAACGATGAGGGGTCTGTAGTAGGAATGAAATATGACCCTGTTGGGCTTGTGCAGGCCTTGGAGATTGTATTGGGCAAGAAAGGGGACGCAATGGTACGGGTTGGGCTAAGTGGTGAAAGAAGTAGGAGGAATACTATGGAGGCGATAGGAAGAAAGTAATTAACCAATTAGATAACAAGTGCAGTGATAGCCACAATAAGGTAGAAATGACTAGAATATAGATTAATAGTGAGACTTTTGATTTAATGTAGCATTTACACCTTTATAAATGAAGGAACTAACCACTTTTGTGAATTCTCCATGAACCTTTGCTTGAGATAGTACAAAGAAAATGAAAAGATATCCTAAGGGAGGCCAAAAGCCTGAAGAACTCCAGGTATGCGATTATAATTCATAACCCGTAACGCCGCACGCAACCGAAGAATAGAGGAGATTTGTTTATCAAAAATCCCCATAACACATGTGTTTGTCTGGAAAGCCTTTACCCCTTTTTTCGAGTTATCAATTTAAATTGTAAAGGCACAAGGTTTCGCCTGGGACCAGGACTGTCTGCCACAGATATAGTTTTGCGACAAACTGGGCAACTTCCTCTGGCCCCCTTTCCAGCACCTTCAAGTGTACGACGAGTCTCGTTGTATTTGAGGCTGTCAATAATACATTTATGGCAGAATAGGTGACCTATGGTGAAACATATGCTTAGAACACATCATTTCAATAGTGGTATAAATGTCAGAACACCTACCACATATAGTACTTGTGGCATTCTCAGGTACATCCATGCAAACAGGACATTTGTAAGCTGTCAGCGTAGACTTTGCTTCCTTGTCGTTTGTAGCATTTTTCTGAGCTAGGATTGCATCCTCTCTTTGCTTGGCAAGGACTTGTGCTAGGGAAGAGGAGTCATCAACACTAGTTAAATCCACAGCCTCGACGTCACCCAGAGCCGTACTCTCCACTGTTTGATGCCTATGGGAAGACGACCCAGCTATTAGGTCACTGTCGCGATTGTTTCTATTGTTTAATCTCCGGCGTTTGGCCTCGTCTCTGGCACCGTCAAAGTCAGGTGATGAACTGGGGCGAGACCGCGACAGTTGTAATGTTGGTGATACGGGACCCCTTATACCGTGTGATGTTGCAACCGGTGAAGGCTCAGTCAGATCCACGAAGGCATCGTTCTCCATTATGAAGTAAAAGGACAGTGTCGACTGAAGTAAAGCCGAGGACTTTCCGGCGCGAATATATGGATGCAATGTCAGATGTTGGGTATTGTAGAGCTGGCAAGTTGCGCAGTACCAATATTCCTGGAGTAACGAGGATATGCAATGTGATAGTTGTATGAGATCTAGCTGCGCATATAAAGATATATCTATACGCTCAGATAAAGCACCTCAGGACTGAACGGTCTCCTTTGTCAAGCGAATGTGATCGTTCTTAGAGTATATGAGCCGGTGGCATCATGCACATTATCAGATTAAGGGTGGATAACTCGTAATCAAGAATGATAAGAGCATGAAGATGGGCAGGAGGTCAAAATGTTGGTTGGTTTCTTGCGTCTCTTTGAAGCTACTCTTTTCTATCTGGTTGGCTTCACTATCGCTGATAAGAATTAATAAGCATTATAGATAAGATCATATGACCTTCTATCTTCACGTGATTGTTTTTTTAACCTTCTGTCTCATTATGTAATCTGATCTATCAGAGACGAAAGAGACCAAAAAGACGGCAAGGAAGAAGATGAAAGCGACAACGGGAGGAGTTGGTGGAAAATAGGGCACATTACACAGGAGTCGGATTTAGAGGGAGACTTTTGGAGTCTAGTGCCGCAGCATCACCAGAATGACTTATTGGTCGCGCAACTATGCAGGTGTTCAGCCGCGGTTTGCGTAAAACCACCATTTTAAGCCCATTGAGGGCACGATTAATCTGCCATACGATACCTACTTGGAAAGCACCTCTCAGGAATCATTCGAAACAGGCGTCCCAAGCTGCCCAAGATGGCGCAGAGTTCGTACCGAAACAGAGCACGCTTGCATGTATATTAACCCCTTATCTTTTATACAGCTTGCGGCACCAGTTAGACTAACAAAACGCTTTACCAGTGCCATCCACTGGCAGGTTTAACGAGATTGGAGTCCAGCAATTGAGCAGTGTCATTCACCCTCAAATATTCAGTAATAACCCTACGCCTCCAGACCCTAAACTTGTCGACCTAGCCCGGGATCATCTATCTCGACATGATTTGCTGGGGAAAGCACAAGATGGCTCTGATCCGATCGGATTCAATCTTCCAGCTCTGAAAGGGCGATCGCTAGATGAACACTTCCATAAGCTGGGAATGGATGCTTCTGAGCCCTTTTTAAGCGAGGCTAAACATTATGCATTGGCTCACTTACCCCAGCAACCACGAAAATGGATTAGGCAGAGCGGTTGGACGAAATACAGTGCGGACGGAACGGCGGAAAAGATCGATGCCCCCGATGAGACAAAGTTAACTTTTGACACTGAAGTTATGTGGAAAGAGCATCCATTTGCTGTAATGGCTTGCGCCGCTGGCCCAACGGCTTGGTATGCATGGATCTCGCCGTGGCTCCTGAAAGAGACTGATAATACCCATCAACTAATACCGCTGGGTGACACATCAACACCTCGAGTCATTGTCGGACATAATATTGGGTATGATCGAGCTAGAATACTGGAAGAATACAATATTAAGCAGTCACGCAACTTCTTCATCGATACTATGTCTCTGCATGTGGCGGTAAATGGAATGTGTTCACAGCAACGGCCAACTTGGATGAAACATAAGAAAAATAGAGATCTTCGGGACAAGCTAATGCGTGGAAATGAGTCAGCTGAGCTTGCGTCCATGGTTGAGAATAAAATGCTCAGTGAGGAAGAGGAAGAGCTATGGGTAGGCCGAAGCTCCGTTAACTCTCTCCGCGATGTTGCCAAATTCCACTGTAACATCACAATAGACAAAGCTCAACGGAACTATTTCGGCGAACTCGACCGAGAGGGAATCAATGGGCAACTAGACGAGCTCCTAGATTACTGTGCCGCCGACGTTGCTATCACTCACCGGGTTTACAAAAAGGTATTCCCTAATTTCTTGGAGACCTGTCCACACCCCGTCAGTTTTGCGGCATTGAGGCATCTTTCCACTGTTATTTTGCCGGTCAATGAAACATGGGGAGAGTACTTGAAAAGTGCCGAAGAAACATACCATCGCGCCTTGAACAATGTGCAAAAGAGGTTGGTGGAACTTTGCGAAAATGCTCTCAAGGTAAAAGATAAACCAGAAATATATCAAAATGATCCTTGGCTTCGGCAGCTGGACTGGTCAGGTCAAGAGATTCGGATGGTCAAAGGCAAGAAGAAAGGTGACCCCCCTCGGCCGGCGGCCCGACAAAAACTACCAGGGATGCCAAAATGGTACAAGGATCTTTTTCCAACAAGTAAAGCAGATATCAACATTACAGTACGGACTCGTATATCCCCAATCCTCTTGAACCTTTCGTGGGACGGCTTTCCCCTTGTTTGGTCGGATAAGCATGGCTGGACTTTTGAAGTTCCCAAAAAGGAGCTAGAGCGATATGAGAACAGGCGTTTACCCCATGCGACATGTCGGGGTGAGACAAACGCTGCTCTGCGCGAGAATAAGAGTCATGTATATTTCAAGCTTCCGCATAAAGATGGGCCAGACGCTCGCTGTGCTAGCCCTCTCTCAAAGGGATATCTGCAATATTTCGAAAGTGGGAAACTCACATCCCAGTTTCCATTGGCGAAGGAGGCATTGGAAATGAACGCATCTTGCTCCTATTGGATAAGCGCTAGGGATAGAATCACATCGCAAATGGTCGTTTATAAAAAGGATTTGGAAAACTCGGGTTCCCCAGGCAAGGAGGTTTCGCCGGACTCAAAAGTGGGCTTCATCCTTCCACAAGTTATTCCTATGGGAACAATCACACGCAGGGCAGTTGAAAATACCTGGCTCACTGCAAGCAATGCCAAACCAAATCGTGTCGGTTCTGAACTGAAAGCTATGGTTCGAGCACCACCCGGATATGTCTTTGTTGGAGCGGATGTTGACTCCGAAGAACTTTGGATTGCAAGCCTAGTTGGCGATGCGCAGTTTCAACTACACGGCGGGAATGCTATTGGCTTCATGACACTCGAGGGTACGAAAGCGGCTGGTACCGACTTACACTCGAAAACAGCAAAGATTCTTGGAATTTCACGAAATAATGCAAAAGTTTTCAATTACGGCAGAATTTATGGAGCTGGCTTGAAATTCGCTGCCACACTTCTACGACAATTCAATCCGAGCATGTCTGAAGCAGAGACCAAAGCCGTGGCCGCCAAACTATATAAGGAGACAAAGGGAACTCGGACAACTCGCAGGTTATTAAGTGAGGATCCGTTCTTACGAGGTGGAACTGAGTCGTTCGTTTTCAACAAGCTGGAAGAGTTCGCAGAGCAGGAGAGGCCGCGAACCCCTGTTCTGGGAGCTGGTATCACTGAGGCATTAATGCGACGCTTTATCAATAAAGGTGGTTTTATGACGTCCAGGATTAATTGGGCCATTCAATCATCTGGTGTCGACTACCTCCATTTACTTATCATATCCATGGATTATCTCATTAGGCGCTTTAATCTTGATGCACGACTTGCAATTACCGTCCATGATGAAATTAGGTATGTGGTTAGGGAAACAGACAAGTACAAGGCTGCAATGGCACTACAAGTTGCAAACCTTTGGACTCGGGCTATGTTTTCGCAGCAAATGGGTATTGACGATCTACCGCAATCGTGTGCATTCTTTTCGGCAGTAGATATTGATCATGTCTTGCGAAAAGAAGTGAACATGGACTGTGTGACTCCATCTCATCCTAACAAAATTCCACATGGGGAATCCCTCGATATTAGTGAACTTCTTTCCAAGGGCGACGAGGCAAAGCTTGACCCATCAGTCACTCCATCATCGCCGCCGGTTCCAGAGAAATACAGCTACACCCCGCGAGAACCCGTCATGGCATCTTTACAAAATTCAAGTAGCATGGATTTTATCAAAGCCCAGATTACCAGTGACGATAAGGAGCTACGAGAATTAATAAAGGAGACTATGAAGAATAGTTACTCCTCGTCACCTAGGAGCACAACAAAGTCGCAACCTAAACGTGGATCAACATCGCAGATACCCCCTCACGCAGAACCCCAAAAGGCTGTTTTAATGGATGTCCAACCAAATCTCCTTCCAAAGTCATCAAATATCTCCAATAAATCGTCGTCTTTTACGATACACCGGTTTGGTTGGAAGCCTCGATCCCCTGCATCTGTCTAGTTAGGCACATATGTTTATAATCTCTGCCCTCTTACCTTTGATACCGATTTAATGTGTTAGTTTCATAGCATTCCATGATGGAATGCCCCTCTAGCTGCTTTTACTCTTTTTTTTTTTTTTTTATTCGCGCGGACTTTTATTTCCACATGCTATCAACTAACTTGTACACTCCCTTCTCTTACCTCAAACTTCGATTCATTGTACATATGTTTGTCTCAGCTGTCCAATATGGTAAATGTTCTGGTGTGCGGTGTCTGGGTCGCTTGGGTGTACACTATAGGGAGGGGAATATACACCGTTAATGATAATAAATTCCATTCATATACATGCAGATATGATTGTAACGTATCTTGTTTAGTCTTGATATATTAATTTCATCATAGGGGCAGGGGTAGCGCGCCAAGCCTCCGCAGCTGCCGAAAGTTTCCCCCATTTCAGTTTCAACGTCTGTCAACCACGTCAACTAGTTAGCGTGTGCTCCATAACTGGTAGTCCATCTACACATGACGTCGGTTACGTCTGAGGCCTCATCATATATCATGCCTGGCATGGTAAATCTGCATTCACAAAGGCTTTCAACTACCTGGACGAACCTGAAGTTGGCCGTGGGTTTGACCTTTTTGTCATGATTCTGAATCTTCACGATATACTACGTGTGACCGCGTCAGGATGGCTCTCGGGAGATCAGATTCTCTAAACGGGAGCGATATCAGTCCTTGTGCAACCGATGTTGAGGCTCAGGCAGGTGGTGAAGCCTTTAGATTAGAGGCGTTTCCGTCTGCGTCGCCTACCACTACTAGAAATCCTATCGGGCTCGAGGCTCAAAGCAGCCTCAGAAGACGCAGCCGGCGCTCTACCACTGCTCGTCCATACTATCCTGAGGTGCACTCTCCGAATTGGCATCCCGGTGAAGAGCCTGGAATTGATCCTACTGATCCAAGCCTTCCCACCTCATTTGCAGATGAGGGAACCTTGTTACAGGCGCAATTATACCAACAATGTGATATCACCGTGGTGGATTTCTCTCACGATCTTATGCGTATGTATCACTTGGATAACGCGACACTGGTGCCTTTTTTGGAGAGGGAGAGGGAGCCATGGGTACAGTGCCGCTGGATCAATGTCAATGGGTTGAGTTGGGATGTCGTTAGGCTGTTGGCGAATCACAAGCACCTTCACAGGTTGGCAGTAGAGGATCTTATGCATTCTGTCAATCGGACGAAGGTGGACTGGTTTTCTGACCATACTTTTATCGTCCTTGCAATGCAAAAGTTGGTTAAGCATAGAAATCCCGATGAAGACTCTGAGGTGGAGAGCGAATCTGACGATGAAGAGACGGTACATGAAACAGATGATTCAAAACCACCCAGTCATCATTCCAAAAAGAAGAAACGCGGTGTGATAATGACGGCATTGATGGATATGTTTGTTCCCAAGTATCAGCAGAGACGCCCGAGGCTCAATGGTACAAAGAGGTCGCCCACGGATCCGCAGCAGGAGGCGCCGGCTAGCCCACCTCGAGCCATTCGTTCTTTACAGCGCTTTAGAGGAGGACCTAACGAGGACCGTATAGATTTCATGGAGCGTCATGCAGTTCTGGGACCCAAAGGACTCGGTGTTGGTATTGAGCAAGTCTCTCTTTTCCTCCATTCAGATAACTCCGTGACATCCTTCTTCGAGGCGAGTGCCGACGATATCGAAACTCCCATTATCCAACGACTCAGGTCTCCAGGGACTATCTTGCGACAAAGCTGTGATGCAAGCATGATATTACAAGCTATTATTGATGCTATCACCGATCTTGCAATTCCGGTAACAATGGCCTACCAAGACGCGATGGGAGATCTTGAAGTTCAAGTTCTTACCGATCCGAATATCAAGCAGTCGAGTAGTCTGTACATACTCACGTCCGAAATTTCTGTTCTGCGAAATGCCATCCAGCCAATTATTGGAGTTATCAATTCCCTAAGAGACCATAAGCCTGATCCGAACGGCCGGCCTCATCTAGGGTTTAAAACAGGATTGACTGCATGTTCGCATACCAACAGTTCTGGTTTTGGTTCTGGTCCTGGCTCCCGGGTTGCCTCAAGTCAGGAAACCGAAGGAATTACAATGCCTTCAACCGTTAATATAAGTCCTATGTGTCAAACTTATCTGGGCGATGTCTTAGATCATTGTATCACTATCAATGACGGCTACGATCAGATGCGGCGCTCGGCAGATAATATGATTGACCTGATATTTAACACTATTGGTAAGTCTAGAAACGAGCCAGAAAATTCTCAATGTTATTCACAGACGCTAATATTCCTCATTCCAGGAGCTTATCAAAACGAAAGTATAACGCAGCTCTCGCTAGTAACCTGCATGTTTCTACCCCTTACCTTCCTTTCGGTGAGTTGAAACATCAATCGCAGCTTAGAAAGACGAGCGAATTAACGCTGGGCAGGGGTATTTTGGAATGAATTTCAAGTCTTTCTCAAGCATCCAGGAATATAGTGATGCGTAAGCATATTCCCCTAAACTTCCCTCTGATATTAACAACGTTTTCGTACTAACGCCAACATAGATTTTTCTGGGCCATTGCTATCCCGTTTGTTTTTGTAGTTATGGTCATCTTAATGTAAGTGCTTCCGGTACTAGTATAAACCACAACTCCTCTGTCCGTACTGACATGATTTCTTAGGCGTGAGGTGATACAGCGTTACTTAATGAAACTTGCAAACAAACGATTAATCTGGAGTTCAAGGCGACGGCGGATACCTAAACGGCAGCGGGTACAAGAAAGTTGATTATAGCTGTTACGTTTACCTATCTATACAAAATCCGAGGTGGGTACAAGGCTAGAATCAGGGGTATAATCATTCTGTATAATACATGTGTAATTGTTGTTATAGGATCATAGCGCGAATATTTCTTCAGATCTCTCGCTGTCGATACGCCCAGTAAGCCTTCCACGGTAGTCTCCAATCCGTAGAAAGAAGCTCCGGTTTAAATATGTCAAAGTCCAGCTTTTGTAACTTATTCAGCCACAGGTTCGTGGAAACAGCTGGTAGAAAAACGCCAAACCCTCGCTCGATTTCTTGCAGCTGGGTGATCAGGCTTGTTGACTTTGTATGTTGATCGTCTTGGTATTCGTGGCCCTCTTCGCCCTCATGTTCAAAGGCGTGTCCAACATCCTGGCCAGCTCGTAAATTTTTCAGCATTTGCCTGGCGGTGATTAGATGGTCACTAGCACGGGTTGCCACTGTGAAGACGGCGTCTCGTAGCCCCGGAGCGTCTGCGCCAAGTCTGAAAACATCCTCCTCCTTTACTCCTGTTTGTGCCATAATATCAAGCGGTAGCATGATGGAGCCTTGTCTGCTGTCACCTGCCACAGGCCCTTCGTTGCTCATCCGAGTCTGGCTGGAAAGATGACTGGGTGGCGGGGGAAATGCAACAAGCGGAACGCCGCGGAGGAGAGCAGTAATTCCTACTGCTTTACCAATGTGGGATGCTAGGTGATCTGCCGTTAATGAATTAAGGGGTAACGCGCTGAGATTTAGGTATAGAAGTGTAGAATATGTGCTTTCAGCATAAGATTCTAAGGAGGCCAAAGTAGGATATGACGTGTGCGCCAGGTGCTGTTCCCGCGCATTAATCAGCCGCATAAGCCATCCTTTGCTTATCTTCGCTCTCCCCTGGGTCCTAGTATCAAGGTCTGAGAGGGCCGAGGCCAGAAGAATAGCAATGGGTTCCTTGGGTGGAGTTCCTGCAAGGGTTCGTGTGATGGCATCTCTCCAGAATTGCAACCTCATCAGGCCGATTGTATGCGCAGATGTGGTTTCGGGTATCATCGATAGAGAAACGTTTAGAGCATGAAGGGCTATATAAAACTTGGTGGAGTGTCGAGGAATAAATGTGCTGAGGGTGTAGGACGGTCGATCATATTTTCTAATTGAGGTTAACTCCCCATTCAAACAGCAGGATGTAGTGGATACTAATGTCCAATTGACTTTTTGCATACCTTAGGAGTTCAACACAGTAGTTATGTGCCGATTCCAGCTCGGCATTGGAGCTTCCAGAAACACTTGATGCCGTCAAACAAGGCGCGGAAATTGACAGGGAGCGAATAGGCTGTGGTTTTCTCAATGCACCTCGAAAAACTTGGCATCGAGCTTGTTTCAATGTGCATCCAGTACGCATTGAAAACTTTGAAGCCATTATCCTTAAGTATGTTCCGTTGTCTAGATATCAATATTCAACATGGATTCAAACAGCTTCCAAGAGGGAAACTTCGCTTACTAATAAATAATTATGACCTAATCCATCGGAAATAGATTTTGCCGCGTTGCTTAATAATCATCGACATTCTTTAATGGAAATCGCGTTTAAGGTCGATTAAGAAGCGCGTCGCTGGTAGATAAAAAGTCGGCTTTGGGAGTCCTGTTGTCCGACTTCCATGACGACCACCGGATATGAATTCCAGGGATATTGAGCAGCGCCCTGTCAAAAAAAGACGATTTTTCCAAGATGAGAACGAGGCCAGCTTTCCGCCCAAATTCACCAATGGCGACGCGTCGGCCTTCACCACCTTCGGCCTGTCAAGCTCATCGAAGGAGGCTCCCACACCCGTTGAGGACAATGCTGCAGACAGACGGGCGGTAGAGGTGAATAAAGTGACTGGCAATGAATCTGATTTTGATACCGAGCTTTTCTCCACCATCGTTGGGCGCAAGGTTCCAGCTCATGTTATCGTTCAACTCCGCCGCCGTGCAGGGGACGATATGGAGAAAGCCGTCAATATCTACCTGGATAGCTCTTGGGAGGAAGATAATGATGCGAAAATAACAGACGTCTCCCAGCCATCAAGCGACAATAATACTGAAGAAGCCTCTGCAATCAAAGCTTCTTCGCCTCAGAAGGACATGGATGTGACGGCTGCCGAGGATGACAATGAATGCAGCTCCTTGTCTTCGGAAAATCCTGAGTATCGATATCTCGGCGCCTTTGGCGTTGGTGGATGGGCAACGAGGTCGAGTACAAACTCACTTAAGTATGGGGAAGAGGTCAAAATTCAGCGCACGAAACCCCAGGGTCAGCTCAAAATAGGGAAGCCTAAAAGAGTGATATCAAATTCTAAAACGGATGTTATAACGAGATTCACGAACTCCAAAGGTGACGAGATTGGAAGATTACCACAAGAAACTGCATCATGGGTATCAACTTTGATCGATCAGAAGATATGCAAATTTACAGCTGTATGTGTCTTTGCACCGGAGAGAATCCGCATCAACGATACTATATACTTGCAACTTAGATGTTACGTGCTCAACTCAGCCTTTAAAAAACGCTTCTCGCCGGGATTGGAGGATAACACTCCTCGTCTTTTCGAGCAAGAGGAAACAGCGGAAGAAAAGGCACTTCGGTTACGTCAAGTTGCATTAGTGACCCTTTTTGATGAGATCTGCCTCTCACCAACCTCTGGGGATGAGACTACCGCGAAGCATAAGAAAAGCGGGATTCTGCGTGCTGCAGAAATTGTTGAACAGAATACGAAACCAGGGAAATCGACTGGAGATCCATCAAAAGATGCCGAAGAAGCATCCGAAAGTGATGATGGTGAACACCTCGATCAAGACCAGCTAGATGCGTTGTATCACAAGGCTCAGTGTTTTGATTTCAGCATGCCCGAAGCTACTCCAAGTGAAAGTTTTAATTTGGAGCTACGAAAGTATCAACAACAGGCACTTTACTGGCTTATCTCTAAGGAGAAGGACGAAAATTCAACCAAGCAAAGGTCGATGCATCCTCTATGGGAAGAATACTCCTGGCCTATAAAAGATGTTGATGATAATTCTCTGCCGCGTGTACGTGGTAAAGATTACTTCTACGTTAACCCATACTCTGGGGAATTAAGCCTTGACTTTCCAGTACAGGAACAGAATTGTTTGGGTGGAATTCTTGCCGACGAGATGGGGCTAGGTAAGACCATCGAGATGATGAGCTTGATACATTCTCATAAACCTAGCCAAGGATATATTAACGGTACTACATTGCCATCATCGAGTCGAGGTATTACATGGCCACAAAACGCTTCAGGAATTTTTCATGCTCCACATACCACACTTGTTGTTGCTCCTACATCCCTTTTGTCACAATGGGAAAGTGAAGCTTTGAAGGCGTCAAAGCCGGGGACCATGAAAATTCTAGTTTATTACGGAACAGACAAATCAGTCAACCTCAGGAGTATTTGCTCTCCCACAAACCCGGCAGCTCCTAATGTAATCATCACCAGCTATGGAGTTGTTCGCTCAGAGCATAGCCAGATTCTTTCAGGCCGCACGAACATGAGTGATAACGGCCTCTTCTCCGTCGAATATTTCCGTGTAATTCTTGATGAAGCTCATTATATCAAGAATCGGGCCTCCAAAACAGCAAAAGCGTGTTATGGAATCGGTGCCAAACATAGATGGGTCCTAACGGGTACTCCCATTGTGAACCGGCTTGAAGACCTTTATAGTCTCGTACGCTTCCTCAAGGTGGAACCGTGGTGCAATTTTTCGTTCTGGAAGACTTTTATCACTGTTCCATTCGAGTCGAAAGACTTTGCGCGCGCATTAAGCGTTGTACAGACTGTCCTTGAACCACTGGTTCTTCGGCGCACGAAAACAATGAAAACTCCCGAGGGAGAGGCCCTTGTTCCCTTACCATCTCGTACCATCACAGTAGAAGAGGTTGAACTGTCTGAACAAGAGAGAGATATTTATGACGTTATTTTTAACAGAGCCAAACGGACTTTCAACGACAATATAGCCGCAGGGACATTGTTAAAGTCTTATACCACTATTTTTGCTCAAATTCTCCGTTTACGGCAAACATGCTGCCATCCTATTCTTACTAGAAACCAATCTATCGTCGCGGAAGAAGAAGATGCTGCTATTGCTGCTGATGAAATAAACATTTTGAAAGACAACATGGATCTTCAGGAGCTTATTGACAGATTCTCAAGCTCTATACAGTCTTCGGATGGTGAGGAGCGGGATCCTACCGCCAATTTCACAACTCATGCACTCAAACAAATTCAGGCAGAATCTAGTGGTGAATGCCCTATCTGTTCCGAGGAGCCAATGATCAATCCAGCAGTTACTTCATGTTGGCATAGTGCTTGCAAAACTTGTTTGGAGTCCTATATTAAACACCAGACTGACAAAGGAGAGGTTCCGCGGTGTTTCTGCTGCCGCGAGGAGCTAAGCTCTCGCGATATCTTTGAAGTCGTGCGCCATGACTCGCCAGAACAGACTCCCTCAACACAGAACCCTCCTGCATTGGATTGTCCCACTCCCCCAGGAGGCCGAATATCCCTACGTCGAATCAATCCCCTTTCTCCCTCTGCGAAAACCTCTGCCAAAATACACGCTCTTATTACCCATCTTTCGCATCTTCCCAAAGGCACTAAAGCTGTGGTATTTTCTCAGTTCACCTCCTTTCTGGACTTAATATCCCCACAGCTGACCACAGCGGGCATTGCACATCTTCGCTTTGATGGCACGATGAGTCAAAAGGCTCGTGCTACGGTCCTTGCGCAGTTCAATGCCCCTATAGTTGACGAAGACGACATTGACGATGATGAAGATATTACAAACTCCCCGGACCCTTTCAAGGGATACCGAAGTAAGCCTAAGAAAGAGAAGACTCTCCCTCCGAGTGTACTTTTGATCAGCTTGAGAGCTGGCGGTGTTGGATTGAATCTGACAGTCGCAAACCACGTGTTCATGATGGACCCCTGGTGGAGTTTCGCCGTGGAAGCCCAGGCCATTGATCGTGTACATCGTATGGGCCAGCTACGGGATGTGAAAGTGGTCAGGTTCGTGGTGAAAAACAGTATTGAAGGGAGAATTCTTAAAATTCAGGAGCGGAAAATGATGATTGCCGGCTCTCTTGGTTTACGAGTTGGCGGCGATGGGAGCGACGAAGATAAGAGAGAGCAACGCATCGAAGAATTGAAACTCTTGTTTGAATAGCACACAGCCATCGCATTGATACCCAGCAACGACGGCTACGCTGTCCTTTTTGTATACTATCACGCTTGGAGATTTTTGGCCATCCAGCAGCATAGCATCTTATCCTTTTTATCTGTTCCAAAGCCGAGCGCCTTATAATAACAGCGTACGGAAGAAACGCCTATTACGATAGCTATAATATAATGAAAACATACCTCACTCAACATTGTGTTGCTTATCTTGTATCTCGTTGTTCCCTTTTCAACTGTTCTTGCTAAAGTTAAGGTCTTTTTATAGTTCATGATGCAAGCTTTTTTTTTTTTTTCTCCGCCTATGGCAAAAAAAGTCACTCTTTCACTTCCCAGGTCCACGAACAAACAAAACATTTCAAATATATCCTTACAGCTTCGTAACCCAGCTCACAGCCCATCATGTCTGCTAATGACCAGTATCAGACGCCATTGGCGTCTCGCTATGCCAGTATGTCCTTTCCCTATACGTTATCGGCTGTTATCAACCCCGCCATCGCAATCCCCCCGCTATAACACATGCATACACTAGCTAACCAGCTACTCTCTAACCAGGCAATGAGATGAAAACGATATTTTCTGCCCGCGAGCGAGCATCAACATGGCGCAAACTTTGGCTTTGGCTAGCAGAAGCTGAGAAGGAGCTGGGGATCAAGCAGATCAGTGATGAGGCAATTGAAGCGATCAAGGCCAATGTCACCGTGAGCGACGAGGCATTCAAAGTTGCTGCTGTTGAAGAACGCCGCCGCAGACACGATGTCATGGCTCATGTCTATGCGTTGGAAAAAGATGCTCCTGCGGCTGCAGGAGTTATTCATCTTGGTGCTACTTCGTGCTATGGTATGCCTGGATTCCTGAATTTGGCTACTGTTGTTTGTTCCGCTGCTAACTGCTGGTGCCCTTAGTACGACCGGATTTCCTCGCTATATGAACATTCCTGTTCCACTGAATGGAAGCCTAACGTGTCTCTCTCTCTATAGGTCACAGATAACGCTGACTTGATCTTTATCCGCGATGCGCTTGACCTGATTCTACCAAAACTTGCCAAAGTTATCCACAACCTTGCGCAATTCTCTCTTAAATACAAAGATCTCCCGGCTCTAGGCTTCACGTACGCACCTGAATTTTAACCACACTCTGTGAATATTGACTAATCCACGGAATCAGTCATTACCAAGCCGCTCAGGCAATTACCCTTGGTCGACGAGGCGCCCAATGGCTTCAAGATCTCGTTATGGATCTCGAGGACATTGAGTATGTAAGAGCTGGTCTTAAATTCAGAGGAGCTCAGGGGACCACTGGAACTCAGGCTTCGTTTATGGAGATTTTCCAAAACGATGCCTCTAAAATTGACAAGTTGAACGAGATCCTTTGCAAGAAAGCCGGATTTTCCAGCTGCTATGATATCTCTACTCAAACGTATACTAGAAAAGTGGACCTGCGCATTGCCAACGCCCTTGCAGCTCTCGGAGCAACCGCTGTCCGCATTGCAACCGACCTTCGTCACCTCGCCCACGATAAAGTCATGGAAGAGCCTTTCGAGAAGGATCAGATTGGCTCATCTGCCATGGCTTACAAGCGCAACCCCAATGCGGGTATGTTTTGAGTACTTCTACGGGTCGAATATGTTTATATGGGCCTGATATGTTTTCATGGATGAGTGCTGACTGTTTATCAAACAGCTCGGAGAGAATCTGCAGCATTGGCAGGAAAACTGAGCAACGTATCGGCCAATTTCTCCGAAACATTCTCCGGCCAATGGCTTGAGAGGACTCTGGATGATAGCGCTATTCGGCGTATTGATATCCCTGAGATGTTCCTTATGGCAGATGCCATTCTAATCAGCCTTGATAATATCACCAACGGCCTTGTGGTATACCCCGCCATTGTCAACTCTCAGCTGCGAGAGGAGTTGCCATTTATGGCTACCGAGAACATAATTATGAAGCTGTGCAGCCATGGAGTTTCCCGACAAGAAGCCCATGAGGAGATTCGTGTTCTTTCGCATCAAGCCGCTCATGTTGTTAAAATGGAAGGCGGAAAGAATGACCTGATTGAGAGAATCAAGAAGACTGAATTCTTTGTATGGTACTCCCGACACCCCCTCCTGCATTGAACGAGATGACTAATATATGAATTGAACAGAAACCAGTCTGGGATGAGATAGATGGTCTCCTGGACACGAAGCTGTTTATTGGCCGATCTCCCGAGATTGTCGAGAGATATGCGGGCGTAGGGGGGCCCGTCGAGAAGAAGTTAGAGCAGTATAAGGAGTATATTATGTCCACAGCTACAGCTGAGCTATCTGTCTAGAAGGCAGCTAGACAAGACTTTGGTCCTACCAAACTAAGTGGAAAATATCATTGAAATATATCCCAATGGCTACTTCTCAATTGAGTTAAACAATCAACTGCTATTCATCCAAATTGGTAAATACAAAGAATACATTTGCAATGCACTTGGGATATACGATTTCAATAAGACAGATAAACATGATTAAATTGCATCATAACTAAAGTTCCACATATGGGATATTAAAGTGTTAAAACGTAATATGGTTCATAAAACATAGTTAAGCACCATTTCCGCACAAACTTAGGGCTTGGAGTGCTTTCCGATATGGAGTGCATCCTTGGCCTTTTGTGTGATGCTGCTAGTTTTATGGGAGGTATGCGTCTCATGTGAACCAGTGAGAGGGTCGTGCGTCGTAGTACCAGTATTTCCATGGCCCGTCGTGGAAGAACTTTGGCCAGCCTTGGAGGTGCGCTGGTCCAGAAGACCTTCATTTTAGAGTTAGCATACTATCCTTAATGTTTAGCTTCAAGGGGCTTTGTAACTTACGATCTGCCTCTCTTCCTGCCCCTGGCTGCGTGGCGTCAAAGTTCCCACCCTCTGCAGCGAACCCTGTGCTTTTAACGGGATTTTGCCCAGTGCCACTTGGCGCATGTGCTGGTACGCTGCTGGTTGTGCGGCTACTGGTGCTGGCGATTGGCGCATCATGCCTCATTGCAGAGGAAGGGTCGGACGCTCCATGGCCCATATCAGTAGTACGTCCCATGTTTCCACCAGTTGTTTGGCTCGATGGGATTCCTTGATTCAACTCTGAATGTTGGGAAGAGCCATAGCCTGAGCCGGTGTGTCCGGTAGTAGAAATTCCTTGTGACATTCCAGTTTGGGAACCACCATGGCCAGTAGTCGGTGCTCCCTGTTTAATATCCGAGGATCCGAATCCACTAGTACCAGAGCTTCCTCCACCTGGCATGTTTCCAGCTGTTTGACCTTGCTTCATTTCAGGGGTATACTTGGAGGAACCATCGTGGGTAGAACCTCCTACCAGGCCACCGGTGGTACCATGCTGTCCATGTGTAGTGCTACCCGGATGATGCTGGTATTGACTGCCATGGCCTGTGCCAGTAACATCTCCGGATCCAAGGGTAGCTCCACCGACTGCCTCCCTTCCAAGCGTTGTGCCACCCGAATGATGCTGGGACTGACTGCCATGGCCTGTGCCAGTAGCATCTCCAGAGCCAAGGATACCTCCACCAACTGTTTCTCTTCCTGTCGTGCCACCCAGATGATGCTGGTGTTGACTGCCATGACCTGTGCCAGTGACATCTCCAGAACCAAGGGCAGCTCCACCACCCATCTCTCTTCCATGTTCGGTGCCAAGTTGTGAATGCTTTGTTTGGCCGTATCCCCCAGAAGTACCAGATGGCATGTCTGAACCGTATGTTGTTGTTCCAGGAGTCCGTCCGGTTGAGTCAGTCATTCCGGATTGTTGCTTCATGCCGCTCATGCCTGGCTCCTGGCCACGACCCATAGCTCCCGCTCCAGCTGCACCGCCAGCAGCACCGATAGCAGTAGCACCACCGGTACCAGCGAGCGTGTCATCGGTGAGCCCGCCACTCATTTTAGCTCCCGTTGAGGGCTTTTGACCAGAAGCCATTGTAGAGGAATATTGATCTCCTTGCTGCATCTCTGAGCGTAAGGCTTTCTCACCATATCCGGCCTTGTCTCGACCAACCCCACTAATACCCTCATCTACTCTTCCGGTACCTTGAGTTGTCTTTCCAGGGATATGTCCGGTTTCCTGGGATGTATACCCGCCGGTGGTGGGCTTTCCGGCAGTTCTTCTAGCGGTGTCGTCAAGACCTCCAATTCCTTCATCGATCTTGTTTCCGTGGCCGTGTTGACCGGTCCCATGTTTACCGGTCATGCCGTGGGTCTCGGTTGGTTGGTCTTAAAAGCCATCAGTAGTTAGAAAGTGGTCCAAACGAACAATGTAGTACTAAAAGTACTGACAAAAGGTGATACATACGGGTAGCATTGCCAGCATCGTAAGGGTCGGTTGCGGTGCCCTTGCCCTGGACACCGGAGGCAGGCTCATGCCCTGACTTGTGGTGTCCAAGCAGGGCGTCCTCTGCAGCTTGTAGTCCGCTCTTAAGAGACTCCATGATAGACAATTGCAAATTTAATTGAAGTATAGATACTTAGATGGGTAAGCAAATTTGAAATGTTTTGATGTTATTGATGAATTATCTCAACTTTTCCACGGCTGGAAGGCTCTTATATAGAAGCGCCGTCCTCAACGGCCAGCCCGCCAGCAGTAACATGTCCCACAGTTTGTGGCGAGACGGCTCATGGTTGTCTGCAAGCCTTTGCAAGGCCGTCTCCTGGAGCGCTCTTCGCCCCTGTTGCCAAACGATATGACTTCAGATGTGACGTACCTTGGCAGAACCTGGGGTCATGACATCATAGATAAAGCATATTTATCACGTGATATGTATCTCTGCCGCGAAATCTGGGGAGAAGAAGACAAGGGATACGGGCTGAACGAGGAAGCAAGAAGAAGGATATCCAGAACGGCGGTTGTGGCAAGGTGATCAGCAGAAAGCGATTCAGGTATATGCAGTGGGGACCAACATAAGTATTATACAAGCACAGCCGTCATACCTCCACTTGACACCGTAGCTGAAAGCAGGAAATAATATGCAGGAATCGAATAGAAAGGAAGAGAGAGAAACAGAAACGTCCAATCAAGGAATAATGATAATTAGCAGATAACGATATGCATGGGTCCCCCATGGCACGCAAGGATAAAAAACATGAACATAAATTAATCGTAAGACATTGCGTAATCGTAGACGCGGAAGGCTCCCGGTTAGCCAGCCTTTCCCTGATCAGTTGAGGGTGCCATCCTCTTCTCGGGGTTCAGAGGGATACTGGGATTGTAGCAAACCTCTTTAACGATGCCTAGACCTTTGGTCCTTCCCTCACGGAACAGGATTCGGTCCCCTACTGAAAGGAATTCTGGTCGTTGGATGAACCGGAATGCGACTAGAGCCCGGTCTCCGGTTCTGATAAAGTCCCGGTCAATATCGATGATAGCGCAGGTCTGGCTCACAGCTCCAACATGCAACATGGCTTGATACTTCGGTTTGATTGTGGTGGCATGTGACAGTATCAATACTAAGATAAAATTTTAAAGTCAGCAGAGGTCAAAAACTCATCCACAAACAACACGGGGTGAAGGCACAAACCTTCGGCAACAAATTCACGATAAACCTTTGGAGGACGGTCTAGTTTAGGCAGAACAACCATTCCTTTTCTCACGTCCTTTCTGCGAACTCCCTTGAGAGCAAAGGATGCCGACTGTCCGGCTGAACATGCGTGCACATGGATCCGTTTGCGCTCAATGGATTTAATGACAGTGCTCTTGAATTGGCCAAGTGAGTCTGGCCCAACAAGCACCGGATCGCCTGTATGCACAGCTCCAGCTTTCACAACTCCAGACACCACCGTCCCTACGAACGGCACGGAGAAGGTATCATTCACCAGGAATTCCAGGGGTGCGCCGGAGTCATACCGGCCATGATGTGGGAGCATATTGAGGAACATCTGTACCAGATCAATGCACTCCCCGGTCACATTCGAGACTTGGAAGATAGGGCATATCCTGTGGTTGACGAACTGCGTAGCCGTGTTGACGGTATCTTCTCGGGATTTGATGAAGATTGGAATCTTATGAGCCCCAGGAGACTTCAAAATTCCGGTCAACTGTTTGATTGTTTGCTGCAGGATTTGAGGAGGGCAGATATCAATCTTTGTGATAACGACCATAACAGGGACGTTGAGCGATAGTGCAATGCCCAGATGCTCCTTGCTCATTCCAATAAGTCCATTATTGGCGGCAACCATTAGTAGACAGTAGTTTGGGCTACTACTGAGCATGCCAAAGACAGTAGTCCGTAGGTATCTCTCATGGCCGGCGAGGTCACTGAATGAAATCACCTTTGCAGACTGTTTCCCAATCTCCTCCCATGTCTGCTTTCGGGCTTGACCATGACCCACGATTTCGCCATGGGTATCAAATCCCATAATCTCCATACCGACGGAGCTGGTCCTCCCGGTCTCGATCTCATGTTTGTGGCGGAATAGGTTCACCCGTGCCTTGCCTCGCCCATCATCCAGTTTTCCCTTAACCAAGACACCCAGAAGGGTACTTTTACCGGCATCAACGTTTCCAACCACCGCGATCCTGGTTTCAATAACCTTCTCTACCGTCTCGGGAGCCTTCCGTATCAAGACTTTCCCGTAGGCACACTTAATACGGTCACTCTTCGTCTCAGCCTCCTCAGGCCCACCGACATTGTAAGTCAGCAAGACCCGACAATGAGCCCTAAGCGCATAAGCAGCCCGCTTTAGACGATCGAGGGCATAGCCCCACTGCTCCTTGTCGAAGCCCATCCAGTCGCCATTGTCTTCCTGACCAAGGTCAAATATCGTCTCTCCCTGTCCCTCCTCCAACCGGCCTTTCACGAGGCTGATTATGCGAGAAAGGGTGCTCCCTGCGTCCGGAGAGTTGTCAAGGAGCAAGTCTTTAAGCTGGACACTGGTGGGATGGTCTGACAAGCCAAGCTGGTCAAGAATGTCGAGTTCGGAGTGGTCGTCATGGGCAGTGGATATAGTCGCAGTAGAATAGCCGCTGTCGCTTGGAGCCACGGAACTATCTCGGTTTTGGCTACGAAAATACCGTCTCTCCTGCTGCTTCTCAACGTACTCGGCAAACTCGTTCAGAGACTAGGCAGAGAGTATATATGTTAGATATGGTGGCCTCAAGTGTGTAAACCGCGTTTTCCACCAGGAAACTTTTGTAGGTGCATGAAGGGGGACTATGCATGCCTGCTCCCGTTTGTATCTCTCCTCCATCGTCAACTCCGCCTGTCTGTGACTCATGGTGTTTAACTCGCAGTTATAGGGAGTTAATATAAGATATCATAATGTGCGGCTCAGCGCAGATGGGTTCAAGTCCGTCGTATTCGTACAATCATTCTCTCTCTCTGTAAATGGGATAAAGAGTGGTGTGACCGGAGATAGTATAGGTTATAGAGACATGATTTATAAGGAGTAACAATAGTACAAGAGTGGATGATTTCGCCAGAGAGCCGACTGTGTATGGCTTGAGTATTTATATTGTGAGGAGATGCCAGCTGTTTGCTGCAGGAAACGCCAGCAAGCCCGGCCTTGGGAGTCATCAGTTGGAGGTTGAGTCATCAAAAAAGAAAGTG